TGACTCAATGTCAGCCGGATAAGACCAGTAGCAGTATGGGCTGAGGCTTGGATCAATTGAATATAGTCCTAAAAGGTAAAATAAAAGAAAACTCGATCAAAATTAGAAATAATGGACACTCATTTCGTACAGTACTGTAGCTCCCAGTATAAAACGCGTCATGATTGAGGGGGTGGAATGATTCCAAATGGGGATGTGTGCCCCTCACTAAAATTCCTCACTCAATTATCCATGATCACCAAGATCATCACCAGTGGCGGTGACAGTAGAAACGGATGGAAAATCGATTGATAATCGCGGCATTGAGAGCTCACCTCATACGCTCTAAACGTAGGTTTTTCCTACTGCCGGAGATGCAGCGGTTGTCTCCCCGGAGGGTCGTACCCTTGTCCTGTCGCCGCCACTGCCGTCAGAGCTGCGAAGATCATCGGTAAAAGGGCCCTAGTAAGCATTGGGCCCCGTACCATATTGTACGGGAGGGGCGTACCCGGTACTGGCCTCATACATGGCCACTCGCAAATTGGGGACCTGCGGTGTATTTTCACGTACGCTCGGTATCTGTGGAGCTTACAGGAAGTTCCCAAAGATCAAAGAAGGTTTATGTAGTTCAATTTCAGGTACAGTATCAGGGTTTCTAATCTGGGATGAATTCTTTATTCTTTTTTGCTTTTCGGTTCCGTTAAATGTCCAAGACAACCTTGAGGATATTCCAGATAAGCGTACTATACCTCTAATTCTGCATAGGCTTAATGACTTTCTTCTCGGCTATACCCCGTCGGTTCTTGTGTCGCTCCCAAGGTTTTGTATTGGGATGTTCTATGGTTCCATGCCCCAGTCAGACCCCAACGCGTGCCTATTACGCTTTTTTTTTCTGCCTTTCTTTTCGCTTGGCTGCGATGATCACCCCTCTCGCCGCTAAAATGTCCCATCAACCAACCCACTTCAATTATCCAGTGGGGAACAAAATAATACAGAAAGGGTAAAAAAAAAAAGAAATAGAAAGGAAACTAAAATAAATGTGCGCTCTATCGCCACGAAGAAAAAAAAATCACCCCCAATTTAAAATAAGTTCAAAACACGCTAGAACATTTATACAGAGGCTAAAATAGGTGTTAGGTGTATTATTGATGGTTCCTGATTATTATTCTTATACTCTTCTCGCACACGCTAGGCAGAGTTTTCCGTCGGATTTTTCTTCTCTCAGTCAATAGACCGTAGTGAGAAGCAACGTAGAAAAGGACAGCAGGTATTAAAATAAAGGACCCGACTGGTTGACCCTCACTCCTCCAAGTCCTCAAAAATATTGAAGTTGAAAAAAGCGAGGTTCTGCAGGGCCAACCCATGACGCAACCACGTGACGGGTACCGTAACTTCCACTGACCGTCGAACTCCCACTCCTGCTTTTCCCCCTCGAGTACACTGGGGAAACCATCGTGACCAGCCATCGCCTTCATCTTTTGTCCGGCTCGACGCCCACCACTCACTTCGACAGCCTCGGAAGGCCTTATCACGACTTCTTGCCCACTTACCAAGGTTGTGCCTACGCCCCCTCCTTCCTTTCGCTTCACCCACCCCTCGCCCTCCCCTCAAAACGGGAACATCATTTCTCCAAAAAAAGTGACCTTCATTTCTTTGTTATTTGGGATCGGCGCCTAGGGTTATATCGTTTTTCATTCCTCATGCTTTGAGGGTTTGCATCTTGTTGTCTTGTCCACCCAAGCGTACGTATCTTGGTTTTCCCCTTCAAAATCCCCCTCCACCCCTCCCACCAGTTCAACCCACCACCCCGTCACCACCACCTCTCCTTTCGATAAACACCAAAGGCCCACAAATCATCCTCTCTACTATCGGTCATACCAGCCTATCCGCCTATTTTCCCGACACGATCAGCTGCTGGCATGACTCGACGGGAGAAAAAATATTGATGACGCTGTTTTTAAAACCCCACTCACCACCAATCCGATCACCTTGAAAAATCTCCGATGGTTCATAACATTGACCGATGATTTTAGAAAGGCAGAGCGATGATTAGCTTCAGGGTGGAACATCTTTCAGATTCTTCGAGACTCCGTCAAGATCACCCCTCCCGTGGAAACGACGTCGGATCGTTCGACGGCAATGTCGATGGCCAGTGAGACCAGTAGTACCACCACCATGACCACTTTCTCCGCCCCGATCCCTGCTGCCAAATCGTTGCCCACCAACCAGTCGGCTCTGGCGGCTTCTTTCACCAATTTCCTTACCGTGTCGGTCCACCAAATACTTTTCCTGCGCTCCGTTTACCCGCGCGCGACCTTCCTTCCTGTGCGGGCATACAACTACCCTGTCCGGCAATCCCGTCACCCGAAAGTGTGTGACTATATCAACGATGCATCAATTGCAGTCGGAACAGAGATCTTGAAAGGCACAATAACTGCAGTCAGTATCATCATTTCATCTCTCCGCACAAATCAGCCCCTCGAACGATATGCCTTTGATCTGTCGGGCTTCCCTCGGGCCCCTGCCGGAGAGGTGAACACCACATTTGAAGACAGAAGTGAAGATGATTCATCCAGGCCAGGTGCCCCTGTCTCGGACCGGGGTCCCGCGCCAACCTCGGTCGACCTCGAGTCACAGTTCCGGGCCTGCCTAGCTCGACTAGCATCCGCATGTGCACGCCTGACCCCACTGCCACGAGATGACGAATTCAGCTTCACCGTTTGCATCGAAGTGCGCGAAGACGCACTACCCCCCGCGGGAACCACCAAAGAAGAACAAACATGGATTGTCGCCGAACCCGGCAAGGTGCACCTGAGATCCTGCACCGCTCCATTTTCCGTGTCAAAATTGCGGAATGGTGAGCCCCAACAGCCACCCCCTCGGGTCTCGAATGGCCGCGCCAAAACTGTACCGGTACGACGTGTGGAAGCCGGAGAATTGCGGTTGGAGTTATGGGTGGAAGAGGCGCGGCAGAAATTTAACGAACCGGTGGACTCAGAGCAACCACCATGAACATTTCTATTCCTGGGGGGAATATTCTTGTCAAGTTATGGAAATCGTTCGTTTGTTTGTCCACACCCATTTTCAGTCTTATTCTTGATTTAGCGTGACCAATGATCGAACATACATGATGGACGAGGAAGTTAGGAATTGCCATCCGCAAGAAAGTGGCGCAAATACATAAAACGGGGAGCGGACGATTTTTGGGACTCGCATGGCATTTACTTACATAGATCAGGTTCATATCTTTCCTTTTTCTGGGCTCTTTTTTTCTTCTCCCTCATCTCCCCAACCCCTTGTTTACTTTTCTTTTTCTCTTTCCTTGACTCCTCTTATACGACGCTCCTTCTCCCTTCTTCCCTCATTCTCACCTCTCTGGGACCTGATTTTTGGCACTTCATATCTCTTGCATCTTGTGCTGAGTCCCCGGGGTTTGACTCGCTGATTTTTATTTTGCTGCGATACGGCCTTTTACTCCATACCATCTCCCTTTTTCTTGTATTCATTTCATCTCTTTTGTTGAAATCTCTCAACTACATGATTCTATTTCAACTTTTTCCCCCTAGCCAATCCAATTATTAGCAAATAGTTCCCAATCTCCTTTCTGGCTATGATTATATCTGTTGGCTACATCATTTCTTGTTTTGCCTTATAAATCATTAACAAGGTCTTGTTTGTCTGGTGCTGTTGGTGTATTCCGCTGTTCTACATATGTTTTTGTTCTTGTGGCCCTCCTTGTTGTTTGTTCTATCTCCTTTTATACTCCTTACTGCTTATCCTTGAACCTCAGATCTGGCTCTAGGAGAAAGGACCGAGGTTGACTTGTAAGTACAATAGTGTGCAGTATACATGATGTCAAAGCCTGTCAAGCTGCCTACGACTGCATCTATACTTACTGCCTAACTACAATGCCGTAAAGTGTAGTCTGTTACCTAGATAGCTAGGATCTCTGCCCTAAGAAACTTCTCTAGTTGATGCGCTTGGCGATGAGGTCATAATGCATGTTCCTAGATGCACCTTTGCAGCCTTTCGCAATGCAAGTTGGCATGTAGCCGAACTCCGAAGAATGGCACATGAATTCTACTAAGAGTGCAGTTAAAGTAAACAGCATTTTGGATAAGGATCCCGAAAGTTCGGGCGTATAGGTATTGAAACATGCAAGAGACATCTTTCCACTTCCAAAACAATACCCATAATAAACATCAAAACCTATACTACGTAGTACGTACCACTGGAAATAATCTCCGGTACGGATTATCTATTACCATTTAATCCGGCCCATTTCCAAGCTAACCATACACACTACCAGTCCCCCAGTACCTACGCTACTACAATTAGGTAGATTCCACGGATCCAAACATCTAAACCATAGGATCATGCACAGACAAGAATGCCACTTACATAACCAACCCACCTGACCCGCTCATACCCTACCCGCACATGACGACCCCCCATAACCCTCTTACGTCAACAGCAGGTCTAACCGGCATTGGGAAATGGTGAAGGTTATCGAAGTCGCTTGCCGTCGCTTGCCATCGGGTCGGTGACAAAGAGAAACCGTATAGAGCAGGAATTTCCGGCCCGGATCACGATGAATGCAAGCGGGGAGAGCTCGGAATTGGCGGGTTACACGTAGAGTGGACGGAACCCCGCCGGATTCCTGTGTTAGAACTTATTTAATGGAGATAGTAATACGGGAAAGGTTTCTTTTCATATCCACTCACCCCGGAGTCCTTTTTGTCTCCTTGGAACGAGTTTCTTTTTGACACATCGATGTGGAGCTACAGCTTGACGGCTCTGACTCATTTACTTGGATTTCTGGACTTCGAACGGACGAACGTTCATACTAGCTAGAACCTCCACTCTCTTCAGGTGCTATTTGCTGGGGGAATTCTGGATACCACACGAGGTTACGATAGCTTCACCTGTTCTCTCAATTACAACTTATATCAGCTTCAAATCACCGGATACAACATCCTACACGGACAACTACTAGAGATACAGAGTCACCTCAGTTCATCATGATTGCAGCAAACGTCTCCCTCCCCCCAGGAGACTCACCGGACCTGATTCTAGTCGCCGCCACCCCAGAAGAACGCATAACTTCAATCAAACTCAACAGTGTCGCCTGGAAAGGGCCCCTAGACATCGAAACCTACATTGAGCGCGAGAATCATCTTTTCGCTCAAAATCTAACCCGCGACGGCCTGACATGCTGGATCCTGGTTGACAAGTCCGAGCCCGAAGGAGACCGTACGATTCTCAGTTCTTGCGAGACGTACAAGAAGAAGGCGCTGCTTGCACACGGCGGGAGCGTGGAAGATGTCTCTACGCACGGTATCGGGAGTGTCTACTGCCGGCCGGAGTTCCGGGGCAAGGGATACGCTAAGAGGATGTTTGAGGAGTTGAGCGAGAAGATTGATACGTGGAAGATGGAAGGGGAAGCGAGGGGGAAAGCTCTTTTTACTATTCTTTTTTCGGATATTGGGAAGAGTTTCTATGCGCAGTTTGGGTGGAAGCCGTTTTTGTCTTCGCATATGGCTCTTCCGCCAGCGGATGAGGGACAGTCCAATCAAAATGGAAACGCTTTAGCAACGAGAGATCTTTACGCGGAGGATGTGGAGAAGTCAATTTGCAATAAGTCTGTTACTGCCAAGTTGCGTGATCAGTTGCGTGACGCTTCGCAGAAAACGGCTGGTAGTAAGATCGCGATCATTCCCGACTTTGACCATTTCGTGTGGCACTGGGCGCGGGAGGAGTTTTTCTCGAAGAATCTTTTGCCGCATCGCTCTCCTCCTATTATCAAGGGCGCTGGAAATGACGAGGCTCGTGTCTATTGTGCATGGAACCGCAATTTCGGCGAGGAGCCCGAGGACAATGTACTGTACATTCTCCGTTGGGTGTATGATGATCCCCAGTCGGCGGAGGAGGAGCAGACTTTGGTCCGAGCCATGGCTGCTATCTTGCGGCGGGCCCAGCGAGAGGCACATGAATGGAATATGCACGCAGTCGAGTTTTGGAACCCAACACCACTGCTGCAAAAGGCCGTGAAGATGGTGGATTCAGATGCCCAGGTTGTGCATCGTGAGAAGAGCAGTATTTCCAGTTTGCGCTGGACCGGTGCGCAGCAAGGGCTTGGTGATGACGTTGAGTGGTTCTTGAATGAGAAATACACTTGGTGTTGAACAGCATTCACCATTTCACCATTTCGGGCTTTTGCGTTTCTTGGCCTTTTTGATCTATTTCACCAACGCATTTCGACTTCGGAGCTCAGGGTGACTTTTTGGGCGGCAAGAGTGTCCATTGTGTTTCTAGAGATGCTAGACATCGTATGTTGGGGCTACCACCGAACGAATAGCGACTGGATGATTGGCATTCAATTGCGCTTAGAATTTTTGAGCAATTCATGCCAATTCCTAGTAGGTTTGGCCTTTGCCGCTGGAGCTGAGCCAGAAGTGGCAGCTTTACTGCTCTGCTGGCGCTGCGAAGGCTCCACATAGAAAATCGTTGTAGGATCGAGGCTTCGGTATGCTCCATCTTGTAGTTTTGATAATGTTGCGTCGCCTCTCCATGACTCGGGAAGACAGTCTTTCCATGCACGAAGGAATTCACTCCGTCCAATGGCAGAAGATGCTGTAGGTGCCATGGCTGCAAGATAGGTGTCGCCTACCCATTGTGTACATTCGGCTTTCTCAAAGCTTGCCCCTAGATGATCGAAACTGTATTAGTTGGATCCCACAGATTCCAGACAAGCATTGAGCGTTAGCATATACTCACATTTGAGCTCATCTGCTAGCGCTGGTCGCTCATCCGCGGTACAGAGCCTCCTCACAACCGCCTCAAGACAGGCTCTTGGGAACGGCTCCGGTGTGTCATCCTCATCAAGGACTGATTTCCACAAGTCCCCAACTAGGAACTGTTTTTCCAGATCGATACCTTGTAGAACCGCACCCTCCATCATCCGCTTCCAAACATTCAAACGCGTCCGTGCCGAGGGTCTCCAGCACGTCAGCTCGTGCTTCCCATATACAAACGCGCAGATTTCGACCCAGCCTTGCTCACATTGTGCCGCACACACAGGGATATCTGCGCACACTAGATCCCTTAATCTCCGTACTCCAGCGGGGCCTTTATCAACTGGCGCATCAGAGGACTCGTCCATCATAATATCACCATCATCGTCGCCACTGCGCGGGTCGTATAATTGCAAAGCTTTCTCTAGGAACGGGACCGCTGAAAATGCTCCTGGTGGCACATGTAGCTCTAGTGTTGATCCGCACTTCGCTATGCTGCTCACCGCATCATCGGGAATCTTCAAAGCGCCACTATCCCTATCCTCCTCTGCGACAACTTTGATATCGGCCTGTGAAATATTGCCAGGACTTGGTCGTAGAATATGAAGCGAATTGGACGATTGGACCTGGCGGATTCGGTAGGTTTGGGTGGGAGTACAGAGGTTGACGTATTCCAGGGCACTGGGGTCAACTACCGCTTGTGCCAAGGCGGAAGAAGGAGATTTGAGCTCCAATCTGTGACAGATATTTCATCAGTATGCATTGCGATAAGGAAGCAGGAGTCGGGTCGTTCAAGAAAGACATATCCGAGCTGTCAACTTACACGGGAGCATCTTTGGATGTGAGTAGTGCCTCCAGGTCTGGGGGCAGTTCCAGTAGTCGAAACCCCTGCTGATGCTGGGTATGTGTGAAGAGAATGCCCCGTGCGTCTTGAGTCGCCATTGCCACGATATTCCCTGATGATCTCGAATGAAATGTTGGAGGGGAACAAAACGCGGGAAAGATGGAGACGCGCATGGACGCGTGCCGCACGGACCACCTTTAAATAGATCTGGAAGCTTACACAGCTACACTGATACTTTGCCTGCTTCTTCGGTGTATTCCTTAGTCACCATCCTCCAATATTCTACAGACTAATTTGCAGCTCATTGGCGGCTACCAGGAACCAGCCCAGTCTCGAAGCGCCTCAACTGCTGTTTCACTATGCGTTTGACTTGGTGAATTTGGACTCATTTGTCGCTCCGTATTGGTAAGTCTAGTACTCCGATATTTCCGCCGCTATAAAATCGGAACAATCGTCCTTAAAGTGACTACCATGGGCAGCAATAGTCGTCCAGCTGATATCTTTGGTATACACTCACTTTGCCCATGGTCAAGCGGAAACCCGAGGTGGCATTGCACCCAACCTCATGGGATAGAGTAAGGCTACCGTCAAAGAGACCCGGGCAGCTCATTTGTGCATCGTCAACCTTGGAGCTGTGGAAGGTCCATTTTGGAACCATAGTTCTCCCTCATTTCCTCCTTGCTCGGGTTTGACCCATTGGCATTCTGTAAACGTAATCCAAAAACTCTTGATAAACGAAGAAGCTTTATCTTGTTGATATCGGGAAGTCAAGATTGGGGTTATGGCACATGTCGCTTCTTCTGCGTAATAAAATGGTATTTGCCTAGATGAAAGTCTTGATTAGTCTACCAGCTCCAAAGTATACCGCACTGGAGAGCTCACTTACGAAAAAAGATGGTGTACTACATGGAAATCAATCACATTGTGGAAGAAAAATCTTCCCGCCCAGCCAAAGTCGCGGTCAATTGTGGCAAGAGCTCCCTTCGTGAAGGTCCACGAATTTCTTTCATATCTCGGCACCGACGGATGATTATGCTGCAGGAATGTGATGGCCACTTGAACTTGTGAGATACGCTGATGAATTCTGGAACCAGGCTTGTTGACATACCTATCCAGTTGTTGACCCAGATCCAAGGAACGACATAGAGCAGGACAGTAGTCTTCGATCCCAGGGATCTGCTCAAAAGCCACAAGCCTCTCGCTGTCAAGATATGTATCCCATACATCTTGATAAAATCTACTCACCGTGATAAAAATTTTCATCTTAAACCGGATTCTTTAATTACCTTTTTTTTATTATAAGTAACCCTATAACAATATCTGAGATGATCACAGACCAAAACTCCTTGAGGCTAAACAGGGGACTAGATGGGTCGAAATGGCTATTCTGCCCCCATTTGCCATGCTTTCTGGGGTGCATGCTTTCCGGTCCGGATGTGGAGTAGAACAAAATATGGCCAGGCCACCCGAAAAGTTGCTGAATGAGTATGCGAAGTGCAGTGAAGCCCGGAGTGTCAGAAGTTAAATGCCCCAATGATTCTGTATCAACTCCCAATTTGGCAGCATATGCCTCTAGACGGTATGGGACATACAGGTTATCTCTTTCCATATTATTTGCGTACATATGGTGCCGACGGTGTGTTGATTTCCAAGAAAAGTATGGTGTAAATAGCATTGAGTGGAGACAGAAACCAACTAGATCATTGACCCTTTGACTTGGACATAATGCACCGTGGCCGCATTCATGGCCGAGAATCCACAGTCCCGTGCCAAAAAGGCCTTGGATGAGACCATACAGACACCATAATATCACCTAGACATACGAATTTATAATGCGAGACGATAAGGATACTGCTGATACTGCCAGGGTGATAACACATGCAATGTCCCTTACCAAGTAGCTTAATGAGATAATAAAGGATGGGCAAAAGCAGTGATCAGGTAGTTGCTTTCCGTAATTCCCCAATACTCCAATCATCTTCACGGTCTGTCTGTGCTATTATTAGCATTCTATCATCACAACTACCCCACACTGACATGAGATCCAGCAGTATTATTGAAACTTACAGAGCTCATAGTGTCGATTCAGTCAATCCAAGTTGACGTTTTTTATTTCAGCCAATATAAATCATGCCCAACCTCAAGCCTTTACCCAGAACTGATTAATTCTTATTTATACTCAAATCCCACTGTCCCAGTTTCATTCTAAACGTCACAGTCGATAATCTACGAAAATATAGCGGTGAATGTATGAATTAAAGTTTCTTTTTGTCTTTCTAAAGACGTCAGCGGAAAGTATATCGATCTTTTTACCATTGGATGGAGTTCCACAGCATTGCTGACTGGTGCGTTGGCATTCTTGACCTTTTGCCCCTTGACATACCGGTGTGTTAATGTTCCTCGGAGAAGAGTATCTCCAATCTATCCACCCTAGGCACGCAGTTCAATAGACAAATATCTTGCCTACATCCTGATTTGGGAGCTTTACGTTCCTAATGAAGTCACAGAGTGTATTGCAAAAGTAAGATGAGGAAATACTGCATAGAGTTCTCTCTTGCTACGTCTGATCTGCGCTCCTTGTGCGCTCTGCAAAACTAGATATAAGGTCATTCGTGACTTCTTGGTAATCAAGAAAGCCCCTCATTACGCCTCAGACTACAGTTCCCGATGGATCACTGGGACTTATCTGAAGTCTTGATAACTTTGGATATTCATCTCATCGAATTCTAAGATGGATTCAACAAGTAGGGTTGCGTCTAAACTCAAATACATCATTCAAGATGAAAGCCAACATCGAGAATTGTGTTGGCTCTGTCAGAGTTCCCATGGGCCTCGCCGGCCCTCTACGCGTTAAAGGTCTAGACGGAACCGACGGTGATTTTCACGCCCCCTTGGCCACCTGTGAGTCCACATTGGTGGCAAGCTGCTCCCGTGGATGCAAGTTGTTCAACTCAAATGGTGATATTCAGTTCAAATTACTTCGAGATACTATGACTAGGGCTCCTGTCTTCTGATTTTCCCGTGTGGAGGATGCTGTCTCGTTTTACGACCTGTTGCCCGACCTTTTCTCCGAATTCAGAGATGCTGCACAATCTACCAGCAATTACGCCCGTCTCAGAAAAATAGACGGTCAAATTTTTGGAAGCTCCGTCCACGTTCTTTTCGAGTACCACTGTGGAAATGCCGCAGATCAAAATTTGGTTACATTTGCTACGCAAGAAGCGTGTGACCGATTCGCAGCATCTAATACGGCCCTCGTAGAGAATCTTCGCAAAGTCACTATTGAAGGCTCGCTATCTACGGACAAAAGTCTATCTTGGGGAAACATATTACACTCGCGCGGTGTCGCTGTTATGGCATGGGGGGTGATCTCCCAAGAGGCTTGCTAGAGGATTTTAGGTATCTCTACGTGGGATCTTTATCAACTGATAAACAATAGCAAGGAAGCAGCTACTCGGAACGGCCAATTAAGATATAATATCAACCATGCCAATGTGGTCGCTGCAATGTTTATCGCGTGTGGTCAAGATGCGGCTAGTGTGGCGGAATCAGCTTGGAGTCACTTGACTGTTGAATTTGATCAAGAGAATAGGGAATTGGCCGTGTCAACCTATTTTCCAAGTCTGCCAGTTGGAACCGTTGGGGGTGGTACTACTCTGGACACGCAAAGAGAAGCGTTGGAAATCTTTGGCTGTACAGCAATATTCGAAATTGGCTTCCATGTTTTACACAGAGAAACTATCCGAAGCCCCACCGCCAAGATGATAGTGAACCACCTAGGCCAGATTCGGCTAGGTTGCAGTTCCGAGCAGTTTTGACGTATGGTACGGAACATTGGACGAATACGGCCCCGTAAGTTACCCGTCTATTCGAACTAAACTCTAGAAACTCCCCGTACAAACTAAGGACGATTGCTAGTAGGTTCTTATAATCTGACGTTTACAGAGTTTAATAGATGGGGCCTACTTTCCAATGACGATTATATATACTATGTTCAGAAGCTATGTTTTCAGTGCGTGATAGAAAGTAACTGCCGGATATAATATCTAACTGCATCACTGTGAGAAACCGCTGTTCATCGCTGCAATAACGTAATTTTTTTGATAATTTCATTTCCTTTCTTTTGCTATCGCCAAGGCAAAGCTCTAGTCCAGAGCGTTTGAACAGGGAAGAACCCTACTTTCTGCTAAAGAGGCGCGAAAAGATTGTGCGCCTACGATATCCGCTAGGTTTCGAAGCTCGCGTAGAAATTGTTGTGGTACTGGCTAGGGTTTGATTATCCTTTTTGGTTTCAGTGAACGCTTTAGTGACCTTGGAAAATTGGGAGCCACTCTGCCCGCGCCATTCGGTTAAAGTGGACTTGGAGGACATAGTATGCGGATGGTCCGGGCCTAGTCTTCGGTCGCGAAGTCGAACGCATTCAGCCATCAATATTAAAGCGGCTTTGTCTTGAGCTGATGACTTAAGGGTATAAGCAAGGTTTGCCATACTCGTCAGCGTGGAGGGATGGTCGGCCCCAAGCTTCGTCTTGCGAGTCTCCATGACCTGCATAAAGACCTGCTCCGCCTCTTTCCACCGGCCCTGGTTGCTATACGTCGACGCCAGATTGGCCATGCTCGTTAGAGTGGAGGGATGGTCGGCCCCGAGCTTCGTCTTGCACATCTTTAGCTCTTGCACCTGGAGCTGCTCCGCCTCTTCCCACCGGCCCTGATCACTGTACGTCAACGCTAGGTTGGCCATGCTCGTCAGCGTGTTGGGATGGTCCGGCCCAAGCTTCGTCTTGAGAGTCACCATGACCTGCATAAAGACCTGCTCCGCCTCTTTCCACCGGCCCTGGTTGCTATACGTCGACGCCAGATTGGCCATGCTCGTTAGAGTGGAGGGATGGTCGGCCCCGAGCTTCGTCTTGCACATCTTTAGCTCTTGCACCTGGAGCTGCTCGGCCTCTTCCCACCGGCCCTGGTTGCTATACGTTAACGCCAGATTGGCCATGCTCGTCAGAGTGTCAGGATGGTCGGCCCCGAGCTTCGTCTTGCACATCTTTAGCTCTTGCACCTGGAGCTGCTCGGCCTCTTCCCACCGGCCCTGGTTCCTATACGTCGACGCTAGGTTGGCCATGCTCGTCAGCGTGGAGGGATGGTCCGGCCCGAGCTTCGTCTTGCGAGTCTCCATGACCTGCACCTCGAGCTGCTTCGCCTCTTCCCATCGGCCCTCTAGTCGGTAGGCTTCTGCTAGTATCGCAGTGCTATTAAGGGTGTCTCTATCTTCAGCGCCGCCAATCTTCATTCTTTGCTTCCTTGACATAGCTGCCATATCCTCTGCAACCGAAATACTGCCACATTCTATCGCATACCACGCCCCTTTGTATAGCAGCGCAGCCCAACTTCGGAGTGCGTCTTGCGATTTCGGTCGATGTAACATGGCTGAACCAACATGAGGGAACAGCAACCGGCATCTCTCCCAATTCTCATATTGACCGGTCGGGAATTCAGAATATAGGTTGTTAATGAAATGTTCCTTCCACTCCTCCTCTTTACCATAGGTTTTTAACCACATGCGTACTGTCAGTTGCACAAGCCGATGCATTATAAACATACTGATATCTTCACCGAAAGTTATAAAGGAATAGTCTCTGAGAGTCGCAACATCGCTCTCAAAATCATCATCCATATCGGGCTCGGACGAGGCATCCGTATCCTCATCACTTGATCTACTCCTGACGCCTTGCGCAGAACCTAGAGATCCATGATTTCTGTCTATATCGTGTACCCGTAGAAGATTTTCTGGGATTCCCTGCGAGTCGAAAAAGCTCATAAGAGATAGTAAATCAGCCGCAGATTGCCTGATCCGCCGAATGTGGTCGAAAGAAATTTGCCAAGTCAGTAGAATAGAGTTTTTGGCCTCCCAGTCTCGATCAGTATGTTTTCCCTCGTGGTTAAGAAGTCCTGTGGCTTGCCCATCACTCTGCCTAAGCTTTTCAAGGTATTGCAATACCGAGCATCGGGGCGAGCGGTGGGTGATGTAGCTAGCCGCTTGCACAATCGCAAGAGGTATAAAGTCAAGTTCCTTAACTAGCTGAACTAAATCCTGTGTCTCTGTATTGTCATCGAGCTTCTTCTGCATGAGAACCAACGCCTCGGCCGTACTCATGGGTTGCACGTCGATTAGATTCTTCTTATGGCCAGCAATCTCTAAAGCTACCCCTTTATTCCGGCTTGTGATAATGATAGAGCCATTGGAAATTTCGAGAAGATACTGTAGCGGAGGCTGCGTTAGAGCATGCCTAGGAGAGTTTGCTTGGGCCTCTACTGGAGTAATTATTGGTTTCCGAAGGAGCTCGTCATCATCGATATTATCGAGGACAAGCATCCATTTTCCAATCCTCCCATCTTGTAACCAGTTCGCGAAGAGTTGGAAAATATTAGCGTTGCGGTCTTGGCGCCCGGGAATCTTCGCACGGTCGGCTAGGTCGCGGAGACTTTTCTCGCAGCGGGCCGCATTACTCGCATGAACCCAGAAAATCCATGTGTCAGGCGATTGCTGCCGGACTCGGTGGCTGTATTCGATGGCGAGTCGAGATTTTCTTTGGCAAAGTCAGTCTTGAACAGACCGCTTAGGGCTCGCTGAACCTCACCCAACACCCCCTAGGCCAACGAGAACTACTCTAGACCCCGGGATCGAGGATTTTTCGTGGATTCGATTGAAGAGTTCATCGCGGCTCACAAAATCTGGATCATGCGGGAACGGCACGGTCGACAGTGGCTCTGGGCGGGGTTCCGGTTGCTCTAGGACGGAAAGCCACTCTCAGTCCTAGATTCTGATCTGGATCCAACTTTTAGGCGATTAGAAACTTACCAGACGTATAGTATATTGGCCCATGACTGGTTCCCACCTGTAACCCCCGGTTCTGGTCGCCAAACGATATAGAGGTCATTATCAATATACGATGCAGATGATGTTCAAATTTCGAGTACAAGAAAAGGTGCCGGGCCCCAATTTTTAGGACCTGTCCTCAGCCTCACTCTCAAGTGACTTCGTGGGCACTGCCGCGCTATCCAAGCAAAATGTCTACGCGCCTGTCACTCAGCCAGTCAACATCGGGATATTACCGCCCTACCCCGCCCCAAATACTGGTGGTGAAGGCATGCGGGCTGCATTTTGCGGCATCAGCGATCTGGCCGTAGTCATTTACATGCTCAGAAATTTATCGCGAATGAACTCTGGTGCGGGTAAAGATAGATATAGAACGAATTTGTGCCGTGGATGGTTGTCTCGTGGCGGGGGTCAAAGTGGCTAGAGTGGGAGACTGCCAATGACGTATTTTTCAACGACCTCAGCGTATCTGTCTTGTCAGGTAATTTACATTTCCATTCTGACGAGCAAGGGTGATCTATAGCCTAGCCTAATTAGGGTCTCACCATCATCTTGGCGGTGGGGCTTAAGATAGTTTCTCTGTGTAAAACATGGAAGCCAATTTCGAATATTGCTGTACGGGCCCCGGATCCAAAGGTCGCTTGGCGGGTCTAATTGCATCTTTTGCTCTCGCGCTAGACATAAGCACTGTTGCTGCTGTTACCAACAACACCTTTGCAGCTAGCTATTACAGGCTCGCAAGATCTACTCGTGCATTGCAATCAAAGCTTTGACCCTTCTGCCACAGGGCTAAATCCACCCAGACAGATCTGTCCCGAAATTTCTACTCCGTTGAGCCTAAGCCTATTTCTATACTAGGCCCTATCACTTTTCGTAACTATGAAGTCTTTTTTCTTATCATGATGTTTCAATTGTAGACTTCTGCATGCCTGGTGGTGTCCCGTCGGACGGGAATCAGATAGAGCGTCTGACCTGCGGCAATTTGGAAGCCCAACTTACATGGGTTATTGTCTTAACATAAGTCGTGCCTCATTTGTGCCTTGAATTTCCGTATCTAGAAGTAAGAGACAATATAAAGTAAACTTATCAACCTAAGGGTCGATAATGGGATATCATGATAAAAAAAACGAAAAGGAAATATACTGAACCTTCATCTAGTGTCACCTCCATCCTTCAACACTCTACCAATCTGCACTCATCTATATATCTTATAGAATGAACCTCATCAGCCTCCTCTCTTGAAACAGGCGCCTGAACAAACAGCAACCCAACAAAACATAACAAAAACGCCCCAGCCAGCCCAAAATAAGGAAGCCCAACCCAAACGCCACCTTTCTTAAGACCCAACTCAAACAACCAAGTAAGCACTGGCCCCAACATCGAGCCCGATGTCCCCACAATTCCAATCAACGTATTCAGTCTAGAGGTCTCTGATACTGGCACGTAACCAAGAGCCAAAGACCGACACAATGGAAGCATGCCACCCCCTAGACTCTGGAACGCCAATCCTGCAATAACAACATCCACCTTCGATGCAGCCATCCAAAGTGCCCCCGCGGTAGCAATTGCAGCCGAAAACCGTGCAAGTGTCAAGTCCCGCACATTTGGCTGCTGCCATCGTAACAGCAGGTGAGATAACAATGGAAGTGCAACTAACAACACAGCCATCTGAATGACTCCCCGCATGGCAAGGAGATAACCCGCATCAGCGAACGTCCAATTAAACCGTTTACTAATAAACTGTGTGAAAAATCCCGAGGTGGCCATATCCTCGGGCATGTCGATGATGTTAGCGGCGATGATAATAACAATCGAGGGAGTTCGTAATGAAGCGAGAGAAGCTTTGTAAAGCTGAACGGATTCCGATAGGTGCGACTTTAATGTGTTGGGTTTCAGTACTGAAGGTGCGCGGCCAATTTCGACGATAGGATCCTGTGATTTCGGTAATGTCTCTGGTACGAACATCAGAATCACCACGCCGATGGGCCACATGCAGAGGCTTAGAAAGATCGGGATCCAAGGTGAATAGGAGTTCATGAGTTTGGAAGAGACGAAAGGGCCGACAGCTGAACCGGATAGAATTCCGAATGTCAGGAGAAAGAATGCCGATGCCCTGGTTGCGTTAGAGGGGTTTACGTTGATTTAAGGTACAGGTGTGCGTACCTTTCTGATTTGGATACTAGATCCGATGCGACGGAGTTCAACGCTGCTAGTTGGACGGCTAATCCACCGCCGACGACGAGAAAGAGTGGCCCGGCTAATACGTATTGTACCGGTAGGACTGATGGAAAAGCGAGGACAAATAGTATCCATGACTTGGAAAGTATGGACCCGGCAAATGCAAGATAAAGAATGGGTTTGCGGCCAATTCTGAAATTTCTTCTTAGCATGCATCTTGAATCAACCTTTAACCAGAGAGAGGATACCTATCGGCCAAGACCCCGAATGGGAAGGCTGTCGTGAGACCTAGACCCTCGTTAGCATTCAAGCTTCATAACACAATCTTGAAACATACTAACGAGCGCTTCCATCACGGGCATGTAGCCCATGATAGTAGCCAACTCAAATTGGATATGATTATTCTTGCAAAGCCCCGCCTTGAAAGTCGTTCCTTTAGCAGCTCCCCGAATATATCGATGACAAAGATTATCTTCAAGAAGCTGCGACATAGGCGTGTTAACCATAGAAAAAGCAAGGGATATGAAGAAAGTGTGCAAAGACAGCAAGTAAACCCATAGCCATCTTGTGGTGGGTTTTTGCTGCCCACCGAGCAACGGTGATGTTTCTTCATTCATTGTTTCTGGCTAAGGGAGGAACAAAACCCAAGAGCCCGGGCTCGGGAGGTACACTATTAAAAAGGACTACGAAGGGCGCCAGCTACGTGGCAGGCCTTAGACTAGGGAGAAGAGAGGGGGGAACATGGGAGCGGTCAATGTGACTGCTTCGACCTCGCGACCCCTGCGCGTTGCTCGCGTGGCATTCTTGTGCAACATTGCATACTTGGCTTTGATTGGAAGTCGGACCCCTTATCAGATTGCCGTTTCACCGTTGCACCGTTTCACCGTTTTTTCTACCCGAGATCTGGAAAGCAGGCCACCTGCATGAAAGATGGGACGCAGGAAAAAGACGCACGATGATGTTCACACGGAATCCCCATCGATTTATTATAGAGACAATCAACCAGCGCTGCTTTGGAATTCAAACATGAATCGAACTTCTAAGGTTGTTTTGTGCGGCTCGGTCCGATCTCGATCAGATGACATCATCGGTGCACGCGCGCCTTAATCTGAGGAATGAAGGAGTGTGACTGGCCGTGAGGGTGCACTGCCTAATCAGTCCTGACCCCGAGGACGTGCCTGTCCTGTTTTTTGCTTACTTTTCGGGTCATCTACACCGATACGGGATAGCTGTGACCAAAAATAAGTTCAAGGATCTCACACTAACTGATTTGGTTAAAGGTCACTTGCTTAGATAAGCCCAAGGCTTTTTAAAGTTATTCATTAGTTAGTTAACATAGGTCATCCTTTATTAACATTATGTTAATCTTAGTATTAACTTATTATTCTAATCTATAACTTTATCTTATGTTTGGCACTACTCTATTAAAGTGAGCCCCATAATCTCAGAGACACTCAAGCATTTTGTGAGGCAAATAGAAATCAAGATTGATCGTTTTGAATTCACTTGGGCCAAACGATGTGGAAATGCGTTGCAAAAACCTATAATAGCAAACCCTATCCCTATTATAGACTGAGCTTAGTCGTTAGCTTCTCGCTCATAACTTGGCCGCATAGAGTAGTTTCTACCGCCTTCATCAGGCTCGACGGACCGCCTCGACTTTGCCAATGAAAAAAAGCAAATACGCGCTCTTATGCATGACTAAAAAGATCAGCACAGATCTTACAGGCTAGGCGGTACCTTGTGTAGTCGAATCACACCTTACCCATTATTAAGCGGTGGAAATGCTTTTTTGTTCCCCGTTCACTAAAATTTTCAAGTTTTGAAGTTTTGAATGGTACTCTGCAACGGAGAGTCTTTCCGAACAACAAAGATCGTGTGATCTTGCAAATATAAGACAGAAAATTTGGAATATGCAGAGCTGTTGACCTTGAGCCCACAAGGAGGTCTTATCGGGTGGGAAATGACTTTTTGACTCATCATGTGGATGACTGAACTTGTCCGAACAGGCTGCGAGGAGGGTAAGTCATGATAGCAAAGATAGCTCGATGACTCATTATGTAATTGACTGACGCTGTGTGAATAGGCTGGGGATCGGGTAAATTATCTTAGCAAAATGATAGCTCTGTCTCTCTATGTAGATGGCTAATTTTAAGTGGATGAGCTTGTAGAGCTGGTAAGTTATACTCGCAAAGCGATAGCTTATTGCCTTATATGGATGACTGACCTCGCTTGAATGGACCATAGAGAGTAAGTTGTGATAGCTAAGAAATGAGTTGTTGGCTCATTTCATGCATGATTGACTGACCTCATGGACACCAAGTCAAGAACGTCAGGTATCCAGGCCAACTAATGGAAAGTAGCATATAATTCACGTTCATTTCGGATTTTCACAGCAAGAGAAACCGCATTTTGCTCTATTCCCCATACCGAAAACCGTCAAACAGAAGATGAAACTTCATGTTTCCCCTACGTCCTTTTGGACCTTCCTGCGCTTTACGAAACCGCGATAAATGAATTTGAGGACCAGTCGAGTAGGCATTCGCGGAGCTATCCTGCATTTTATATGCCCTCGGAGTAGTTGAGAAGCAATAGGAACAGTTCAATGACCATATTGGAAGTCTACTCGTTGAAGATTCATGGTTCATGACGCTTATGTCAGGCTTTTTTTGGCGACGATAAAATTTAGCAGTTCAAAGCTTTAGCTTGGGGTAATTTGTTGTTTTCACCAATGTATTGTCAGCATTTAAGACAACAACAAACAATGCGAGCTTTTAGGAAACGCTCCAATACTTCATCTAATTGTTCTTTCGCACCCTGCTTAATATCTGGAGCATCGGGACGCCGACAAGCTTCGAGAGCTTGACAAAAAGCGAGGGAGACTCAACAGAGGCTAGACGATATAAGAGCACAGTCCAAAGCAAAAATGGAAACAGTCGGAGTATTGCGTATGGTGAGACTTGTTCCATGTTGTCTACTTTCCCACCGCAAATGACCATCTAGAGGAGTGGAACTCGAATTAATACCCAGAAAACTGTTCAAAGGCCACCATACCACCGGCTAAGTACGTGATAAGACAAACAATGTAGAAAGTAGATACTTGAACCAAGACAAGGGTTTAGGTTCAAATTAATCCTTTCGCCGTCACAAACACCTGGTCCAAGCTCGAACCACGCGCCCTTCTTCGTCGCCTGACATTATCTGAAAGTGTGATGCCTAGGTGTCTTGTTCACCGGATCTGAAATACTACGTTGTAATTTGAGGTGTTACTGGCACCCTGGTACTATTTTTTAGTTGTCACCCTTCACACAGTTCGATGGTATACGCCTATCCCTAGCATATGGTACTGCCCTGGGGTGTACATAGATTGAGTACACCTGGTAAGAATCTACATACCAAGCTGAGCTCTATTTTGAAAATTAAAAGTAGTTTCAATTGCTAATTTCAAACACCGTGTTCTACCTTATCCACCCTTCTAATGCTTCTAAAATCCCGACAAAAGCCACCCAAGAAAAAGAAGATATACACGGGGGAAACGGGATCGAGAAAGCCGCCAGACATTGTCTCTAGCCCAGCAAATGATAGTTCCACCCGATAGATGAGGGATTAAAAAAAGGCAAATATGGCCGATCCACGCTGGGTTTCAGAGCAAAGGTGCCACGCATGTGGAGGCCTGAAAATATTCCAGCCAGCTGGACGCTTCTAAATGAGTCCTTGTACCGGGCAAGTGATGTTTAGGTGCAGACACCGTCTGTCCTATTTGTTTGATGAGCCCTTCCCGGCATCTTTTCTGGGCTGTGCCGCTGGTCCCTCCTCAGAGCCCTTGGCTGCATCACCCTTCACATTCTGGGATTTCACCTGGCTTTCTTTTTGCGCGGCAAGTTGTCGTTCTTTTTCTTCTCGCTCCAGAGCCTCTTGCTCTTGTTTCATTTCCTCCATGTGGCGCAGATCGTCCAAGCTTGGCTCGTATAAGTGCCAAATAACGTAGTGGGGTAATCCGATTACCGAATACTTCATGCGTTTGGCCATCTAGATAATGTTAGCTCTTGCATCTGTGATTGGGTAGGTCGGTCCCTACCTTGCCGAAACCTTCTGTTTCTGCGTGCTTCTCGAAGCTGAAGGCCGGGAAGTGAACACCGGAACGGAACACCTTGGCCTTTGCTAGAATACTAACACCTCCGATGCCGTCCAGCTCCATTTCCATATCTGGGTCGCCGTAGGGGTCGCGTAGGTAGGCAAGGTGGGGTCGCCATGTTGCGTACTCTGCGTACCCCTCAACGATGACGGCATCCTCATCCAAGGTGTCTGCTAGCGCCAATGCTGTCTCCGACTCCTGCCATGAGTTCAAGTCGTACGGTTGCTCTCCACCGAGCCAATCCGGAAGTGGTCGCCACACATCTAGAGACATTCATGTTAGTATGAATCGCAAACCGAGCGAAAATTAAAATCAGTATAGTCACACTGCGATACTCACTTGGAACCGTGACATCCTTATTATGACGCATTAAATCCTCAAGAATCGTGAAGGGCGCAGTCTCCACATCCGCATCTCGCCAGTAGACCCAGCTGTGTGTGGGACGCAACGTAGCGCTCAGCAGCCAATTTCTAGCCTGAGCCATCAACTTCCGCCGATTTGCCTGCGCTTGGAAGGTATGACGACTCTCCACATCCTGCTGAACCTTTTGTCCGAAATCCTTCTGGATCACCGAGATCTCACCAAATGCCATCTTGGGATCAGGATCATTCTGCACTTCCTGCAACATACTTGAGAGCGTGCTAAGCGTATCATCGCGCGAATCCGACACCAAAAACGCCAAATCAATCAGGTTGTGGGGGTATGTGAGGTTGCGGAGGTGCGAGAAAAACATGGGAAGGTGGGAGGACGCATCGCGCAGAGGGGTGAGCATGAGAACGCGTTCGCCGCGCTCCCAGCCTCTTTCGGTGCCTTGCACTTCAGAAAGATCATAGTATCGGACGGTCTGGAGGTGTAGGTCGGCGGAAGGGTGAAAGAGGCCGAGGGAGAGCGCTGGGAGGATTGCGGCGCGCCATGTTGGGAAGATGAAGATCACTAGCAGCAATGAAACCCCACCGAGTAGTAAAAGACGTTGAAAGAGCTGGCGTCGCCGGCGGAGAGCCGGTTGAGAACGGGGTTGGAAGCTGCGAAAATTCCAAGTTAGCGCTTTGAAGTTGCGGATCCCGGGAGAACTGGGTCATTGCATGCTGAACTGCAGCAATTCCTGGACAGGAAACACGCGGCCCGGCCGGTGACGACGCACCCGTTGAGAAAAGCGGACCCGCGAGGGTAGGCCGAGTGGCCTTTTGGGGAGGCGTAGTGCCTGTTCATAGCTTAGAGAGCTCGCAGCATTGAGTCCCTTTGCCCAGATTGTAGATTGTAGGCAAGAAAGCCCTTTAGCTACCAAGGTTCAGTCTCCAAAAAGGCCAGCCTTGCACCCGGGTAGGTTTGGTGAAATCGGAGGAAAGAAGGAAGAAAGTCAGAAGGAACGAGGATTCTAGAAGGTAAATGTGGTGCACGATCAACGTGTCAGAACGAGTGTTACAGAAGAGAAGTTGTGTTTCGCCCTTGAACCCAAACCCGAATCCGGAGATCCGCTTGCAGAGTGTATCTCCACTATCTATACATTTTAAATTAATTGGGGGTTCAGGGTGCAAGACATGAGAACATTCATCTCGCTAAACTCGTGTTAATTAATTTCACATGCATTTGACTCGGCTTCGAGATCGCCGTTGACGATCTTTTTGACATTTCAACTTCCACATCTTCAGTTTTACCCGTCACACAGGCGTGCCCCAAACACTAGACGGATTCAGCCTCACGCTTATCCAGTTACCACCGCCGTATCATATTCTCCACCCCGTGGAATGTGACTTTCGCAATCACCCTGGCCGTACATCCGGCCTGGTCGAGCTTCGGGATACCATGTGCAGAGTAGACCGAAGCCTAGATCGGGCCGGGGGGAGTAAAATCGGCGTATTTCGCATTCCACTCCAACTCGCAGATGGCTTTTACCCGAAAAAACACCGAGGTCAAGGCTGAACATATTCGGTGAGATGTTACCTGCCTGAAATGAGTGATGCTCAATGTCCGTGGATCCCTATGCATTGCTGTTGCTTTGTGGAACCTAGATCTCCATTGATCTGCACAGCAACGTTGCCAAGAAGCTTGGGGCTTACTGTATATCGGAGGTTTCTCCAGAACACCCAAAATGCCTGTCAGGTACATAACCCTCTCAGCCTCGGTCGCGCTCAAGTTGGCCCCGCTGGAGCGCCCCATAAATCACTGGGGCCGCTATGGCGTGCCGTCGGAAGGCCCCCAGCAAGCCACTGCCGGGCGGAACACTGCGACACAGTTGGTTTAGCTGAATCAAAGCTGTCCACAGTCAGACCATTAAAATTTCAGATGTCAGATGTGGTTGCAGGAATGGATCAGGCTGACCACAGGTTGCTCACGGGGCGAGTCTTGTTGCTCGTACAGGATCCTGTGGGACAAATCGGTCACATGAACATCATCGACCAGGGCAAGACAGAATTACAACCATAATCAAACGAGGCCAAACGGACCGGATTGTCTCCAAATTGCTCAAATGCCCCGATAATAACAGAGGTAGTTTGCGGATAGTAATTTGACCCGTGGCCTTTTACGACATCTTCATCCAAGCATTGTGGCCAATGAGGTTTCTAAATTTACCCGAACTAAGTATCAGATCTGATACAGATCTTCCCGAGAGGTACCTGATATGATGCAGATCTACTTTAAGGGTACTTAATGTAGAAATGTCAAGCATTTCAAAACTAGTGCATCAGACTACTGGTAAAGGTGATTGGCTTGTTGTCCGCCACCGCCCCCATGGGGAGCATAGATCCCTTCCTAGTTGGATAGTCGCCATCTAAGTAAACTCCAACAGAACGAACACCTACCTAAAATCGTAATACAGATAATCTATGAGCTTGAGCTTCACGGGCCAAATAGTCAGTACGGATCACATAAATAAGATGTTCATGTCCGTAGAAGTACATTCTCCATCAACAACCAATCTAGGTTTACATTCCAATCTTCCAATTTTGCCTCTAAGCTTCAAGCTTCAATCGATTCCACCAAAATGCAATTCTTCAAGGTCCTTGCTTTCTCTGCTTTCGCCGCTATGGCTACCGCTGCTGCCATCCCTGCTCCCGAGGCTGCCCCGGCTCCTGTGGCTGATCCTTCGCTTGGTACGTTTATAGTCTACGAAAAGAGAGTTCGTGAAAATTGCTAATATATCATTCCAGGAAGCCTCCTTTGGAAGGCGTTGAAGGAAGGCGCTGATATCTGGTCGGACTCTCAGGACGACGACGACGACAACTAGAGATAATGCATCGATACTCGGTGAAAGTTCCAACAACGTAAAGTTTTATAGATGAGTGAATGTGTTGGCTGGCCCAAGCGTTTGCTTCTGTTATTGGAATTGATTGGTTGGGTGTTTACCTGAGATATTCATATTGAATATCAAATATCTTTGAGCTACTAGATATATCCATGGATACCGTTTTACTCCACAAGGCTTTTCATTCATACTTGAGAGAAGAGGAAAATAACTCTTTGTTTGGTGGAGGGTAAATCCATATAATAAGAGTAAGGAAGTGCACCCACCTAGAGATAGATGTGTTATCTTTCTAATTTCGAGCGCCAAAACTCTCCATACAATACGATCTTCTACAAAAATCTAATTGCCACTAGCCCGTACCAAATCCGCAAACCGCGAGCTAAGTGAATCTTTCAATACCCCCGGCTCTCCAACCTCAACAACCTCTCCCATATCCATAACCACCACCCGATCAAAATCCATAATCATATCTAACCGATGGCAGACAGATATGACCGTGTAATTATTGAAATTAACACGGACAATCTCTTGCATCACGCGCTCCGTCTCATGGTCAACACTAGAACTAATTTCGTCCAACAACAAAATCCCCCCACCATTGGACGATTTAGTTCGGACCCCACGGCGTAACATCGCCCGCCCGAGTGAAAGAAGTTGCCGCTGTCCCGCGCTCAATGTTCCTGCAGTCATAGGTGCATCTAGGCCGCCGTGCTCCTGGACGAAAGACCAGAGTCCAACTGCCGATAGAATACTCTGGCATTCTGCGGGTGTAGAAATGTTTGATGGATCTAGGTTTGCTTGGAAAGTAGAGCCATCTGGGAGGAAGACTGCTTCCTGTGGGACGGCGATGAGGCGCTGGCGGAGGGCCGAACGGTTAATGCGGCTGAGGGGAATGTTATCGATGAGGACCGCCGCGTCTCCGGTGGTATTTGGGAGGGGATCAAGGAGCTTGAGGAGAAGAGCGAGGAGACTTGATTTTCCACTTCCAGTCCGACCACATATAGCGACTTTTTCGCCAGAGTAGATAGAGAGATGGATCTTTTTGAGGGCGAGAGGGGATTCATTGTCATTTTCTTCTCTAAAACGGAGGCAGATGTTAGAATGGGTATTGAAGAACGAGATTGTCCTTGATTCTTACCCATATCGTGCTGAAACATCTTTCAACTCGACTGTACCGTGCTCAGGCCACTCTTCACCCGGATTAATATCCTCCTCTTCTCGGTCTTCTGGCGTGACGGTTTCGTTGAAGTTCTTCAGCCTTGCAATCGCACCGATAGAGGTTTCGAGCTTTGTGTAGAAAATTACGACGTCGGATAGATTTTCTCCGAAGCTCATAAGGGAGTATAGGGATGCACCGGCGAAGCCGGAGTTGGAATGGAGGCGTACGGCGAGAGTGGTTAGGACCACTGCGATCACCATGACCACCAGATTTAGGACTAGATTTAACCATTCTTGGATCATCAGGAGAAGGTATGCGGGTCTTTGGCTGGAGTCGACTAGGCGAGCGTTCTTTTGGATTTCCTCCGGGAGAAAGCCTTTTATGTGTCAGTTTAGAGATGAAACGCACTTTATAGTCTACACCCTGCAATGCAGGTCACTTACCGAAAGCTCGCAGAGTTGCAATACCTTTGAGAGTATCGAGGAAATGGGTGCTGAAAAGAAGACTAAGTTGGTATACAAGCCAACGACTATTCATAAGCAATACTTGCAGGGGAACTCACTATAGAGGACTTTTAGCTTCCAAGTCTAGCAGCCTCATCTGCCTCGAAGTTCGTAGATAAAACTTCTGCACGACATATAGTAAGCCGCCAAGGAGCGGATAACTGATAGCCAGATACACCGACGAAGTGAGCATAACAGCCGCTTGTCCAATGGATTGAAAGACCTAAAGATTCGAATTAGATAACCAAAAGATAAGACTACCTCAAAATGCAGGAAACTGACACAAAACAGAGTATTCAACGTCGCATCTGGTAGCTCCGTATCTATCAAATTCAAATCTTGTGAAAACAAGTTGGTTACGACGCCAGTGTCTGTCTTCGTGAAGAATGAAAGTGGTGCTCGCATCAAAGTTCGTAGCGCATCCTGATGTAGAATAGCACCCGCCTTCTTGACAGAAACAATAAAAAGCGTAATTCCCAGTAGTAGCAGTGCTATCATAGCGCACATTTGAAGCAGCGCATAGATACCCGCGTAATAGGCGTAGGAATGTGGGGAATGGTCCGAAGAAATGGCATCGCCCCAATATGTGAGCCCTGCGAGTTGGTGACATTAGTTTTGCAGTATTCCAAGCTTCTGGAAAGGGACTCACAGATCGATGGGTAGTTGGTGAAGAAACCCCAAAGGGCTGCGAAGAACAAACTACATGCTGCCACGAACCATCCCATGCTTTTGAAATAATGCTTATACACGGTAGTGTCTCCGACTTGCCGTAATGCGATCGCATCTGCCGAGAGGGTCGTGGTGCCACTGCTAACTGTAGTCTTGACTACACGGGTCGGCTGTGACTGGAGCGTGGCCCCGTTCTTGGGGGCCGGCTTTTCGCAAGGTTCACGATCGAGATTGCCCTTCAGTCCCAGACGCTGAATATATCCTTGGCTAGTTGACAGATGATCGAAAGTACCCTGTTCTTTAACGATACCGTCCTCAAGCGCAATTATGTAATCTGCAAAGGGGAGGTGTCTGATACTATGGGTGCATAGTACAACCGTCGAATCCCGTCTTCTGAGTAAACCATCTTCCCCAAAAACATGCCGGAAAACATGTTCCTCAGTATCCGCATCTAAACCGCTGAAGACGTCGTCTAGAATGAGCAGTTCGGATTGTAGATACAGTGCTCGCGCCAACGATACACGTTGCTTCTGGCCCCCAGAAAGGGCGATTCCATCTGACCCGATATTCGTGTGGTCTCCTTGAGGAAGGAACTCAAAGTCAAAGCCTAAGGATGTGGCCTCAATGACTTCATTATACCTCTCGTCATTAAAAGGAGAAAATCCAATGATATTGTCTCGGATTGTTCCGTTCGATAGAAAGGCGGTTTGCTCGCAGAAACCGATATGCCGGAATTGAGAGTTTGTGACTACACTGCCATTGCTGAAAGGAACCTCTCCAAGAAGCGCCTTGCAAAAGGTTGATTTTCCTGAGCCCACAGGCCCGACAACCATCGTCAACGACGACTTGGATATCTGAGTGCTCACATTCTGTAGCACAAAGTTCCCTGCTTTCCACCCGAAGCTGGCGTTTTTGGTGACAAAATAATTTATTGAATCCGAGCTTGGCTCTGGGAAAGATTCATTACCCGCAAAATTCTTCTCTGAACTTCTCCGTGTAGCAAGAACTTGACGAAAATCATGATGCGGTTCACTTTCCAGGTAAGCCTGAATCCGACCTAAACAGGCCAGGCCGGAAACAAGCTCAGGAATGGATTGAAAGACCTGCGACAGCGGACTTGTCAACAACGTCAAGAAAGAAAGGCTTGTGAACATTTTCGAGGCGTCCATTGTGCGTTGAGTGAATGCGAAGGTAAGTGGTGGACTAATTAGTTGAGACATAAACGCGAAAACCGCCGCAATGATAAAAATTTTGCGGAATCGGGCTCCTGCTGCGAGCTCGTCCACTCGGAGCTGCTGCACATAGTCGCCCACAGTGGCCGACAGACCGGATATCTTTAGTGATTTCATACTGGCGATGACTGTGGCGGTAAGACCAACCCGCTTTTGGATCCCTGACATCCACGTCCTTTGCGAATCACCAGTGAAATTGACCAAAATTCCCAAGCCAATGGAACAGATAATGACAACCCCGATGGGTGCGACGAAAACAACACCAAGTCGTTTGTATAACATCCAACTTGCCAGGCCTGCCTGGATTATGCTTGCCCAAGTCTCGTGAATAAACCAAAGGCCCGTTTTAATGCGTTCTATATCAGTGCTCATCAAGGTAAGCGTAGCGCTATTATCATTGGACACAATCTGGGATTTTGTCGCTGTAGAGAATATCTCAGTGATTAAGATTGACCGTGCCATAGTGCGTAGTCGGTGGTGAAAGTACCTACACCACGCATCAGTAAGTTTTCTCCCGGGTTGACCTTTATGTAAGGTAACTATACCAAGATAAGGCGTGTGATATGGCCATTCCAAAGTAAATTAGCATACTAGCGCCAATCAAACCGTATCCGGTATTCGCGTCAGGCTCCGGCTGAGATAAATAAACCAATAGGCTTTCGATGAACAAAGGCTGGCAGAACGTGAAAACAAGCAGTGCCAGTCGCGGAGCAATTGGAAGGAGAAGAGGCACCTTCAGTGTATGGATCAGCACTTTCAAAAGACCATATCGGTCTCCTCCAAGCTTTGAGTAATCTATATTCTTCACAAAATCTTCATGTAGCCCTTGAGCATCGAAGGAGCTATCGAGTGGGTAGAGGTCTTCGATCGTCAAGATATTCTTATATCCGATCAGAAACATCTTGTTCAACCAGAAAAAGACGCCGAGGGAGAAAATGCCACTCGTCTCTTCGGGGCTGTGCTTTTTCTTGTCCCAGGTAATCCATTCATTCTTTTGATAAGCCTCTAGTAGTAAAATCCCTGTCTTCAGGGCTAGAGCTGTGCAGAAGATGCTGCTGTAAGTGAGTTCAGGCTTGTCATCGGATGACAGAAAAAGCGTTCTTGCCTGAGCCACATCGAGAAGAAGAGTAAGGAACAGGTAAGTGTTCAGCAAAATGGATGGCCTTGGGCTTCGGCTATGATCCACAACACTTAGGATAAGCATTAAAAGGGCCGATACAAGGTTGAGTGTCGAAGAAGCTATGAACATGCTGGTGGCATGAAAAGAGCCGGTCGCAGTCAATATGAGAAGTGATAGTTCCAGACAGATATAGATGATTATAGTACCCTTTGAATGGGTCAGTGGGTGCTCGTGCGGATGATTTGTTTAGAGCGAGGAAAACATACCGACTTCATGAACTGAAATGTGGGTGCATTCACCACAGCGGGCTTCCGTGCCCGGGAAATCGTGCGCCATAAGGATGTAACAATAAACAAGGTTGATGGAATTATGGAGAAGAATAAGTGCTCGAATTGAAGATTGAAATCGAAGTCTTCTTGATTCAGATGGAGCAAGCTTCCCGTAGTGAAGGTCATCCTGAAAGGGTTGCAGCTATAGCAAGCAGCTTGGACCCTAATACAAAGTCAATGCACCTAGAAGTAGCAGAATGAAATCTCTACAGCTACACAATGGGAGAAAATGGACATCAAAGATCGCAATTTGTGAAAGAGTGGAAGCAAAGAGAAAGATAAGCAGGAAGGCAATCTTATCTAGTAGGTACCAAAGCACCCAAACCAAGGCAAGTTCGGAAGCCTCAATTAGCTTAGCGCACACGCCACTTGTTTACACAGCCCAATCAACTCCAGGCTATAGCCCAGAGATACTAGGCAGCCTCATACTATTAAGGGTTTTACCCTCACTGAGTTTAGTGACTATAAATTATGTCTCTCATCGGTAGGGACACATATAACGCGATGACGATGATGCCGTACGATGTCTAGAGATCATGCTCTTTCTTCTTCAAATATACTATCGTAACATATATACCGGATAATGCCTGGCAATTCTTTATTTCCCTTTCCGAATTAGTGCTCACCCCTTGCCGCTTTTTGCTCACTGGGTAAGACTGAGCACGCCTCTGAGCAACTCGCCCCCGCTCACTGAGCACTTCTGATCCACTCACTGCGCACGACCCAAGAAAAGTGCGGGAGTAGCTAAGTCAGTAGCTATATAATATGATCCCCCCCCCTTAGCCCACGAGTATGTTATCCACATTCGACTTTTGTATACCTTCTCGATATCATGCCATTAACGCAACTTCCACCAGAGATACTCCTTCAAATTACGTACATGATTAACAAAGAGTCAAATCTTGCTTCTTTCGTCCAAGTCAATCGTGGTTTATATCAAACGCTCATATCATAACTCTACCTACGCAATGCAAAAGACTCAGGCGGGACAGCTATTCTCCATGCAGCTGAGTCAGGAAATTCGACCCTACAGAAAGCCCTCTAAGCCTAGAAAGATGCCAAGAGTCCCGCTGAATTACCGGCTAAACCCGACCAGTCATTACTCATAGTAGCGAAGAATGGCAACCTAGCCGCGGTGAAAATGCTTATAGACTATAGAGTCGATCCAAATGTTCGAGGCCGGAAAAAATGCACGCCTCTTAACGCGGCGAGTCAATATGGGCTTATAGCTATAGTTGCGAGACTCCTGGCTTACCCGAATCAAAAAGAACGCCTACTCACTGGGCTAAGTAACTCCGATATCGCTGCACAAAACGAAAATCGTGAAGATGTTACTATCATCTAGTGCTTATGTAGATTTTGCGCGAAAAGATGGACTAGCCCTCTTCATAGCGCTAACCTGAATAAATAGCCTGAGTTGGTTCGTCTTCTCGTGAATCGGGAAAGCGTTGATCCTAGCGCCCTCTTCACGGAAAGTCCCTTTTCCGATCTTACTCCGTTGCATATCGCAGTTGACATAGATAAAGAGGAGTTGGTTGAGATTCTGCTTACAGATAAGCGGGTCAATCCAGACCTAACTGCGCACCCGTTTTCTGAAACACCCTTGTTAGACGCTGTAGTGAAGAACAACGAGGCGATGGTTCGCCTTTTATCATAGATCGCTCAGGTCTATCACCTGCCATGTTGCTTGATGCAGCAAGTGCAAATGATCGCTATCAACTCCTTCTACAGTAGTTTTCGAAATCAGCTATACCTCGACAAACACATAAGTCCTCACCCGGATAATAGATATATCCGTAAAAGAAGAAATTTGATTGGATGGTGCTAAAATTAGCCCATTGAGTTGCCGTTCATGGGTCGCAGCGCTGTATCATAACTAAAATGTTATTAGTATAACACCCCTCGTTTATTAAAAATTTTGACAGAAGCAACCGCCTGTAGCACGCTGATAGATAATCGACCGTGGGTTCTCTACGTCTACACCAGATATAGTACAGTAGAATTCGAAAACGGATTATATACCAGATTTTGCAAATACTGTAAGAACCAGTACTGCTTTCGATAACCCGGAGTAGGCCATTCCCGAAGTAGTAAGACCGGGAGCCGGAACACAAAAGTCATTAGCGCCGCAAAGGTCAGGCCACAGACGAACCGATAGCCATCCGAGCCCTACTACTGTAAACTGGATAATGCGCATTTGCCCGCCTGTGTTTGGCTACCTGGAACCTTCCTGCATGTGGTATGTTTAATTTAGCAGGATTAGGATTTAATAGTAGGGAATATACTGTACACTACATAGTATATAATACTCTCGCCCAGATCCTTTCTTTTTTTACTCCCCTCTTCACGAAATAGTCTTCTCCTTCTCTCAGCCTCTGCTTCTTCTCTCTTATACAAGACCTGCTAGGAACCACAATGTCTGTGTCTCCTCCCCTTCTTTGCACCCTCCCCTAGGTGGTTGAATTATACTCTTTTATGGAATTTGTCGCATATTGACCCTTTTTCTCCTAGGAATTCTACCGTGCTACCCCCCAGCACCTATTGGGGCCAATATCAGGATATCACCAAATTCAATACCCACTTAAGCGTGGCAGAGAGATTGTGGGTCGCATGGTATGCGTGGGTGCAGAATGATGTCCTGGCCACCGGCATCATGTCCTTCGTCATCCACGAGTTGTTCTACTTCGGCCGCTCTCTTCCGTGGATCTTCATCGATAGCTTGGGTTTCTTCAAGAGGTACAAGATTCAAAGCGTAAGTGGCAAGCCTAACACCTGGCACTAGCCGAAATCACCCCAATTCCAGCCGCCATCGAAACTAACATTCTGCTTCAGAGCAAAGTACCTTCATTACGCGAGCAATGGGATTGCGCCAAGTTTGTGCTTCTAAGCCACTTCACCGTCGAACTTCCTCAAATATGGTATGTCCCTGCCCTCGACGGAGTGGTCTTCTACGTGACGTTTGCCTCTCGGGCCCGATTGAGTAGTAACGGCTCTTCTAGGCTTTTCCACCCAATGGCCCAGTTCTGCGGTCTATCAACATCGATTCCTTTTCCGTCTCCCTGGACTATGACATATCAGATTGCAACATTCTTCGTGATGGAGGACACTTGGCACTATTTTCTCCACCGAGCTCTTCATTGGGGTCCGCTCTACAAGGCTATTCACAAAATTCACCATCAGTACTCTGCACCCTTTGGTTTGGCCGCCGAATATGCTTCTCCTATTGAAGTGATGATTCTCGGCTTCGGGACCGTCAGCTGCCCGATCCTCTGGTGTGCTTTCACCGGTAACCTGCATATTCTCACTATGTATATCTGGATTGTGTTGCGCTTGTTCCAGGCTATCGATGCCCACAGTGGCTACGAATTTCCTTGTAGTCTTCACCATTTCTTACCTTTCTGGGCTGGTGCCGATCATCACGACCTTCACCATGAGAAATTCATTGGGAACTACTCAAGCAGCTTCCGCTGGTGGGACTACCTCCTTGGCACCGAATACACTCCGAATGCCCTGAAGCGCCGAAGAGGGAAAAAGGTGAAGGCAAAGAAGACACAATGATCTGAACGTTAGCAGTGTCAATTTGGGCGTTGGCTCTGTCTGGAGCTATTTACCTGATAGATGATAGCCTTTCTTATGGTACTGTTCAATGGTTGATTTACCATGACTAGACTTAGCTATTCTTGAAACGAATCGGTCTTCTAAACATCGCTAAACTCATGCCGTAGCCGAGAGATTCATGGCAAAAGATGAAGTGGGCTGTCTCGATTAATATACGATTTGTGGCTCAATGATGAGAACTGACTCTTCGAACAATTTTAGAAGAACGACTATGGCGCGTTTATGAGTGCTAGGTCTCATCATGAAACTCAATTCTATCGCAGCAATACAAACCCCTCTCGTAATTCTCCTTTAGGGTGACCGTAGTGCAATTGTAGATTTAGGTTAAATTGATGAATAATACAATAATATTACCCATAAATAAACTGTAGTTTGGCCTTTGAGCTAGACAAATATATTTGCCTAAATAACTTCCTAAAATTCATTAAATCCCGAGCGTGTACTTCGGATACTTTTAAGAATATCCTTTATAAGTAGAAACTAAGAGAAGATATGGTTGTTGAAATATCAATCTGTAGTTCACCACATTTACCACGTGTTTTGCGGTGGGCCGCTGGCTTGGGTGGTCCGCTCGCTTGTGAAATACGTTAGTTAGCGCAGTTTCCTAGCGAAGTGGCCACCCAGTCTGCCCGGCCACTCCAAACCGCATAGTAAACATTTGTAGTAAAATTTATATCTCAGCAATAATACATATAAGCTGTATCAAACTCGCGATACTTTTGTTTTAGTAACCTCAAAGACCTGTTTCGGAGTTTAGTGAAATCTGATAGAGCATTTCCTACGTAACCATAAAATACACCGTGATTTGACAGAAAAAGCTCCAAATATATGTCCTTGACTCAAACAATTATGAAACCAATTAAATCCCAGGGATATGTTTGAGACACCATAAAGAACTTTTATAAGGACAATCAGAGGGAAGCTGTGGTTGTCAAAATAGAAAGCTGTTATCACCGCATTTACTTCATTTTCGGAGGTGGCCGGGCTGACCGGGTAGCCGACTCGCTAGGAAAATAAGTTAAGCGCTCCCTGAGCATCGCTTGAGCAGCATGATCCCCTCACTAGGCATTCACTGAGCGCCACCTGAGCTGCACGATCCAGTCACTGCGCACGACCCGGACAAAGTGCGGGAGCAGGTCGGGTGGAGAGCGGGGGATGCCGGCCCTCTAAATGTTTTCCACGAGGTCTGAATCGGGCTATTTGCCCCCTTCAATGGATACACACCCACACCGACATAATCCGCGCTGATGTGTACATAGCTCGATCACATACTTTGCTCTTTTATATTTGAATATTGACTACATGTATATTATGCATTCAGCGTCCCCCTGAATTCGAGCAATCGTCTCCTCACATCAGACAATCAGTATCGAGAGAGACCAATCAGGCGTCCCAGTTGCCAGCAGTATGAGCACAGTCGATGTCGGTGCATATACTCAAGTGTTTGCACAAAGTGTGCTAGGGACTGCAAAGGACAAGAACGCACTGCATAGTACGAGAATCGCGGAAATTTGGAGGCCATCATCAAACTTCCGGCTAGACCTTAACAAAACCGAGAACGGCAAAAGGAAAAGACACTAGGTGGAGCATTGACCAACAGATTTGTTGGGCTGGCCCCCTTCCGTTCCATCGGGGCTAGCCTCCCCATACTGCCTTGAGATGATAGTTCGAAATAAACTTCAGTCCACTGCACTATATTATAAAGCAATGCTATTCTCCTCAAATAGAAATTTTCTGACGCCTTTCCTTCAATGATGTTATATAGCATATGAATAGCTGTTTGGACGACCTTAAAATCTGCGCAGTTAGCAGCTTCGGTGCGTGCACTTCGCTATCAACATGCTAGTTACTACTTAGCGTGGGCACGGCACACTAGTGGCAATTGACCAACGCTAGCACTTGAGGGCCCACAGTAGACTATCGCCCTGGCAGCTGGCCTCTGAGAAAAACACATTTATGTAAAATTTTTTTACTTGATCAAGCTCTAGACATGGCAAATTTTCTATCCACAAGCTCCTATTGGAGCGAGGGCTCTTTTCCAGACGGCCGCTCATGCAGGGATCCACACGAATAACAGAAGACCTAGTACTTATTGACCCTGGCGCCGCATTAGATCTGAAATTTTTTTTTCTCCAGCCTGGTGCATTTGTTTCTTAACAAAATTCATTCACAATGACCTTGAATGAGAAGACAAGCGTGGTCGACACCGAGCTGGGAAGCCCTCGGGACTCGATCGAGGAGCAGGAGGTCTTCAAGAAGACCACGGATGGCGTCAGCTTCCGCAGTGTCGGATGGTTCAAGGCGTGCATTATTATGGTGAAGGTCCTCTTCGCCACCGGTGTACTGTCGCTACCATCGGCGCTGTACTCTCTCGGTGCAGTCGGTGGCGCAATCAGTATCGTCGCCTGGGGCGCGTTCAACACCTATTCTTTCGTGATTCTTGGCAACTTCCGCAAGAAGTACCCTCACTGCCACTCCATAGCTGATATGGCGGAGGTTGCCGGCGGCTGGTTTGCAAAGGAACTGACTGGTGTAGTGTTCCTCATCGGCTACGTCCTAGTAACTGGCAGTGGTATCATTGGAGTGTCAACGGCACTGAACGCCCTTTCGCACCACGCCGCATGCACCGTCTGGTGGTCTTTGATTGCGGCAGTTGTGATCGTTGCGACGGCTTCGGTCCGCAAGCTCCAGCATGTGGGCTGGCTCACATATGCAGGATTCATCTCGATCTATGCAGCCGTTCTGATCGTTGTCATTGGAGTCACCACCCGAGACCGGCCAGCCGCCGCTCCCCAAGAAGGCCCTTACGATCTTGGTTACCTTGCGATCAACAACCCCGGATTCGCTGCCGGCATGGTTGCCTCCAGCACTATCTTCGTCTCTTCGGCTGGTACCAGCGCCTTCATCCCGGTGATGTCGGAGATGCGGAACCCGAAGGACTACAAGAAGTCGCTTTATCTCTGTATGAGCTTAGTCACTGCCTCGTACCTTGCTTTCAGTCTGGTTGTTTACCGCTGGTGTGGACAATGGGTGGCCAGCCCGTCCTTGGGTGTATGTATTTTCCGCCTCTGTCGCTATCACATTAGATGTTATCAGCTAACGATTCTTGTGTATAGAGCGCCGGACAGACGATCAAGATGGTTTCTTATGGTGTTGCACTGCTAGGCCTGATCATCAGCGCTACAATCTACCTACATGTGAGATTCTCACATTCAAATCTAAATTGGCCACGCTGACTCTTTTTCCTTCTAGATTGCGGCCAAGTACGTCTTTGTGCGTATCTTAGGTAACACTCGCCACCTGCAAAGCAACACGGTGGTTCACTGGGCTACCTGGATGAGCTGCACGATTGTCCTCGGAGCCATTTCCTTCATCCTCGCTGAGGCCATTCCTATTTTCAACTATTTGGTTGCCCTTGTTGGCTCCGTTTGCTTTGCTCCTCTGGCCATGTGCCTTCCCGGATTCCTGTGGCTGTACAGCAACAGCCACTACAGGAAAGGTACCTTCGTGCAGAAAATCATTTACATGTTGCACTGGGGGATGGTCCTGTTGGGTCTCTTCTTCCTCGTCGGCGCCACATATGGTGTCATCATTGAAATCATTGATGCTTACGCTACAGGAACTATTGGTATGGTTTTTTCCGCCTCCAAACACCGAAATTCTGAATTAACAATTCTTCTAGGCTCCGCTTTCAGCTGTGCTGATAACTCGAACTCGTCTTAGACACGAGTCCTTCGAGAATATTTTGTTTGGTCGAGCTGCTAAGGAATCAGTTCCCAGCGGAAGGATACATTCCCAACTCTAGGAGTGGGCTGTACAATGTGTGCCCTGGTGGTTTTAATGAGTTATACATATGTAATGGGTTATCATAATGAGTGGTCATAGAATTTCACCAATTTTCTGTCTACAAGCCACGTCAGATCCACCACGGGTCCTTATTAAGGCCCGAGCCAACAGTAGTACCCACTTGGGGACCCCGGACAGTGTTCCCCGATCCCAGCCTAGACTGGATTAGGTATAATTCCATGCAACATGCTGCCACAGGCGCAAAATCCACAGTCATTCCTCCCACCTCTCATAATTTTCTTCAGGAATCTGCAGGAATCTGCAGGGCATATTCTTACACACCCCTGCTCCCGTTGCGACTCCCGGGAATTTGGCGCCTGCATATTACACATAAGATGCCTCGTCACGCAAACAATAAGACTCCACAAACTAGCGCGCGTCCGGACTTGATTGGATTCTGGCATCCCGTGTGGATCCATCCACCCGTGTTCGCCCTAGCCTGTTCATTGTTGGAACACCCGAGCGAACTTGAATTTGATCTCGGCGGTGGAGACGGATAACTAGTGGTTTATGCTTGGCGGCCTCGTGTACACAGATGGCGCTGTGGAGGCTCTCTTTCAGGTATGGTCTACATTTAAGTTGGACAAATGAGGAGTGTTCACTAAGTCACTCGCTGAGTACGCACTGAACGTGCCCGAGTAGTCCCGGAGCACACTTAGCACTGAGCATAGTATTGAATCTGAGCCCGTGCTGAAATTTACACAGTGATCCTGAGCCTGAGCGCCCTCACAAAAGCGGCGGCGGTCTAGGTATGAAGGCTCCACTGGCAGACATTGTCCTGTTAATGAGAATTAATAACTGTACACTGGTTCTGATAATTGTACACTGGTTTTACTATTTGTACATACCAGGAAAAGGCCATGCCCTTTTGAAAAATGGCCACATGTAAAACCGTCATGGCCTCATCTTCTCTCTGCCTACAATGTCGATGTATCACTGGATTCTCGAGGTTTTTGTTTTAATTTCTGAGGTCTTCTAGAAAAGGCTAACATGCAGCTTATTTGCTGTCCTAATCTACCTTCTAGCCCGTTTTCCACCTCGCTTTCTGCCCTGATTTCCCTGATTCTGCTCTTACGACCCTTCGAGGCTTGCTTCTTGTTGTGAGTCAATAATTCCAAGCGGGACAGTTCACGACCAGATGACGCCTCTAGAGCATCTTGCGACATAATATGTGCCTGCTGAGAAGCCTGAGTAGGTTGTCCTCGACCACGGTGTATAATAGGAGGTTTCTGGACATTTAACCGCGGGTTAAGTGGCAGATTCTGAGTCCTCGATCAATTTCTGGACTCGGGTCCCATCCGGGTTAAAGTTGATGAGGTCAAAATAGTACTTCTGGATAGCCAGGATCATTCTTAATGAGGCGGGTTTGGCGAGGCATCTGAAAAGAGGAAGATAAGGTGGGTGGTGAATAAGATGGGTGGGTGGATGGGAAGGAAATTAAAACAAACCCCCCGAGAATCCAGTGATACATTAAAATGGAAGGCAGACGAAAGATGAAACCATAACTGTTTTGCATGTGGCCATAATTCAAAAGGGCATGGTGTTTTCCTGGTGTGTACAAGTAGTAAAACCAGTGTATAATTATCAACTCTCCTGTTTATATAGGCGCATATATAGACATCAGTCACCAATGTGCGTAGTGTATCATATATGCGGCGACCTGGAGCTGCTCAGCAAACAAGGCTGGACTTCCCACATGGCGCTCAGGTGACTTTTCAAAGGCCTGGGTCGAGGCTTCATTTAGTAAAGTACCGAGAGGTTCAAGTTGAACGTGAGATTTCATTGCATTTTAGCTTATAGCTAGGTATTCCTAAAGCTTGTGATCGAAAAAAGCCTTCACGCTAGGAAAGTACTTTGATTCTATTAATAATGTGGACTGGTCAAACCTAATGGCATGCATATGAACAGATCTCGGCTTTTCGTTCCCAGTAAATTTGAACCTAAACTTAGAGCCGATAAAAATAGTTAAACTCCTCAAAACATGAACATACTGAGATTCTCTATTGCCCGGTATAATCTAGCTGGGGGCCTGATCTATACATGCAGGAGCGGGGCAGTCCTTCATGCTCCGCGTTCAGATTTTACATACATATAGCCTTCAAACTCGGACCATAGAGTCATATCAGTCCTTCTCACAAAATAAGGAAGAGTCTGCAACGAAGCTATGGTAGATGTCGCCAAATATGCTCCTTTTAAAGCCATCTCGATTGGAGCAACTATGATGCCCACTTTTTGCGGATCACCCGCTCACCCGCGCCCGAGCCCATGCCCGCGCCCCGGCTTATGGAGAATAATTCGAGATGAAAACAGAGGCAGAAAATAAAGTTCATTGAGAATGACCCGGAAGAGCCCACAAGTCATGTGTACACGCGAATAATGACTATGCTATCTTCTAAAAAAAAAAAAAAAAAAAGCACTATCTCTAGCGTCTCCGCCCGCGACCCCCGGGGCCGTGAGCAGTGATGGTGGGGTTAATCCATCTCCCTTGCCCACCACCCCTGAAGACTCCTTTGTTCAAACTTTTCTTGGTTCGCAATATTTTATACCGAGCTCCCAGGTCCCCGCGCATGATCTCTTCAAAGCCACCGTAATCGCGATCTGAAGTTGGATCTACCATGGCAGAAACAGAGACAGTGACAGCGGACACGCTGGTATGTACTGTGTGTTTCCTTTTTGCTTTCGTAGTATTCCAGGGAAGCTAATCATAAAACGATCTAATAGCGCAGCCACTGGAAAACCCTCACTATCAAGCCGGAGGCTTTTGATAATTGCTACAAGCACCCCGTCAACTATCTCCTGAAGGAAAATTACGAGAGGGTTTTGTATTGCTTTGAATGCGATAGAATTGAGTTTCATGATGAGAGAGGGAAAGTTATCTGGTCTACTGTTGGGTCGGGTATAATGGATCCCTTTCCGGTTGATGTTCAGGTCTTCATAGTTAATGGGAAGATACGGTTAAGGGATAAGATTTGAGAGCATGGGGGTGAGTTTTGCAAGATGAGGATCTTGAAAATACTCAATGTATCTGTATGTTTTTGCCTATCAATGTGATCACGAACCCACGTGTCTTAAGCCATGACCCATTATCAAGAGCTCCACTTAGAAGACTCGACAGCCAAGCAATTTAACTGCGAGTACTTAGCAGTTCATCGATCCCAAGAATTACGGTAATCGAGTAAATGAAGAACATGGGATCAATTATCAATGGTGTTCATTGGGAGACCGGCTCAGATATAGTTAAATGAAAAAAAAAAAAAAGCTCAGAAAGACCTCATTTACTCTGTCGAGCAAGGAGCCCTTTCAAGGCTGCCGTTTCCCCTTCTAGCTTCGAGACCTTGAGTCTCAGCTCATCGCGTTCCTTCCTCATAAGTTCCAGTTCATTCTCAAGATTCTTCGTTTGATCAACGCGCCGCTGCCGACATCTCCGAGCCGCAAGTGTATTGAGTCTGCGTTTTTCCACACGAGACGACTCAACACGACCTAGGACGCTTTCAGTCTGCGATGATGCAGGGCTAGACTGAGATGTCGTAACGGAGCCCACAACCTGAGAAGCAGGAGAAGTATGCGAATGCCCGTCTAATTCAAAGTTAGAATCCGCATCCATATAGGAGCTAGCTATCGGAGGGACACACCTTGGGAATTCGCCGAATTGGTAACAAATGAGGAAGTAGCCAGAGCCAGAGACTCGATGGATCCTGAATCTGAAAGGGAAGGGTAGGCCGAAGCCACCCCGTAACCTGGATCGTTGAGAGCCATATTGAACCCGTCAACCGCAGGATAAGGTGTCGCATTTTGAAGGAAGTTCCAGTCGGTATTGGCAAAGGACAGTTCTGATGTCCAAAGATCCGGCTCTTGAGCAAGGGAATCAAAGGATTGGAGTGATGTCGCCGAGGGAAAACATCCCGTCGGCTCCAAGGAATTAAAGGATTGTTGAAATTGAAAGTCGTGAGAATTAAACAATGGAGGGAACCCCGAAAGCACCGACCCCTGGGGACTGGGTTGAGGGCCGGAGCTGGCTGGGTTGCCAGAATAAGATCGCCTGGAAAACGGCTGCGGAGCTGGAGCAAGCGCAGGCCGCCATGATGAGATAGTTTAAGCGGGCCGAAGCGGGCCCGTGGCGCGGTTGTCTGGGATAAAAGAAAAGAAAGTCCGATGGGACTCGCGGGAATCGTACTCGGTCAGGAAGGCCGAGGAGTGGTGTCCTGAGGAAGAAATAAAAATGAGATGAGGAGGGATTGATATACTCGGGGGTGGATTGACGCCTAGGCCGCCTAAAGGTTCCACTGGCCGAAGGCGATTGGCTGTAATTGCTTCGCCCCCTCAAGACTCACTATGACTCATTTTAGTGCGTCTCCCATTGACCAATGAGCATGGCAGAATTTTAGTGAGCTAACCCTATCTGAGATCTAAAGATACAACCCTATGATAAGCTGGGGAATTCGGCAGAGATGGATCGTTCAGCGCAGCATATTGCTTGAAATAGACTGGTTTGTGGGGTCTTTCGCAGCTCTAAACCCAGTGATCTGCTGCTCTATGGAATTTTGAAAGACTGAAGAACTAATCTCGATTTCTTCAACCTTGCAAGGGGCTGGAAATATTAACCTAGTGCAGATACCAGATTACAGCCGTGGCGCCACTCAGTACCAAAGTGCTACCTAGTGGCGTGCTTGTACGCTAGCGTCAATGAATCTGGATATAATCGAGTGAAAGTCACCACGTTAACCCTAAGCCCCCGCATAGTCGAGTGATAAGAGCATTCTTATCAGCAAGCACACCTTAGGAATGTGAATTTAGCCGAATGGTTCCGATAACTGCAATCATTAGTTTAGCGCTGAAGATTGTACATAAGAAATTGTCTCATAGTAAATAAGCTACACTATCACTGACTAATCCCTAATGTAACGAATGCAGTCAAGACGAGCATTCCGAGTTCTTTTACATATGTTTCATGTTTCACATCTAGTGTGACTTCTCTGCACAATATAGAGGAAGACAACCACACTCTGCTAGGTAAATCAAATCACCGAGACTGCTCCATTTAAACAGCGATACTTCTGATAAGTACGTCTCCCACATATTGATCAGCCTAGTCAGTGTTATCAATTCAGGATTTCCTATAGTCATTACAGGAATAGACATTTATGAGTCGGCACCCTCACGTCTATCAGAATCCCCGAGGTCCTAGCGGTGACTCCCGGGATCTGAAGAGTAAGAGTTTTCACATTTTTGTCAGAAGTATCGTGCATCAGTATTCTTCACTAACGCTTAGGCATCTCATGACTGTTTGGACTAGGACTGTAGTAAGGGAAAACACATAACAGCTTCAAAACCAAGCAAATTTGGCGCCCAATTTACCCTTGTCTAGTGTTGTGGTGTACTCGAATGTCAGCTCCTTTGCGATGCAATCGATCTTTCAGCACGAAAGCCATGTTCATATTCTATGCCATAAGACTCCATAATCGCATCAATTCTTTCAGAACATATGAACAGCCTTGGATATATTTCCAAGGTTTTTGTATAGTAGTATGCAGCCTCTGGATCAGGTCAACTTCAGGGCTCTAATCTTGAAAGTTCAACTGGACTAGTTCTTCATGATTTTCACCAGGTGATTCTAATGTTCATTTAGTGTAGTATGTCTGAATAGAGACAGTCACTTTGGTTTGGTTCGCGCTTAGCTATGTGCTGAGTCATCATAAAAGCTCCGCGAAAAAAGTAAAGGGGTTAGTGAATGGAATTGTCTAAGCTACTAGAATTATTTAGCTCTCCAGACCGATCTCATGGTACTAAGCCAGCTCGTCAGGTTGACGGCCTTTAGATGCGTGACCCGATTGCGGGCCCGTAGCACAACCCCGCGGGTCCAATCGATGACACAGATCCGTGCCCCTCCTCGAATTTCTTTTCTTCCATCTCCCTCACGCGCATTCACCATGGCGACCGCAGCAGCCCCCGAATCCTCCCTCCTGTCACTCCTCTACCGCTCGTATCCTACCGCCATCTCTCCCGATGCCACCGAGCTAGATTACTTCCATGCCTCGCCCAAGATTTTCCCCCAGGTCACCTTCAGCGAGGCCGAGGAGGCCGACATCAAGCAGTGGCTGCACACCGTCTCTGGCTTGACCGCTGCCACCGCCAGCAACGACAAGTCTGTCATTGATGCCATTCTGGTTCAGCTGAATACCCACCTCGCCACCCGCACCACTCTGCTCGGTGCGAAGCCCTCGGTCGCTGATATTGCCGTGTACGCTATTATTGCTCCCATCGTCGAGAAGTGGACCTCTGAGGAGCGCACAGGCGAGAAGGGATACCACCACATTGTGCGTCATGTCGACTTTGTGCAGAACTCGCGCCTTTTTGCGCTGCAGATCCCAAGCGAGGAGAAGGTCGCTATCGACTTGAACGACGTTAAGTTCGTGCCCAAGCCCGTCGACCCCAAGGAGGAAAAGGAGCGTAAGAAGAAGGAGAAGGCTGCTCAGCAAGGCGCCGGCGCCGAGGCCCAGAAGCCCCTTGTTGTTGGTCAGGGTAAGCCCGAGAAGGCTGCCAAGGCTGATGCTGCCGCCGGCGATGCTGCTACCGCTGCCGCCGCCGCCGGCCACAAGACTGGCAAGAAGGAGAAGAAGGAGAAGAAGGAAAAGGCTCCTAAGCCTGCTCCAGCTGCCGCTGCCCCTCCCTCCCCCTCCATCATCGATCTGCGTGTCGGCCACATTTTGCGCGCCATTAACCACCCCAATGCCGACTCTCTCTTCGTTTCCACTATCGACTGTGGTGACGCCCCTGGCTCCGATAACACCTCTTTGGATGAGGAGACCGGAAAGACTGTCCGGACAGTCTGCTCTGGTCTGAACGGTCTCATCCCCCTGGAGGAGATGCAAAACCGCAAGATTGTTGCCGTCTGCAACTTGAAGCCCGTCACCATGCGTGGCATTAAGTCCGCTGCCATGGTTCTGGCTGCCTCTCCCCGTGTTGCAGAGGGCGAGGACTCCCACGCCGGTCCTGTCGAGCTTGTCATTCCTCCTGCTGACGCTCCTGCTGGTGAGCGCATTAGCTTCCAGGGCTGGGCCGAGGGCGAGCCTGAGAAGCAGCTTAACCCCAAGAAGAAGATCTGGGAGACTTTCCAGCCTGGCTTCGGTACCAACGATGACCTCGAGGTTGTCTTTGACAGCAACGCCGTCCCCGCTGTTAAGGGTCAGGAGGGTAAGCCTGCCGTCGGCAAGCTGGTTACCGCCTCGGGCGTTATCTGCACTGTCAAGACTCTTAAGGGTGCTACTGTGCGGTAAAAAAGTATATCTCTTATTGGACGGCGAATCTATCAAAATAAATAGCCATTAAATGCATACCCACGAGAAGACGACAAGAAAATAGCAAAATTTACAATGACTTTTCTGTGTCTATATCAAATGATCCATAATCCTGCACATGGTATCTATGTACAGTATTTGCCCGCAAATCATGCCAAGCGTTCTAGATTGCATTCAAATCTACGCATCTAAAATAGAGTCAGATTGTGCCTTCGCTGTGTTCATGGACCACGATTTAGGCGCCCGAGGCTTATAGTGAAACTTAGACTCTGTGGGGCTCGCGGGATGCATTGACGCTTGGCCATTCACAACACGGATACAATATGATCACCATGGTATGACCAGGGTCTGCTCCCTGGCGCTTAACTCATAGTCTCAAGGCCCAAGCACACTGCTGGCCCACAGCTAAAGCGGAGAAAACAGTTATATGCCAAATTTCCCTATAACGTTTCCAAAATACTTCTCCTACTGGTTCCGCCTCGACCTGTGAACAGCATGAACCTCAAAAGGCATGGGAAAAACGAAATTAATTCAATTTCCTCGGTTTCTTCTCATGCAGCCGGGGCAATAAACCCCCAAAAATCTGGCTGGCGACCTATCTATCTACGAAAATGGGTTTTGATTTTGTTCGTGATAACTTTCTGCGCAATTATCGCCGTCCTCGAAGTCCTCAACTACGTATCCTCTGCCAATCAGGGTCTCGCATCCTCCGTTGAAAGCCGCCACTACCTCTGGACCTACGGACCAACCGCTATTCTCACTGTTATTGCTGCACTATGGGCACGCGTGGAATTTCAAGCAAAACAAAGCGCGCCATGGCAAGCGATGTTCGAAAAGCCAGAAGAGCCTGAAAAGAGTGTGCTCCTCGACTACATCTCTGGGATGCAACCCGTTGCACTGGTCAGTGCTATGGGAAACAAGCACTATGTTGTTGCTGCTGGAATTGCCTGCTCCCTTCTCTTGCGACTTCTCATCATTGTCTCCACTTCCTTGTTCAGCTTAGAAGAGGTGCAAGTGTCGAAAAGCAATGTTCCGATCCTGCTTCAAGGCAATTTCAGCACGCTCAGTGTCTCTGATTTTTCCAACGCCGTTTACAATCCATTCAACGTCATCAATGGCATTCTCTTCGCAGATGTTTCCTATATGGACGGTACCACTGCGAATCTCACTTTTCCAACCTTTTCTGCTCCGACCATTTCCAACGATTCCGTCATTATGGCAAACATTACTGGCCTCGTTTCCAATCTAGACTGTGAGTCTGCTCATCTCGATATAAATCTTTGGCAATTGCAGACGGTTTGGGTCGGGTCCAAGTCTCCCGGGGGCACTGTTCAGGTGGAAGATAATGTACTTTCGTCCTCAACGTGCGATATATCCAATGTGTCCATTTCGATTCCATCTAATCAGGAGACTGGTGCCCAGGTCACTTCAAAAACCCCTTTTGCCGCACGGCTCAAGTCTGGGAAATGCAGCAACAGCGATGATCTGAATGAAAATCGCGTTATAATGATAGCTGTGGAAGCTCATTTGGGTAATTCTACTGAATCGCCATACGGCAATTTCACAGCTGATGGAATTGATTTTTATGGAAATTCTGATTGGCATAGAACAACGGTTAATATCACTGCCAAGCGTGTAGTGGCGGCTATCTGCAAGCCGACTTTCTCAATTCTCAGGATGATGGCAACGACTAATACAACCGATAAGTCGTCGACTACCCATCTTGAGGTGACTGGTATTGAGCGAACGGACTTACCGCACTTGACAGCGTGGCAAGTTGCGAAAAACATTTTGGAAGAGTCTGTTGACATCGATATCTACCAGCCGATTGTTGATTCAGATCAATTCCGAGCTACAAATAAGACGCTGGTAGACGTTGACTACTCCATACAACTAGGTGCCAAGTTTATCGGAGAAACTGGAAGCATCGATAATTTGCTCAAAGATGGAGTTCTTTCGAATGCCGCTTCGACATATTATCGTGCAATGGGTGCTCAGTTGGTTCACCAGGGGCTTATATCACAGTCGCAGTCGGCTTCTCTTGGCTCGGCAGTTGTTAGTGAGAATCGAGTCATCATGGCCCAGGTGCCACTCCGCGCCATGGAAGCTTGTTTAACTCTAATAACCATGTTCGCAATAACGATGGTTGTCTTGGTCACTACTGCGCAGCTGTCACCTTTCAACCCAACCTCTATCGCTGCCGTCGCTGCAATATTGTCGAACAGCAAAGTGCTTCGGGAATCTCTCTGTGGGAGCAGTGCTACGCGTTTGAAACGTCTCTCTCAAATTCTACAGAGGCGGCGCTATTATACGGAGCGTACACCAGAAGGGTTCTGTATCGCTGCCGTGGGCGATGAGACTAAAAGTCACATCGAATACAACGACACTAAACTTAAACCTCAGAAACCACAGTGGAGCCCACTTCCAAATAAGATGTTTCGTGTGATCATTTTTATTGTGGTGACATTGTTAATAGTCGCTTTGGAGACTCTTTTGTACTTTTCTCAATCCAACGACGGACTTGGAGATGTCCCTTCAAATGATGAAACCATTCACTACCTGTGGACCATGATTCCAGCACTGGTTATGGTCATAATTGGCCTTCTTTTTGGAAGTATGGACTTCAACACCAGGTGTCTGGCACCATACGTTAGCTTGAAGCACGAGACCGGTGCATCTTCACAGTTTATGGCTATGGATTTTCTTGACTCATTAAGCACAACCACCATCGTCAAGTCCGTTCGAATGAAGCATTTCGCCGTCTTGGCTGCAACACTGGCTACGCTCATCACCTCTTTCTTGACCATCGTCACGAGTGGTCTCTATACAGCAGTCAACGTACCGGGAAAGATCACAATGGACTTCACCCAAGAGACAAGCTTCCAAGGAGCCTCCTCTGGTGACTACGAGACTGGTGTCTTGACAGCAGAATATATCCTCCAAGATAATCTCGCTTATCCGAGATGGACATATAAAGAGCTCGCCTTTCCCAAACTATCTATGAACACAACCACCAATAGGAATTTATCGGACTCGTTCGTCGATATCCTCGTCCCCGCAATGAGAGGAACCGTCGCCTGCAAGCTCCAAACAGGAGACGAACTAAACGCAACATTCAGCTCAAGTGAAATGACAATCACCTACGACATCTTAAATGAGCCATGCAGTTTCAACAGCACATCTTGGACAAAACAAACCCTGACTTTCGACCTAGAGCCCCACACTCTCTTTGGTCGTTCGGTGCCCAACACGTGCGTTGGTGACCAAGCTAGTGGCACGGTCAAGGTTAGTGCTTCAAGCATTGCCACTATGTCCTATATATGGGGTACAATGCAAAATGACTCTTTTAAACACATCGCGGCTTTGACATGTCAAGAATCAGCAGAGATAGTGGATACACAAACACGGTTCATTCTTCCTGATTTTGATATCTCGGAGACCAATCCACCCGTTCCAGATGAATCGACTGCACGAACAGCAAAGAATTACACGACTAGTGATGCATGGGGTACTATGTCACAGAGCGATCCTGGTGTAATGTTCGATTCTTTCTTCCAATCGCTTATTTTTGGAAAATATGCCATTCCGGAAGAATGGGTTGGCAGCAAGGCGTATAATCAGAAGGTCATCGATGCCATTAAATTTCAGAACATTTTTATGAGAGCGCAAGTTTTCAATACGTTCAATCGAGAGACGGTGGATGGGTCTGGTGTTTCGCCTCTGGCAGGGAATGTTACAACGTCCGGACAGCGGCGCTTGTTTCAGGATGTTGTTTCGACACGGGTTCTGGACATTTTACTTGGCCTGTTACTCCTTTTGGGGATTTCTGGTTCTGTGCTGATGAATACCGATCATGTTCTTCCAAAAAATCCATGCAGCATTGCTGCTGTGGCTAGTCTTTTGGCGGATTCGAATTTCTTGCATCGGTTTGGTGCAGATGTGGATCCGAATGATAAAGGGATTGAGAAGCTTTTTTCGAATTGTCGGTTTTTTCTTGGGTTGTGCTATGATGGACCTTTGAGGGGGTCTAATGATGATCGATTTACTGTTTATCTTACGGACTATGGGATTGAGAAGGATCTTCCTTTGGCTCCCGAGGAGATGATATAACGACTGATGATTTGAATATACCGCTAATAGACAAACCAATACACCCTTTCCAAATTTATAAACGAACATTGCACAGGATGCATAATTGCTTGTTATCAATTCTGACGTATTTTTGATTCTTAGATCATTGGCTTTTAGCAGCTTGTAGACAATCTAATCCTGGAGCGAATCCTTATCTAGATCTAAAGCATTGTCTATAAACAGTGAACAATTGTTGTATAAATATGGAATTACCCACGAAATAACGAGTATTCTATATCGGTCTCAGTCCTTCACATCTATGACTATTCTCATGAAGAAGGGTATGCGATTCCCAATGACGGGCCACGCTGATCAAAAACCACATAAAACGCCTTTAGGAAGATGTCACCAAAGATCTGAAAGTCCGACCCTGCACTGGACTGTACACCACCATAGCAGACTACTGTAGCGGTTAGTAAATTTACACCCAAGACTTGGACAAAATAGAAACTCACTAGTTTTACCCGTGGTCGTATTAGTTCCCACCTGTTCATAGCCTAAGGCCGATCCAGGTATGGTGGCGTTCATATCATGCCCAATTCCAATGGTCAAATCGGGCAAATCCGTATCACAAGGATAAACATAGCCACCAACACTATTCAAATATCCAGAGCCATTGACTGCCGAATAAAAAAGTGAGACGATATCTGGAGTAACCAGCATCAATGTGGTGCCAGTATCACATATAGCAGTGCTGTTACTTCCGACCGTGGTGCTTCCATTAGAGTTCACGCCATATCCTGTCGTGTTGAACTGCCAGAATCCGTTTGAAGAGTCGACGCTGATGTTTCTCATCTTGCCTGTATATAGACTGTGGTCGATGGTGCCAAATTCGTATAAGCCGCCTTCACTGCGCAGGAGAGAGGTGAAGACCGGTAGTTCGAGGTCTGGGGCAATATTGTCGAAAAAGGTCTTTTGGGGCCCTGGATCGAAGCTGTTGATAGAGGAAAAGCTGAGTCCGACCATGCCGTTGGAATACGTGTCCGAAATGAATGAACTGGATACTTTGGTTGGGAGACCGAAGACTTGATTCTTAACTTCTGCGCCACCGATGCTGACTGTGTCTTTGGCTAGAGAGCCAGATGCGTATGATAAGTCTCCGTATGCAATCTTGAATTCACCAGTCACATTTTTGTAGGTGCTGGATTCTGAGGCATTGTAGAGGGTGTGACCCTCTGTCATAGAGGATGGGAGTTCGGTATTCATCACCCACCTTAAACAATGGCACAGTACGCATTAGTGTCATTTCTCAAATAACGGCGTAGAGATGGATAAGAATGACTTACATATCTGCTGATCCAGTATCGAAGTCCATGGTGATATTCTGGCCCCCGATGAGGACGGGCGATACATACTCCGAACCTCCCTTCACTGACGTCGCACTAACAGTTCCCTCCTCAGCCGTATCTGCAGTGGTGCTCGGACTGGCAGGAGAGGCACAATCGCTGATTACCAAGGTGCTCTTACTGCTCGCAGTGAAGAATGGCTCGAAATCGTGCTGATCTCCGCCTTCCATGGGATAAGCTGTAATACCGAATTTGTTGTATGCTTTACTTAAAGCACCGGGTGAATTGCGGACATAGTCGTTATGCTTGATTCTTTCAACCCGGAACGATCTCTTCTTGTGACCAGCCGCAGTAGATCGATGTTGAAATGGGGCAGCGAGAACATTGTAGCCCAATGAAGTAAAAAGTACAAGAGAAAAAAGGAGATTCATGCTGTCCAGTTTACCCGATACTAGCGTGATGAAGCAAGACTTGACAGAATAATCGGCGCTGTATACCTCCAGGGCTTCTATAATGGCAAGTTGTTTCACTTGATTGGTCTGAAACGAGTGAGATCAATGCAACAATGCAACGAGAAAGAGACAAGGCACAGCCTGGACTCGTAGGTACCTGTACCAGCAGGCAAAGAAATGACAAAAGAGATCGAAAAGTGAAAGAAAGGCTCAACCAGAGCAAACTAAAGAGTGAGAAAGCTCTAACTATGAACCAGAAAAAGCATCCGAAAATCCCGGGGCATAACAGCAGATCTATAACGGCCACGAAGAAACTATGAAACGCACAAGACAAAACCCAGCCGCCATGGACCACAGCGCACAAAGAAAACAAAAAGGAAAAAAAAAAAAAAAAAAAAATTACAATTGTACGTCGCCCAGACCACATCACTGTTTCCAATGCTCAAGCCATCTTCTTCCGTCGGCCCTATCAGAGTCGTCGCCACAGAGCAATGACCTGGCCAGACTCGGCATATGTTATGGTTGAGCTGTCACAGTGGGCCACTAGCGGTGAGCTTCCTGAATAGGGTAGGCATTCACTCCTGACAGGTCATTTGTCTCTAACTTGGCCACGTATTATGTCGGTGGAGCGCCCTCTAGCGCGTCAGTTTGGGCGTGTATGGGGCTTTATATATGGTTGGGTCTGTTGTGGGACTTTGAAACGCTGCTTGCGCGTGTTTGGGCAGGTGCCCGGGCCAATCACCGTGTCGGCGAGCCCCGAGCCTCCGGTACCCGGACCTTCCAGATGCCCCCTTGAAACAAGATCGAGTTGTGGAAACTTTAATCTGTTTTCTTTGATTTTGTGTCATAAATCCGAAGTCCGACTTCTTAAGGGGTTTGTGGTCAATGGGTGCGATGATGAGGGAATAGAGTGTGGCCGTGATCGACATTGCATCTTTATGTTGACACCAATTCTGTCTGTATAGTATGTGAGAGGTAATATTGTCCACACATTATTTCCATCTCTATTATTGAGTTCAACAAAGAACTGGACTCGCAGGCCCATGCGTATAAGACTGGCCAACGCCCGCTCAAGACTTGGCGCCATGAGTTCTAAAATAGTCAACAGGAAGGAGTGAAAACAGATAGAATAATACCAAGACTTTTAAATTATGACATACCCGAGGAAAGGGGTCCTTATGTGCCAAGGCTCACGGGTGTCCATATTTCTCTAACAGGGTCAACTCCACGGCACTTTTGCCAGCTGATGCCCAGTGCACGCTGAAAGCTGGAAATCCTTGCGAACCTAGAAAAACCCTGCAATCACCGTTTATTAAGTTCAGCGGACGAATGCTACTTCAGGCTACTGTAATCTGTCATCTGGCACCTGGAATATCCACAAAGGCGTGCCAATGTTTATGATATGTACCTACTGCGGGAGCCGGGTACGAATCGAGAAACACTGCCGCTTTTTGTGAAAATTCCCCTATAGTAAATTGACATATTCTAAGCAGTCCCACTGGAAAACGTTTCGGGTGTTTTTGATTTCTCTCTCACAAAACTCCAATTCTCGGACAGAACTGTGTAGGAAAACATGCATGGTGAACTTCAATCTGCTATGCGGTAATATCCATGATCTTGGAAATTGTGAACAAAGAAGCTATGTTCAATTATGCAGTCGTGCACAAGAACTTGAGAATATACTGTAGGATTCTCTGGGTATATTGGGCCAAACTCCGCGAAACCAAATACTACATCGAGGAATATATGCCCTTGTCAACCAAATCAAGTAACTCCAACCATAGGTAGGATCGACAAATAAGTGCTAAAAGTTGCTCTTTGTGGTGCAGCAACTGAATGCAGGATTTCGATCCCTCTTCGGTTAAACCCCGCAGAACTTCTCCGCAGATTCACATCACGATGGGCTTCTTCAGCTTCAATGTGGGGAAATGACGCACTTTCCAAGTAATCCCAGCAGGGTCCAACAGTCATCTCAAGATTCAAGGATGGGTTTAAATTTTTGATTACGCTGGCTTTTAATCCGAGTTTTGTATTTCAAATCTATACATCATGCCATCCATAATTCCACTCACGGTGCTGTGGATACTGGCCATCCAGGTCCTCGGCAAGGCAGTGAATAGGTCTGCCCTCCTACAAATTCCCAATAAACCGCGAGTCTTCATTTTATCAGACATCTCCAATGAGCCCGATGACCAGGAATCATTGACTAGATATCTGCTATATTCCAATCAATTCAAGACAGAGGGTATTTGTGCTGTGACCTCGACTTGGCTTCAAGATGAAGTTCACCCAGAAGCTATGCTGGCTGTTATTGATGCTTATGGAAATGTAACGCATAATCTTAATCAACATGCTCCCCTTGATGCACCCTATCCATCTGGTGCGCACATGCGCAGTCTGGTACGGAAAGGTGCCGCTGTGAGTCAATACTTCCTTCACCAACGGTCCATATCTAACAATTCTATAAGACATACGGCATGAAAGCAGTTGGCAAGGATATCCCCCTCAGCGACGGAGGCAAGCTCCTCTACAACCGCCTCCAAGATAAAACCGATGAACCACTCTGGGTCCTCGCCTGGGGCGGCACAAACGTCCTAGCCCAAGTCCTCTACGAAATCCACAACGAATTCTCCGCGACAGACGCAAAATCCATAAGATCCAAACTCCGTGTCTACGCAGTCTCCGACCAAGACGACACAGGCGCCTGGATCCGCCAACAATACCCGGACATCTTCTACATCTCTTCTACGCACGGCTGGAACCAATACGGTCTAGCCGCATGGACCGGTATATCAGGAGACAAATACTATGACAAAGGCGGACCCGACTTCTCAAAAGTAACGCACGACTGGCTTCGCGACAATATCCAGATCGGATCGTACGGCAAGACGGCGTACCCGAATTATGAGTATATCATGGAAGGCGATACTCCCACCTTCTTGTATCTCATTCAGAATGGTCTTGGTGTTCGCGAGCATCCGGACTATGGGTCTTGGGGTGGGCGGTATATGAAAGTCACGCCGTCGACTGTGCTGGATTTCAATCATTATGCTGATGCGGCTGATCGCGTTGTTGGAGCTAATAATAAGACGTTTGTCTCTAACCAGGCGACTATCTGGAGATGGAGGAATGCTTTTCAGAATGATTTTGCGGCGAGGATGCAGTGGTCTTTACCGGTAAATGTTAGTAGGGCAAATCACCAACCGGTTATCTCGATTAATGGGAGTGTGGGTCTTGAGCCTTTGAGGATTAGGGCTGAGGTTGGGTCGATTGTGAATTTGGATGCGGCGGCGACAATGGATCCGGATGGAGATGTGTTGGCCTTTCGGTGGTTTCAATATAAGGAGCCTGGATCGGATGATTGGAATGTTGCGGGTCAGGTTCCTGAGCTGAATTTCACGGTGTCACACGGAGGTAGGAGGGCGCAGGTGCAGATCCCTGATGAGAAGTTGAGCTGTGATGGAGAGGGTTTCAATCCGTCTGGATGTTGGTTGCTTCATTTTATTCTAGAGGTGACAGATGATGGTTATCATCCATTGACGAGCTACAGGCGGGTGTTATTGCAGACAACTAATGCTACTATGTCGGCTTGAGAATGCATGTCTATGTCAGCCAGATAATACGAATGAATGCATCATTGAAGAAAAGTGCTTGTATGCTCGTAGGGTCGTTTAATCCATGGTATCAAATCAAAGTTCTATATCCAAACGCCACAGATGGTATCCATCCATCAACACCAGATGCACGCTAGAATGAAAGCAATCAACCTCCGCCTCAACCCACTATATCCTCTGGAAGGACATCATCCGGGTTCTCCCCAACAGCTTCGCCAACGGCACGAACAACCCGCTTGATAGCCTTAGATGCAGGACTATCAGGGAAGTTTTCCACGAAACTCTCGCCATAGTCACACGCCATACCGACACGAGGGTCCAGAGGCACAGCGCCCAAAAATGGAATACCCATCTTCTTTGCTAATCGGCGTCCTCCACCCGTCGTGGCGCGGAAAATCTGCGACTCGTGCGTACAGCTGGGACACACAAACCCAGACATATTCTCAACTAGACCCAGGATGCGAATTCCTGCTTTGCGACAAAAGTCAATTTCTTTGCGCACGTCCAGCAAAGAGACCTCTTGTGGGGTAGTCACGACGACTGCACCATCGACTCCGGATTCTTTCAGCAGGGAGTTGACCGACAGATGTTCGTCCGAGGTTCCAGGAGGGGTATCAACGATAAGATAGTCCAGCTCGCCCCAGTCCACATCCTTAAGGAACTGCTTAATTAGACCATTCTTCTTGGGCCCGCGCCAGATAACCGCATCATCGCGGTTGGGCAGCATGAACTGCACACTCATGGCGCCTAGGTTATCTGTCACCCAAACCGGGCTCCAGCCTGCGTTGCTGACGTGGATCGTCTCCGCCTCCACGCCCATCATCTTGGGGATCGACGGCCCACAGATATCGGTATCCATGATTCCCACGGTAGACTCTGGGTTTGCGGCGAAGGCGTGGGATAAGAGGGTTGAAAAGGTAGATTTACCTACTCCGCCTTTACCGGAGAGGACAAGGATCTTGTGTCGGATCTGAGAGAGTCGCTCGGTGATGATTGCGATATCGGGGTCAGGGCCTTTGGGTGCGGAGGCACAAATTTGTTGGTTGGGACAGCCAGCACAGGCATCACCCTGGCCGGCTTTCTCGGATTCAGGACCAGGGCAGTGTTCTGCAAAAATTGACATTAGTATTCTGTATCTGAGGCGAGTTCCCCGCAGAGGGTCAACGTACCTGGCTCTGGGGCTACCAGATTGGGAGCCGGCTTGGCTGGCGCAAAGGACGCCTCATCGTTCGGCTCCTCCACATAGGGTGCCATAACGGAATGTAATTCAGGGTAGTTTGAAAACGTGAACTGTTAAGAATTCAAGAGAGAAATTCCATTGACCAACAAGTGGCGGAGATGCTTGATAAGCGTGCTGACTAACCACTCCCCCACGATTGGTGGTTGCGGTGTCGGAGTCGCATAATAAAAGCATGGTTCTAAGGTTGACGGGCTTGATCTATACGTTGTAAGACAATGTTCAAATATTCAAATGATGTTTTTGATTATAGTTGAAAGCATAATGTCGAGGAAATATGTAGAAATCCAATTTAAGGAGGGGTGAGCCTATGCATCCTTTCCCTCCTTGTCTTCATACGTATGGTGGACCCTGCTCCCACATTACTTTGCCTACATGTAACATTAATGCATAGGTGTCCACCAAGTCCATCGATATACATCATGTAGAAACCTTGGAAGCGACCTGCAGCGTCCATTCTTTGCCTTGTTTAGCCTGAGGCAGCTTTGACTCGGCACTAACAAACATCCCTGCTGAGGTGTGAAGGTTATCCAATCAATCACCCAGGTGCAGGTACCAGTCCTTCCTTGTCGTGTCAGAACCTTAGAACCAGGCCAAATCTTGATTTTGGACTCTAAATGATCCCGTGTGGGACAGTCCGACGCATTTTACACGAGGGGTCAGAGCTGCATGGATCACATACCCGGCATCATATCACTGGTTGATGTGAAGAAACTCTCCGATTCGAATTTAGCCCAGGAATATTCATTATCAATCTTGGTGGTAACTCGACCGTGTCAAATGTTGAAGAACGCGAATTTTATTGACATCAATCTTTAGATGATGTCAACCCTCCACTCACCGGCGTCTCCACTCTAGAACCCCATGGTTTATTCTCCCTATGCCTATAATCATGCCACAAGAATCCTACTACATACTACGTAGGTTCTCCGTTGCATGCAAGCTGCAGTGGAGTGATGCACAGTCGTTGATATCCGCACTAGCCGCTTCCCTTATCCCCCGCTTTGCCCAACGTGTAACCTATGGCCCGTGGAGATGAGGTCTGGAAGAGCCGGGGGACTTGAAGGGTGTCCTTTCCCTAGAAAAATGATAGGCTGGAATACGTAGCCACAGTAGGTTGGGTGGGAAAAGGGGATCGCTTCCGGTTCTTTCCTCTTCTGCTTCGTTCGAGGGGGCCCGCAGACACTAATTCTCGTGAAGTAATTCACCTATGGGAGACGCGCTGGCAGTCGAGGCTCGTGGGTTCCACTATGGGTTAGTCTCTCACATAAATACGTCCCACACACCCTGGAATCCACTTTAATAATTCAGACCCTTAAGTATCAGGGATTATATCACAGATCTGGAGGGAAAATCTAACAGAATCTTTAGAGAAAACACGCTTGGAGTTGCTAATATCATACAAATACTGCAAACAGATCACGTTGGGAGGGTCCACTGTCACATGCTGAGGTCACCTTCCAGAAACTCGTTTCCCAACAGATTCCTTTAACCAACTTCAACATGGATCAGGGCCGTTCAACAGGTGCCCTGCAGCCAGATGGGCTGAGAGAGAGAAATGTATCGCGCCTTGATTCAACTGGAGGTCGCGATGCTTTAGCTTCTCATGCTGAACTGGAGATCAAGGATGCGGATGGCAAGGACAAGAAGACCTTTGGCCGCACCCCAGATGGAACTGGTATGATCCCCTGTGTATCTTGAATGTTTTGGCTCCTTGATGCGACAAGTTTTGCACTATTGCTTTTGGAATTGCCTCAATAACTCCCCTCGCGATGATGCCCTTGCCTCGCCCCCCATGTGGAGCTTCCCCGCTAACCCGGCCGATCGCATTTTGACAGTATTCACCGTGCCCCAAACCCATGATATGGTCTCACAGCTTCTTTCTCCGTCCGAACCGAAGAATCTGTCTGATGTGGTGGTTCTCGCTCTGCTTGCAGGCCACATTTGGTTGCTCTGGGCTCTACCGGCCGGTGCCAAAATCCCGGTCTTCGCTGTTGTGTACCTGTTCTGGCGCGCGGGTTACAATGCGGGGATTGGATGGCTTCTGCACAACCAGTCGCATCACAAGACTATGATTCGATGGGCGGAGAAGACAAAGATTTTTGTCAATCCGGCTACTGGTGACAACCCGCATCCCATGCTGTACAATTGGATCAAGCGGGAAATGGAGACCAAGATCCCTCACGACTATTCTTTCGAAACAGCACCTATTGAATACAACACCTGGCTTGTCTTCCGCCGCCTAGTGGATGTGATCCTGATGTGTGACTTCACTTCCTACTGTCTATTTGCGATAGCTTGCGGTCACCGTCCCATCGGCGAGAGCGTGATTATGACTGCCCTTCGGTGGGTGGCAGGCATTGTGCTCGTGCTATTCAACCTCTGGGTCAAACTAGATGCCCATCGAGTAGTCAAGGATTATGCCTGGTACTGGGGTGATTTCTTTTACCTCATTGACCAAGAGCTAACCTTCGACGGGGTATTCGAGATGGCTCCGCATCCAATGTACTCGGTCGGATATGCCGGCTACTACGGTATCTCTCTGATGGCCGCGAGCTACAAGGTGTTGTTCATCTCTATTATTGCTCATGCAGCCCAATTCGCTTTTCTGGTCTGGGTTGAAAATCCACACATTGAAAAGACTTATAACCCGCCACCACCTCGCAAGCGTTCGGTCATTGCGGATTCTACGACCAGCCTGCCTACATTCCCAGACTCTCCATCAGCGACAATTCCGACTGCAACAACTCCGCTCGCGACAACTCCGAATGCACCAACACCGTCTGAGGAAATGCCCCCCAATGCGCCTTCATCGTACTCGGCCAAGCCACCACCTTCGGTCCACAACCTGTTAGGCAACTTGGATCTCTTTAGAACCACGGATTCCTCGATAATTCTTGTCCAGGTGCTTGTATTTGCAGTGACGGCTCTGAGCCCCTCGACGCCATGGTACCAATTCTTCTTCGTGGTCAATGCTCTTGTCTGGCGTGTGTGGTATTCTGTAGGCATCGGTCTTCTTCTGAACAACCAATCTAGGGACAAAGCGTGGACGAGGCACTTCCTCAAATTCGGTGAGACGCCACAGGAGGCTTGGAACCAGTGGAAGGGCACATATCACCTCAGTATGATTATGTGCTACGCCAGTTTTATTGCTGCCGTGTGGAAGATGTACACTTTCCCAAGCGACTGGAACTACGGTCTGGTGCTCTTCCGTCACATCCTCGGGGCTGGTTTGATCAGCCTTCAACTCTGGACCTCAATCAGCATTTACGACTCTCTCGGAGAGTTTGGTTGGTTCTTCGGCGATTTCTTCTTTGATGAATCACCCAAGTTAACCTACAACGGTATTTACCGCTTCCTCAACAACCCTGAGCGTGTGCTGGGTCTGGCTGGCGTGTGGGGTGCGGTCCTCATCACAAGCAGTGGAAGTATCACCTTCCTGGCTCTTGTGAGCCACATTTTGAGCCTGGGCTTTATTCAATTCGTCGAACGGCCTCATATGCAGAAGCTTTATGGCCGAAGCTTGCGCCAGGATGGTGGTGTAGTCAAGAACCTGAAGAAATCTCTTCCTCCGTCACTCAAGCAGCTGCATGGTAGTGTGGACAAGATATTTGACGACTCTTTCGAATTCATTGAGGATCTTCTCGACAACGCCCGCCCAAAGCTCGCCGCTGGAGTCAACACATTTGTCAAAGATACCAGCGCCCTCTTCCAAAAATACCCCGCTCGCATCACCATTTCTCGCATTGACGCGGATCTTGCTGGATACGATGTCCGGGACTACTCATTGTCGGTGGAGGGAACGGACGCCAAATCTCCAGACGCTACCGAGCAAGACAAAGGCCGCGAGGGAGCCAATGCGCGCATGCCTCTAGACCGCCGAGGTGATCTCCAGAACTTGACTTTCGAATATGGTGCCCCAATCAAGGTTAAGTGGACGGCGCCGCTTAACCACAGCAAGAAGGACTGGATTGGCCTCTACCGCGTTACGGACAACACTTCCCGAGAGGTTACTCGTGTTTCGTCGCAAGGCCGTTGGATCGCGACCAACGAGGGCTCCTACGATAACCTGACCTGTGAAAAGGGCATCCTCACGAGCGATGTGGTCATCAAGTCTTCCGACCAGGGTCGTGAAGGGCATGAGCTTGCGTCCGGAGAGGTCCTCTTCACGGGCGACAAGCTCTTCTGGACGCAGGGTGCCTTTGAATTGCGCTACCACCACAATGGCGTACACAACGTGATGGCTATTTCTCGACCGTTTGAGATACGCATTCCTCACTATGATGAGGTCGACACCTTTGAAGCGAATGGAATTGTGCAAAGCGCTGTTGAAAAGGCTCTCCTTCCCGTCGTTCGCAACTGCTTCGATCGTGACCCCGAAGTTGCACCCGAGACCGTTGAGGAGCAGTTCGGGGGCCTCGTCGAGCGAGATGGCAAATTTGCCAAACGGGTTGTGTTTGCTGTTCAACAGATGTGTGTATCCCTAGCCCTGGCTTCTAAAGGATTCTTTCTAACCGGCTTTCTCCTAGGTTTGGTGTCGAGTTAGCACCCGAGGTTGTCAAGGCCGATGGCAATGTCTTGAATCTGGCCTGGCGGATATGTAACGCCAAGAAGGTTCTTGTAAGTACTCTGCTCTTTCTGGTGGTAACTTTCACTAACCAATTCGTCAGGCTCCTTACAGCATGTCCCGATCCAATGGCAGGTCGACACCAGTCGATGTCAAGGAGCAAATTTCCCCTAGATCCTCCCCTTAAACATGGTTTCTCCATCGATGGACAAGAGGTCACTATAGACGGCGATGATTCGAGAAAGGACTCCTGTGGTTATGATATGACACTTTTTACCCGAAAACAAAAATACTAAAAGGATTCGGTTTGATTTTTGTTTCGATTGCTGCGAGGTTTCTTTCCTATGGTTGTTTTAGAAGGGGTGGGAGGGATTTATTTGTCCTGTTGGGGACCCGGGTGATTATGGGGACCCGGGCCATTACATGAACTCGGTCACCATGTCTGATCTTCTATCTTGCTACTTCTACGTACATAACTTCCATGTGAATATACATTTACTATGAATTCAAATCTGGCGATTCACCATGTTCATTGATAATTTAGATAAAGCTACTATGAGGCATCAAAATAGAATCTGCAAACGAAACGTCAGCATCAATCGCACAATAAGCACAATGTGATAGTTGCAAAGTTGCAAAATAATCAGTCAAGCCGTCTTAACTCATCCCATCCCCTGCTGGCCCGTCAAGCCGAAACTGCCATCCAAGACGGACGGACAGCCCAGCCCTCAAGTCCAGCACAAGTCAAGCATAGCAAGCCAACACCGACCATTGGCACCAGAAGACGACTTCGCCCATGTCTCCCCGGTGCTCCACAACCTTCCTCCCGATTACAACTGTACCGAAGTACAGTCATAAAAGGTCCAGTATAAGGGAGTCGCAAAGACATGGATCGTGAACTGTATTGTGCCGCTGGACAGCGCGGTTACGTACCCGATGGGCGGTTCTCCAAAGAGATCGTTGAATGGATTGACTAGTTGTCATCATATAAAGTGGTGGGGAGATAAAATTTAGAAAAATCTGTCTTGCTCGTACCTTTGGGATGGGGTCTACAGGATAGACATTATGAGATGGCCTATATGATACTTGAAGATTGTCAGTGTTTGGTTTCATAAAGAATAACAATTCAAAGACAATGTGAATGTGAATGACACGATCAGGAGTTTTGGTAAGTATTTTTATTATCTTCAAAGTTTTTGCAGAAGCAGAACTGAAAAATTGTTTCTCATCATGAAAGTGGGGCAAGAAAAAGAAAAACAAGCTTAGCTTACCAGTTAGCTATACGGCGGCTAGCATGGGCTAGGTCAGTGAACCGAGAAATCCTGTCTGTATCATTGTAAGCTTCAAGCCAACAAGGATGCGATTGATGATAAATCAAGAGGTGGTAATGTCAATCAGATGGTAGTGCATGTTGTTCATGACCCATTTTTTGTCGTCGAACAGATATTTTGGTAGGTTTTCCTCATAAAGACAGGGGGTTGGGCAGGTAGCAGTTGTTGGGGAATATGATCACTCACCATATTAGTTACGAAGACTGAACGCATCCTCCTCAATCCTGCATCAACTCAAGAGAAATCCAGCCACATTTGAAGGATTCTGTTGAGAAAACCCAAGTTGAGGAGTGTGAAGGAAAGAGAAAAGAAAAAAGTTTCGAAGTCGAAGAAAAGCAGAAAACCTGGAGTGGGGCCCCGCGCAAACACTGCAAACACCAAGATTTCCGTTTCTAGGCTCGAAACGCCGCAATATTGGAGCTTCCTCTCATCAAACTTGAAATGAATGACCGTCGAAGAATCAATGGCCCGCCAGGGGGTACCCGGCCAGCGGTCTTCGCATCGCATCTCGAATCAAGCAGTGCGGCCGATCGAGCCCGCCGCGAGCGCCAACCAACCGAGCTCCGGAAAATCTGTATGAGATGTCGAGCTTCCTATCGCAAATGATAAATGCTAACAGATCCCGATTGCAGTCTTAAAGACGGGTCTGATCCCCTCTGCTTCTGGCTCTTCATATCTCGAATTTCAACCCTCTGCCTCTCTTGCCGCCGCACGCTCAGACCCCAAATCTTTGATCCCGCCTTCCTCAGCTTTGAAACTAGCCTGCACAGTCCACGGCCCGAAACCATTGCCTAGATCTGCAGCCTTTTCTCCCAATCTTGTTCTTACTACACATGTCAAGTATGCGCCCTTTGCGGCTCGCAAGAGGAAGGGGCATATCCGTGATGCAAGCGAGCGGGATCTCGGCGTCCATCTGGAAACTGCTTTGCGAGGAGCGATCATTGCAGAGCGCTGGCCCAAATCTGGTATTGATCTGACCATTACTATCCTGGAGGCTGAGGACGATCGGTGGTGGGCGGATGCTCCAGACTCGCACGATGCCTCGTGGGGCATGATGAATGTTCTTGCGGGTTGTATTACTGCGGCATCGGCTGCCATTGCCGATGCTCACATTGACTGCTTGGACCTTGTTGCCGGTGGTGTGGCTGCGCTTGTCTCAGATGACTCTGCCGATTCGTCTACTCCCAGGCTTATGCTTGATACCGATCCGGCCGAACATCGCTCTATCATGTCCGCGTGTGTGGTAGCTTACATGCCTGCCCGTGATGAAATCACTGAGCTTTGGCTCAAGGGAGACAGCTCAAAGGCTGCATTGGAAAATGGAGATGAGAGAACTGCACATGAAGCCTTAATAGACGGTGCTGTTGATGCGGCGAGAGGTGCACACTCTGTCCTTGGTGATGCTCTTCGGGAATCTGTGTTGCAGACAATCCAGTCTTAACAAAATTTTAGGTACAATTAATGAAGCAATGATATCTGAATCCAAATTGCCTGTAATAAACATCACTGCGCTGAAATACAGGCGCTTATTGTACACTGGTCATTCCACACTGGTTTTAGATAACCGCGTCAAACGGTATCTGAGCATTGTACACAGGTAGGTGGCAAGGTTAAAATGAACAAAGCGAAAGCTGCACGAGGGAATTAATTGAGGCCATGATAGTAGTTGGGCTTTTCGCCTTTGTGTAAAACTGTATGGCGTATGGTTAATAACTCTCAGTCTGACTTGCATTGTATTGAACATCTGCATAGTGCAAGTGAGAGGAAAGCAATGCGGTGCAACACGCAGTGGTAAAAGCACGCTAGCAGAAAAGCGCCGCTCATAATACAGTCGCCTTTTTTCGAAGCCCAAACAAATTACTCTCGCTGTAAACTCCCATTCGTATCACAACTCACTCTCCCTCGATTTACTGATAATCGCCGACTATTCACCAACGTATCTTGTATGCCACAGCTTCCCAATCCATTCTGCAACTCCATTGCCTCATTCAGCTGACAACAGGATCATCAGTCAAGATGTCCGACGCGGTCAAGACCGGTAGGGGTGCTAAGAAGGCGAAAGCACGGGGCAGTCCCAGATCTCGCGTGGACAAGGACGTTCAGTTTCTCTATGCGTTCATCAACGTCATGGTCGACAAAGTAACTTCTCAGATCTTCATGTTTGAGACTATCACGCTGATATATTCCACTAGGCTGACTGGACCGCCGTTGCCAATGAGCTTGGTATTTCGAAGAATGCCGCTCGGAAGCGTTGGCTTCGTATCAAAGCGCGCTGTGCCACCACTGCCACCTCCGACAAGAAGTACGAGGATGAGGACGATGATGACGAGATGGAGGATATCGAGGAGGATATCAAGGAGGGCAACTAGGCTACCTTGAATGCCATCATCGCCTGCTTTCGGGGGACTTGAATCCATGATGGCCAGATTCTGTCGTTTTCTTTTCCCAATTTCTATGTATCTAACGGGTTCATAATTTCTGAGAATTTACTGCTTAAATGAACCCTAATGATACCAGAATACCAGGTAGTGCGAGCGAGCGCATATCAAATCAACTTGCTTCTATTCAACCGTACATACCCAATAGCCCCGGCTACAAACGTGTCATGGTGTGAGACTACACAATCAGCGAATAAAGGCGTGTAATCTCTCAATTAAATGGATTTTCAATGCTTCACATGCACATCACAGAAATAGTCAAGGCTCAAATCATGATTTCATAAAACATGAATCCCACCCTCCAGACAATTTTGGAGGCCCACATCTTAGACCGCGTCGTCCTCGCTCTCCTTGGCAGTATTGTCATCCAACTCTGTATCATCATCTGCCTCAGCATTTTCTGCCCGCTTCTCTCCAGCCTTAGGCTTAGGGGTACCAGTGGGTGTCAGGGCAGGGGTGCCATCGACAAAGGCCTTTCCTTCCTTCTTCCGGGCCGCGTAGTAGTTGCGCAAACGGTAATAGCGGTTGTAGGCAGCTTTGTAATTGACACCCATCTTTCCTGCAACGACATCCCACTCAGGCTATGTTATTGGAAGTTAGCATGAAATGAAACAATAAGTCCCAAAGACTGGTGGCAAGGAGCTTTGGAGTTGGTTCTTTCTAAGGACACTTACCATAGGTGAGGTCTCAAAGCAAATCCACAGGAAATCCATATTTTCCTGGGTGAGGACGTCCCTGGGAGGCATTTTGAGCTTGGTTGTTCAGTAAGATATTGCAAATGTCTGTATATCCAGAATCAGTCATGTTGAAAGCTTACATGTTCAATTAAACACACAAAGTTTAAGGGGATTGAAAAATCAAAGATCTAGCCAGCGAAAAGGTAAATGGAGGGGAATGGAGGAGGGAAAAAGCGAGGGAAAGAAGCTCAAAGCGAGCCAACCTTTTTATGTCGATCTATGTGCGCACCAAACAAACCAAACTCCGGAATGAACCTGAGGGACTAATAACTACGAGGCCATCTAGCCAGAAGAAAATGGTATCTTCGGAAAATTCAAGATCACAGAACTTCAGTTCTCTATTTGAGCCACACTCTCCAGACTGACATGAAGCCGACCATCCCGTTCAGTACTGCCAAATTCGTTTCGAATACAGACCCGGAACAACATTCAATAACGAGAGTTAGAGCATATGAGTCTGGAGGCTGGCAGACATGGAATTCAGGCCTCATCAATGACCATTCTCTGGGGTGCCAAGGTCTCTGAGGTCTTCTGGTCCTTAGCGGGCGAATCGACAACTTCCTCCTCTTTCTCCCCCTTCTGGGATTTCAAGATGGCCTGGCGCAGCCTGCAGTATTCAGTACTGACAGAGCCTCGGGACCTGTTGAGTGCCTTGCCAACTACGTCCCATTCAATCTGCGCATAAAGATCGTCAGTATTTCTTCGTGATGGATCTGGCCTATACGCAATGCACCTACTGGCGAGACGTCTGGACGGGCTAGCACACTTTCAAGACAAGTATGAAGAAGCAAAAGCTGCTTGTAGTTGGGCACAAATTTCTTTGGAGGCTTTGGAGCCATCGGGGTTTTGGGGGCCTTTGGAATAGTGCCCTCTGACAGGCCTGCCGCCGACTTGCTGACCTTAGATTGGGCAACCATTTTCGAAGTTCCAAGTTCTTGGCTAGTTAATTTGAACTCGTGGAAACAGGATAAAGAGGCTTTAGAGATGAGGCAGCTTACCAGGTATTGCTGCAAGAGGTTTGCGATATTTCCGAATATTAGAGAGATGCGTATTTAAGCATCGAGTGGTGTGAGAAGAAGCAACCGTCAAAGTACCGGAGCAAGGTTGATTGTATTTATACGGACTACCTCTTGTCCATATAACCTGCTGTAAAAGCCGGTAGAAGCGAGGGCAAGACTACTGATTGCCCAGGTGTATCTTGACTTTGTTTGTTTGCTTTCGATATTTGGAACACAGGGCTATAGAAGGATTCATTCTTTTCCTCCTCCGTGCTGTCGCCCTCTGCACCCTCACATTGAATATCTATCTTCGGCAAAATCAGGAAAATCAAGGGCTATTGGTTCATCTCCGGACTAGCTTCTTTAGACCTCCCACTCATCGGGGGGAGGTCAGTTATCATTGAGACAATATATACGGCTTACAGCATCCAAAGGCATACGCGTCTACAGGGAGTGAAGATCGGGATCGAATTTTTTTCATGTATTTCTTTTCGTGTTTATCTTTCCGTGTTTATCTTTTCGTGTTTATCTTTTTTTTCTTTTTTTTTTTTTTTTCTTCTTTCCTTTTTTTCTTTTTTTTTTTCTCTTTTTTTTTTTTTTTTTTTTTTTGCCTTCCTCGCATTCGTTATGTATGCCTGCAAAGGATTTCTCATAGCCAATAGGAGCTCTAGCTACCACCTGCGTACGACTACAGAGCAGCAAGTGCGCTTCTTGTAGGATCATCATGACAGCCACACTGGGAGCCAGATAAGTAAAAGTCGTATATATTTTATCGGAACCGCTTTATTCATCATGTTATCTTTGATTCCTCTATGATCCCTCTCGGATTCAGCATGCCTTATCATTGAAAATAAAAAGCCGCCAACAAGAAACTTGGAGTGTCACTATAGCGTTGTCGCTCTAGACTTCCTTTATTTTATTATAAGCTGCGGTTGACCCTTCACAATTTCCTTCTCCATACGCCACTCTTCTTCTCACACGCGCTACTCCATTCTTAACCTTGCAAGCTATTCTCAAAGAACAGAAGCTGGTGACAGCAGCAATTGGTATGCTAATTTGATTCCTTGAGTCTCCTTCTTTTTGATTCCGCTAGTCCTAAGTCTTTGACCAGACGTTCACTAAGGGGTGGCCAATCCAAGGTCACCAAGTCGGCGGGCGCGTCAAAGGGCGCAATCAAATGGCCCCCACCCCGTAGAGCTTCTTGTACCCAGATAAGAGGGCCTGTTGCTTATCCACACCTGTATCGAGAGTGTACTGGCCCGTGTAGATGTCTCAGCAGTAGGTGCATCAACATTGACCAAGTCCATGATGAAGTAACACAGAGAACTTTTATGCCTAGATTGACTTCAAAACATCGGCAAACAATCTAAGTGGTTAAGGCCCTGTTGGCAGTTCTTACTCCAAGCTACGCCGGGCTACTTTGTAGTACCAGGAGGAGAAGGGGGGCGGATCCTGTTGTGGATTCACCCACCGAGAACAAGAAGACCGCCAAGGCTGCGGACAAGGATCATCGATGCTTGTCTTACTTGTCTACAGCTGTGGATACCCAGCTGTAATCTAGCATACAAGCTCATTTGCTATTATCTTCGGGAGTGAAGGTTGTGCTGATTTGTACGGTTGGACCCATCCCATGTCATTCAGAGCATGATTTTTCTAGGTAGAAATATTCGATGTACACCTAGCTTCGAGTCGAATACTACCTCGATTACATTATCATCAGCACCAAACTCTTTTCAGCGTAAAAAGGTATGGGCTTTCCATACTAGAGACTCGTAGTTCGAGTGGGTAGGTGCTGTTGCCCAGGTAAGGGTTTATGTTAATCACGTGAGTGCTGGTCCAAGTACAAAGCTCGGAAGCATAGACCATTTCTAGCAGACATGAAACATGTCAAGAGGGGCAGACCACACATCAACCATGGATCCAGTGGGGGTTTTCATGCATGATCACTAGACACAAGTGCAAAGGACCTTGGACATGAGATGCCGACCGTGATAAAGGAACATTCAGGCATTTCTCTTTAGGTATATATGAAGTTGCATTGGTCTCGTGACTTGTTCCTTAAGATCTCACGCATACTTTGCATGGGTAAATCATACTATAGTTGTTGTAAAATATATAAGAAATTAACTTTGCAGATCTACAACGTGCAATCAAGTTGGCAGCGGTGAGCGGAGCATCATATCTATTTCCTATCATAGGTTGTTCGCCGGTATATGCATGTCTCACCTAGGCTTCTTGATGTCAGTGATCAGTGAACGGACCAGCGACATCGGAATCGAAATCGAAATCGGAATCGATCGATCGTATGAGATTTGGTGGAGCTAGGAAGAACTGTATGATCTACTCAGAGTGACTCTTTAATTATAGAAAAACAACATAGGTAACAACATAAAAAAACAAGGGAATTAAACAAGAACTGGGAACCGGGGAATTCGGATCCAAGGTTCCAGAGCGGATCGTGTTTTTTTAGAATTCCAGCTAGTGTTTCGAACCCCTGAGTACATGAACGAGAACCGGATCGCGATGTCTTTGTCTCCCATTCCAAATCATTCCTCTATCTGGATCCAATTTTGGGCTTTTTACGTTTTTCTTTGTTTCTCGTATCCACGAGTGTGAATCCTGAACTCCATCGCGTCCAGTTCCGAGCAATCGGAACAGTCCAGCAAACCAGAATTTGACTCGGTTCGCGGGCTCGTGCCGCTAAGAACGAGGCGGGACCCACTTGTGCTACTTGACGATCACCTCGTCACACCAATCATCGACTGAAGGGAAATTGGAGACTCCATCTCGTGCTCTCCCTTTGTCCGCTTCCTCGGGCATTCCCACTTGGCTTTGTATCCGGCATTTGATGCCGCATTTCAGGAACTTTGATTGGAAAGATCGAGGCTACGCACTGGAGCTGATGCGGCCTGTCTCCGAGGGAAAACACTCCCTGGCAGACAACCTCGCTTCGTGGTTTTGTTGAGCATCCTGCCATACTGTGGATCCTCTTGACTGGGGCGGCAGCTGTGAGCTACAGATGCATTACGGACATTTTCTACGGAGAAAGGTTTTTCTAGCTGCATAAGCTGACCCAGTTGACCCAGCTGTCGTCTCTAAGGTTCTGTTAGCACGTAACTAGGAAAAAATCAACAAGCTGCAGGAACGAGGCAAAGCTTGAGATAGGACACGGGAAAGTTTTGAGTTTGCCTAAGGCGAATTAGAAGAAAACCGTTCGTGTGTCAAAACCGAGGACGCGGCAAATGGAGCACTCTTAATTTCTTAGCGTTCGAACCGTCACGCTGCATCTGGCCCCATCGGTGGGCGACGGATCATGGAGAAGACCGGGTCACAATCTCCCCCTGATCCAGTCTCTCAAAGGGTATTGGATCTGCACGCCTGCTGCTTGACAAGGCAAGTCTCCGCTGCACTACTACGGAGTAAAGAGGTGCTTCGAGTTTTCTTCTTTTCTCCCTTTCCCATCATGCTTGCCTGTGATGGATTTGGAACCGTATGTCGGTCTCGCAACCTTGACAGTGTAATGCTGTCATGAAATTGGCTGGCTGGATTATTTATGACGGCCCTTGGTCTAGTCACTCCACCTATTGTTAGTCTCGGGGTACTATTGTCCCCGACGTCACTTTTTTTTTCTGGGCCCTGTTGTGTGCCCCCAGGCCCTTCCGCCCAGAAACAAAAAAAAAAAAAAAAAACGTTTGCGCATGAGACCACAAGCTGGTCAATTTCAAAATGGTTGCTCTAAAGCTCTTTCAACCAGAACGGAATTCGTCACGGCCATCAACCAGTCCTGGATATGCGCTGAATGAACAGTACTTTGGTGACGTTTCTAGAGAAACTCATCTTGATCCCGGTCACCTATACCCGGCCCCTCCATCACCGGCACTTCCCTCTCCCGTTCAAAAAGTAGGACGGTCTTTAGATGTCTCTCATCATTTTGAGCAGATTGAAAAACAATTCGAAGATCTACACCAGAACCTGGGACCGAGACCACTATCGTCTCAATCTTCTTTGGCGCCCAATGTACCGAATGTACCGGGTGGCCGTCTAGCTCCAAGAGCATCCAATTCTCGACACATCGATTTGATGGATGCTATTGCTTTATCCGAGCGTCATCACCAGGAGTCTAGCCCTCCTTCTATATCGCCGCCCGCCAGTCCATACAATGAAGATGTTGCAGAGCGGAACATGACTAGATTTCTTCGGATCCAATATCGAAGCGGACTGGCAAACTCTCGAATATTATCCGCATTATATCAGGAGGATGTTGCAGACAGGAACATTGCAAAGTATGGAGGCCCAACTCGTTCATTATCAGCATTGAGTTGCCGGTCTTCCCCTCCTGCGCCTGGCAGAGTGCGTAAATTGAGCCCGGATGCACAGAAACGCAATCCGAGGAAACCCAATTGGACATCAGATGGAGACTTGCGCAATCGTTCGTCACCGGACGATGCCTCTTCGAGGGCTTCGGATTCTAGCAATCACCTTCGTCTGCAAAGATCGGCACCAAGTTTGTCTGCCGAGGCAGATGATTCTGAAGATGAAGACGCCGCCCCTCCAGTAATTCCACGCTTGGGTGTTCCGCCCGCCTACAAACAAGGCAAGCGATGGAGCAACACTCCCTTGCCAGACAGCCCGACCTTGCCCCCTCCATTAGGTGGGGGTGATGATGTCGACAGCGACAAGGGCAGTAAGCCAAAGATACCCACACCTGCTCTCCAGCCTCCTTCTCCAACCGCTAGGAGCTCGTCTTTGGGTCTGAGAAGTACCTCCCCGCCTCCTGCGGGGTCAACATCAAGGAAGAATGTTCGAGATCTATCGATCAACACCCAACTGGCTTCAAAGGGCCGGCCGAAAATTGGACATCGCGCCATTCAGCCTCCCACACCCTCCAATAATAATACTAAGCGAGCGCCTAGCATTGCAGAGGTCATGAATAGCCCACTGCCTGTGCAAACACCGACTTCTGCTGCACCCTCGCCTCGTTTCAAGGTCTCGGAGATGATGGATCTGTTTAAACAGGCCTACATGTCAACTCATGCCCTGAGTTCCCACCCAACCTATGAATCTCTACAAGATGCAATTGTTCGTGAAATAAACTCCCACGACGCATTCAAGCGTGTGCCTGTCCCTGCTACTGCTGGGCCACTATTCACACCATCAGATGAGGACTCATTTGCTGGTGCGTACCCAGGATTAAACCGCAGTGCATCGGCTGGTCAATTTTCAAAAATCATGAGGAAAGGCTCCTTCAGGAAACATAAGAGAAATACCGAATCCAGTCGCAGCATCTCTACCAGCGTACCCTCAAAAGGATATGACCGACTTCGCCGCAAGGTCTCCGGCTCTCCTACTCGACGCAGACACACCGATGCCCCAGCCCCATCACCAGGCCTTCTGGCCGATTTCCAAAAATCCAAGGACAAAGTCCCTCAGACTTCATCTGGGGAACAGCTTACATACATGGATGTTCTGGCCCGGGCTAGCAATGACCAACCCGGATCCAAGATTCAAGCCTCCTCCACCCCCAACATCACAGCCACCCGCTCCACAACCCCGGTTTCCACGATATCCAACCCCTTCGGAACAGTCTACTGCATGCAGGCACACTCCACCCCGTCCAAGGACAGCAGAAGCAGCATGTCGATTGAAGACTGCGATGACGACATCATTCATCTCCCCAGTATCGGCGCCCCAACTCCCCGGGTGCAGATTGAAGGCGTGGATGAGAATAATGTCCGCTATGTGATTGACGGTTCTACGGCTACTGGTGCCCAGGGCCTCATGAGCTGGCCACAGCGTCTCCGTCGCATTCAACCGGCCCAGTCTTTCTGTGAAAACAGCTTGTCGCCGCTGTCCCGTGCGAGGATGCAACTTCGTGGTGCTCGCTCTGTCGAGACTTACTAGTGCAGCTGGCTGATTGCCCTGTCACTTCCTTCAGTGAAGAATTTCCTTTCTCTCACGATAATGATTTTGCATGATACCTACCAAAAGCTACTCCCTTCATTCTGTTTCTTTTCTATAGCGATTTTGAAATCCTTGATTTGAAACGTCTGATCTGGAAATCCCAGCTTCGTGTTTATTTTTTGCATATAATGCATACCTCTGTCCATACCCTTCCACCTGGGTTTTCTCCTTATCTCTTGACCCGCTAGCCTTTCCTTGGAATCCTACTATTAACCCCAGTCCATCCTTGCCTTTCCTGTTCTCTCACATCTACCGCCAGCATTCATGGCTCATCACTCGTCTTTTATCTTACTATGCCGAAGGTGCATCGTCTGGGTGGCGTTTCTGTCTCACACTTCGTGTATATTATATCCCAAACTGCTCATACTTGGAAGTCCCCAATAATCCATTCAATTTTTCATTAATGCTATCATTCTATAATATTTCTTTTGCGTTTAATTTCAGTGTGTAGGAGCAATTTACAAGACGATTTTTCTAAAAGTAAAGCAGCGGGACGGTCTCTTGGGACGGTATGTCAAAGGAATAGGCAGCAGGTAAGGGGGAGACCGAGAGGATGTTAAGTATTGATTTTTTTACCCCCGTTCTTTTTTATTCAATTCAAAAAGTTTCCAAGTGAGCAAGTGCCCTAGATAGCGTAGTGGTCAGGGGTGTCCAGTCAGGTGATTCCGAAGCGACGCCAACCTTAACCCTAACCACCTGCGCACCATTAGATGGCAGTGAGTGTCTAGGATTTCCTAGGTCATACTTTGTCGTGAGTGGTCTACGTGAAGTTGTAGGTTATCTCATGCCAACGCGGATATGTGATTATTATCTTTGTGCCTTTTTCGGCACTGTTTAGATTTGACTTTACTGGTTCCTTTCCATACGTACCTTTCTACCAATACTTCCCTTTCCACGTATGCCTTCTTTTCCATTTATAATTTTCAGCGTTTGAAATTGTAGTTCACGAGGTCTATATGGTCCGGAAAACTCGTACCGCTGCTTCGAGGCATCCATTGTGACAAAAGGGTTCAAACTTTCGAAGACTCTAGATTACCCAACGGCTGTGTATGTCAATGGTTATCACGACCCACGAATCCCATAACTACTCAAATCGGGAAATGACTCGAGAAAGATCATCACCGTTCCAAGCCCCGCATGGAATCCTCGAGGATAATAGCTACAACTCTCTACGGGTTCCCAGTTTTGGTTATAAAATTTTTATTGATTGCAAAATATGAAGACATCACTCATTCCTTCTCATAGACTCATTCCGACTGGCCCCGTGCCACCAGCCCAACCCCGTTCGCAACTCCACAATGCCGTATATCGCGTGGTGACCTATAGATAAAATTGAAACCCTTTAAAATGACAATAACAGGATTTTTACGCTTTTTCTTTGACATCAAATCCACTGCAATGAAAGATAAAGACTAAAATTTTGCCCCTAGTGAGGGGTCAAGACAAGTCTTCGCATGCAAGTTAAGTGTAAGATAAATCCGCTTAGTAAGAGCCTATACATGCTGTTAGTAAATATATGGATTTTGCGAGCGTGATTGGTGAACTTACGGCCGAACATGCACCACTTCTGGGCGGGGTTCTTGCACTTGGGGTTGATGCAGGCACCAAGGGCCTCAGTGGGCTGCTCGAAGGGAATACACAGTGACTTGGCACCCATGGAGGGGGCCTTGGAGTCCTCAGCTTCACCAGAGTCCTCCTCGGCCTTGCGGGCACTCATATCCTTGATCTGATCCTCACATTCCTCAGTCAGACACGAGGGAACAATGAGAAGGTTCTTCTGGTTCAACTCCGGAACGAACTCGTCCCAGTTAGTGATCTGCTTGCGGTGAGCCTTGAACACGGCATCGGCACGAGTGTACAGATCCTTGTGGATGGTGTCCAAGAGAGCAGGGACGGCAGTAGCCAGCTCGGGAATGGGGATAGAGCCCTTGCCATCCTTTCCAGGGATGTCACGTCGGGCGGTAGTGACGAAGTGGCCGGCAGACTCGCCGGGGCCGAACTCCAGGCGCAAAGGCACACCGCGGAGTTCGTACTGGTTGAACTTCCAGCCGGGGGAGTACTCAGTGCGCTTGTCGCTTTCGGCGCGGACGCCGGCAGCTTCGAGAACGGCAACAAGGCCGTCAACCTCGGCGTTAAGCTTCTCACGCTCCTCATCAGTAGTCTTGGCAGTAATACCGACGGGAACAATGACAACCTGGGTCTCAGCGATGCGAGGGGGCAGAACAAGACCCTTGTTGTCACTGTGGATCATAACCATGACACCCAGGGTACGGGTCGACAGACCCCAGGAGTTCTGCCAGACATTGAGGGCAGGCTTCTTCTCATCAGGCTTGGCAGAGGGGTCCTCAACGGTAATGTTGAACATCTTACTGAAGTTCTGGCCCAGACCGTGGGAAGTACCACCTTGGATACCACGGCCAGTGGCGGGGATGTAGCCTTCCACAGTAGTGGTGTAGAGACCTCCGGCGAACTTCTCACGCTCAGTCTTCTGACCCTTGACGACAGGGACAGCAAGGAGCTCAGAGTAAATATCAGCGTACCAGTCCAGGATCTGGAGCACCTCCTCACGAGCAGCAGCCTCGGTCAAGTGAGCGGTGTGGCCCTCCTGCCACAAGAACTCACGGGTTCGCAGGAAGGGCTGGGGGTTCTTGAACTCCCATCGCACAACGGAGTTCCATTGGTTCAGGCGCAAAGGCAGGTCGCGATGAGAGCGAATCCACTTGGCGTAGTAGGGGTACATGACAGTCTCAGAGGTGGGACGAATGGCAATCTTCTTCTCGAGAGGGGTAGATCCACTAAAATCCCCCAAGTTAGATTTCCATAGCAGCATCCAATAGTACGGATTAGAGTCCTTACGCATGAGTCACCCAGGCGACCTCAGCAGCGAATCCCTCAATGTGATCCTTCTCACGCTGCAGCACATCCTCAGACACAAAGAGTGGGAAGGAGCAGTTCTTCACACCCATCTTCTTGATACGGAGGTTGAAGTATTGCTGGATCTCCTCCCAGATGAAGTACGAGGCGGGCTAGAAGGCGCATGTAAGCGTTGGCAATGGGACATAGAAGAATGGATCAAGAAGTAGACATACCTTCAGAATGAAGCAGCCAGACACATCATAGTAGTCAAGCATGTCACCTTTGGTGAGAACCTATGGCGCAATCAGATAAATATCAAACGAGCAAGCCTTCTTTGGTATAGTACCTGAGAGTACCATCCAGGGAAATCCTCCTCCTTCGAGACATCAATTCCGATCAAAGCAGCGCCCTCAACCTTCTTCTTAGGGGCCTTCTTGGGCTCCTGCTTAGCGTTTCCCTTGTTTGCGGCCTTTGCGGCCTTGTCTGCAGCCATCTTGGCAGCCTTTGCGGCCTTCTTGGCGGCATTCTTAGACTCATTCGCGTTATCGGCGGGGGGTTGAGTGCGGTCAGGCAGGGTTTGGGGGGCAGCAGCGCCGGGGGCGGCAGCATCGCTGGGGTTCTGGTCGGCCATGATGATTTAAAAGGAGCACCTGGCAAAGGAATTAAAAAAAAGAACGGCAGTCGAATGCGCAAGTAGAACAAGAAGAGAACACAAAATATGTATGACTCTAAATCTCAAAGTGGGATGTATCGTCGACACCGCTTCGGCAGAACTTTTAGCGTCAACTCAACCAAAACCCCCCGTCTCCGACAAGAGAGCTTCGCCATCCCACTTTGCTTTATTAATTTCTTGAATTCGCCATGGCAGGCATCTTCGAGGCTCCGCGGAATGCGGACACTCTCTGTCAGTGCTTTTGAACCCTGGACCCTGAAGCTAAAACCGACTAACATATCTCGCACACAGTCTTGGGTGGTCAGAAAATCACCGGTGCCGATGTTCGGGAGCAGAATGGTATGCTGGATGGTTTGTCTCAATGCAATCAATTGTACTGACCATATTATTGCAGTTCTCGCAACTCAGGCTATTTCAAATGTCATCAAGAGCTCTTTTGGTCCCTCGGGATTGGACAAGATGATGGTGGACGACATAGGGGTATGGAACACTAGACTCCCCCGCAGAGCTATGTGGCAGCTTCTGACATTGCTTTTTGCGATATAGGATGTGACCGTGACGAATGATGGCGCTACCATTTTGTCTCTGCTGGATATTGAGCACCCTGCGGGCAAGATCCTTGTCGACCTCGCCCAGCAGCAGGATAAGGAGGTACGGGCTCTATATCTTTCCATCAGGTATTCTAAAACCTTGTGGCTGACGCTCTCTAGGTTGGAGATGGAACTACCTCTGTCGTCCTTATTGCCGCCGAGCTTCTGCGAAGAGGAAACGAGTTGATGAAGAACCGGATACACCCTACCACGATTATCAACGGATACCGCCTGGCGCTCCGGGAGGCCGTCAAGTACATGAACGAGAATGTGTCAACAAATGTGGAGAACCTGGGCAGAGACAGCTTGATCAGCATTGCGAAGACTTCGATGTCTAGCAAGATCATTGGTTCTGATTCGGATTTCTTTGCGAACATGTGTGTGGACGCTATGCTGCAGGTGAAGTCGACAAACCAGAGAGGCGAGGTCAAATATCCCGTTAAGGCCGTGAACCTGCTTAAGGCTCACGGAAAGAGTGGCCTTGAGTCTGTCCTCGTCAACGGCTACGCTTTGAACTGCACTGTTGCCTCCCAGGCTATGACAACCCGTGTGACCGATGCCAAGATTGCTTGTCTGGACATGAACTTGCAGAAGGAGCGCATGAAGCTGGGTGTTCAAATTACAGTGGAGGACCCTGATCAGTTGGAGAAGATTCGTGAGCGTGAGGCCGGTATTGTTCTGGAGCGCGTTGAAATGATTCTGAAGTCAGGTGCCAACGTTGTTCTCACAACCAAGGGTATCGACGATATGGTTCTGAAGCTGTTCGTTGAGAAGGGAGCTATGGCAGTTCGCCGCTGCAAGAAGGAAGATCTTCGCCGCATTGCCAAGGCTACTGGTGCTACCCTGGTCAGCTCCTTGTCTGATCTGAACGGTGATGAGAAGTTCGAAGCTTCCAACCTCGGTACCGCTGAGGAGGTTGTGCAGGAGCGCATTTCGGACGACGAGTGCATCCTGGTTAAGGGCACCAAGGTCCACTCTTCTGCTTCTATCATCCTCCGTGGTGCTAACGAGTTCAGCCTGGATGAGATGGAGCGCTCTGTTCACGATACCCTCTGCGCTGTCAAGCGGACTCTTGAGAGCGGCAGCATTGTGCCCGGTGGTGGCGCCGTGGAAACCGCTCTCCACATCTACCTGGAGGAGTTTGCTGTCACAGTGGTACGTAATATTCCATTCTATCTTATAAACACAATTTCTCACTTAATCTCTAGGGCTCTCGCGAGCAACTCGCCATTGGCGAGTTCGCCCAGTCTCTGCTCGTTATTCCCAAGACCCTGGCTGTGAACGCTGCCAAGGACTCCTCCGAGCTGGTCGCCCAGCTCCGTGTCCGCCACGCCCTGTCACAGCGTGTGCAGGACGGTGATGCCAACGAGGAAGAGAAGGCTATCGCCAAGAAGAAGACATACCGCAACTATGGTTTGGATCTGTCCAAGGGACGCGTTCACGACACACTGAAGGCTGGTGTTCTGGAGCCTAGCATGAGCAAGGTTAAGCAGCTGAAGTCTGCCGTTGAGGCCTGTATTGCCATTATGCGTATTGACACGATCATCAAGCTGGACCCCGAGCAGCCGCAGGATGACGGCCACGGCCACTAGATTCTACGGTCTTGAGTATTACGGTGTCCCTATGAAACAAAAAAAGGCAGTAATTGAATGTTACATAGAAATGAAATCGCAAGTGGATTGAATGATTCCACTGCGGCTGCATATTATTTTTCCTTGCGCAACATATAGTAAAGATTGAAGCTCTTTACAAGAGGACAAATGTGTATACACCAAATGAATAGTGTACCTCATACATCCCGGGTATGATCTAGTAGATAGACAGTGCGAATGCGATAGGCATAATGAAATGGCATTTTGTGCAACAAGAGGGATATTTTATACGAGATTTAAATAAGTTATGAGGATTCACACCCCTTCATCTTCATTCTCCCCGTTTCTCAGCCATCAAACGCCGGTATTCCTCCACAATATTCCTTCTCTCCCCAGCTAACTCCTCCCGCCTTCTCAAACTTCCCACGGCATTGGGAACATTAGCAACGTCCACCTTGGCACCACCTCGAACCTTGAAAATCTCTCTGGGCTTAGCCAAGGTGGGCGGCGCCTGAGCAACATCAAACGGATTGGCCTTGCGCTCCTTATCCCGCTTCTTCAGCTTAGCCCAAGGATCCGGATCATCGTCATCGCTACCGGCGTCACCACTCTTCTTCTTAACAACATTCTTCTTCTTCTTTCCACCTCGCATCTCACGCTCCCACTCATTCAAAAGCTCCAGCTGATCTCCCATCTCGAATTCCCGCTCTTCCCGCTCAGCCTGCTCTTTCTCCTTCAGCCGGGCCTCATCCTTTCGCCATCCCTCCTGAAGTCGGCGCAGATGTTTCTCATGCTTCGTCATCTTGTGAGTGCGCATGCCAGGCGCACCGGATTTAGCCGACTTGGTCATTTCGGAAAGCGGGAGCGAACGGTCAACGCGCGCTGCAAAATCCGCCAGCTTCTCGCCGGGTAGAATCTTAGGCAAGGCTTTCTTGCCGTCGGCATTGGACGCAGCTTGTTCAGAGAGCGTCGTAGCGGGTTTCTTCTGCTGAGGTCCTTTCTTAGTTTCTGCTGTTTCTTCGAGCTTGCGCTTCTTATTTTCACGCTTCTCGCCGGTTTCGAGACCGGAGGGGGCTCGTCTGCCTGTTGTTTGGTACTGCATTAAGCGCTGGAAGGCTTTCGGGGTGTCATCTTCCTTTGCACCCTTGCGGCGACTTGTTGCAGGGCCCGATGGCTTTTTGGTGGGATCGGCCTGTTTCTGTTGGGGCTTCTTGCCCTTGCCGTTCTTGCCATTGTTGGTCTTGGATGTTGGATCGCGCACTGGAAGTGACTTTGCGATCATCGAAGGTGGGAGATCGAAAAGCCTGTGGGTGTTTGGGAGGTTAGATCACTGCTATAGGTGGTGCTTTGTAGAATTGTACATACGAGGCATCTTGCTCGCGTCTCTTGTGCTTATGAGGCATGATGGTGGTGTGGAGTGTGGAGGATTTGAGGTTGCGCGGAACTTTTTTTTTCGGGTCAACTTCCTTATCAGCCAATCTCTTATCGCAAGTATAGAACGAACAACTTCATTTGAATATTACCAGATTTAACGGTGATGTGCAATAGGATTCAAGAAAATGAGATTTTTATTATATCTGACATCTGCCCAAAAAGACCTGTCCATGTGATCAATAACAAACAGTCGGCACGACCCCCACTGCAATTGAAAAAAAAAAGACTGGCAAAAAACCCCCGAAAAAAATGCAACAGAAATGCAAGACGGGTATGTTCGCTAACAAATAAAATGCCCCCGGAAAGCGCCAAAAAATATGCCCACACAAGATAACACCCTATAAGAACAACACCATGGAAATGTGACATAAACATATGGAAATCACAAGCAGTACAGAAATCATTCATCTTCGTCGTCATATGAGTCTGTCGTAGCAGCCCAGCCGCATTGCCAGCGCCGACCCTCAGTGTCACCATTGCTGCGAAGCTCGCGAGCCTCGGGGCCCTCACGCCAGCATCGGGCACTATAATCATCACTCACGGTAATTAGCTCACCGTCAACAGTCCACGACATTCCGGTAACTTCTTTCTGGTGGCCTTCAACAAGAGCAGTACCAGATTGATGAATAGGGATGGTATCCTCTAGACGTCCCGACAAGCCAATCCCGGAGTTGGTACGTCGGAGGCCTGACCGAGTAGTGAACAGTGATGTCGGGCGAGGGAGATCATCTTCAGGGTAAGTTTTGACGGGGGGTTGGAGAAATCGTTCGTCGGTAGGAAAAAGTACAGGGCAAGCATCGCTACTGCCTACTGCCAGCATTTCTTGACGGTCATTGGCTGCTTTGCGCAATGCGAGCTTGACATAGAATGAAGAAACCTGAAGACGCGGGTGACGAAATCCGTACAAAGGTCCGAGACCCTCTTTGTCGGAGCCACCAGAGCGGCGGGGGCGGTCATTATTGAGAGACAGCTCCGGTGCGTGCCCAAGCACCAGATGGGAAGTCGAGTATGCGTAGACGGTGCCATCTCGACAGAGAGTGTACAGTCTTGCACCGTCACCACCAAGCGCCATGGAGGTAAGACCGAAGCGCCGGTACTTGATATGGCTATCAGGCTCTCGCGTGGTGGATAATGGGAGCACAGGCCGACCACGGCGGTTGTTATGAGCAGTCCGCAAGTCCCAAAGTCGAACACTCGCGCTAGCCTCGGATGCGGTGACAAAAAGGTTTTCTTGGCCAAGGGGAAGGAAGGCCAAAGAGGTGACGGTAATATCTGAACGGCCAAAGGGAACCGGTTCGGTCTTGTCCATGGTCGGCTTTTGGGGCGTAGTATACGCATGGGCGCCATGGATCGTGTTTAGAACATGTGGATATGTCATTTTAGGCGGAGCTGATGTGGCCGAGTTTTCGGTATCCGATTCCAGTGAGCATCGAACCTGTAGTGACGGACGCTCAAAGCCTTTGCAGCGAAGATCCCAAATGTTCACATTGCCATCGCGGCTACAAGTGGCGAGGACTTTGTTGTTGGAGCCCGGCTGAAATTGGACTCGCTTCACGGAGGAGACGTGGTTGGACAAGCAATGGATTGGTCGTTGTGTTGTCATGTCGATAATCAAAGATGTTTGGTCTCCAGAGGCTGTAGCCAGCAACATATCATCAGATGAGAACTCCAAGTCCATAATTGAGTTCATATGAGGGCGAAACCCAAGATATGCACTAGAGAATCCTCGCTCGTCGTCTTTAGACGAATCGAGCAGTCGAATACCTCCCTCTTCATCACCCACGGCCACCAGTGAGTTTGCTAGTCAAATGTCAGAAATAACCCTAGCAAAGGCATTGGAAGCTAGATTCAAAGTACTTACTGTTACAAGCAGCATTGCAGAATGGAAGTGCTAGTTGTCCATCTGTAGCATAACTAGTACATGAGTGGCGGTCCTCTGGGCGAGTATGGAAGTCCGACGTGAGATCTTGCCATCCTGAGGTATGTAAGCTATGATCAATTTGAATGACATCCGCGGGAACAAACCTGCTCCAGCAGTTGATCTGATAGTCAGCCGATTAGAGCGACCTCCCTGCAGTGATCGCATGAACAAAGATCCAGATGTTTGCAATGCTCGCGAACGGGTAACTGGCGAGACTGGTCGTCGTTTTGGTGGCCTCGGCGATGTAGCTCCGTCATAGCGTCCCCGGGCCACATCGATATCCTCAACTATTGTCTTCTGCTCGACTTCGTTGCCCGGGGATCGTACACGAACTTTTTTCAACGGCGACGATTGCAACGGGGAAACGACCGAAGAGAACGAATGCTTTCTTTTCCGGCTTGGTGTGCGGAATGTTTCTTCGGACAGTCCTTGCAATTCTGGTAGTCCATCGAAAGGGCTTCTAGGGCGGCCATCGGGCGATCGAGTAAAGGCGGGACCGAGACGATTGACGGCGGGCGAATTCAACACCCGCAGGGCCTGGCGACTTGTCTTTACACTAGCATTACTTCCACTATTTAGTAGAGACCGAGGAGTGAAGAAGCGTCTAAAAGACCGGGGTGTGACGGTGGGAGGCTTTCGAAGTTTTCGTCCACTGCCCAGATCGGATGCGACAGAAGGTGGGGAAGATGGGATTTGAGTGTAGGATTCTCGATGCGAAGTGGGTAGAATTGGTTCTGATTGAGGTACTTCAGGAAGTCCAGAAATCCGAACCATTGTGGGCATGGGCGGTGGAGAGGAGAGTCGCAAAGGTGGGATACATCTGGGAAGTGAAAAGATTCGGCCCAAGGGGGTAAGATGGGAAGCGGGTCGTGTTGCGCGCAGTGGACGTGACGCGGAACGTGTGTCTAGGCATTTTCGACATAATTATGCCTATTTCGGATCCTAGCACGACAGTCTCTTTGGCTCTAATTCTAGTCATATTGTTATTGAAACTATTCCAAAAATTGGATTCTCTCCCAGAAATTTTCCTTAAATACGATTTCCCTGCGTTGTATACAATACGCTTCCAATTTTTAACACGCGTGAAAAATGGAGAACGCGATGTGCAAATCATTCTGAAATCGGTACAATGAAGCCGTAAAAGCCACCCTTGAAACCGCTATCTTGATGCCTAGGCAATGTATCCCAAAGTTGAAATCATTTTCTTTGTATTGTTTACATACTTCCAAGTTCCAACCGTGGAAGCTTGAACCATAAGTGTATCTCGAAGGCGGTCCCACTCCCGCTCACCGCTAACCATTCTGCCGCGCAGAATCGGATTTTTCGATTTTTTTTCCGTTGCGATACAACGAGATTCCTCAACCGTTTACAAGTCGGTATTGCCTAACAACAATGGCGCCGATAAAGCGCAAGGGGAACGCCCCCGAAGAAACGGCCACCCGCCAGCCCCAAAAGCGCGCAAAGGTCGGAGCTGAGGAATTCAAAGACCAGAAGCCCAAGGATACCGCCCCGAAGGCTTCGGAGCTCTCTGTTCTGCGTGATGATGAGCCATCTTTCCCTCGTGGTGGTGCTAGCGTTTTGACCCCATTGGAGCGCAAACAAATTCAAATTCAGGCCACCAAGGATGTCTTGTTCGAGCAAAAGGGATCCAAGGGACCCAAGAAACCCACTCGCCAGACTGACGACGACAACGACGATGAGGATGACGATATTGAGATGGAAGATGAAGACACCACAGCCCCTGCCAAGAAATCACGCAAGAAGAAGACTAAGGGCAAGAAGACCGATGATAAGGAAAAGGCGGAGAAGACTGTTCGCATTGAGCCTCTCAGCTTTAAGGTATTTTAACTCCTACCGAAAAAAAGCCCATTGGGTCATGTGGCTAACTTTTAACAGCGCATTGTGGCTGGATCTATGATTCTTGGTCAAATCACCAGCATCAGTGCCCACGAAATTGCAGTTTCTCTACCGAATGGCCTTGTTGGCTTCGTCCCTCTTACCTCCGTCTCAAAGGTCCTTGATGATAAAATCGAGAAGCTGCTCAACGATGAGGGCAGTGATGATGAGGATAGCTCGGATGAAGATTCTATCGACCTCAAGGACTACTTCTACATCGGACAGTATCTCCGTACCTATGTCGTTTCCACTGGTACTGAGGCTGCTGAGGCCGGTGTTCGCAGCAAGAAGCGTCTCGAGCTTGCAATTGATCCCAGAAAGGCAAACACTGGTCTCTCTAAATCTGACTTAGTGGTTGAGTCGGCTATTCAGGCCTCCGTTATCAGTGTGGAAGACCACGGTCTGGTTATGGACCTTGGCATTGAAGGTGCAGAGCTGAAGGGCTTCATGTCCTCGAAGGAAGTCGACCCGCGCGTGGATTACCACAGCATTAAAGAAGGATCCGTCTACTTGTGTATGGTCACCGGCCAAAATTCCAGCGGTAACGTGATCAAGCTTTCTACCAATCTTCAGTCCGCTGCTTCTATCAAAAAGTCCCACTTCCTCAGCGCTGCCCCCACAATCGGCACCTTCCTGCCCGGTGTTGCTGCTGAAATTCTCCTGACTGAGGTCACCGAGAATGGTCTGATGGGTAAGATCATGGGCATGCTTGATGCTACAGTTGACCTGGTTCAATCCGGTGCCAACGACGGAAAGCTTGACCTGGTGCGAAAGTACAAGATGGGAGCCAAGATCAAGGGTCGTATCATCTCAACTTTCCCATCCGCCGAACCTTTCAAGGTTGGCTTTTCTATCCTGGACCATGTCCTCAAACTCTCCTCCGAGTCCTATGGCCCTGGCTCGTCTACTGAGGCACCTGCTATCTCCGCAATCATCCCTGAAGCCAAGGTTATCAAGGTTGACCCTGGTATGGGTGTCTACGTTCAGATCGGAGAGACCAAGCACATTGGATTTGTCCACATCTCAAGACTGTCAGATGGCAAGGTTGAGTCAATCTCGGATGACGAGGGTGCATTCCAGATTGGTGCTACTCACGAAGCCCGAATTGTCGGCTACAACACACTGGACAACCTTTACCTTCTCTCTTTTGAAAAGACTGTCATTGAACAGCCATTCCTCCGCCTCGAGGATGTCACCGTCGGTGCCATTGTTAAAGGAAAGGTCGCTAAGCTTTTGGTCGGACCCACTGGCATGGATGGTTTGATCGTTGACCTTGCAGATGGTATTTCGGGTCTTGTTCCATCTATGCATTTTGCGGACTCCCAGCTTCAGTTCCCAGAGAAGAAGTTCCGTGAGGGCATGAAGATCTCTGCAAGAATTTTGTCCGTCAACCTGGAGAAGCGTCAAATTCGGTTGACACTGAAGAAGAGTTTGCTGAACAGTGAATCCGCCATCTGGAAAGACTACAAGGATATCCTGGCCGGTGCTCAGTCTCCCGGAACCATTGTCAACCTCCAGGCCCACGGTGCTGTCGTTCAGTTCTACGGTTCTATCCGTGGTTTCCTTCCTGTGTCTGAAATGAGTGAGGCCTACATTAAGGACCCCGCCCAACATTTCAAGCTCGGTCAGGTTGTCAATGTGCATGCCCTTAGTGTGGATGCTTCCCAGGGTAGACTTGCAGTTTCTTGCAAGGACCCTTCCACCTTCACTGAGAAATACCGCAAGGCCTTTGAAGATATTCACCCCGGTCTACTCCTTGCAGGAACTGTCTTCGAGAAGTCCAACGATGATGTACTACTCAAGCTTGACGAATCTGGACTTGTCGCTCGTTTGGACGTGCAGCACATCATCGATGGTTCCCCGTCTAAGCAGAGCTCTACGTTATCGAAGATCCGTGTCGGCCAGAAGCTGAACGATCTCATGGTTCTCGACATCCAGCGTGCTCACCGTCTTATCCGAGTCACTTCCAGAGCTAGCCTCAAGAAGGCCGTTAAGCAAAAGACTATGCCCAGCAAATTCACTGACCTTCAACAGGGCAAAACCGTTACCGGTTTTGTCCGCAACATTACTCCCGCTGGGTTATTCATTGAGTTCCTGGGTGGTCTGACTGGTCTTGTTCCCAAGCGTCTGATCGAAGAAGCCAACCTTTCTCAGGTTGAATTTGGAATGTCGAAGGGTCAGACCATCACAGTGACAGTTCACTCCGTCGAAAGTGACGTTCAGCGTTTCATTTTGAGCCAAAAGTCCGCCGAGGCCACTACAGAGGGATCCAAAAAGACCAAGACTCTCAATCAGCCCGATAACGCTCTCGTTAACGCAGTTGACGAGTCGGTCAAGACGCTTTCCGACCTCACCTTTGGCAGACTTGTCAAGTGCAAGATTGTCTCTATCAAGTCGACTCAAGTCAATGTTCAGCTTGCAGATAACATCCAGGGCCGTATCGACGTCTCTGAAGTTTTCGACAAGTGGGATGATCTTAAGGATCGGAAGCAGCCCCTCCGCTTTTTCAAGGCCAAGCAGGAGCTGTCCGCCAGAATCCTGGGTGTTCACGATGCCCGTAGCCACAAGTTCCTTCCTATCTCCCACCGCAGCGGCAAGTACCCTGTCTTCGAGCTTTCTCTTAAGCCAAGCTTCATTAAGGCTGCCAACCCAGAGCCATTGAACATGGATCAGGTCAAGGTCGGATCATCCTGGATGGGCTTTGTCAACAACGTTGCTGAAGACAGCCTCTGGATCAATCTGTCTCCCAACGTTCGCGGCAGACTGCGCTTTATGGATGCGTCGGATGACTTGTCTCTTTTGACTGATGTTGAGAAGAACTTCCCCATTGGATCCGCACTTAAGGTTCAAGTCACTGCTGTCAACGCCGATAAGGGTCACTTGGATCTTTCTGCCAAGCAGGGCATTGATAAGCTTTCTTTCGATGACATCTCGGTCGGCATGATCTTGCCTGGTCGTGTCACCAAGGTGACTGAGAAGCAGGTGATCATGCAGCTTAATGATGCGCTTGTTGGTGCTGTCAATATGCTGGACCTTGCCGATGATTACTCCAAGGCCAACCCGACTGTGCACCAAAAGAACGAGGTCCTGCGGGCATGCGTCGTTGCCGTTGACAAGGCTCACAAGAAGATCAATCTGTCTCTTCGTCCGTCCAAGGTCATGAGCTCGTCTCTCCCTGTTCAGGATCGTGAGATCTCTTCTATCAAGGACCTCAAGCCCAATGATGTCGTCCGAGGCTTTGTCAAGCGCGTTGCGGACTCTGGCCTCTTCGTGGCTGTTGGTCAAGATGTCACCGCCTACGCTCGTGTCTCTGATCTCTCTGATTCATACCTCAAGGAGTGGAAGGACTCTTTCCAAGTGGATCAGCTTGTTAAGGGCCGTGTCATTGTGGCTGATGCCGAGCAAAACAAGCTGCAAATCAGCTTGAAGGAGTCCGCCCTGGACCCCAACTTTAAGGCTCTCGTCACTCTGCAAGATCTTAAGGTTGGCGAGATTGTCACTGGTAAGGTCCGCAAGGTTGAGGAGTTCGGTGCTTTCATTGTTGTCGATGGATCCAAGAATGTCAGTGGCCTCTGTCACCGTAGTGAGATGGCCGACAAGCGTGTCGAAGATGCTCGCAAGCTGTACGATGCAGGCGATGCTGTCAAGGCCAAGGTCATCAAGATCGATCGCGAGGCAGGAAAGGTCTCATTCTCCCTCAAGGCCTCCCACTTCCAAGATGAGGAGAGTGAAGACGAGGATATGAGTGAAGATGGTATCGGCGGTGTCGAGCTTGGAGAAGACGACAGCGATGACGATGACGATGATGACGTCTCCATGGGCGGTGTGGACGTGGAAGATGAAAGCGATGAAGATGAGGATGAGGATGATGAGGAAATTGAGAGCGATGACGAAGATGTTGCTATGACTGGTAACAAGCCCTCCAAGGTTGGCGGACTCGGTGCTTCTGGTTTCGACTGGAGTGGCAACGCTCAGGACGCGGCCGAGGCTGCAAGCCCCGACAGTGATGATGATGGCTCCAAGAAAAAGAAGAAGAAGAACCGTAAGGCTGAGATCCAGGTTGACCGCACCGGCGACTTGGATGCCAACGGCCCGCAGTCCGTTGCTGACTACGAGCGTCTTCTCCTTGGTGAGTCCGACTCCTCGCTGCTGTGGCTGCAGTACATGGCCTTCCAGCTGGAGTTGGGTGAGGTCGAGAAGGCTCGCACCATTGCTGAGCGTGCTCTCCGTACTATCACCATGGGTCAGGATGCCGAGAAACTGAACATCTGGGTGGCATTGTTGAACTTGGAGAACACATACGGCGACGACGATAGCCTCGAGGAGGTGTTCAAGCGTGCCTGCCAGTTCAACGATCCCCAAGAGATCTACGAGCGCATGATCAGCATCTACATTCAGTCCGGAAAGAACGAGGTATGTTTACCCCTCACTAATACGATTTCGCTCGGTACTAATAATTCCCTACAGAAAGCGGATGACCTCTTCCGAACTGCCATGAAGAAGAAGATCTCGAACCAGTCTCCCAAGTTCTTCCTCAACTACGCCACCTTCCTCTTCGACACCTTGGCTGTTCCCGAGCGAGGCCGTGGTTTGCTCGGACGTGCCCTGCAGTCGCTTCCCCCTCACACACACGTTGAAACCACTTCCAAGTTTGCGCAGCTGGAGTTCCGATCACCCAACGGTGATTCCGAGCGCGGCCGCACCGTGTTCGAGGGGCTGCTGTCCTCGTTCCCCAAGCGCATTGACCTGTGGAACGTGCTTCTGGATCTGGAGATCAGTGCTGGCGATGTTGAGCAAGTGCGCCGTCTGTTTGAGCGTGTACTTGGTCTGCAGAACAAGAAGGGCAAAATCAGCGTTGACGCTAGCAAGAAGCTTAAGCCCAAGCAGGCCAAGTTCCTATTCAAGAAGTGGCTTGCTTTTGAGGAGACCCTCGCTGCCGCCAACGGAAACGAGAAGATCGTCGAGGACATCAAGGCGCGGGCTGCGGCCTACGTCAAGTCTCTTCAGGAATAGTCTGTACCAAATCTTGTTTCTCTGTTTCCTCCAAAAAAAAAAAGAACCGGGGCCCATGTTTGTGGAACCCGTGGGTGTTTGGGATCATAGCATTCGTTGTATATAGAGCGCCAATAGCAGATCTGCCGATATTTTCCTAGTTTATAGTTTGCGCATGATGAACTTGCAACCACTTAGAATCCAGTAACAGCCTTATGATAAGCCCAGACCATCCAAGGAACAGTCTAAAGTATATAACCGTTGGTCTAGTGTGCCTGATGGTGGCTAACGATATGGATTCTCGTTGGTTGACAGTCAATTCAGAGATGCAGATGTTCCACAATCTGCATCCAATCAACCGCGCCATCTCCACAACATGGCTGGACCCATTGGGGTTTGTCCGCCTCCAACTTTGGTTACCAAAAAAAGAACCAAAGGTATTAGTTTGTCCGCATGGAGGGGAACAAGATATAACATTATCCAGTGGTGCAACTTCTTCTCTTGTCAACCCTTGTCCACCTCCTCCAACTCTCGGCAATGGCGGTCGCATTCCGATCCCAGGGCGGAGAAGCCTCCCGCGATCCCTCCGACGGTCTGTTAGAGTCCTATGAGGCTTACACAGACTCTCCAAATGCCAGCAATGAGGTGAACAAACCGAGTGTGCAGGTACACTCCGTCCCCCAAGGTCAAGTGGGGCGCCGCACCCGGTGGCGTCAGTCGCTGGACTGGATTCATTCGTTCTCACCGCGCCGGAACATTGACGAGGAGGAGGACCTGCCCTTACTAGCAGAACCACAGCGCAAAAAGCGATCGTGTCGCTCGCGCTACTGGCACTACTTTTTGCGCACGCTAACCGCATTCTTTATCATGTTGTATGTCCGACCCGGACCATCATTGCAATTCGGTCCGATCCGATCCGATCACCCCGGATCTGGATCTTAATCGCAGCTAGTTAACACTCTTCGCGTTCTAGGGGCATCATCCAATTCATTTCTCTCGCCTGTGGTATCGTCCTTACATTCTTCCCCGACGAATACGACCGAGCAGCCCCCAACTGGGCTCGCACCGGCAACCAGATCGATGTCAAGGACATCAATCACTGGCCTACAGATATCTCCCGCGATATCATCCCATTTGGCTGCCACTCTCATAATGACTACTGGCGCCGTGTCCCGCTCTACTCGGCACTGCAGGCGGGCTGCATTGGCATCGAGGCAGATGTCTGGCTATTCGATAACCAACTCTACGTCGGTCATACCACCACTTCTTTAACATCGCGCCGCACCCTGCGCTCGATGTACGTCGACCCCCTTGTCCGTATCCTCGAACGCCAGAACCCTATTACCCCGTTCCAGCGCTTCATCAGCCAGCCTCCGCATGGCGTCTTCGACACAGACCCTGAACAGACGCTGATCCTTCTCATCGATTTCAAAACCGACGGCGCAGCCACATGGCCTGTAGTTGCTAGCCATCTAGCTCCGCTGCGAGACCGGGGTTACCTCACACATTTCAATGGGCATGAAGTTATCCAAGGACCTATTACCGTCGTCGGAACTGGCAACACGCCCTTTGATCTGACTATCGCGAATTCCACGTACCGGGATATCTTCTTTGATGCACCACTAGCCAAACTAGTCGATGCCGATAAACCAGATGATGGACATTCATCTCTATCTTCTACCGGTGGTCAAGGCTTATCCGGCATGCCGGATATCATTACTGCGAATACGTTCAATGCTACGAACAGCTATTACGCTTCTGTGGATTTCATGTCTGCAATTGGATTTCCATGGCCATTTCATTTCTCACAACGTCAAATCGAGTTGATTCGTACCCATGTGCGGATTGCGCATCAGCATGGTCTCAAGGTGAGGTATTGGGGGATACCGAGCTGGCCAAGGAGCTTGCGTAATCATATTTGGCGGATTCTTGCGCAGGAAGGTGTTGATATGTTGAATGTGGATGATTTGGTTGAGGCTACTAAGGGGACTTGGGAGATTAAGATCTTTGATTGGTGGAAGTAGATCTGGGGAATTGGGATGAATGATGAATTTTTACTATTTATTTGAGGCTTTACAGGCGTTGGAGTTGCGATTTTAGATACCTTTTTCGTTTTCTTACATAGACTTCTATTGCTATACATCTTCTATATCCTATGGAATGAAATTCAAATATTGAAGAGCATCTAGTACTTGGGATATTCTTTGAAGAAGAAGCTGCGGTGTGTGAGAGGTAGACTACACTGCCAGCCTAGCAGTACCAGGTTATCACTTTATCACTTCTGGGGAAAGTGTAGATACGTTTACATCATCCTAATTACCTTGCTATGTAGATGCGAGTTATTCAATGGCGGCAACATGGGATCACGAGAGAATTTAGCCGAAGTGTATACATGAAAGGCTTCTTCTAGACGCACTCGAGATCAGCTTGATCAAACTCTTCTTTTTTTCTCAGTCTCCAACTCTATTTTGCCTGGCGCTGTTTAGTATAAAAGTCACCTGTTGACCCATTTAAATGAACTAGATAGCAGACTGGAAAAGTGGGTGAACCGGTATCAAATTGCTTAATTATGACTCAAATCCCGGTAACTTGGGGTGTGCACTTCATGTGCCTCGACTTAGGCGATTGCCTCCAAATGATTCAATCACATGCATGGCTGAAATAGCAGTACAAGAATATCAAAACAGGCGAGGACCAATGAGGCCCAGAAGGTAAAGAACCCCACAAGGGGAGGTTCTGGGGGTATCATCGGTAAAATATTTTTTTGCACATGAAATTTGGGACAAAAGGCGTGGCACTTAAAGACAGAAGAGTGCCTCTTCGCCGAATTCGCGCGCGATGCTCCCTTCTTCACGGAGCAAACCGCCAAGCCAGACCTTGGCTGTCTCAAAGTCCTTGGCACCAAACTTAACCAACACGAAACCTGCGCGCACACGCGCAGCTGTCCAAGTAACGTCACCCTGGGTGCTGAGTGAGGGTTCTGGGGCTGATGATTCAGAAGACCAATTTCGACTACCAATACGTGGCTGTGATGTGAATTGGTGCATGAAGTAGGCACCGAGAGAATCGAAGACGGGCCCGGACAGAATCAACGTACCCACGACTCCATGCGGCCGTGTCCGTTCTTGAATAACATTCAATGGCACAAGACCAGCCTGAGGCGGTGGAGTTTCTGCGTGGATTGAATGGCTATTTGAACCGGTGCCACCTATATCCAGGTCTTCGTCGTCGTCCGCGTCTATGGCTTCGGATTCATCGTCTAAGATGACAGAGTCACGGAGCAAAAGCCTACTCTTGCCGGTTTTCTCGTCTGAAGCCCAGACTTCGTTCCGGCCCTTCCAGAATCGGAAATTCCAGTTTTCGCCGCGCGATGTGCGACCCTGCGTTACCCAGTCTAGCACGCAAAGACTACTGCGCTGGTCACCCTTGGCTGTGGCATCGACGGTGAACGTTTGGACCTGCGCGTAGCGGCTGTCCTTGTAGGGTACAGATGGATCAGGCAGGTAACAGATAGCAGCCTGGCGGCCAATCTTCACATCTAATGATTGCTGACTCATGTCTGAGATCCGTGGGTTGGCGGGCAAATTCTTACGGTGACCCTTAATAACGTTGAAATTTGAGTCGGTGTTGGAATCTGTCTTGAAGATCTTGGTGCTTCCTTGTGGGGTGGTAACGACCATTCTGGTGCGGGGATCAAGCTTAATCGACACCTCGATATGGTCACCTGGCAGCAGGCCGCCGCCGTAGGTGAGGAGATAAAGATGAACGGGCATTGACGGGCATTTGTCTGACAGTGCAGCTGGGTCGGGCTCTGGGATAAACCCTGGCGCCCTTGGAACCAGCTTCAATGGGTATTTGTAGGTGAGAGTGGTGAGGGTGGGGTTGTTAGGCGGGAGGAGAGAGAGAACGACGTTGCCCTGACCCGGTTTCGCTATTGAGGACTCAAAGGGCGAGCGGATAGGCATTGTTGGTTGTCGCATAGTGGCGGTTGTGATGTGATATCGGTGTTTTCAACTTTGGGAGAAGAGTTTTGAGGGCTAGGATTCGAGTTGAGAGGGGTGGAATGGAGGAGTTTATCTCGACGGGGCCGGAGAACAGGGAATGCGCCAAGAGGGCATGAATGTCGGAATCAGCAAATTGTCTGGGTGATGCAAGGATATGCAGTCTGCAGCATGATGTTTTGCAGGAGTGAGTAGAGTTTTTACCCCGGAGTTTTAGGGATGTTACTGGTATATAATTTTAGCACGGGTGATGATGGCATCTATTAGTCAATGGCGGAACCCACCTACAGCCTGGGTGGCTCGTTTCTTGGACTATGTGTCAAGCGGGGTCCCTCCTGACTTCTCGTGCATCAATTTTCCTTGGCTCCGTAAGACCGGACGACAATGGTTTGAAGAGTGGACGCATCGAGTAGTTTCTATGACACATTTATTCCCCACAGTCCGTCTGGCCTGGCTCCACGTGATGTCGCTCAACCAATGACTAGCGTGATCACCGGTCCCGTGATATAGCCGAACGGGGCGTTTATGTAATTTATTGCCTGTATATTCAGGCGCCACTATTGTGCAATCGTACTGGAGGTGCCACATCATGCCCCTATGGCCCAATTTGACGGATTATACTCGCCGGAATTCTCAAAATGGATCTAGATGGTTAGGCTTCCAGTCTTGGATTCGGCTGATGCTGCTTTTTAGTCTAAACCCCTAAATTAAAATGGCTCAGCTCACCTGACGTGTCTAGCAGATCCTGTCTAGCCCTGGCGATCTTACCGATCCGCCAAGTCCTCCCGAGGTCCGCTCCACAGCCACCGAAAATGGGGTAAAGACAACTCCTCAGCAGGGGTAAAGTCAAAGAATTGAGAACCATGGAATGAAATGAATTTGAATACAACATTTGGTGGTTATGATTACTGACAAAGCAGGTGCCCAAGCGTATATATGTCCACCCGATCTGCTTTTCTGTTCTAGTATGTATACTTGTGGAACAACTATGTCCCCTTTGCGCAAGGCGTTTGATGTATAAAACAAGTCATCATTACAATCATTAGCATGAATTCACACAAGCCATCTGCTAACTACTAGATCTGGTATTGACGAAAGCCTTGGGTTAGAAACTTTATGGATTATACATTTGATAATGAATCTAGGGGCTGATGGCCATTATATCGGCCATTCTACTGTGATCTCAGATGCTATATATATCAAGTGCATACAATAGTTACGAGTAAGAGAACCAGCCTAAAGCTGGGTTTATAAAGATTCTGTGTGTCCATTCATGTGCTATTGTTTTACAATGCAACTTAATAGATCAACAAATTTTGCTCTAGGCGACATGACGTTATAGCATACCTGGTCCACTATGGAGCGGCGGGGAAAGCCTTCATACTGTATTTTTATACAGTATTCATATTGAGACTCCATTGGGACGTTTTGAATGAACGAATTAAAATATATCTTGAATTATAGCATACTATGTGTGTATCACATGGATATGGAACAGCATCCATGGACTAAAAAAAAGAGTGGCCAATGATTACTAGGCATTGAAATTGCCATGTTGAATAATGTGAATGGCCCCAGGCCAACAAAAAGAAAATACAGATGACAAGAGTGGGATTTGAACCCACGCCCCGAAAACGAGATGCGGAAATCTGGATCAGGTGAACCTGAACCGCACGCCTTGGACCAACTCGGCCATCTTGCCAATTGATATGTAAGCGGTCCTACTTTGGTTCTATAACTAAGAACAGAGACAATGCTAAGGTGATTCAGGCACGCAGGCAACGAGGCGCGTCTACCTCCTTTACGCTTCGCTCCAGATCCCCCGCTCTCTTGCTCCATCGGGCCCTTCTTTTTTTCCCACCCACCCATTCCTCCTACGTACCTGTGGGGCATTGATCTGATTTTCCTTTGATTTGATCATTCAACCCTATCCGCTCGGGCCTGATCCCTTCGTCGCCTGACAATTTGTCCAAATTCGTTTGCTGTTGTTGCACGGCGCGTTCCACGGAGCGCGTGTCGACCTGACGTACGGCGCTTCTAACCTCTTTTCACAGACATCCACCGAACTGAGACACATTCTTCTTCTGTCATTAGTCGCGAGATATCTCTCCAACATCATAAGACACTATGGAGGTGGACAGCCCTACCGATCCGTCATCCACTCCCGCGGAGGACCGGCGCAAATCAGGTCGAATGACGCGGCGACCAGACATTTTCTCGCAAAGTACACATTCATCCCATGAACTGAACGCCAGTGGAAAGCGAAAGCGCGGGGATGCGCAAGGCGCCGAGGATAGTGACAATGCGATGTCGGATTCGGAGAGCGATGATCCGATCGAGGATGATACCGACGAGGAGGAGTTAAGAGAAAGGCAACGCGCCGCTCGCAAGGCCGGATCCACAAAGAAAAACACCTCAAAGAAATCATCACATGCATCCAAGAAACCAAAGGTTACAGGCAACGGGGTGAGGAGACAACTTGCCTTCCGGCCCGCCGTCAATGGCGGACTCCCGGCCTCGCGCCCTCGCAAACCAAAGGTACGACCTAGCTTAGCGGCAGGCGAGCGTGGACTATATGGTAGGTTCATACTTCCAATACTTATATAACGTTTAACTCACAAAGAAAATTTAGCCGAGGTCTTTGGCAAAAGCAACAATGCCGACACGGTGGCTGCGCAGTTCCTAAACCTATACCAGCGCGAGAATGGAACGGCAATTCGAGATCTGATCAACTTCGTGATTAGATGCACCGGATCTGACCTGGAGATCACCACGGAGGATGTGGAAGATGTTGATCATGCGCCCAAACGAATCCAAGATTTGCAGAATACCTACCAAATGGAAGGCTTCACCGAGTACCCTCTGATATCTCGAGCAAAGAAGTACAGAGCTTTCCAACCCGTCCTCGAAGAGTTCACAGTCGCGCTCATTCAGACCTTCCACCATTCATCAGTCTTGTACACCGACGAGTCCCTTATGGAGAACATCCAAATTTGGCTTTCCTCTATGTCAACTGCCAACTGCCGTCCATTCCGGCATACTGCAACTGTTATCTCCCTAGCAATCATGAACGCCTTATGTGATATTGCACGTGAGGTTACAACGACACTGTCAACTTCTCGCAAACAGCTTGAGAGTGAGAAGAAAAAGAAGTCCATGAATAAAGGCAGAGTAGACGCGATCCAAAAGTCTATTTCGGAAGGAGAAGAAAAGGGGCAGCAATTGGACGATCTCTTGCAGGACGGCTTTGACACTGTATTTGTCCATCGTTATCGCGACGTCGACGGCAATATCCGAGCAGAGTGTATTGCCGCCTTGGGCGGATGGATTCGCACATACCGGGAGTTTTTCTTTGAAGGTCAATACCTGCGATATATTGGATGGACTCTCGCCGATGTCGTTCCGGGTACTCGGCTGATCGCATTGTCGCAACTACTTCCCCTCTACGAGAACAAGGACAATATCGGTGTTCTCCATTCTTTCACCGAGCGTTTCCGTCAGCGTATCGTTGAGATTGCCGTTCAAGACGCCGAGATTACCGTGCGGATTGCCGCTGTCGAGCTGCTGATTCATCTCCGAGATGGGGGATTGCTTGAACCAGACGATATTGACGCTATTGGACGTTTAGTCTTTGATGTTGACCCTCGAATTCGGAAGACTGCAGGCCAGTTCTTTGTTGCAAACGTCCAGGATGCGTTCGAGGCGATTACAGAAGAAGTAGAAGATGAACTTAATGAGATGTTTCCCGATGATGATGAGGATGATTACGAATCACCCAAACGCTCATGGATCAAGTTCAAGTGTCTGGCCGACATATTCCAGGCCTATGATGCACAGGAGGGCGAACAACCGGAGGTTCCTATTACCTCCCGAGGTGTCCTTTCGGGAGCTCCAGCGAGTTCACGATTCGTTTTAGCTACTGAAGCCATTTACCTCCACATGGGAGAGCTCTCTCAATGGCAGTCTCTGGCTGGGTACCTACTTTATGACCACTCCCAAATCGCCGATGATCCGCCGGAGGATGATACTACGGGAATCGTTCGCAATTTGTACAAGATGCAGGAAGGATTAGAATCCGTTCTTCTTGAAGTCCTCTGTGCTTCAGTCAAACTCCGGGTACTTGACATTGCAAAATCTGACATTGACAAACGGGGGCGTAAGGTCAAGGCGCTAACAGCCAAGATCCCTGAGCTCCAGGAGGAGATTTCTCACAACCTTGCTCAAATCATTCCTCAACTTCTCAACAAATTTGGCTCCTCCCCAGAAGCTGCATCTGCTGTTCTACGACTGGAACATCTGGTGGACCTCGATACCATCCAAGATCTTCAAAAGGATGCCACGGCGTACGCCTCTTTGCTTAATGACATTAACCGGCAATTTCTGACCCATTCTGATCAAGATGTCTTGGCAGAAGCTAGCGTGGCTTTCCTGCACGCAAAGAGTTCTGAAGAAATGCGGGAGGCACTTGAAGGCAAAATCCAGGAACTATGGGATGATTTGGTGGAGGCCCTCGGTGTTTTATCTCGCAAGAAGGAGGTTCAGAACGGCAGCTCCATCGCCGATCCAACTTTGACAGAACTCGCCAATACCGTGACACGCATTTCGAACCTTGCTGGTATCACGGACAGTACCGCGATTCTGGAAACAGTGCCCACCTCGCATTCGAGGTCTAAGAAAGACCACCCCGAGGCTCCCTTCAATACCCTGATTCATCTTACTATGCGTGGCACCCGTGGACAAGTTGACGATGAAGATGTTGCCAGCGCAGAAACTGAGCTGGTGACCCACAGCATTAACACATTGTTATTCTACTTTATGTGGAAAGTACAGGCTCTATCATCTGCCTTGAAAGAGGGCAAGGCCTCTTTCAACACGTCTTACTTTGAAGCACTTACAAAAAGCCGTGAGACTTTTGCATCATCACTTCTGCAGATCATCAAGAGTCGACCTGGTCTTGATGATGTACGCTTTGTTGCTACTACCACATACCTTGATCTTCAAACACTATTCAGCACACTCCGCAATATGGGCCAAGGCATCGGAAACAACGAAGATGTTATCTTCCAGACCCAAAGCCTGGTACATGAAACCTCATCAGAGGCCCAGGCTCTCATCACCAAGGTTCACGGCATTGCCGAGCGCACATTCGCCAAGAAACTTGGCCAAGATCTCGAGCTCGCCGAAGATGATGAACCGGAATCCGAAGACGAGCCCGAGGACGATGACGAGGGCAATGATTCCGAAGATGAGGCCATGATCAGCGAGCGACTTCGGTCCAGTATCATTGCTGAGCAGCGCCTCTGCGAGTTGACCGGTAAGATCGTCCTGGCCATTATTGGCCGGGTCATCGATGCCTCTGGCTCAAAACGCGGTGCATTGAAGAAGCGCTTGCTCCGCAACAAGACTTCCCTTGGTCAAAATTACCGCGAGGTCTTGTCATACATGGAAGAACGAAAGCCTCGCAGTGCACCCCGCAGCAAGGGTAAACAGCCTGCCAAGCCAACAGCCGAGGGTCAGACACTCGATGGTCCTGGAGGCAAGGATTTCAAGTCCGCCGAACACGTGGATGATGAAGATAGTGACCACCCTGACCCAGCGGAAGAGGATGACGAAGAAGACCTGCGAGCCCGCGAACTCGTCGAAGAAGACATTGATCGCGACAATGATGAGAACGAGGAGTTGAATAACGGCACGCCCGAACCGGATGAGGACGAGGTTATGGGCGACTAAGCTAGGTCGATGGCCGCTATTATGTTCATGAGCTATTCACTTGTCCCTTTTCACCTTTACATTTCAATGTCTAAAATTTTTGCTTGCGCTTGCTGGAGGGATGAGGCCTATTGTATGCTACGCGGATTTTCTATCTCTTACTGTTTCTACCTTTATTGGAGTAAATGTCACCTGCACTTGATTTACATAATCATGATCTTGTTCAACTACCGTGTCGGCTTACTTTGTTAAAGATTAGAGGAACCGGGGCTCCGAGCAGTCTGAAAATAAAAGGTGGTGCTAGAGGCCTACGGACTCGGAAACCCTCGTTGATTAGAACGGGCAAAAATAGAAATCTGGCTTTAAAGAGTAAATGGGGAACAGTACGGAAGCCAAGGAGTGTGTGTGGGTTCAAAATTCAATGAAGAGCAAAAAGATACTGTAGGAGTCAAAGGATCACCCTTTGAAAGCCAGTTGGGGTGCATCAAGTTGTCCATCTGGGACCTGAACATCGAACCCAGGGGACCACCAAGATACAGCCAAAAAAAAAAAAAAAACGGCGACCTCCTGGGATTGATATTTGCTCTTTTGGAAAACTGGATTAGCTTGGTATTGAGCCATGTAGCTCCACGCTGGCGGCCTGTATTGGAACTTCAGTCTTGAATGATCGTAGATACTCGGAAGGTTGTACTGAGAGGGATTGTTGGTTCATATGCGATGAAAATCAAGAGGTTGATCTTGCACAAGCTCGCTAAATATGGTGATCTCAACTGAAATTGACCTGACTTGTGATTTCAGCTGGAATTTCAAATATAGGTCGCTATCGTGGACCTCGTGACATGGTGCGTGGTGATCAGCAATATTGGGCCAGATGCTGTAGGTAGCATTGATTTCCAAGTTACTGCGTCCCCTGTAAAGACAGCGTCATGTGGTGCCACCTCATAACCCTGGAGAGAATACTAGTAGCCATCATCTTATCTAGAGCAGAAATTACGGGTTGTTTTGAACGAAGAATTGGCTTTTGGTTCTGGCAAACTGCGATAGATACGGGAACAGCGTAGCATAATCGACAACCATGGTCAGAAAACATGGCTTGGCTAGAACTATCGGCAATAGTGATCAATCACCAGATTATATCATTGCAGGCAATAACATCTCCAATGTAAGATCGCCAAGAGACACGCCCCTGATGCCAGCGAGCAAGTGTTCTCTTGAATGGAACCAAGATCCCCCACGAGAAACACGAGCAGATCGAGAGATAGGGTGGGAGGGTGACATTAACATAAAAGAAAAAACCGATCCTGCAAACAAATACGCCTGTGTATGAGGATGCTAAAAAAAGGGGGGGATAGGGGTTACATGACGGTGAATCTTGTTTATCGTGAATCACAAAATGGGGATGATGAAATGGCGAAAGGGGGAAGGGGAGGGGTAGTGAAAATCGTGACAAGTGACAAGGAGCCCAAGGAAGAAGAAGAAAGATAGAACAAAACCCCAGCACCGTAATATAACGATAACGAGATTGAAAAGGTGGTTGGTTAGTGGAGAAAAAAAAAACCACTTCTTTACATGTCCATGGAGTCACCACCGTTGGCGAAGTTAAATCCACCAGCGGGCTGCTGCTGACCGGTACCGAGGGTGAAGCCGGTCTGGGTTTGCTGGGGAGCCAGCTCGTCAATGTCACCGGCAGCCTCATCCTCGTCGGAGAAGTACTTCTCGATGATGTTGTAAGCCTTCATGTAGATCTCCTCGTTGGCGTTGTTCTGGCAGTCGTGGATCTTCTCCATACCACCAGCCTCCTCGATGAAGAGGGCGTAGCGGTTGACGCGAGCTTCACCCTGACCAGCCTCCTTGTCCATCTCGCCGACCTTGAGAATGTTCTCCAGGCCATCAAGAGCAACTTGAATGATCTTGTTGTCGGGGCAAGCCAAAAGGTCACAGAGGGGCTTGATGCAACCTTGGGAAACAAGGTAGCGAATCTGATCAGGCTTCTGCAAACCACCGGAGGTGGCGTTGGAGATGGCCCAGCAGGCCTCCTTGCGGGTCTTGAAATCACCGTTGGCGAGCAGGTTGATCAACGGGGCAATGATGCCAGCGTCAATGACAGACTGGATTTGGCTAGAGTTACCGGCAGTGACGTTGGAGATAGTCCAGCAAGCCTCCTTGCGGATACCGTCCTTGGTGGAGCTCAAGAGGGACAGAAGAGCGGGAAGAGAGCCGCAGTTAATGATGACCTGAGTCTGAACGTCATCACCAGTGACAATGTTTCCGACAGAGCGGAGGGCAGGGGTCTGAACAGAGGTTGAAGCGTGCATGAGGAGCTCCACGAGGCGGCGGGGGATACCGGCCTCGATGACGGCCTGGATCTTGTCGTTGGCACCATCGGAAAGGTAAGAGATGGCCCAGCAAGCATCAATCAGGACCTCATCATCCAACATGTAGATGAGCTTGGCAAGGACGGGGAGAGCGGGAGCGATGGTGTTCCAGTCAGGCTGGGGGGTCTTGCCACGGCAGAAGTTGCTCAAAGTCCAGGTCGCGTTGCGGAGCATGCTCAGCTTGCGGCCATCGTTGATGAGGTTCAGGAGGGGGCGCAAAGCACCAGCTCCGAGGACGAAGTCACGGCAGTGAGGGCTATCGCCGGCAATGTTACCAAGGGCCCAAACGGCCTGCTCACGGACATCGGGCTCAGGGCTGCTCAGGAGTTCAACGAAGATCGGGACAGCACCGGCCTCAATGACGACCTGAGTCTGCTGGGCGGAACCAGAGGCAATGTTGGTCAAGGCCCAAGCAGACTCAAATTGAACCAGGGTGTGAGGGGAGCGGAGGAATTCAACGAAGCGGCTGACAACTCCGGTCTCGATAACGCGCTCGATAGGAGGGTTGCGCTCCTTAGATAGCAATTTGCGGAACTTGGTGGTGGCCTGAATTTGCTCCTCAACTTGATCGGAGAAGACACCCTTGACCATCTGGGGGAGCTCGACATTGAGCTAGAAAATCCATCATGTTAGCTTTGGTGTTTGCTTCTCGTTGTGGTTCGAGTTTTTTTATAGTGGGGTTGTGCATAGTAATGGGCCGTGGTGGAGGGGTCGGCCCCATGGCAACAGGGCGGTGAAAAAAAAATTCCATGTTGATGATCGCATAATAAAAACAAAGGGCCAAGAGCGTTGGAAACAAGATACGATGGGATACCATCACCCATAGCGGAGTTTCAAGGCAAGCCCCGAGAAAGAAAAGGGGGAATTAAAGATAGGGGGAGCTTACCTCGCTCTCAATAGCACTAGCCTCATCATCACTCTCAGTGGCGGCAGCCATGCCACCAACACCGACACCACCATCGCGAGTCTGAACACCACGTCGCTTGGCCATGTTCTCCTCACGCTTCTGCTTCCGGATCTCCACCTGCTGTTCCTCGCGGCGGCGGCGGAGCTCATCGGGGCGGAACTGGTTTCTGGCCTTGAACTGCGTCCGGCGGTGCTCGGGGATATAACGTTCCGCCATGTTGGGTGGATTTAATTGCGAAAATGAAGCGCGCCACGAAAATGAGTTGGGAGATAAAGAAATGGGGTAAATGGAGGGCGCGCCGTTGATGGGGAGGAAGGGAAAGAGAGATGTGGGGGAAGGAGAAGAGAAAGAAAGGATTCGTGTGTGCAAGGAGGGGGAGCTGTCACATGATCCCCTCAGCTACTGCGACACATCAAATCAATCCCTTTACTTTCTTTGTATCAGCACTTTCTCCAGATTATCTAGGGAATTTCAAAGCATTTTCATGTTATTGCTTTCAATTGCATTTCCTCAGCTTGAATTTTGGGGCCCCCAGTGTCCAATGGCCCCATGACAGACCTTACTACATTGACCAACCCAAAATTGTGCCCTCTCTTTTTGCTATCCTGGTAGCTCGACTCAAGATATTTCTTTGAAAAGACTTTTTGAAGACCCTGCTGTGCGCAGTCAAACACATAATGCCTGCTGTCGATCCCATAACAAGCATCGAGACTGCATGTCATTCGCGCGGGCTTGCTAGCGTTATCGGCATGGTGGTTTCCAAGCTAGACGTCCGTCACAGCAAAGGCTCTTCATATACTGTCACATTCGAACTTAAAGATTCTAGATTCGATACTCCTGCCTGGGCAGATAGTTTGAAAGTCAGGTTTTTCAACAATGACGAAAGCAAGCTGCCCCATGTTCAGAATAACGATGTAGTCCTTCTCCGGAACATTCGAGTAAGGCTTTGGAAAGTGGACATGAATTCCCAACACCCATGCTGATGTTGATATTCTAGGTAAAAGACTACCAAGGCAGGGACACCGCGACTGTCTTTCAACACGACAATGTCTCTTGGGCGATATTTAGACATGAAGAAGATTCCAGCAAGAGCCCGTCTATCACTACTGGGCCTGGCACGTTCGACCCGACATCAGCAGAAAAAAGCATTGCACTTGCGCTTCTAGAAAAGTACACACCGGAGGTACAAAATAACACCTGGCGAACCGGTCCATCACAAGCAGCTCAGGTTGTCCAGGCTTTTTCATCCCAAAAAAAGTCAGGTCTTCCCATAGTCCTGATTAAAGATATTGAGGCAAGTCGTTTTGTCCAAATCATCGGTCAGGTGGTGAAAGACCATAACTACGAGAGTCATAAGAGTACCATTTGGATCACTGACTACACCGCCAATGACAATCTGAATGATCATAAGAAAGAAGATGAAGAGACAGGGACCGACGGCGACTCTTTTGGCTACTTGAATCATTCAAAGAACTCATGGCCCGGTCCCTGGGGAAAATTGACTATGCAAATCACGCTGTGGGATCCGCATGCCTCGTATTCCCGGGACAATGTCAAACCAGGGGACCTAGTGCTCCTCGGATCTGTCCGCCCTAAATTCAACAGCGGCGGCATCCTTGAAGGCGTCATCCACGAAGACAAAAGGTTTCCTCACAAGGTCCATTTGCGCACTATCTCGAGTGACTATAGTGAAGAGGCCCAAGAGCTTATGAAGCGGAAGAAAGCTTATTGGGAGATCCATGGAAAGCCGAAAAACGAAACCAAGCAGTCCAAGAAACAAAAGAAGAAAGCAACCGAAAAAGAGAAAATCTTGGAAGAGGGCCAGAAGGCACTATCAGCGACTTTGGCCCGGGCGAAGCGAAATTCAAATGTCAAGACACGCGAATTTGGAATTCCAGTGCGCTCCGTGGATTCGATCTTAGCAGCTGATCACCATGTTATATCTCTCCCGGGCGGGATAAGTTACAAATTACCATTTCAAAACGTTGCTTATAACACCATTGCCCGAGTTGTGGACTTCTTTCCCCCAGACTTGGCAGACTTTGCAGTGCAAGTCCGAACAAAAACTATTGTGCACCAAAGCCAAGAACATACGACCTGGGAATGGCGTTTTTGTCTTCTGGTAGAAGGTATTGAACCAGTGGTTTCAAAAGATCAACCACGAGAACAAATGAAGATCTTTGTCTCTGGCGCAGAAGCTGAACATCTGCTTTGCCTGGATCCTACTGAGTAAGTTCCCAGTCCCTTTATCTAACAAGTCTTTGCCTCGCTAAATCTGGACTATACAGTCTCCGTGCAAATCCAAATAATTTGGATGCACTGAGGGAGAAACTCTTCCTCCTCTGGGGCAATCTCGAAGAGAAGAAACGAGAAGGGGCGAATGCAGCTCAGGGCCAAAATTGGACACCACCAGCGGGGCTTTCAGGAGTACCGGTGCAGTGTTGTATTAAGGAGTATGGGGTTCGGTGTGTACATTCCCGAGACCCAGATGCTATGCAAGTCGACGGAGAACCATGTGGTGTGCAGGAGGGGTGTTTTGGATGGGAAAGACGATTTTCTTTGTACGGTACTACGATTCATGAATAACGTCAAACTGGTAAGTAACTATATGTAATATCAACGGGTCATTGCACAATCATAGAATGAAACCTCCGGGACTTCAATTCATGGATATTTTAAAAATTTATAGTTGATACTAATACAATTTATCAATAAAGGCAATACATGGGGTAGATATAGATGGTTTCATCCCATCCACACCTTATAGACCCCATTTTCCAGGGGAAGGTATAGTGAAATCCAATGACCATCAAGCCCATTCCGTGCGCCTGAGTCAACTCCGAAAGAGAAACTCCTCTACCATGAGTATTTCCACCTCTTGACGACACCGAATCGATAACCCCGAAACCAAAGGCCCCAAATAACCTTAAATAGAGAAATAATAAGAGATAGAAAAAAGAAAGAAAAAAACAAGGCGGCAATTCGAAAGAAGGCACTATAATTCCGAAACCCGTCACTAGATTAGACTAGATCTTGGTCACCTTGACGATATTGGTGTCGATGCCATGAGCCACGGGCTCAAAGCGACAACTATCGCCTCTGAAGCAGGTCTTCTTGCCCGGTTCACTCTGCGGGCATCGGTGGCCGTAAATGCATTCAGGGTCATCACATTCCAGTCCAAAGCGACAGGGGGTCATCCGCGCAATGGCAGACAGAATATGAAGTTCTTGCCTGGTCAATTTGCGATCGTGGTCATGATAGCAATTCTCCTCGTTGGGACATTCCCCAAGAAGGAAGTAATAATTGCACAATTTGAGCTTTTTCAATCGATTCAGATCATCCCGAGGGATGCTCTTGAAATCTAGACGGTCCACTCGCTGTCCGTATTTGTTTCGTTCCACTGATTTGACAGGCGTCGACCCAGAACCTTTGGAGCGAACAATCTGGAAGTCGGGGGATTCGTTGCTTGTATTCGGTGTTGACGCTAACGGTTGTGCGCCTAGGCCTGAAGCACTGGTGTTGGTGGATGTGCGGGACAAGGGCGGAGGGTTCTGTAGCTGCTGCGACGGTGATGGGGTGAGCAAGGACCGAGAAGGCAGGCTGCTCTTCCAAGGAGCCACATAAATAGGTGCCACCTTGGATGAACGCAAAACCTCGGGGAATTTGGCAGTCCGAAATGATCCCTTCACCGCATCCAATTCTTTGTCAAATGTCACACCTTCCACAAGCGACACACGCCCGGTAAGATCTCCGTCATTCAATGTCTCATCGAGGAATTGGGCGTATTCGGTATTTGAGGCGCAACCGACGAAGACCTGGTGGCAATGGCAGTTGTAAAGGAAGACCTGGAACATCTCTGCAAGGGAGAAAAACAGGAAATAATTAGCTCGTGGGTCTCCACCGTAAGCGCAGTCTGTCTCTTGCCACAAACCTTGAATTTTATCATAGGCCCTGTTCTTGCCGCAGCCAATATCGATAATCTCCGAGCATGACATGGTCTCATTAAACCCGCGAATAAATTCAGGGACCGTCGAAGGATCCGCGAGAATCCCACTCCGGACACAGGTGTCTGTAAAGCCCTTCACATTCAAGTAAAGCTTGAGTATTATCTTGGGCACATTGACGCTCGGGAGGTTTTTCAACAGATATGTGTGCATGGCCGTGTAAAACTGAGTAGCGGCATTTCGGCCACCCTCTTCGCCCAACTGCAAGAATTCGTCCTTGAAGATTATACCCTCGCCATCTAGGAGTACCACAACAAACGGTTCGCGGTCCTGTGGGAGATATCCGCATCAGCGCAGGCCTAAATTAGATCGGTTGCCACTGTCGCCCACCATTATATTTTTGATCTGGGATATCTGTTGCATGAGCTCCATTTCATGCAGCTGGATATCCCGGTTGAAACGTGTCTCGCGTTCATGGTCCAATTTCTCGCGCTGGAAAGAGTTTTCAAGATCGGTGACTCGTTGAAGGAGTTCCTATCACGAAGCGCATGAGCATTTTCGTTCGAAGAAAAGAAGGGATCATAAGATTACCTCAATGAGCTGATTCTTCTGCTGATCGAGCGCGCCGATCTGACGATAACGATCCAGATATGGTGAGGAATCCATGATGAAAATTATGTCGGTGGTTGAAATGAGTTGAAAAAGATAGGATCGAAGGTTTGGAACGATCAAGGGAACAGATAAAGTTAAAAGGCAAGCTTAGTGCGCGATCAACGCGACAAACAAGTTCTCTCTTTTTCCAGGAGTTAACGGAAATCAAGATTCCACAAAAGTGAACGAGATCTGCAATATACAATCTTTTTCTTCTCTCTTCCTTGAATCACTTGCGTTCCTTTGAACCACTTTTTTGCTAACCAATAAATTTCAATTCCAAAAAATTCTCGATGGACGTGAGAGGCTGAGTCAGCTTCCCCGGGCAAGTGGACCTTGACTGTTTCCCTAATTGCAACGTGTGATCACCCCTACACTTCTTCATCAACTTCCCTTTCACCCACCCAAGATGACTCGCTTTGGTTTCCTCTCCCTGGCCCTGCTCTCTCTTCAGGCCTTCGTTGGCACCGGCTTCGCTGCTGTAAGTCGTCAAATTCTAATCTTGTTCGCGTGACTCTTATGACAACGCGGGAGATAAAGAGATGATCAATTGGCTGACCATTGTCTTCTTGATAGGATGCTGAGAAGGTTGAGGAGGATCGTACCTTCGCTGTCAGTGCGGAGGCATCCTTCCCCTCCTCTGAGATCTTCGGCGTGAAGCTCGTCAACGGTCACCCGACTGAGGCGCTCATCGCTTTCACCAACGAAGAGCCCAACCCGATCACCGTGAACTTTATCGGTGGTAGCCTGTGGACCGTGGAGGAGGAGAGCAAGGCGGTCCGTAACCTGACTGCCACTCGTTACGGCGTCGAGATCCCTGCCAATTCCAAGGAGAGCGTCAGCTACAGCTTCGCCACCGAGATGCACCCCCAGGATCTCCGTCTGAACATCGCTGCCATCCTGTCCGACAGCGAGGGCAAGTTCTTTACCGTCCAGGCCTTCAATGGCACTGTGAGCGTGGTGGAGCCTGAGACTAGCATCTTCGACCCCCAAATGTAGGCCTCCTTTTCCCAATCCTATTCCCCACGTCCTGGCAACCTTGCGCTATGAACCTAATTGACTAATCCAACACGCATATAGTATTTTCCTCTACTTCTTCCTTCTGGCTTGCTTCGCTGGTATCGTCTACTTCTTCTACACTGTGTGGGTTGCCCCCTACTTCCCTCAAAAGCGCAAGAGCGGCAAGTCTGGCGAGAAGCGTACCCCTGCCAAGCGCGCCGAGTCCACCGCTGCCGAGGAGACTTCCAGCCCTGCCGTTTCCTCCGCTACCACCTACAATGCCGACTGGATCCCCTCCCACCACATTGCCCGCCCGGAGGCGCGCAAGGTGAAGGGTGCTGGCAAGTCCAAGGCCCGCTCCTAAGTTTGCATATGACAAGGCCGTCAATGATGGAGAGAAGGGCTAGAAAGGGGAAGGGGTGGAGAAGCATTAGGCTTCTGTCCGAGATCCAGGTATAGAAGGAGGGTTTGGAATATAGGCGCACATGCTGAAAAATGTATGCAAGCCCAGTAATCCGCCTTTCCATGCCGGAACATGTACAATTCTACGAAGGTTGGAAAACCCGATATAGCTTCTCCCTGAAACGGCCATTTTGGACGGTCCTGGGAGAGTGTTCGAATACAAAAATGAAATCCAGCTGCTTTCTGTCGCAAGACATGAGTTTGCGGAGTTAAGCCCTCTTCGGGTTCACAATCTTCTCCATTCCTCGAATTCCCGTTCTAGATGTTCCTTCAGCTGTGTGAACTTGTTGCCGAACCCCTCTCCACACCGCCAGCAGACAAAATCTCGCTTTAGATACCCTTCTGACCCAGGATGCCGTCGCACATCATCTTCAGCCAGCGGAAAGTCTTCAATGGGGACAAAGAACGGCGTCGCGAAGCTATTGTAGTGTTTCCGGTGCTTGAGTCGCTCGCTATGCCTATCCACAGCAATGACATGCACATGTAGATGGTTCATCGAAGGTACGGCGTGAACTCCGCACATAATCTCCTTCTCCCAGTCTCGACCCGCGGGCAGCTCTTCTGGTGCTGGCTCGGCAATAAGAGCAGCCTGTCTAGCTTTCTCCTGTGCAGAGTCCTTGCCATATTTCCGTCTCAATTCAGCGGCAGCCAGAGTGCGCAATTTGTATACCTCGGTCCGAACCTTGGTGAGAAATTCGGCGTCTTCAAAGGCTTCGAAGGGGTGAAGGCGGGTTTTCGTTGGATTGCGAGGGAGGAGCAAAAGGTGAAGCGAAGATTTTGGGAACATGTCATAGATTGCAACGAATTCTTCATTGTAATTTATTACCACGTTGGACGGATAGGTCTCGGGCTTTGCGATGTACGCTCCTAGACCGTCACGTCCATTTCTGAAAGGGTTTTCGGACCGAGGCGTGTGCTTTTCTCGAGAGATCTCAGGCATTGGCTTCGCTTGCTTTTTTCGCGACGAGAGAAGCTCTGTAACTGGGTGGCAGTTAGTGGTTTCGTCGGGTTTATCGATGTATGTTGATCTCACAGGCGTTTCTCTTCTCCGCAGTGTTGCCAGTTTGTTCTTTCGTCTGGTCTTTTGTCGGATCGCTTTTCTGCTCTGTCCCAGTCATTTTGAAATACAGATCAAGTCAATGATCGCACGATTCAAGAAATCCGCTGTGCAGAGAGGAAGATGCAATAGACTTAGAAGTTAACTGGAAGAGCTCCCCGCAAAAAGCCCAAAGCGGTCTAGTGCGGGACAATCCCAGCCCGATTGAATGGAGCGTGAACTGCACTTTTTTGACTCTCGACATTACGAGACAATGCCTCCGAAAAAGAAAGCCAGCAACCCGGGAGGGCCTAAGCCTGGTACTAAACAGGCCAAGGCTGCCGCAGAAATCAAAGACAAGAAGGCCGCAGCCGTGCCCGAAGAGCCCAAAAAACCAACGGTGAAAGAGGTGATTGGCGGCGCATCATGGACGGGCAAATTACCCGTCAATATGCTCTCGGAGCATTGCCAAAAGCAAAAATGGGAGAAGCCAGAGTACAGCATGGTATAGTTCTCATAACCCTAATTTTCCATATAGAGGGCTCGATTCAATACTAACGCGCTGCAAATTGCGTACGATAGATCAATACCTCAAATGGCCATGTATCCGCCGTGACGATGAAACGAGTAGACCCGAAAACTCGCGAATTGACCGTTCTCCCTCCGATGAAATTGCCTCCATCACATAAGGAACTAGCGGCGCAGGCGACGGCCCTCGAGGCTCGTCATTTTGCCGCCGCATGGGCGTTGTTCCGTGTGTGCAATATGCGCAACATTCATATGATGATGCCGCCTAAATATAAAAAGCTGTGGAAGGAGGATTTTGCCGAGATTAAGGCGGCTGAGACTCGCGAGGGTAAAGGCTGGCTGTACGAAGCAGATCCATTCTTAGCCAAGCAGGAGCGAGAGAGTGCGGCCGCGGACTTGGAAAAGAAGAGGATCGAACGTGCAAAGGCGCAGGCCAAGGAGAAGGTTTCATCGACAGATCTTGGACTTGGAGGTGGTGATGCTAGAAGCAAACGAATTTGGTCGCAGGCACCCAAGGTGGAAATGGGCACTCGGATTCGGCGAGAGATCGAAGGACTCCTCCGTCAGCACACAAACTGGAACCCATATGGGGTGAAGGTTTCCGAGGCGGAACAGAAAGCCACTGTAGAGGAATTCTCCAAACTTGGATTCCGTCGAAGCCACGTTGAGGAGGCTGCTGTGGAGTGCAAGGACCGTGAGGAGGTGCTGGAGTGGCTTTTGGTCTACGTGCCTGAAGATGACCTGCCTCGATGGTGTTTGCCTGAAGGGTACTCAGCTGGTGTCAGCCTTGCAGCTGGGGATCTGGCACGGGAAGCAAAGATCAAGCGTCTTGCCTCCATTGGTTATCCTGTGGATCTGTGCTCTCAGGTTCTCGATGGCAAGGATGGCGATGAGCTAGCTGCTGCAGAATATTTACAAAGTACATTGGCCCATGGTTCTGAATTTGCATCTGCTTCGATCCCAGAGGGCAATCCGGAAGCCTGGGCTGAAGAACAAGATACTCTTGAGGCCATCTTTGGAGAGCGCTACATTCGTGTTTCACCGAGGCTCTGTGAGATTAAAAGCGAGGCTTCTGAGATTCCAGAGAATACCACTTTCCGTTTCCAGGAGCCATCTTCACACTATCCCTCAGTCGCCCCGGTCATATCTATTCAAGCCAAGGGCATCCCGGCTTACATTCGTCTCAGCGCCATTCGCCGAGCTGTGCAGTATGCAGAGGAGAAATTCTCAGGCGAATCTATGATTTTCAACATTATGGATTGGTTAGAGATGAACCTATTAGAAATCATGGAAAACCCAGGCAGACTTCGGGAAATCTCCGCCGTGACAGTATCACCAGCCGCGAATACCCATGAAATTCCTGTGCGCAGCTCTCGCAAACAGCGCCGGGGCATTGACTGGAAAGCCAATTCCCCCGCAAGCATCGCAATTCTGGATGCCTGGGAGGCAAAGCAGCACAGTGCTGCGCAGATTGAGATGTCTCGCAAGAGACAGGCACTACCTGCTTGGAACACTCAATATGCCATTGTTGAAGCTGTAAACTCGCATCAAGTTACCATTATTTCCGGCGAAACTGGTAGTGGTAAAAGTACACAGTCTGTACAGTTCGTACTTGACGATATGATTCAGCGAGGCTTGGGAGGTGCTGCGAACATCATTTGCACGCAGCCTCGTCGTATCTCAGCTTTGGGTCTTGCCGATCGAGTTAGTGATGAGCGATGTTCAACCGTCGGTGACGAGGTTGGATACGTGATTCGTGGCGAATCGAAAGCCAAGCAGGGCGCAACTAAGATCACATTTGTGACGACTGGTGTTTTGCTTCGCCGTATTCAGTCTGGTGGCGATGCCGATGGTAATGTCGCCAGCTCTTTGGCAGACGTTTCGCATGTGGTGGTTGATGAAGTCCACGAGCGAAGTCTCGACACTGACTTCCTTCTGGCCCTCCTCAGGGATGTTTTGAAACACCGTAAAGATCTCAAGATCATTCTCATGAGTGCCACGCTGGATGCAAATATCTTCATGAGCTACTTTGGTGGGCCGAAGTCCGTCGGCCTGGTGACCATCCCGGGACGAACTTTCCCGGTTAATGATTACTACCTGGACGATGTCATTCGGGATACCGGATTTGCTCCTGAATTGAATGAATGGGACGAGGATATGGAGCCGTCATCACAAGACGAAATGACTTTGGGTAAAGCTTTGCGCAGCATCGGAATGGGCATCAACTATGACTTGATCGCATCTACCGTTCGATTTATCGATGCTGAATTGGGAGATCACCCTGGGGGAATCCTGATCTTTTTGCCAGGAACGATGGAGATTGAAAGGTGCCTAACGGCTATCAAGAGAATTCCAAACGTTCACCCACTTCCTTTGCATGCATCTTTACTTCCGGCAGAGCAGCGTCGGGTTTTTCAAAGTCCTCCCAGAGGCAAGAGAAAGGTCATTGCAGCCACCAACGTGGCGGAAACATCCATCACTATCGAGGACGTTGTCGCCGTCATTGATACAGGTCGAGTTAAAGAAACAAGCTACGATCCCAAAGACAACATGGTCCGACTCCAAGAAGTCTGGGCATCGCAGGCAGCTTGCAAACAGCGCCGTGGTCGAGCAGGTCGTGTCCGTGCAGGAACCTGCTATAAACTATACACACGCAAAGCCGAATCAAACATGGCACCACGACCGGACCCGGAAATTCGCCGTGTCCCTTTGGAACAGCTATGCCTGTCCGTGAAATCCATGAAAGGTATCGAAGACGTTGCCACTTTCTTAGCCAACACAATCACGCCACCAGAAAGCATAGCCGTCGAAGGCGCTCTCAGCTTCCTACACCGAGTCGGAGCCCTAGATCACAACCGTCTTACCGCACTAGGCCGCTATCTATCCATGATCCCGGCCGATCTCCGCTGTGCCAAGCTCATGATCTACGGCTCGATCTTCGGCTGCATGGAACCCTGCCTCACAGTCGCAGCCATCCTAACAGTCAAAAGCCCATTCGTATCTCCCCGCGAAAAACGCGATGAAGCCGACGCCGTGAAAGCCACCTTCTCCCGTCCCGGAGACGGAGATCTCCTCACAGATCTATCAGCTTACCAAGCCTGGTCCGAACGTGCCCGCACCCAAGGCCACTGGCAATCGCAGTCATGGTGCGGTCAGAACTTCTTGTCCCACCAAACTCTCCGCGATATCTCGTCCAACCGAGCTCAATTCGTGACATCACTTAAAGACGCAGGTCTTCTTCCAGTGGACTACAACGATGGCGCAAACTCCTGGAACCGAAACGCTTCTAACCGGAATCTTATCCGCGCGCTCATCGCAGGAGCGTTCCAGCCACAGGTTGCACAGATTTCATTCCCGGATAAGAAATTTGCCAGCTCAGTCACCGGTACTGTTGAGGTTGATCCGGATGCACGAACAATCAAGTATTTCAACCAGGAGAATGGACGTGTTTTCATTCATCCTAGTTCAATTCTTTTCTCTGCGCACGGTTATCCCAGTTCTGCTGCGTATTTGAGCTATTTCACCAAGATGGCAACGAGTAAGGTTTTCATCCGCGATTTGACTCGTAAGTTTTCTTCATGGTTTCTTCTTTTTCGGGCCACTTCTCACTGTAACAGCATTCAACGCATACTCATTACTCCTCTTCTGCGGCTCCATCACTCTCGACACGATGGGCCGTGGACTGGTTGTAGACGGCTGGCTCCGGCTACGTGGTTGGGCAAGAATCGGTGTGCTTGTTTCACGGTTGCGCACAATGCTGGATGAGGCACTTGCGGCGCGGATTGATAGCCCGGCATTGGGCTCGGATGGTGGGGCTGGAGATCGAGTGATTGAGGCTGTGAAAAGGTTGATTGAGTTTAACGGTCTAGACCAATGATCTGCATAGATGTTAAAGATTCAGATAAGGGCATGTACTGATAGTATACCCTGCTTGACAACCTTTGGAATGAATTGGCGGTCACAACGCTTTTCGTGCCTTAAGCTTGAAACTGATGCAAGAATTGAATGGCTACAAAGAGTCTGAACTTTATTGTAAACATAATTCATTCTGTAAACCCATTTCCATATGCAATATCTGAGTATGAATAAATGCAACGGAAACAGCAAGAAAGAACTGTACGTGGCTCGGTGCAGAAGACCAGTAAGCATAAGGAAAGGCAGGGATCATCATTAAGGAAATGGCAACGAGACCATGCCACCGCGGATAGAAGAGGAAACAAAGAGATTCTTGTGAAGCAGAAAATCAAAAGAGGTATGTGTCGTGAAAAGAAAATAATGAAGAAAGATAAGGATTAGTGACGCCGAGCAGACAAACGCCTTCCGATCCGTAAAACTCCTTGCGGAACAATGGCGTCAAAGTCATCCCGATGTCATGATAAAAGAAAAGAGAGCTCCCAGATTAAACAAACAAACGCCTGCCTGTACCCTATCCACTCCACAGCCTGGTTCCGAACGCATAAATGAAATGAGAAGCACGATAGAGAACGTGGGGTATTGGTGAGCAAGTTTGAAGCGCTTTCAGCTTGCGGAAACAGAAAACAGAGTTTAGTAGTTGGCATCGCCAACCAGACGTGCAGGTTCACGGAAAGAAGTAGCGGCAGGCAGGGTGAAACCAGCCTGAACCTCATTCTCCACGAACAATGAGGAGCGCTTGAATCGACGGTCGACGTACTTCTCATAGATCGCCTGATGATGGGTTTGCTGGTTCTGGCAACAGTCTAGCATGTTGGTGATGACAGGGAGCAACTGGGCGTACGTGTATCCAGAATAGTATGCGTGGGCCGGGGTCTATCAAAGCTGTTAGGGCAAAAGCAAATTAAAAGATGAAAGGGGAGCATACCCAGCATCCTTTCCGAAGCATCAGTCGAGCTAGGCAATGGGCCCCTGCTGCAGCAAAGCTAGGAGGCGTGCAAACAAAACGCTCATCCATAATGGTAAGCTCAATGAAATACTTCGCGACAGTGCGAGTCTCAAGGTCATAATCGTCTGCTTTGCTGACGCGGCGAAGGAAGCTCATTGGGCCTGGCCATCCCAATTCAAAGTTCAGAATGGTGAGCATGTAGCGCTCAGCCTTAAGAATCTCATCGACGGTGTAGCCCCCATCGACCATGTAGACGATCTCTTGAACGGAAGGCGCAGTGATCTCCTCATATTTGGCAGCAATGAACAGCGCGGTGGCACCCACGAGCTGCAGCTTGCCCAAGGAGACGATTTTGCGGGAAAGAAACCGGTCGATATAGTTAACGCAGAGATAGAGAGTCTCGGGGAACAGGGCAAAGCGGAAGTGGACCTGCACGAGCCAATCCATTAGGACAGCGCGCATGGACCATTGAATCTCGGTTTGATTAGCCATGTAATCAGCAACGGGAAGCATGGAAACCTTGATATGAGTTAGCGTCAATTGTGTGATGAGGGATGCGAGTAAAGCACGTACCTCTTTTTGTCGCATGTAGAGAAAAATCTCTGTGCTGTACTCCGGGACCATGCTGGAATCATAGAAATCGTCCAAGATATCCTCTTCTGTAAGGGAAGCTTCGACTATCTCCTTCGCCTGCAGAATTTGGCGCTTGGTCCCCGCGGTGAACTTAGGGTAAATGACCATAGTGGTGCCACCAGTGGTGTTATCGGCACGCATGTTTGAGGGTGCGGTTAAACTATCATCTTCTTCCTCCCAGTACTCTTCAGGCTCAGAGACAACGGGGGCTGTAATCTTGACCGAGGTAGCAGAGGGAGCAGTCTTAGGCTCTTCGGTGTCAGAAATGGTAGCATCTGATTCAATCGACACTAAGGACTCGTCTGCGGGAGCAATTGAGGCATCTTTCTTTTCGGGCTTCTCAATCTCCTTTGCTCTATTCGTTTCCGTCTCAGAAGACTGTTCATTCCTCCGAACAGAACGACTAGTGAGGTTTTCCTTGGATGTTTCCTTCTCAACAACAGGCTCGAGATGGTCGCGGAAGACAGCCGTGCTGCGCTTGGTTGTTTTGGTAGGCTGAGCCTTGCCAGCTGGGTTGATAGGCTTCGCAGTGATGTTGTTCAACAAACTCTTAGAGGTAGATACGGACACGGGACGCTGGGCCTGTGCAAGCACAGGCTTCTCCAAAACCTGCACAGCAGGTTTTCCCGTTAGGGCCGAGTCATCGCGACTAGCTCGAGACAAGTCCTTGTTAGTGTTCACATCACCGAATGCCCGTCGAGTACCATTCTTCGCGCCCTGGGTGGTATTCAGCGCTGACATGGACTTGTTGCGCTGATGGATGGTTTTGTTGTTATGGAGGGAGGGCGGCACGTTCTCATCCCCGCGAACGCGAATACGTTGAGGCTATTGTTTGGGTTAGCTATGTCTTGGTTTATCTGATCAACAATGAATGGGTTGGACTGAGTCCCTTGATACAGTTGATAGTTCAAGATCTCGCGACACCTTGGGCGAGAAAAAAGAAGACGATTGTAGAAACCAAGTGCACACATACCTTCGCATCCATTGTTAATAAGTTCCCAGGATATTGTCAACACACTTTGGCGCGTGAATGGTTGATTGGGGATGTGAGGAAAGGAATTGTTTATGTTTTGCTCAGTTGAGAAGAGAAGGCTTGCGGCGGGTCGGGTGCATGAGTGGTCACGCCAAGCAAAACAAACAGTTCGAAGCTTGTGCAGGAACAACGGTAACGCGGTGACACAGATGGAAACCACGGCGACCAACACTAATTCTGTTCTAGTTTCAACTACGTGAAGGATCTATCACCCATAATCAGTATATGCCCAGACCACTACTATCTTTGATTTTCTTTGCTTTTCCAACCTATCTACTATACTCACATAAAAAGAGGCGATATTGCCTAACCGTAGAAATTTCATCGAATGTCATGAACGATGTAATATACATGGGGTGACAATACATGACAATACATCATTGGAATGATTGATTTTGTTTGATCAGCACATGTTTACTCTGTTTGCATGGATCATCAATTCCGCTGGTGCCAAGAGTCCATTATCAGCTTATCAGTGACATCATAATCTTATCGTCACGTCTTCCCGGGGTCCCTCAATTTTACAATTCGCTTCGTACCAGGCCCATCTTTTTATCAAGATTGATATTTCTTTTACCGGCCATTTTCTGGAGAATTTTGGATTTGATTTTGGTAATTTTTCTGTTTCCATTATGGTTGGTGGAGGCACAATCGCCAATTCCACCGGTCAACCATCTAGAACGCGCTAGTTACGCGGACCCACGTGATCCACACCGCTTCGCAGGACCGGATCGAGCGGTAAACGGTTGGCACTTTCTAGATCAGCCGAAGCGCATCCGAACTCGCTCATCATTGCGACAAAGTTGGGCGTCGTTGTGACCCGCTTCGGAAATCTAAGTGTGCGGGGGTCCTCGCCTCAATTCGGGTTTCCGCACTCTGACTGGTCCTGGCAATCCCGTCAACTGCAATCCCTATGCACGGTCTGGACAATCTTTTTCGTGCACGTTCCCAAGCATTCTGGACCACTCAGTGCCATTTGCAGTTCCTGTACTCAGACACATCGGTTTCACTGTAAAAAATGACGTTAGAAATCATGGCCCTGCCCTCGAGGACCCTGTAGCTTTTAACTTGACCATTTCGCCTCTTCTTCCTGCAAGGTTCGAGAATGCTCTGTAACCCCCCATCCCTTTTCTATTCTTACGTAGGTCCGGAGGAGGGGTAACTCACCCGGCGCAGATCATGCGAAACACGCCGTGACAAGCTTCGGTCATGCGATTGTTATCTCTGAGGATTTTATTATCTAGTCTTTGTTGATGGGTACGTTTGGTGCTTTGGGGGCTGCCCGCGACCAGCCTGGAAACGCCGTCATCTGGAACTTCCCGCGAGAGATTCCTACCGGGTTTCAGAGCGCCAGGCTGATCGCATCGATATTTGTGATCCCTAGCGATACTCGCATGGGTAATGCGACAAGGATCTTGGAAATCGCATGGGCGCAATGTCGCCAATGTGCGACAGGCGTGCCCTGGCCAGCAGTTCCTTTGAGGCCTGTTGCGACAAGATGGGCGTTTTCGGACCGTCCATTGGCTGCGATTTGTTAAATCTTATTCGGGCTGAAGTTTTTTGAGAAAAAGATGCTCTGTTTCCGACAAGGTACCCGGTGCGCTTGTGGCCGATCAGGATACTCTTCCCCTTAAGTAATAGAGCAGCGGCGGTAGTACTTTTCTCGACCAGACTAAGTCTAGTTTACATCGAAGCTATGGGTGGTTAGACAGGATTCTCGGCGCAATAGCACCACGGCTTGCGACAGCAGTGCGCATTGCGAAATGACCAATATGGGTCATCCAAGTTCATGGATCTAGAGAGCATAGAAATTTATACAACATAAACTAATCTATAGTAATTTCCTTCAAGTGCTTTCCACTTTTTGGGTGGTAAACATGGAATGTGATGAACAAAGCTTGGGCGGGAGCGCAAATCGCCATGTCACCGACCCAAGTAGGCCGTTTTCTCGCTTTAGGTGAAACCATCGTACGCATCCACTCAACTTTCTTCCTCCATTCGACCACCCCCCGTCTATCGCTGTTTCTTACTCGGTTTTGGGTATTGTCTTGTTTCTTGTCGAGGTTTCCTAGCCTCATCTCGGCTACTGGGTCACCGCTGACATAGCCCACCCCCCAAAGCGCTTCGTAGAACGAACGAACGACAATCCACACCTCCACCCAACCCTCGACCGACACCCATCGCTCGCCATTTCGCTTCGTGCTGGACATTCCTGGAACTCTGCGATCCTGTTAGAGTCATTTGTATCTCTGCTAGGTATGTCTACGCTGCTCTCCATCCTCATCCGAGTCTGCTCTTGTCGTCTCCCCCCCCAAGGTCGGCCGGACTCGGCTAGGCAACGTCCATCCTTCCATCTTTTGTAGACAAATCCCATCTTCATGACGACTGCAATCCACTGGGATGGCATTGTACTGACATTGGTGTTGTATTTTGTCCTAGGTGATCCCACGCTGCCTCTTCCGGATCATTCTCGGTTGCGACACCCAAGTTCCCCCTCCATCCCCATCGAAAAGCCCTGCGTCAAACACTTTTCCTTTCCCATCGACAACCCGGGGGTGGTACAACCACCTGCCAACCAACCTTTTCGGATCCTATAATTGTGGTAGGTTCGATGGATCCTCTTCCCCCTCCTTCTACACCAGAACCCTTCCTCTGTCCCCGGTCATGGATACCGTCAGAACCGCTCCCTCCTTCTCCATCGTACAAACAGTGGGTTGATGCAGTCATCGCCATAGCAGCAGAGGACCTCTTTGCATTATGGACATGTCCATCATGCAATCGCTTCCGCACGAAGGGTACTCTGTCCTAGCAGAGCAACCGGTGGTTGATGACTCTCGAAACTTGTCGCTCAAGAGCCCCGTGCCCAAGAACGTCGCTTTTGAGCTGTTACTGGACGAGAACTCCAAGGTTCGAGCCCGTATTCCCATGCGCGTTCAAATATATCCGCATGATACCACGGATTCTATCGTGACGACTGTCAAAAATTTCTATGGCATCTACGATGGCACTGCCAGTGGGGTGAGCTTCGAAGATGAACATGGGACCACCCTCATCGCAAGGTATGAAAATCTGAAGAATAACATGACGGTATATGTGCGAGTCATTCCCATTCCAACATATGCGGATCATTTCTATGGTGGGTTTTCTGTTGAGCGCAAGCGACCCAGTCTGGGCGAGCCATTTGGAATGGATGCTGTAGCACCAGTCTTGGATCAGCCATCGCGGCCCCCATCTCGCCTTGCTAGAAAGCGCAGCACATCTCCATCTAATCGGAGCCTGCGCAGCGCTTCTCATCACAAGCAGGGTTCTCGTTGTGGGAACAAAAGCCGTGGCTCTAGCCATGCTGGCTTCCCTGATGACGAGGCAATGAGCGACAGCGAGGATAGCTATAGTCGCAGATCTCGTGGCGATGCTTTCGCTAGCTCAGAAATAAGTATGGAAAATATACTACAGGACGGTCGTCGCAAACGTCCAAAGTTTGACAGCTCGGTGAGTATCGCACTACTTGACTGCTATGAGGTTTTTTTTTTCTTCTTATTTGATCTTCGCCTCTAACGATCCCATCTCATAGGAACTTCCCCTCTTTGTCCCTCCTCAAGTCCCCCTCACTACCTCGACCTCCTCTATCTCTCCTCAGCGTCGCTCCATCGGTCAAGAAGGTGCCGGTTCACCTTTTGCTCGTCCTACCCACCGCCCATATAACTACCACCAAACACTACCATCGCCGCAAAGCTATGGCCACAGTGAATATGGTGTACACTCAGGCAAGAGTACAGTCTATGCGACACCCATAGTTCCTGATCATGGAAACCGTATACCGTTCAGCAACTCAGCTCCTCGGGTGAGCGGTGCTGCTATCTTGCCCACACCAGACCCGACCATCGCAAGCTGCATCTCTGATGAGGATGTCGCAATGCAATTGATTCGCCTGGGTGATGCTTCCAATTTCTCTCATGGTCGTACATCTGCGTCGACGCTGGATGATGCCTTCAGTGGTGCTGCTGATGCCGCCTCATCGACTGGTGCCACCAGTGAGGGCGAGGACTTTAGCGAAGAGGAAGATGACTTGCCGGCTCGTCGCAGGCTGGACTCGAGCCCAATGCTTCCTCCTGGGACTATCAAGCGTCATCACAAAGGTCTTGATGACATCCTTCCCAGCGCAGACAGCAGCGAACATAGTTCAGATGGTCTTGAAGACGGCATCAAAAGCGAGGTCGAAGATGACACCTTGTATAAAGAGTTTGCTCCCAAGGCGAAGAAGCCCAAAAGCCGCCCCATGTCTGTCAAACCTCGCAGTCAAAAGCCAGCACAGAAGCCAAAGACCAAGACCGCGCTCCCTGCCCCCCGCAAGCCCTCTGATAAATCGGCTGCGCCTATTGCCCCTCTTAGCCCAAGCTCATCCCGCAAGGTTTCAGGAGGGTCAGTCAACTTCCAACATCAGCTCGGTGCTGATGAGGAGGATCTTTCTACAAAGCCTCGCTGCCAGCGGTGTCGCAAGAGCAAGAAGGGCTGTGATCGCCAACGCCCATGTGGTCGTTGCAAGGACGCTGGTATCGGGATCGAGGGCTGCCTCAGTGAGGACGAGGGCAATGGACGCAAGGGTCGTTACGGGCGCCACATGGGCGTCCCCGTCAAGAAAACCTCCGAATCACCTGAGCCGACTGAGTTTCCCCTAATGCCGGGTACTCCCCTAGTCGCTTCCGCCATGGCCGATAAGAACAAGAAGCGAAAGCGTTAAGTAACAGAATACGTTGTCCCTCCCACAATCTCTCTCCTTCATTTTCCACCTCACCTCCACCCTCCTTTAACTTTCTCTGAGAGATTCGACACTCCTTTCTACTCTCTACCTCATCACAATCTCACACTCATTCTGTCCCGATCCGATCTATACAAAGTCCAGCGGGTTGATTTTCTGTTGGCGTCTTGGATTATTCTTATCTTTCCCATTCACTCTTTTCAAACCAGTAGCTGCCTGTCTGTCCTTGTTAAACCTCGCTTTTCCATGTTGTGCTGTATGCTTCAAGTTTGACCACGAGGTGGTGTGAAGATATATATACTTCCAATGATAGCAGATGGAGGGGCTAGCACAGGCCAGAGAATATGGTATGGGTTTTTGTTCGTTCGCATGAGTCTTTGGGAATCAATTATGTGTGATTATTCTCTCTCCAAAGTACAGCTGTAGCTACTAAGATTCTATTCCCTTATTCTGGCACCGAGCCACGCGGTCATTCTAGCAACATTCACTAACATGTCACGTGATACATGGGTTATCTAAAGCGGTGTAGGGCCCCGCAACTTTTTTTGTGAAGCTCAACTTTTTGCCCGCATCGTGACACCACGACCTTGCTGTCTGTCTTCTAATGCTGCTTTTCGACCTCAATTCACCCAATTACCGAGAGCATATGCGCTGAAAATTTGCCTACCCCGCAACACACGAATTTAGCGGTACAGCGCTGTTTGCGCACCAACCACCACAATGCCTCCCAAAGCAAGCACCAGACGAACTGCCGCAAAACCAGAAGACACAGACTCTACACAAAATGCACCGACTCAAAGTGCCGCCCCAGGTGCTTCTGGCCGACCATCAGTACAAAGACTACAGTCACTGAAGAAACGTGCCCCAGCAGGCGGCAGCATCACACCAGCAACACGCTCACCCTCAGTACTGAGCGGCGATAATGCCCCAAAGCCAATGAAATTCCGACCAAAGGCCGTCCAGCGAAGGAGCAAGGAGGAGCGTGAAGCTATGGAGAAAATTGAACAAGAAAGGCTCAATGATCGTTTGAGAGATGCGGCTGCTATCCAGCGTGGCCGTGGGAATCGCGGGGGCAGAAGCTCATTCCGTGGCCGTGGTGGTGCTACTGGTGGTCTTGGGGGAGCATTTAGAGGTCGAGGTGGTGGTCCAGCACGTGGCCGTGCACGATATGGAATTACTGGAGCATCTCGGGATCGGGAAGATGATTCCTCGGATGATGATTTGCGGATGAGCATTGACCAGATCAACATTGAGAGCGATGAGGATGATGACCTGGAAGAAGGGAAAGGCAAGATGCCGGCTCGAGGACGCCGTGAGAAGGGATTGCGTCCTGTCCGTGTTACGCGACACGAGCACGAGGATCGGGTGGTTGCCGTCAACATGGAGTCAAGTTCCAGCAAGTCGGCAGAGATTCGAGAGCAGGCTCAGAAGGAGGCTGCTGAGATTGTGGACGACAATCCCTCGCCTCCAGAGGTTGGTAATGACGAAACCCGTGTGAAGGACGAACCTACAGACGACGGTGATACACCTATGGCAGACTTGCCTCCTGCTGAGGATGATGGATTGTTGCCCACACAGAAGTACCGTGTGCGCCGTAAGACATCAGATCCCAAGTCAGCAGACCCTAAGCCGGAGAAGGCCAAGGCAATCGCTCCACCGAAACCTAAACGAGATCCGCGGGAGCTTCTGCGCACTAAGGAGGAGATTGATGAATACGACCGCCACCTGGATGATTTGGAGCATATTCGAGAACTCCTGACCCACCAGGAACCAGAGGAAGAACCAGAACCAGAACTAAAACCAGCGGAGCCGCAGACCGTGCCAGAGACAACCCCGACTGAAGACCCAGCAACAGACGATCCAGAGCCACCAATTGAGAAGTTAGCCAATCAACACCTTCTCGGACATCTCTTCCTCATGCAATTTCCGCCTATGACACCCAACCTCTCTATCCCCGGAGCGGAAACAGCGGTCGAAGAGACGAATCAACCCGAGCCCCAGGCACAGCCGCAAGTAAAATCCGAGACCGAAGGCGACGATGTTCAGATCACAGGCGAAACTGGATTGGATGCAAAGGGAAGATCCAAACTTATCACCGCTGCTACAAATTGGTCCCTACCAGCCGGCCGGGTAGGCAAGTTGAATGTGCATAAATCTGGGCGCGTGACAATGGATTGGGGCGGCATCAGCTTCGAGCTTGATCGTGCTGCGGCGGTGGATTTCGTGCAGGAGGCGCTGATTGTCTCTTCGCCTGAGGTCGATGAGTCAGGACAACCGCCAAAGGAAGAACGACAACAAGCTTGGTCTATGGGTCAACTTTCGGGCAAATTTACGGTCATGCCGGACTGGGATGCGATGCTGTGATCACGACTAATTTTCTTCTAACACGAATTTAAAATCATTCATGATTTGCCGTATACCCATGCATTGACACAGTACACAAATTAGTACGTATAAAATAAGTACTGCGACATAACCTGTAATCTAAGATTCAGTATCTACCACCGAAGAGAACCATGGACTCAAAACAACAAACCAATAATTGAACGAACATGATAGTCTTACATAGTGTTACAAATAAAAAAGTCAAAAGGTAAAAATGGAAATCAAGGAATATTAAAATTCAAACTCAAAGACCAAAGGTCAAGCCCTGAACGAAAAATGATAAGAGTAGCATTTGACTACTCAAGTATTGCTTCGCGATCATAGATCACTAGGTTATCGCATGTTATTTTGAGGCTAGAAACCGGAGAAAAAGATGGAGGTGATGAGTAAGAAAAAAAAAACCAGAGAGAACCGGCGGAAAGAGGTGAGTCAAAATAAAAAACAAAAAGTAGAATGCCCTCGTCCAGGATCGAACTGGAGACCTTCGGATAGCAATCCTGTTAACAGGAGCGTCATATGAAAGTGATATGAGACCAACGTCATAACCAACTAGACCACGAAGGCTTCTTGATATAAAGCTGGCCAATACAATACAAAATATCCGTTGCGAAAGAGGCAAGGAACAAAGGAATAATTATCGATATCAAAGAAAGAGCCAACTCTGAATTTGGTGACTGAGACTCAGCTAGTGATCACCATCTGCAGCATGATTTTACCAGATCAATTGTCGCTGCTCGTGTTCTCGCCCTAGCCAGATGTTGTCTACTAGAGTAGATTTCTGAACTAGGGTTTTCGACACCGGCGAGTCCGCTCCCCGAGTCAACTACGTAGTCGTGTAATTTTCCATTTGTCCCTCCAGCTTCTTGCTCACTGCCTCACTTCCGATCTGACGATTTTTCTCCTCTCGAAATACATACGCAATCTTTCCAGATGAGTGCCCGAGTCCTGCAACTTCCCCTCGTGTCGCTGCAATCGCTCAAGTTACTTAGACCAGTGAGGGACATTCGTCATTTTGGATACTGCAGGAAATCAGGCTAAAGTAATTAGGTTAGCCGTATGCATTTCACTGGACAAAGCCCAGCATTCACTTCAAACATACATGTGAAGCCATAAACTTTTACTATTCGCGACATGCGATCTATCCTGATCCTTCTTCTTCCTAGTATGAAATGAACACTAGATAATGACTCATTTTGATGTAACGAACATTCGATTTCTCCCTATTTAGTCTTGGCTTACTCTAAGATACTGGAGAACACAAGCAAAGGTTGATGCCAAGTACCGTGCTCTGATTGTTTGCCCAAAAGCTGCAACCATGACACTCGAGTTGCCACGGAACGAGCTTCATAGTTGAGCACAACACAATGACTATAACATGATATACGCCACGATCGCGAAGTCCGATAAACGATATACGACCAGTCCGAAAGAGGTAAGCACGTCGCAAAGACCACATTTCAGCCCCCACGTACAATGTGGGGCCAAAGCAGCGACTATATCCGGGGGAAGATTCGTGCAGAAAAAAATAGATCAACGCCAGAAAGCTCCTCCCTACAAGTATTGATCGAGAATCTTGGTTTTAACCCAACCGACAATACAGACTAATCATCCTCGACTATCCACACATCTCTTCCAGGAAACATGAGTACAACACCTATCCCGGATCCACCGAAATGGTGGTACCAGCGCTGGTGGTGCATTCTCCAAGGTCTAAAAGGTATTAACGGAAGCACATTAACTGAGCAAGACGTTCCTCGCAAAGACATGCGCGGAAAATGGGTGATAATAACAGGCGCAAACAATGGAATCGGATTCGAAGCCGCGAAAACATTCGCAACGTGGGGCGCAAATATAATCATGGCCTGCCGAGAGCCCCCGAAATGGGAAACGCATCCGTCCGAAGCAGTAGAGCACTGCTTGGATCTGGCCAAATCTTCCGGCCATTCATCCACGATCGAATGGTGGCCCATCGACATGACGGTGCTAGCCAGCGTGGATGAATTTGCAGAAAGATGGCTTGCGACAGGTCGAGCTTTGGATGTGTTATGCAATAACGCCGGGATCGCTCCTCATTGCACTGATCAGTCAATGACTAAAGACGGGTTTCAGATAGTGCACCAGGTATTTTCAACTACAGGGTTCCAGGAAGCGAAGTGGCTAAAATTGAATATAGGTCAATTTCCTCTCTCATACACTCCTGGCATTCCGGATCCTTGATTCTCTGGCCAGAAGTGCCGAGCCACGGATTGTCTGCACAACTTCAAACTTGCATTTCTTCGGCAAGTTGGAATTTGAAAAGGAGAACCTGCCCGTGGCTAAACAAAGAGGTCCTTATGAGAACAACAAGCTCTACTACCAAATCTGGATTGCGGAAATGCATCGCCGCCTTGTTTCAAGTGATAAATATAGACATATCACCATCAACGGTATCCATCCCGGATTCGTTAATTCGGGTATCTGGAATTTCTCAGAAAAGAATCAGGGATCGTGGCATGAGACTATCTTCAAATTCTTCACTGGATACCTGACTATTACCTCAGAGCAGGGTAGTTTCGCTATTGTCAATGCGGCTACTAGTGCTGAGTTTGGACCGGATCCAGAGGTTCAGGGTCGGGGTGAGCCTGGGGCAAAAGGGGGAGGCAATTATATCAATCGGATCTGGAAAGCGACTCCGATGCCTTTTGTTGATGATGCTGTGACAAGGTTGCGGATTTGGAATGGGGTTGCTACAGAGCTGCGAGCGGCTAGAGAAAAGCTTTATGTTCTCGATGAGCTTGATGCTGAAGGCGTATAAATGGAACTTGGAACTTTCAAGAGAACTTGCTTTTTATGATTGTCAGACATACCCATTTGAGTAAGCTGTGCAGAATTTAAGATTTGGATCTGAATCACCAGGAAATTAAACTTTAGTCATAATATTTTATATTTCTCATAGCAACTGGTAAACAGCAACTTTCAAAGATACAAATGAAAAGATATGTACAACTCAGCAAAACTCTATATTACACTGTCCAGCAGCGAAGACGAAACCCAAGCCCAAACGCCGGATCATGCAGGAGACTAAAGGTGTCTAGCCCAAACGGACACGGCCAGGTGCGGCACGTCCACCAAATAACCGGGTAACACCACCCTCTTCCGTGGTGGTGTTGTTGTCCCCGGACATCCATCGAGGGAGACGAAATGGCTCGCCTTGGAACCACTGGGGTGTATTGGTGGTCTCTAAGGTGTTACGAACGCGATGGGCAAAGGATTGGAAGAAGTTCTCTTCTTCTTCCTCTTCCCCATCGATGATCGTGGGTGCGGTGACGGGTCGCTGAGTGGCTCGTGGAGATCGAGATCCCTCGGCTGCGGGAACTCGCAATCTCGAAGAGCCACGTGAGTCGGTCTCGTCATCGCGATCTGCTGCCCAGGTGGAGCGAGTTCCACGGGAGGACACGGCTAGTGAGCCAAACCCGTTCAGTTCGCGCTCGATGAGATCACGGCCTTCACGCCAGCCACCCATTCCGTAACCCGAGGGGTTGTTTTCCACGTCGTGGATGTCGTCCTCCTCAGCGAGACCGAAACCAAAAATCTTCTTGATGCGGCCGTAGAGGTTGAATAGCGTGGCGCAAATTGGCAGAAGAATAAAAATTGGGAAGATGAAATCAAAGCCGTGGCCAAGGGGCGTGAGGTTGATGAGCTTACCCAAGAACTCGTAGAAAGTGGTTTCGCGACGGAAGTTTTTCGGCAAGAAGGTCAAGAAGTTGTAGGCGATTGGCACCGTAAGGCGAGCGACCAGGCTGGCATACCAGCATGCACTCTCGCCGTACGTGTTCCGGCGCACCAGGGCTCGGTTACCCCAAACCTTGACATCATTGACGCCGACCAGGGCAGCAGAACACATATACAAGAGCCAAGCGGAAGTGATGAGTTGCTTGCCGAATCCAAGAGGTTTGGGCTCTTTGTAATTGGGCAAAATGGTCAAGCTCACAATAGACAATTGGGGAGCCACAGACTTGATCAATTCCGACCAGACAATGCAGACTGATGCGACAGAAAAGAACGTTCCAAAGGCCAACCGGATCGATGGAATGACGTTCGAGTACACTTGATAGCGCATATACGGCGTCAAGAGTTTGGTGCGAGGGAAGCAAGATGATCGGCGGGGTGCGGGGCCAAAGTCAAGTTTCTTGGATGCGGCCGAGTTGATGATAGCCTGGAGATCAGCTGCGAGTTGAACCAGCCGGTCCCATTCATCCACGAAACGAGCCTTCATGTGCCGGGAGCGCTGCAGGCGCCGGGTCAGGTCGGCCAGGTATCGCTCGGTGATCACAGACGGAATTGTACTCGAGGACTCAGGGGCTTCGAGGATTGGAACTCGTACATCAGCCGACCCAGAACCTTCGGATAGATCTTCAATCCATTCCTGGAAATCGCGAGCAGTTCCGGTTTTGCGCTGCTGGAGTTGGGCAACTTGTGAATTGAGACTTTCCAATTCGTTTACCGCATCCATCAAGCGATCGTGAACCTTGGGCGCATGGGCCTGGACCCGTCGCAGGCGACCGCTAACATTCGCGTTGCGGATCAGATTCCGGGGAATGGAGACCAAGCCATGACCCATGAGGTAGATGGCCAGCACGAGACCCCACACATAGGCCAGCGCCATGACGAGACCTTTGATAGAGGTGAATCTGAATCCATTAGAGATCGAGACATAGACTAGTCCCACTACCGCACAGCTCAAGACGATCAACTGGTATCGGGCGTTCATGCGGAGGGAGTAGAGGAGGCGGGCCTTGGGTTCGCGGTATCCGGAGTCGACATATTCGCCCAGTAGAGGGAGGATCGCCCTGGAGTCTATTAGCAATCAAGCCGGGAATTTCCAAAATCTAACAGGGCCAAATATACCAGGTCAGCATGAAGATGAGCCAGTATGCGATGCGCCAGCACACGAGCACCACTCGCTCGGGTAACCAAATTGCCTTGGGACCAGTGCCATCGTGTGAACTGGATGCCAAGTCAATCGGAACAAGCAGCACTACACTAGCGGGGAGAGCTAGTGCCAAAAATATGGGGACTATGAGGTATGCCGGCGTGGCGCGGAGGGTCAGAAAGCGGCGCAAGAGCAAGAGGACGAGGGCGGAAATGGCGAAGAGTGCCAAAGCGAAGAAGACATTGGAGCCCACGGAGATGGGCGATACGGAGACGGAGAACATGATGGGGAAGAAAGAAAGCCAAAGAAACCGGTAATATTAGCCGGCACTCATTGCGTAGTTGGAGAGATTGAAATTAACGATCTATGATTTCCCTCTTCCAGGGGAGCGCTGACTTAAGCGGCGCACGTACCATTGACTTTGGGTGTGCGCGGCTGCCAGGGCGCCCAGTGGAGTCGTCAATACCACCATGGGAATCAGGGGACGTTTCTGTCGATCCTGTCAATCCGCATTAGTAAACTAGATTTGATCTTAGGCTAGCTTACTTTCAGATCTCAATTATACCTCAATTGAAACGGATGCGTCTCTCTATTCACCTAGACCCTTATTTTTGACACTTCAAGATCCATCTCTAACCTACCTTGGTACCGATGGCCTAGTCCTCTTCTCTCCCCGGGGCCGTGAAACGAGATCCACAATTATGACGACGCAAGATGAGTGGGGGGAGAATTTGGGATTAAGATGAGAATGCCTCAAGTGTATCATATGCGATCGAAATATTGAACATTGGAAATGAGGTTCGGGCGTATAGCGTATATGTTTAATATATGCAGGTCATATGTAGTCTTAGTCACGCCTCGTACCTGGGAAAGTCGCCTTGTGACCCTCGATGACATCGCAAACCTTCATTTTCGTGTCTTCCAGTCACCTCTGGGAATTGTATTCACTTATCCTGGTTTCATCCGCTTGATTTCATTTCCTGTGAACGTGGATTTGCCCCAAGTTTCTCTCCGAGTCTTCCCTCTTTCCCTCTCGTCTTCATTCCCCCTTCGCGCACCGTCGTAACTTTCGAAGGCGTCCTGTGCACGAAACATCCCCTCTGATCCCCCAACCTTCTTTTCCTTAGTGTCTTTTCTTTTCTTCTGATTATTTCTTTTGTTTCCTCCCCTGTTTGATCCTTCGGTTTCAACTTTTGGTCTCCGAAGGTTCCTTCCCGTATTCGTCGACTCTCCCCGAATTCGTTCCGTCCTACGCTCTGCACACTGGTGCAACTTTACCAGCTGCAGCATCCCTGTCACGGATCCCATCTACCCTACGATTGCGCCCGTCGCTCTCATTCGCTCCAAGCCACACCCAGGCTTTCGTCAGCGAATTGGGTCCAATTGACGCTGCTGCCCGAACGCCTTGCTTTCCCGCCGTGCTGGTCGCTCATTGCTCGCCTCTCCACTTGTGTCCTCCGTTTGGACCATTTTGATTTCCATCCCCACCCTCCCTGATCATCGAGACTCACCAAGGTTCCACCCACCGTTCTGTCTTCCTTTTTCCCTTTTTTTCTTGGTCCATTCGGGGTTTTCAGTTTCGGGTTGATTTTCCATCTTTCTGCCGATCTGCGACCTTGACACGATCCGACCCTGCATCGCTCGATCATCTCAAATCTCCCTTCTGACACTGCCGTATCCCGCCCTCCAATCTTAGCGAATGCTGGTCACCAAATATTCCCGCGGATTATTCTCAGACCCCCCATTGATGGGGCTCTCGACATGAATCCCAACCCCCAATTCCCCAATGCCCCCGGCAGCGGGGGCATGGTAGGTGTCAAGCCCGGCATGCAGCAGCCCAACAAGGATAGCCAGCAGAGTCAGTCTATTATCATGGGCCATGTCGCCCAGGTCTTGCATTCTCAAGGTCCCTTCAGTGGATGGAAAGCAGATGTCCACATCAAGATTCGTGCGATGAACGTTTGGCAAATGTATGTTATGTACAACGGCCCCTCTTAGCCTGCGGGCGCTGTTTTGGCACATCCCGGTCAAATTTCGGCCCAGCTGACTCTTTGTTGCCTAGGATCACCTCCCTCCGCCTAATCCAACCTCGTATTGATATTCAAGCCGCCGCCCAGGCCGCCCTCAGTTTCGAACAAAAAGCCCTTTTTAAAAGCTAACGAAAGAGTGCGCTCATCCGATCCTCGACCCTTTTTCATCCCTTCATCGGACGCAATACTGACTTGACATGGTTTTGCACAGGCTGACTACGAACGTGAATGCAACGAAAAGCTCTCCCACATTAAAGATACCCGTCAGAGACAAGCTGCGGTCGCGCTTCAAAGCGGCATGCAAAATGGCATGATGCCCCAGGCGGGTGGCATGCAAAATCCCCTCCAGGCTGGTTTTCCGCAACAGATGAATCGAGGCATGCAGGCGTCCCCAATACCAGGTCAACAGCAGATGCCCATGGGAATGAACGACCCGAACCAGCAGGCAGCGATGCAACAGCGCCAACAACAACAATCGGCCATGCTGCAACAACAACAACGCGCCCAACAACGTCCTACGAACAGCGGTCCCCTCCACGACGATCTGAATACCCTTTCTCCGCAAGACGTTGAGCATGTCTCTCGCCTGGCGAACCAAATGTTGGCCAAGACTTCCGCCGAAGACATGGAGAAGATCAAGATGAATCTTTCCAACATGAGTGCCGAACAACGAACGTACCTGGCTCGCAAGAACATGGACCCGATGACATATTTCTTCCGCTCACAAGCTCTGAATCAACTGCGCCGACACCGCCGAGCGCGCATGGAAATGGGTCGTCCGAATAACGCTGGCGTGGATTCCAACGGCGCCATTATGGGAGATCCCATGATGAATCAACGTCAAATGCTGCAAAATATGATGAACCTCCAGCGCAACTCAGGCTTTTCCGGGAGCCCTAGTCAAGGCCTGGACTCAAACTCTTTCATCGGAAACGTGGAAAACATCCAAGGTCAGCAGGCAGATGGTCTGCGCTCACAGGAAGCTGGGCAACTGGTGGTCCCTGCAAGCTCATCACAGATGAATCAAACACCTTTCCCCAACCAACAGCAACCAAATATGTTTCCGCAGCAGATGGGCCAAAATGGCCAGAACATGAATCCACAGCTATTTGGCCAGCAACATTTTCCAAACGGATCCAATGGCCAAGACCGGATGCAATTCCAAGCTCAGCAGTCGCAAGCTCAGGCTCAAGCCCAAGCACGGGCGCAAGCAGCGGCCGCCCAGAAAGCTCAGCTTGCTCTATCCGGCCACGGTGGACAGGCAAACCCCCAGATGTCCCAGTCTAGCCCGGTCATGCCGATGTTGAATCAACCGATGGCTCCTGGTCAGATGTCTCCTGCTCAGGTGCCTGGCCAACCTCGACCTCCCTCCCGTCCACCAAATGCGGGCCAGCCCAACATGCAAGGTCGACCGCAGATTCCCCCCAACCTGCCGCAGGCGGTCCAGGAGCAACTTGCCCAAATGACCAATGAGCAGCTTCAAGCATTCGTTCTCACTCAACGCCGCAACGCAATGGCAAACAACATGGCTCGCAATGGTGGTCAGCAACCTGGCCCTCTTCAGCAGACAGCATCGCAACCCGGCCAAGGTCAGGCGATGTTCAATGGCCAGATGGCCGGCAATGGTCGAATGAGAAATTCGATGAGTATGCCACAAGGCATGAATCCTGCTGGGTCAGCTCCGCCTCAGCAGATTCCAGGTCAGGCTCTGACCCCCCAACAACGTGTGCAGCAACAGCAACGCCAGCAAGATCTCTACAAACTTCAACTCTTGCATCAGCAGAACATTGGCCTGGAAATGACTCCTGACCAGGTCAAGGAGATGGATCGTGCGGCCTTTCCACCCAATATCATCAATAACCAAAACCACAACCCTTCCCAGGTACCCAAACACATCAAAACTTGGGGCCAACTTAAGCAGTGGGCCAATACCAACCCACAGGCATCAAACGGTGTCGATCTGACCAAGCTTATGATGTTGCAAAAACTCCACTTTGGACAGATTTTAGCTAACAGGGCCGGGGCTTCGAATAACCAGGGCCAGGGCATCTTATCACAGCACCCGCAAGGACAGCCAGGTCAAATGCCAAATGTACAAAACCTTCCCAACGGACAACCTCAGCCTCAGATGCCTCAGATGCGGCCACTCACCCCCCAGGATATCCACATGGCTCGTCAGAAGATGGGTCAAAATTCCAACAATCTCTCTGATGACCAGATTCGTGAGCTCCTCCAGCACCGCCAGAGGCAGATCATTCTGCAGGCTGCACGTGCCCGTCAACAAGAAATGAATGTGAATGCAGCGAAAATGCCACCTGGGCAGCATAACCAGCCTATGCCGCAGCCTCCTGTCTCCGTACCTCAGACTGCTGGCCAAGTGAACCCACCCACAGGTCCGCAATCATTGGCAATCACCGACCAGCAGCAATTGAATACTAAACTTCAAGCTGGAGGACCGGCAAAGAATGCCAAGGCTGCAGCCGGCAAACAGAACCAGAAGAGCAAGGTCAAAATGGAAGATACTGGAGAAGCTCAAGCCTCAGTTACATCTCAACAGCCCCATCAAGGTGCTCCCCCTGCAGCTGCTCCCCCTGCCGCTCGGTCGGGTGTTCCATTCTCCCACGATCAGCTTAATTCGATGACCCCCCAGCAGCGAATGCAGGTCGAAAGTCATATGCGTAAGCAACAGCAGCCCTTCCTTCGTGGTCCGATAATCAGTCGAGCTGCAGCGGATGAGAACTGGAAGAACAATCTCAAGCCTGAGATCATGAGCGTTTATATGGATATTGCCAAGAGCGCCCCGCCTACTCAACCCATTGCCAATTCTCCTGAACAAAAGGCGGTTATGTCTCAGCTGTTGATGGACTCCCTGGATATCCTTGGGAGGTTGGATTTTTTGATGACACACGGTTTTGCTAAGATGCAGGGCCAGGAGAAGAATGTCAGAAATCTTCTTGCTATGCGGGTTCAAATCATGCGACAGTTCAAGAACACACAGGATTGGGTTCTTAATGATAATTTCACCATTAGCCACGATTACTTGACTGGCGCTATCCTGTTCATTCGAAAGTTATTCCAGTTGATGTTCCTTCGCATAAACCAGCAACGGTCTAATGCGAATGCCCCCGCATCTGCTGCACAGGCACCGAGCACCACTGCGCTAAACGCGACCAATCTTGAACAGTTACAAGCACAGCAAGAACAAGCTCTCCAACACGCCCGACGTGCCTCCAGTTCCGGTGCAGCTGTTGCCTCGGCGCCCTTCGGAGCGCCATCCCCACAGGGTGTGCCGCACGTCTACGGTCCAGGTGGTCTTCCACCAGAGAAGCTGAAACTTCCCCCACCCAAGAAGAGAAAACAGTCTCACGCTGGCGCCCCCAGTGCCTCGCCTGTGCAAGCTAACTCTGCCTCTGTGGCCGCGGCTACCTACCAAGCCGCCGTGGCGAACGCCAAAACAAAGGCCGCCGCTTTGGCTGGCGCATTCAAGTGCAGCGTCGTCGAGTGCCAACACCATTTCCAGGGCCTACCAACCCAAGCAGCTCTGGACAAGCACGTCGAAGAAAACCATCAACCCGAGGAAGAGGAGGTTATCGGCGATCCTATGCAGTTCTACCTTGACAGTGTTTCCATTGGCCTGGGGTTGACTGCCGACGGCCAGCAGCCCAAGCAATCCATTGAATCTGCTCCTCCTGTCAACACTAGCAACAAACTCAGTGCAATGGCCTCGCCCGCCAAGCAGGGCTTGCCCACACCTGTGACTGCTAGCACAACACCCATGGCTCGCGTGACTAGCCAACTCGGAGCCAAGACTGCGTCTCCTGCGATATCTGCGCAGCAGCTTACTCCCCTCCAAGCAGCGAACAAAATTGGAAAGCCTTCCCCTGGAAAGCAACCCGGCAAGCGTACTTTGGACGATCTCGAGGGCGAGGACCCTTGGGCAGATGCCCCGATGAACCTTGAAAAGATTCATGATACCTTCGCGCCCGTTCTCGCAGACTGCCGACGCAAGGGTCTAGGCTACGATCCCTTCGATGAATTCCTGAATACCGAAATGTTCTCCCTCGACCAATCTGATGATACTCCCGACTCTCGTGACACTGCTCTAGCAACCCTCACCCCCAAGGATGAGCACAAAGATTGTAATGGGGTTGTTTGGTATGATTTCATGCCCTGGGACGAAGATTCCATCCAAGCCACCAAAGACTGGATGAAGTTGCCCTCTTCCTCCGAGTTCTCCAACGGTGTTCGCTTCCCCACTGGACCGGATGCTTTGCAATTCGACTGGAATAACGACGACCAACCTCAAAAGGACATGAACATGGAGAACGGCACTATCGCCATTGCTGCTCTGTAATTGCCGCAATGCCTGTAGTGTGACGTGCATCTTTACGACCTTTACCTCAGATTTCTCCTTCTTTTTTGCTATTTTTCTTCTATACTTTAACTTTCATTACTCATTCCGGTGGTTTCTACCTGGCGTACATACGGATTCTTATCTTTTATGGGGCAAGCGTGTGTACCATACCCGACGCAGGAGTCCTGTTTTCTCTCTTTCTTCTTTTCACCCTGGAGACTAATCCAAGATCAATTCTACCACGAATATTTCAATCAATTCATATCTACCTGTAAAGACGAAGTTTTGATCGCAAGTATCAATTTCTGGCAATTGGCATGGAACAAACACGGCTGCACTGTAGATCCCGATATCTGGTCGATCAACCGTGTCTCCACTTTCCATCACGTCAGCTTATCAGCTGATCCTTATCAGCTGGGGTCGATAACAAAGACCTCTCCGCTCTGTCGAACCTCCCAGCTCCAACTCCCCTCATCGCCCCCAATCAACGATATTTAGGTGGCAACATGGCGAGCCGCACGTTAGTCCCATTCCTGGTCACGATGATGCTCGTGACCGGGGTTTGCAATACAATTTTGAATAAATACCAGGTGTGTCATTCTAATATGAGCTCCGTATGAGCCGAGCCTAGCTAATAGTAGCGTGGCTCTTAGGACATGCAATGTGTTCGAAACTGCGATTCTCCCGATCCTACTCAGCGGAAGATGTTTGAGCAGCCAGTAATTCAGACGTAAGTGTCCTCTCTCTTGGGGCGACGACCCATATCCAGACCCAAGCCCGATTGCTTATCTCGTTGTTCTTGAACAGAGCGCAGATGTTTGTCGGCGAGATGGGCTGCTGGCTAGTCCTCGGTTTATCGATTCTTTATCAGCGATTCATTGCTCCCCGTTTGTCACGCGACCAGTCCCCTCTTTTGGCGGGTGGCTACCGTCCTATCCGCGGCGAGGATGGCGGCCTAGAGGACGACGAGCACACGATTGATGAGAATGGCATGGAGCGCAGAAACTCAATCAAATCTGTGATGGATGATGAAGGCCGTATTCCACTGCGTGGATGGAAGATTCTCCTTTTGGCTGCGCCATCCTGCTGCGATATTGCAGGAACTACACTGATGAATGTGGGCTTGCTCTTCGTCGCAGCGAGTATTTACCAGATGACCCGAGGAACCCTCGTGCTTTTCGTCGGACTTTTCAGTGTAATCTTCCTTCGACGAAAGCTGTACTTGTACCAGTGGAGTGCACTTTTCATTGTCGTTCTTGGTGTTGCACTTGTCGGTCTTGCCGGTGCTCTTTTCAGCGGTCACTCGGGCCACGACCTCACGCGAGATGATGGTATTTCCTCATCTGCAGTTGCAGGGACCCCGGAGGCTGTAAAGGCTGTCATTGGAGTGCTATTGATTGCCGGTGGCCAAATCTTTACTGCCTCGCAATTCGTGCTGGAGGAGTGGATCCTTGAGAACTACGCCATGGACCCTATCGAGGTTGTCGGATGGGAAGGAGTATTTGGTTTCTCAGTGACCTTTACCTGCATGTGCATTATGTACTTGGCCGTTGGACGCACCGAGGCAGGCCAGTACGGCTATTTCGACATGAAGGAAGGCTGGCAGCAGATGACGTCCAACCGTGCTGTGGCGATGGCCAGTATCTTGATCATGTTCAGCATTGGGTATGCTTTCCCCCTCCCTTATTGAAAATTACTCTCCCAGAATACTAATGCCTTCTCCAGAGGGTTCAATTTCTTCGGTCTCTCTGTAACACGCACCGTCTCCGCTACATCCCGCAGCACCATCGACACCTGCCGCACTTTGTTCATCTGGCTCGTCTCTTTGGGACTGGGCTGGGAGTCTTTCAAATGGCTTCAGGTCGTTGGTTTTGCATGCCTCGTTTACGGTACATTTCTTTTCAACGATATCATCCGTCCTCCGCTCAAGGCCTGTCTCCCCGGTGGTGAGCCTAGAGACCACGAGGAATTACTTCCAGAGGAACCGATTGAGCATATTTAGATCCTCTACAATTTCTCTTGACCATTCTGGACCAAAGCTTCGGACTCCATCCTCGCAAACTTATCGTTAGCTGGGTTTTAACTGCTGCAGTGCAGGCCGGTGTGCAGTTATCAAGCTTTTGATACCTCCGATTATCTCCAAAGGATCATTTATGCAAGCTGTTTCTTTGGCGTTTGATTGACTCTGGACTTGTTTCTTTCCCTCTGACAGGGCGCTATATAACTGTCTATCTTGGCATTCCTATTTTCCTGCATTCAACGCTCGACTCTGATAGAATCTCGTGGATGGATCAGTTTATCTCGGGGTTCTTTTCTGCATACTACTAGTTGTAGCAATGACACAATTTTCTAACTCATATCAAGTGCCCAGTGGTAAACAGTACTCAAGGCGGACAATTGCTGAACGGGGCACTAAAGCGATTCGTTGTAGACGAGAGTTGTAATAGTACACGGCGATCTACAAACTGAAATACCTAGGAGTGACGACGCTTAAGGCTACTTAGAAAACCCCATAGCCGAAGCTATTGCAACATCCGGGATGATCAACTACGGATACATTATTAATCATTGGAACAAGAAATAACTAGTTTGCACCATGCAAATTTGCTGTGCGGATCTCATCTACTAAGGATATTGAAGCATGTACAAGAATAGCCCTCTGAAGAGAAAGCAGAACAGACGAAAGCTCTGGAGGACATTCGGCGAAAGATAGAAAGGTGTATAGAACTGGGATTGAGGCTGCTCATGAAAAATTAAAGATTTCACCGCCAGACTTTTCGTTGAAATAGAGTTCCTATCCTCCGCGGAACAAATAAAGTCGATTTTACGTAAATCACGGCTCGGACCAGTCTACTTGATCGGTGACTGGATCGGCTGTATCTTGAGCAGAGGTAACCCGGAGGCGGAGGCGGAGTTTAGGTGGTAGGGCCTGATGAAAGACGTTAGTTTGTTTCAATGGAAGGGGATTGAATTATACATACCCCGTTCAGTGCTGTTACGCGCATGGTCTGGGTGGCATCTTCGCCAGCTTCGAGGTCGGCTTTGCTGATGGCACTCAATTGCAGACGCTGGCTCTTTGGTACAGCAGCTTGAAGACCGACGTTGGTGAAACGACCAAAGTTGGACTCGTTGCGGAACCGAGCAAGGATTTGGGCGTTGGGGCCGTTTCGTTGTACTTGGAGGGTGAGGATAAGGCCATCCTTGTTGAGTGCGGTGTGAGCAGGGGTCGAGGCGGTAACGGGTGCGGGAGAGGCAGAGGGTGAGGGCACAGAGGCACCCATACCACCGCCCAAAAGATCCATTGAAGCCGATTGCTGCTGTGCTGGCTGAGGGGAGGGGGAGGCGCCTGTTGAGCCAAACATGTCCATGATAGAGCTGTGGCTACTTGTGTTTTGGGCAGGGGCAGGAGCGGGTGATGACAAGCCCGAGTCGCCGCCAAGAATATCTGCCAGCAGATCGGCGGTGTTTCCTCCATTCGATGACGGGCTGGTTACAGGTGCGTCGGAGCCACCCACCAGATCAAGGAGCAGGTCGTGATCAGCAGGCTTGGACACCTTGGTGGGTTTGCTACGAAGAACCTTACTCTGGCGCTTCTTAGCGGGAGCACCGAGAACGCGCTGCTCCTCACGAATCTCAGGTGCCGGCATTCGTTCCAACACGCCACGACGGATCTGGTCATATCCAAACAAGTTGGTGTATTCAACCGCACGTTGCTGAATTTCGACACTCAAGTCAGAAGTACGGCCAGTGAGGAAGAGGCGGAGACGCTCGATCTGGGCTGGATCGGACATGCGCACGGTCAATTTCATGGATGCGGTCGTGATATACTCGATGACGGTCTGGTTGGCGTATGTGCTATTGAGGATGTTGGTGAACAAGTCCACAATATCGCTCTCCCGCACTTCCTTGGCCAGTTCTTCCTCCTCATACTGACCACCCTGCAGCAGACTATCGGCGTATTCACCAATCGTCCAAGTTGCTGCTAGAGTCAGTCCTTCCTGTGAGATATCCTCCTTCAAGGATGAATACAGCTTCTGAACAGCATAGGTCTGCAGCTCCGGAGTAGTTGCAATGAGACGAACGAATGATGATAGGATTTGCTCCTTGACGTAGTTCCCAGCCAGTTTGAGAACCCGAAGAATGGTGTCCATGTGCCAGCGCTTGTTCGGAGAAAATCGGTCTGCAGCAATACCAATCTGTGTTGTCATAACCGGCTTGAACTCGTTGTCGGCCACCTCCAGGAAAGCTAGCAGCTCCCGGACAAGCACCCGCACATTGTCCTCGTTGATCAACATGAAGCTGAGATCGAGCGCTCGCCGGCGAATGCTGATATCAGGATCCCGCAGACATTCCAAGATGGTGTTACGATGTCTTTGCACCGCATTCGGTTCGATGGCCACGACCTTGTTCAGCGTGTTCAATGCAACATAGCGGATGTTATTGTCTTTGTTAGACAAGAATTTACCAAGAATGTTGACACCCAACACCCTGAGGCCGGAGTCAGCTTCAATATCCAAGATGGTAAGCACCGCCTCATATAGAATGGCATTGCCCACGTTCTTGGACGAGTCGGTGTTGGTTGCCACCTGGGCCAAAATATCGTTGATCAATTCACTGGTAGCCGCATCGCCACGACCCAAGACTCGAAGGAATCGAAGGATCTTCACCTGGAGGAAAGGATCGGTGATTCCAGACACGTCATGCTCCGGGGCGTATCCTGATGTGGTCAGTCCCTTCAGAGCACGGACCAGCCCCCCAGCGAGAGGCCGAAACATCTCAATCACACCCTCCGGGCCTTCCTCTTCTTCTTCCGCTTCGCACAGATCGGTCACAAAAGTCAAACCGCAGAGAAGAACACCATGGTTTCGATCTCCTAACAGGGTCTTGGCCTTCTCGAGGAAATGTTCGTATAAGTCAGGGACCTTGCGACATATCCGCATGGCGCAAATGGCTGCCTTGCGGCGAATATAGGGATTGGCAGTCGACATGAGGCTTTCGACTTCGGGGAAAAGGTCACGAGACATCTCGACGGAGGCAATGTTTCCGAGGGCGCAGAGGGCAAGACCAACAATATACTGATTCGAGTGGTTGAGATCACTGTACAGGGTCAGCATTGAAGCTACAGCGACTTTCTTGATCACACATACTTCTTCAATGAATTGGTGACGAGAGTCAACACCTCCTGGTTCTCGTCCAGCAACAACATGGTTCCTAGGTAGCCCAGTCGCTTGTCAGCGAATCGGTGTGACGCGAGTAGTTTCAAACATTCGATCTGGCCGAAGTGAGTCCGCTCTCCTAAAGTGAAGAGATACAGCAATTTGGCCACATTGTTCCTCCTGTTAGGCGTTAGAAGTCGGTATGCGGCGAATGGGGTGCAGTGTAGCTAACCGAACATTCGAGTCGTGGCTCTCCTCTCGAAATGAGGCACGAATGGCCGCGCTCTCCTTTTGAATCACGGCTCGCTCATCTGCAATGGTCTTGGCGGATCGGACATTGCGAATAAATTGCTTGACTGTTTAGAGTTGTGGTGGGTTAGTCGCATCTTCAGGGGAGGAGGGGCGGCGGGCCACTCACGAGAGGCCATGATGTGAGTTCAACCCCCGGACGGGGTTCCAGGGGAGGTAGGTAGAGCAATGGAAGCGAGGGAGGGAAGCGGAGAAAGTCCCAGCAAGATAGGGTGGGCGAAAAGTAGCTTGGTCGCAGCACTTTGGGATTCGGGTCTGGGCTTTATTATGCGTGGACTTGGGGGGTCTTTCTTGGGTTGACCTGGCTTCTTGGCATCCACAGGGTGCACTAGACCACATGTGGCTAGTGGGATATTATCTCATCTGTTCTGGCCTGAGGCGGGAAGTGCTTGTTCTTACGTAATCCAAGGGGGTGGTTCAATCTATCCCTTATTTATCGGGCATCAATAGACTAACTCAACTATGGTATGTTACACAGCATGCACGCCGTTGACCTCGGATCGATGGGATGGACGTTGGTACACAATACGCATAGTCTGGTACATCCTTTATTTTAATCTTTCTGCCTGGTTAAGATCAAGACTATATATCCCAACAAAGCGAAATCCAAGCTCTATGACGTTTCCCTTTTGACCATTCATAGCTCGTCCTTGAATTTTACCTATTTGCACCAATTTGATTAAGCCAATCAGGGGACCCTTTTGAAGAAAACAAGGTCATTCCCTAGCATAGCCTCAATCATTTTCAATGTACTCAAGTTTGTTGGGAGGAAGTATGCCCCTTAACTTGGTAGAAATAAAGGAGCCTGATGACCGATGTTGCATAGATCGATAAGGCTAAGTGGTCAAAGTACTGAGGATATTAGATGGAAGTCAATGTTCTATTTTGCAAATTATCGTGATTCCTTCATGAAAGAGTAATTTCATTCGTATCTGCAGTATGCATCAATTATTGCCCCCAAGTCCCGAACTCCGAACCCCCACATAGGGGGCTCTTAAAATACCTAAGGCTGACCGTTGACGTAGTTGGTCTTGGTCCCGTTTTTCCGCTCTCCGTCTTCCTAATTCTCCACAAAAACAAACCAAACCAAAGACACTTCCTATGATTCTGGCTTCGGTCAATGTGAAATTACCTGTATATTCCCGCAATTGCGTCCACCTCTTAGGATGTCCAGCGCCATCTCCCATGGTTCTGCTACACTGCGGCCGCGCGCCGTCCCCCTCCAGTCCGACAAGTCGGACGTGAGTCTCACTCCACCAGTTTCTCAGCTAGGCCCGGATGCAAGGTATACACTTTCTACAGTTACTCTTTATTTAACGGTCGGAAACAATGGCTGATATTTGTGCTTGAACTACAGTGGTCGATCCACCCCCGTCCCTGAAGATGCTCCTCCTTCGGCGCATTCGATTTCAACGGCTCGCAAGCAAGTGCGCGCGAGGAATCGCCTCTTTTATACCATTGATTATGTGCCCCGTGTATCCCATTTTGATCCAGATAGCGATTACCATAATTTCCGTGGGTTCTTTGTCCTCTTTTGGATCTCACTCGTTATTATGGTTGTTACTACTGTGCTGCGCAATATTAAGGACACCGGATACCCACTGCGAGTACGGGTGTGGAGTTTGCTGAGCGCCAATGTGTGGGAATTAGGCTTGAGTGATCTTGCTATGGTTGTGAGCTCGAGTCTGGTCCTACCCTTGCACCGGCTGTACCGGCGCGGCCCTCGTTGGTTGCAGTGGGCGCGTGGAGGTAGGGTTGTGCAAAGCATCGGCGAGGCCTTATGGCTAGCTGTTTGGATCAAGTGAGTTGGAGCTCTTGTTTGTAGAGTTTGATTAGCCGGCTGCTAACATACTCATAGCTGGCCGTTTATGCGTATTTGGACCTGGACTGCCCAGGTCTTCTTCACTCTCCATGTCCTAACCATTCTCATGAAGCTGCACTCATACGCCTTTTACAATGGCCACCTCAGTACAACCGAGCGCCGTCTTGCAGACCTAGACAAAGCAGACAACGTGGTCCCTAGCTCGCCTAAGGCAGTCCACTACCCGGAACCCCAACGCCGTCGTCCATCTATGAAGCAGCTGCACGATGACACAGATATTACAGAGCCCCTGGTCCGTCTACGCGAAGATCTAGCCACAGAGCTCACCTCCCCACTGGGAAATATCTCGTACCCCCAAAACCTCTATATAGGAAACTATGTAGACTTCCTCTTTTGCCCAACCCTCTGTTACGAGCTCGAGTACCCACGTCGACTTGAACGCCGCTGGTCAGAAATCGCTTACAAGACCGCGGCTGTGTTCGGATGTATCTTCCTGCTCACCCTGACCAGCGAAGAATTCATCGTGCCGGTCTTAAGCGAAGCCAGTACCCAGCTCCAAGCATTCCCAAACCTCGCGGACAAAGCCCTCGTCCTAGCTGAGACTATCAGCATGCTCCTTTTCCCTTTCATGATCACATTCCTCCTAGTCTTCCTTGTCATCTTCGAATACGTCCTCGGTGCATTCGCAGAGCTAACCCGGTTCGCGGACCGACACTTCTACTCGGACTGGTGGAATTCGTGTGACTGGCTCGAATTCTCTCGGGAATGGAATGTCCCCGTCCATCACTTCCTTTTCCGTCACGTCTACTTCCCTGCTCGATCTGCCTTTTCTCAACCCGTCGCCATGCTCATCACATTCCTGGTTAGCGCTGTGTTCCACGAACTGGTCATGAGCTGCATTACCAAGAAGCTTCGTGGCTACGGGTTTATGGCTATGATGCTCCAGTTGCCCATCGTTGCTATCCAGAAGTCTCGATTCTTCAGAGGTCGGACTGTTCTTAACGTGAGTGATTCCCCTGATAGATACAATATTCTTTGGCACCGTACTGATTTACTTCAGAACGTCTTCTTCTGGTTCTCGATGATCCTGGGTCTTTCGATGGTAAGTCTTTTGAGTTTCATAGCACTTTTTGCAGTGAAGTTTCTAATATGATTTAGATGTGTGTATTCTATGTCTTGGTTTGAGATAGATACCTCTTGAAGGACGGTATTTTGCACATATGGTTGTTGGAGATAGGTCAGCGTGTTTGTCTGTTGGACTTGCGTTGTCTACTGAGAGTGAATACCCTGTATTTGATTTGATTTATTTATTCATGCCAGTATACCTCTTTATTTGACTTGTATATAGCTGTAATATTGTTGACGATAAGGTTTCCGGTTCGGCTAGAGATCGGCTCCCGGAGCATTGACTGATTTAGTCAGGGGTTTCAATCGCACAAAGAGTAGTTCATGTGGTGTTGAAATACCCAGTAAACCAACGACTCGATCACAAATCCGAGCAGTGCCACACAGAAACAGCCGTGTAAGCCGAAAAGATGGTATAATGTTATACTCAATGTAACAATAAGAGTATGTATCGATGATCCCACTATGACCATCTAACAAGCATATCTAATACAAAATCGCAAGACAGCCTCATGCAGCTCAGGGTGAAAGAGAGAGATTACAAGCACATAGCCATACAGAAAGAAACATGATTCTAGAAAAGAACCGTGGCAAGAATTCCAGTAAAGCTCCAACGATCAGGCCAGTGGAAACTTTCCCAGCCACTCTTGATACTCCCCGTCGGTTGAGTTCTCCGCGCGCTGGAACCTGCCTGTACGTGTACTGCAGATGCAGCCACTCGAATGAAGATGGCGTAGGTAGGAACCACAGCCAAGAAATAGACAATGGACATCACTAGAAAGGCGCCGATTGCCCTTCGCTCCATACCATCGAAATCATCTCCAGATCTGAGGATCTGAATAAACATATCGACGGTGAGATAGAAGCACACGCTTGAGGCGGTGCTGTATAGTAGTGTAGCCGGGAAGGTCTTCCACCATACTGACCAGCTAAGAACACGTCGATAGAATGGAATCTGCGATGGCTGGGCGAGAATTGTATGCACAATATATCCTTTAAGGGTTGAAAGTAGCATCTCTGTCGCCACGTTCAAGACCAAAAGTCGGAAGACATCTGTTTCTTCTATAGTGAATCGCGAGAGGAGAAACACTTTGGCCAATAGATGGATGATGAAGATTGGAAACCCTCGAAATTGTCCCTTCATAAGGAGATTTCCACCTCGTCCTGGTACTGGCCGTGATGTCGCGATTAGCGTTGCGTTGACATTACCCAAGGCATATATCAGCTTCTTGTGATTAGCCTATTGTAGATGATAGTTGGATCAGGAATCACCAACCAAAATCATAACAACCAGAGACCCGGCCAGGGCCAGCATAATGGGCTTTATCTCTGGTCCATTTTGATTCTGATCCAGGTAAGAATTTCCAGATCTGATATGCGAAATGTCGAATGACATTTCTACACGGGATACAGACCAAGGAAGGCTCGGGAAGAAGAATGAAAGATAGAGGAAGAGAAGGAAGAATACCGACTATCTGGCAATCTTGTTCGGGTGCACCACTAACAGTAGTTGGAACTGGCCGCGAACGCTGTGGGTACAATATCCCTGCTATGACCTTAGCTCAATTTACCGTCAACTAGCGTTAGGATGTAATGGCGTGATACTGGTTTTGAATTTTACCTGTGGCGTTGAGATTTAATGGGATATTGAAGCGTTGATATTAATTAGATCAGTAAAGTAAACACTCGCAAACGATGAATCAATTTAAGGCTAAATAGTTGTAGATACAGTAAAAGCAAATCATTTAACAGAAGCAACAGACAAAAATCAAGGATATCATTAGCACGATTTTTTTTTTCCTTTTCTAATTTTGTAGATAAGAGTGGAGTGTTCTATGCCTACAAGAGTCTAAACGACCAAAGTACAGTTCACATGTCATTCAAAGGACATCAATTCATGATGAGATTTTCCAGAGCATCCACGGGTATCTAGATAGGCGGAGCCCGGGAGAGAGAAACACTCCCAGATAACAAAGAGATAAAGGAAATAGGTCATAAGTAAATTGGAAATTGCGCCACGTAGATGAGTATGTTATGTTGTTAGGAATGGAATAATAACACCAAGTCCCCTCCCCATTGCGCCGAAAGAAAGCCCCACCGGGGGAGACCACGCAATCAAAACCGCCCCAATGCTGTGCAAGGGCCCTGGGGTCCATGGAAATCCATGTTCATGGCTGGCGCGATGGCTACAAGCCAGGAGTTTCCGTAGTAAGGAACTGCCGAAGGCAGTCAAATATAGACATGAAGGGAAGAGACAAAAGGGTTCATATGTTGGATCATGGGTCATAAAATGCGTAAAAATAATGAATAGACAAAAATTGGAAGCGGTCATCAAGCTGTCGTCAATGGTTTCATTGCGCATAGGCCACGGAGCTTCGGCGTAGTGGGCGGACACGTTCGCTATAATAATTACTGTGACTGGGCGAGGTGTTGATGTCACTGGGCCGGATTTCCCGGGTGTATTTGACGTCTTCACTTCGGATGGGTGGGGAGTATTCCACGTTGCCGTGGGGTCGGGAGGGTCGTACAGAGCGGACCTCGATGCGAGGACCTGATTCGCTCATGAATGATTGGAAGGTGCTTGCCCGCTTGGGAGGAGCCATGCGAGGTGGACGCTCTCGTTCCCTTTCAGGCGAGAGAGTACGGTACCTGGAAGGCTTGGAGGGTTCGATGATGATAGGGTCCTCGATCTTGTACCGAGCTGTAACCTTTGGAGAACCCTTGGGTGGGAGTTCGGGAGTGTTGGGACTAGAGTAGCCCGAGTCGTATTTTTCACGTAGCTTGGATGAACGTGGAGGGGGCGGGACAGTCTCACTGGCCATCTTGTGCAGAATGTCATCAGTCCGACTGCGAGATGAGTCCCGCTTTGGGCGAGTGTATGCCGAGGCGGTTGCCGAGCGACCTCCTCCGAACAATGTCGGGCGAAGCGATGTCTTGGGACCCGGCATTGTTGTCGCAGTGGGCATCTTAGGCGGCTTTCCCGAATCGTAGCGGGGCTCCAGGTCTTCATATGAGGAGTTGTGGCGCGAAGAGGAGCGAGTTGGGTCCGTCCGGGAGGACCGTCCCGAGCGCCGGGGAGCGGCAGTCTCTGGTTCAGCTGACTCGTAACCACGGGATCGCTGTGGAGACATCCGGGGTCGAGAATCATCATACTTCGAACGCTCAATGTGTTCCTCGGCCCGGCTAAGCTTGTAATATTGATCCTCTTCGTAGACATCCCGGACATCGCGGTCGCGACGTCGAGAAGAGAACTCTGTGGGCCGAGAGCGAGACTCTCGAGCCCGACGAGATGGCTTGGGATCATAAGCTTCAGTATCACTGGAATCGGAATCCCCGTCGGACACCACAAACGGACCAAAAGATTCGTATTTATCGGATTGTTGTCCCCGTCGTTCTTTGTCGCGGCGTCGTTGTCGCTCAGAGTGTGAGGCTTTGGTACTATCGCGAGATTCCTTGGCAGCACGTTCGCTGCTCATTGGAACTCGGGTCTTCTTCTTCTCTTCCTTCGCCTTGGGTCGTTTCCCACCGAACTCGTCGGCCTTGCGAGCGAAGGATCGAGGCTCTTCACTGAATCGTTGATCTTCAAAGAAAGCGTCAAAAGGCACGCGCTCCTCCACAATGTGGCCCTCGCGCATCTCGCGCGGGGATGCCATCCCACGTGCCGCCATTTCCGCGTGCTTAGCTCGTTGTTCTTTCTCCAACTGTCGTTTTAAGTCTGCCAGTTTCACCTTTTGGTCATAGCGAAGTCGGCGATCTGGATCGGACAGAAGTTCGTAGGCCGCTTGTACCTCTTGGAATTCCTCCTGGGCGACATCTCGCTGAGCCTGATCTTGAATCTTATCGGGATGACATTTCAATACTCGTTTGCGATGGGCGGCCCGGACTTCCGCGAGAGTAGCGTCCCTGGGCACGCCCAATGCAACATAAGGGTCTATATCAGGATGGGACATAATGTAGTCAAGTAAATGATCATCGATGATGACCCCCAAGGAATTGAGGGGGGGGGGGGGTGGGTAGGGTAGATGTAGTGAACTGAAAGAGGGGGAAAGAGGCGGTGGAGGAATGCCAACTTAACGTTGGCTATGATCGGGCAAGAATCCACTCATCCAGAATGAAGTGGGACGATCAAGGTGGTTCCAGGTTTGGATTTCAAATAAAAGAGAATCATTTAAAGATTCTGCAGTATTCCAGAATTTCCAATTTACAAACGAATCATGAATCAGCAGGTTCGCAGGTATTATGTCAAGGGACAAGATGTTTATGTCAGGGGCAAAAGTCGTTTAGGGGAACATTCCCGCTCTTCTCCGTCCAGGTGGCGTGGAGTCCCTTAACACGTAGGTACCGCCTCACTCCGATGCCCAACGTGGGAGGATCAACTTTCTTATATCATTCCAACTGAAGTCACTTTCATTACTACATACCCTTCCTAAGAGAAAGCCCCAATAACCCCAAGATGACAGTTTCTTTGGCCTGTGCGCCCTATGCGATTTTAACATTATCCGCCAATCAAACGTCAGCCTCACTTCTCTCGCGAGACAAATTACCTACGTTTTTTATTTCATTTTACGCTAGACAGGAAATGGTGAGTTACGCATCAGTGGGGCGATCAATAGGAAACCCCGCATACCATACAAGTCGTCTAGTTTCGCCCCTCCCGATTTGGGGGTCAATGATTCGTTGTCAGTCACTGCGCTTTTTTGATGATTTATTCCTTTTGCCAGTGCAGAGCGATCGTCCCCCCTCCTCTCCAAAGCCCCCAATTTTGAGGTAGATGGCCACCGCCCCTGCTTCTCGATGCCCGGGTCCGTAGTTCGTATCCAACAATCCTACTAGGGTTACCCCCACGGATCTTACCAGGCCACCCTACTGAGCCCGGGACGCCCTGCGTGCCTGAGTTTTCCGCGTGGGTAGCCCGTTCCGTGGGTCCTACGGTGGCTGTTCTGGACCACGTTCAATAAAGCCTATATATAGATTGGAAAAAATCTACTTACAGCTGACTGTACACTTGTACTTGGTACCGCAGGGGATAAACGGATATGCCTAATCTCGCTCTCAGTTCCCGCATCCCGATCGCCGGTATGCCTGGCTCAGCCTTCATAGTCGTAATTCCGATCCAAACGGAGATTTTTACTGTAACTGTAGAAGTCACCAGGGTCTATGGGATATCACGGCACGGCAACACCGACTCCGTTCTGTCATCGGACTCCGTTCTGTTCCATTCTATCAGCTGGGTTTTGTGAGTCGATCGTTATATGTCATTTAGAATAGAATCAGATAGATTAAACTAGGCGAGTCATTTTTCGGTATCACCAGTTCCCCCCGTCAGTTGACTAGAATGTGATGAGTGCTGCAGTAACCCGCCCACCCCTAGGTTTTCATTTCAACGCCTCCCCCCTGGTCATCATAATCCTCCGGTCCCAGTCAAAGTGTTTGCTCTGGTCATACTAGGATTTCCGCTTGCCGAAACACAGGGTTTCAACCTTAAACGCCCCATGGGTTAGGGTCGGTGAATTCGCGATTGGACGGTAGGTGGTTACCCATGGTATGTTGCATCTGACGAATTGTCCATACAGAGGCGAGAATGGCCTTTGTCTTCACCTCGGATGTACGGACTGGTCCTGGGTGTACTGTAGAACAGGTGTTTCACGCTCCCTGACACATGCACCTCAAAGCGATAAGGAGGGGAAACCAGCCGATCGCCTGCGTCATCACTAATGCCTCCTTGTTTCATTGGAGCCGGAATAGTCGGCTTGACCAGTCATGATTTTCGTGGAAACCGCACTAGAGACAATGCAGGAGGTGATAAGCCATGAAAGAAGAAAAGAATCATTTTCTCTGAAGAAGATCCCTTAATGATCGGCCTCGCATGGTCACATCCGTGTCAAGATGGTGGGCGGCCCGAGGGTTGGTTCGTGTGGGTTTCTCTGTTCCACTCCCGTTGCGCGAGGAAGCGCTTGCAGATGTGATTCGGATTCCAGAATCACTTTTGAGTTTGAGAGCTAGGTATTGCAGATGACTGGGTTAATATTACCGCTTGGCTGGATGCGCCATTTTTGTGGAGCGCGATATGTCAGATGGAAAGATTAACATGCGGGGATGGTTTGGTTCCAGAATTGTCGACTTGGTTGTTGGTTGGTTAGTTTTTGGGGCTACAAACACGGAGGAAATTGGTTCATCAAGTCTTCCTTTACCGGAAGGATTCTATGGCTTTGTTTGCTGCATCGTATCATCGTATCATTTTACGCAAAGCTATAGTCCGAGGGGAAGCTCGGGTCGAAGGATCATCAAAGCCCCCAAGCCCCCGGTCGCATCACTTGGATCCATCAGCCATTCCTGTGGATCAACTAACTTCCCCTTAACGCTCTGTCGATGAAAACGATGCGAGGCTGCATCATAATGGTTGCTCTGCGTGGGATCCGACGAATCCTTGAGCAGTCATGCATCAAAGCGTCCACTCATAGCTGCTGACAAGGCCAAAGCTCCTGGGGATCATGCATGGCAGTGGAAATACGACTCGGTCGATGCAAGCCACCATGCATGGGAAAAATACCATTGCCGTGCACCGATCAAGTTGGAGGGCGTCAGGGTAAAAGTCCCTCGTCCAACTAGAATGAGCAACTGGGTGGATAACCTTGAAGAAATAAAGCAAGGCATGGGGTTAGGTCAGATCCAAATCACCTGAACACGTAGTCGCCCTATCGCCCTGTTGCACTGGAAGCTCTAGATCCACCACGATCGGTGGATTGAACTGCTTGCCTCCCCGGTGCGGCCAGCTTGTAGCCAAGATGGCGGCGTTGACAATGCAGGTCTCCCTTCTCAGCATTTGCACTGCCTGACCGTCGCACCAGTCCCCATCGCCGTACGCTTGGGTATCTGCGCTCAGAAGCGGAGCCTTGTCCTTCTTCTTGTTCGAATTATGTCGAGAATTCAGGGCTACATCGGCAGCTGACCCGAAAGAAGATGATGATTTCAACGCCTTGGTCGCAGGACTCAGATTCAGTTGCGAATGAGGAATCAAGGATGAAAATCCATCGTTATCCAAGCGCTCTCCCCGTTTGCCTGTCAGGTCGACCAGAGCCTGTTTTTTGCTACCCGGTGGTGGCAAGACCCCCTGAGTAGTAACGCCGCTGTTGTCAGACTCGATAAGCGTGCGCGACAGTCGCATCTGCTTCGGCCAACGAACACGCTCGTAGCCCCGATCTTCATGCACATGACCGCAAACAGCTAACGGCGGCCTGATGCGGCTCAGTGCCTGGCGAAGCGCATCGCACCCGACCTTCTTGCCCATCGGCTTCTGGTCGCAGTGAGATTTCGGTGGCGTATGCGTCACGACAATGTCGGTATCTGGGGGGATCTGGTCCCAGAGTGCTTTTGCGCCCTTGCCATTATCAAATCCAAACGCCCAGTTCCCTTCAAATTGCGAATATGGGGACCCGAACACTTTAAATGCGGTTTTTGATCCGTCTTTGTGAATCAGATTGATGACAGCGGCCTGATGTTGGAGGTAAATGACAGAAGGTGCTGCACTTGTGACCGCTTCGAGGCATTGTCTTGGATCTTCGAGCTGCGAGCCGTGAAACTCTTGTCCATGTTTCTCATAGAAACCGGGATCCAGAGTGACATCGTGGTTCCCTGGATAGATATTGGTCAGGGATCGAACAGATCGCGCAAGCTCTTGTCATGGCATGCACATCGACAAAATAATCAAAAACAACGTGGAACGCTCGAGCACAGGACCATTGGGTAGCGTGTCTCATTTATAACCAAGAGAAAATGAACTGACCAGCCACGATGATCTTCACTTCAAAGTTGGCCTTAGATATCCAATCCATCGTCCGGCGCACCTCGGCCAAACTTCCCTTGTTAGTCAAGTCGCCCGCATGTATCAGTACATCTCCAGCTGGGAGCTTAAACCCTGCCTCTGAGGGCGTGTAGCCATGCGTATCGGATATGCAGACGAAACGTGTCTTGCGAAGCATGACTTTTGGCGAGCCCAGTTTTCTATCTTCGTTTGTTATGTACGGATGTACCGATGAGAAGTAAAATTGCCGTCAAAGCTATGCACATCGGTTGATGTCGTCCAGTAACGGCGCTTGGAGCACAGACGAATAGGCTGGACTGGAACTGAAGTTCATAGGGCGTAGACGCATGGATACTTGAGAGAAAAACATATTGCTACTGGGGCTGGTGATGCATGGTAGTTAGAGATTAGTCATCGGGCCCAGTCTTTCAGGTGCTCATTGTGAGATTAACATTGAAAGATACGTAATGCGATAAAGGCAAATTGATTGTTGCATCAGATACAGTAGGACCTATTGGATGTCTCAGTACAAACTGCATGCTGCGAGTGAAACCTATTTGGGGTTATATAGAGAATGATTTACATGGAATAATCGCTCGTAGGTGCTTAGATTGGTACCATACATCAAATTTCAGGGCCACTTTAACCCTTGCCACCATCCATGATCAACGGGCTTTCTAGAACATAACAACCAGCCCTAAACCAGAGCCCTAATGGTCGATGGCTATTGGCACACACAATTGGGGAGTCAGTTGTCTTAGTCAGCAACATGATGGAAATGTGGGTCTTACATAATACACAGTGGGGAAGGATTGGTCAGGATTAGGGCGGTAGCCCTGACGGCTAGTCCACACACAGTAGTCTCTGATCAGGCTCGCTTAGCCTCTTCGCCTGCGATCCATCCGACTTCGTTGTGCGTGCCTTTGACTCCAACGACAACAACCGCCGACAACCATCCAACCCATACACACGGTGACAGAGCAGGATGTCCACCTTCGATTCAGTGGTGCGTTCTTTATTCCCTACACTCGATTTACGCCGCCCACCGTGGCATCGAATTCCAACCCATCTCGAATCAATAAATCGCTGACTTGAATGTCTTCAATAGGTCGTCATCGACGGCAAGGGACACCTCCTTGGTCGCCTGGCCAGCACTGTTGCCAAGCAGCTGCTTAACGGCCAGAAGATCGTCGTTGTGAGATGTGAGGCCCTCAACATCTCCGGCGAGTTCTTCCGCGCGAAGTGTACGTTCAAAACTCCACCTTTTACCGCTATGGTGTCCAAGTCCAGTCCCAGTCCAGCCCAAGGGGCAGAGTGTTTGCAAAAAGAGAAAGGAAACTGGGGAAGATGAGATAGGGATACGAAGACTTGGACAACCATGATGGATCTGGCCCAGTGCAGAATACTGACTCGAATTTCGATCTATAGTGAAGTACCACGCCTACCTCCGCAAGATGACTCGTTTCAACCCCACTCGCGGTGGTCCCTTCCACTTCCGTGCTCCTTCCCGCATCTTCTACAAGGCTGTCCGCGGCATGATTCCCCACAAGACCGCCCGTGGTGCTGCCGCTATGGAGCGCCTTAAGGTCTTCGAGGGTGTCCCCCCTCCCTACGACAAGAAGAAGCGCGTTGTCGTTCCCCAGGCTCTCCGTATCCTGCGTCTGCGCCCCGGCCGCAAGTACTGCACCGTTGGCCGTCTCTCCCACGAGGTTGGCTGGAAGTACCAGGACGTTGTTGCCAGGTGCGTATCACAAGCCCAGAACCGGGCCTATCTTGATTTTTCACCGTATATGTCACTAACACATTATTTCTACAGACTCGAGGAGCGCCGCAAGGTCAAGAGCAACGCCTACTACGAGCGCAAGAAGGCCGCTCGTCGCAGCCTTGCCAAGGCCGAGTCGGGTGCGAACGTGGACAGCAAGACCAAGACCCAGCTTGCAGAGTACGGCTACTAGATACCAGATTGAGTGCGGCCGGTTGTTGTGTCTTGAGTGACGGGTCTGGGTTCGGATCGCGGACGGTTTTATTTCAGCGAAACTTGAACGGCAAGCCGGTTCGACCTTGTTCTTATGGGCTTTGTCCCTCGTCTGTTTCAATGAATATCCACATTTGTTTGTGATGCACCATGGGGGCAGACTTGGGGGACCCGGTTCCTTCGGAATTTTCAAAAGCAGAAAAAACGGAGTCGCGGGATGAAAGGTTGTTCAAAATAGCTGGCTGTTGTCTCGCGCCGTGGCGGTTTAATCCAAAATTACAAAGTTCAACATGATCTTATGATGATGCAGGTTCATTACTACTATCACTATCTGGTCCGCCTTTAGTATAACGGTATCTTCTTCATGGACATGCTACCTAGGTGTCCTATATTCAACTGGGTACTCGACTGCCCCAAACCTCGACCTTGTTATCCCAAAGCCCAAAGCGCCTATCCCCAATACATTCGACTAGTCTATACACCAACTTGCAGTCATATTGCAGTCCGGATGGGCTTGGTCATCGGTCATCAATCGGAATATGGAAGAGTAGAGTGCCATGCGGATCTGGCCAAAACAAAGATTCAATCCAGAAAATCTCTATAAAATTACGAACCCACAGATAGTAAAGCCATGACAATTGTGGCCTGAGTCTTATGTTCAATAATTGTGTGGTTCAGTATGGAGTACATAGATCCCACAACGTAGATCCCACCCGAGGACTAGTTCCCGAAGCCGGCCCGCAAATAACCAGTAACCTAGGTTAAGGGCATTACTAAATCGGAGGGCTCACCCTTCCCCGCATTTCTCCAACACCAAAACTCGCCCTTTCTTTGGCCCGTACCTGCACTCTACAACATTGTGTAACACGGAGCTTTTGTCCTTCACCTGGCTACAGGTTCCAGAATGTCTGGTGTTAAATCTCGACTCTCGAGTGTGCTCGCCCATCTCGCGCCGAATACCGCGGCTCCATTTGAACATAACTTCAATCGGCATACGCTCTCGCCAACATTTTTCCTTCCTAGGGCGGCAGCTATCGAACCTGATGTAAGGGGTCAATTCATCTTACCTTTCGGACTAATCAATGTCTTCTTAGACCTGAGAATGACATCACTAATCAGATGAGCAATTGTAGGCGGAAGCGATCTACCATGTGACGGCCGATAATCAGATTCTCCGCCGAACGTACAAAGAGACCGCGGCTCGAGCATGTGGTTTGGCATACTATCTCAAGAAGCACGGGCTTCGAAGAGTGGGAATCCTTGCTACTAATACTCCGGCGTTTCTGGAATCGATTTTCGCAGTTGCGGCCGCGGGCGCGATCAATGTTGGTAAGAACCCATAGTTGGCCTATTTACTAGATGAAACGAGCTAAAAGGTCTTCAACAGCCGTCAACTATCGACTCAAACAAGATGATATAGCTTATATCTTTGAGCACGGAGACGTGGACATGATCATCGTGGACAAAGAATTCGAACCACTACTTGCAACTTATCGATCGCAACATCCTAATGTTCCCTTTCTGGTGGACGATGATAAGTTTAGCAAGCCCTGGGAGGTGATTGGGAATGGGGACTTCGGCACTGCTATCGAAGAAGGCTGGAAATATGACCAGGAAAACGGACAGCACAGATGGGAAGGACTAGAGAGTCAGGCTCCCGACGAAGATTCTGTTGTGGCACTTGCCTATACTAGTGGAACAACTGCGCGTCCCAAGGGAGTGGAGTTCACCCATCGTGGCTGCTACCTGGCAGCATTGGCGAATGTGATTGAGTCTGGTCTGAATTCCGATAACGGACGAGCTAAATATTTGTGGACGCTACCCATGTTTCATGCAATGGGTTCGTTTAAGCCCAAGAATCCTTCGCAGAGCCAACCACTAACTTTATTGATAGGATGGACATTCCCATGGGCTGTGACAGCTGTTCGTGGAACTCACTATTGTCTCCGCAAGATCGACTACCCAGAGATCTGGAGATTGCTAAAGGAAGAGCAAATAACTCATTTCAATGCCGCACCGACTGTCAATACCCTCCTCTGCAATGCTCAAGAAGCTGAGAAACTGTCTCATTCTGTGCGCGTCACGGTGGCTGCTAGTCCTCCAACGGCGCATCTGTTTGAGCAAATGACGAATCTCAATCTCCACCCCGTCCACGTTTACGGTATGACGGAGACTTACGGGCCGATCACCAAAGGATACTATTTGCCACAGTGGGACCAGATTCCCTTGAAAGAGAAGTATCAGAAAATGGCTCGCCAGGGCCACGGTTTCATCACGAGTCTTCCCGTCCGGGTGATCAAAACTGATGTGCCCGAGGGAACAGTTACCGATGTCCAGCGAGATGGCAAAGAGATCGGTGAGATTGTATTTGTGGGTAATATCTGTGCCCGCGGCTACTACAAGGATTTCGAGGCCACTCGAAAACTGTTTGCCGGGGGTGTATTGCACTCTGGAGACTTGGCTGTATGGCACCCGGACGGCGCCATTCAAATCCTCGATCGTGCCAAAGATATTATCATCAGTGGTCAGTACCTATCCATAGATAATATGTCTCAATCCGAAAAGCTAACATGACATAGGTGGCGAGAATATCTCCTCTGTTGCCCTTGAATCTATGTTGGTTACCCATCCCGATATCCTCGAGGCCGGTGTGGTCTCCGTCCCAGATAGCCACTGGGGTGAACGGCCGCAGGCCTTTGTCACGGTAAAGCCAGGGAAAAGCTTGGAGGGCCTTGACGTAATTAGCTGGGCTCGCAGCTCCAGTGATATTAGTAAATTCATGATACCTCGGGAAGTGGTCGTGGTGGCTGAGTTACCCAAGACCAGTACAGGCAAGATACGCAAGAATGTGCTGCGAGAGTGGGTGAAAGCGCCTGAGAAAAAATGACTGGAATTTCATCATAAATCAGCTTAGAGAGGTTTGAATTTTGATCGAGAACACGTGAAGACAAATAATTGTTTCCAGGGAATACTTGAACATTCCAACTATATTTGCATGACTTCATTGGTGATTACAATTATATATCCATCTCGTGGGGGGATTCATCATCAGCCATCAGCCGCACGAGATCAGATCAAGGGACTCGTCACATCAGTAATTCTCTCCGAAACCTAGGGCTGGTAGTCATCCATAATCTATTTTTATTTTTATTTTAATAGTAGCCCATTTCCCCTCATTTAGTACCAAGTCAACTAAACCCTGACCATCTTATCGCTCGATAAGCAGTGGCTTGGCACTCCACGAACCGGCCCCATTGCCTCATCTTCCCCCTCCATTTACCTCTCCCCTTTACACCCTGCATTCAGGCGATCTCCAAACCAGGGGGTACATCTGCAGGCACTATTGCCCTGTGTCATAAACATTTCGGAACGCCACTCCCTTCGCTGCAACTACGCGCTGCGGATCCCACGCTACATCATCACCTTTCCTCTCGATCGGGTTACCGAGAGAAAAGGCCCAATCAAGCATCCTTTGTCAACAAATCCAACCTTGGAACAAAGACTGGGACTGGCGACCCTGCAACTAAATCCCCTAGAAGGACCCGCTGTCCACCCAAGTTCTTTGCTGCATCCTCTAGTCTGCACACGCACACCGCCCGTGCAGACATCACTCTGCGAGTGATGAGACCCTAGCCCTGCGACGATCCCAAGCCACCGTATATTGGATTTTCAACTCTTGATCCCAACTCATAAAGGCTGCCAAAATGCCCCGCCAACGACCTGCTGCTCGGATGCCGAGCGAAGCACCCTCCGAAACCTCATCCTCAACGTCACCGGAACGCGCCGCAGATGACGACACAGACTTCTTCATGGCCCAGGCCAACGATTCACAATCTTCGATTGGTGTCGCCAATTTTCGAGACCTCCGAGTGCAGAATAGCCAATCTGTCCCAGTATCCCCGATCGGCCGCCTCCCGCCCGAGATCCTGATCGCGATCTTCTCTAAACTGGTGTCCCCGGTGGACATGCTGAACTGCATGTTAGTCAGCCGCAACTGGGCTGCCAACTCGGTCGGAATCTTATGGCACCGACCATCCTGTGGTAACTGGGATAATTTGAAGAGCGTGGCGTCTTCTGTGGGCAACCCGGAGAGTCTTTTCGCATATGCAGACCTCATCAAGCGGCTCAACCTGTCCGCTTTGGCGCGTGATGTCAGCGATGGGACAGTTGTTCCCTTCACCCAGTGCAAGCGCATTGAGCGACTGACTTTGACCAACTGCTCCGAAATCTCGGACAAGGGTGTCTCGGATCTGGTTGAGGGTAACCGGCACTTGCAAGCGCTGGATGTCTCAGATTTGCGACACCTGACTGATCACACACTCTATACGGTATCAAGGAACTGTCCGCGTTTGCAGGGTCTCAATATTACCGGCTGCAACCGGGTGACTGACGAATCGCTTCTTGTCGTATCACAAAGCTGTCGCCATATTAAAAGATTAAAGCTCAACGGCGTTACTCTCGTCACCGATCGGTCCATCCTATCTTTTGCAGAGAACTGCCCAGCGATCCTGGAAATTGACCTCCACGACTGCAAGCTGGTGACCAGTCCATCAGTAACAGCTCTCATCACCACCCTTCGTCACCTCCGAGAACTGCGCCTCGCACACTGTATTGACATCGATGACTCGGCATTTCTAAATCTACCAGAGGGTAGAACGTTTGACAGTCTACGGATCCTAGATCTCACAGCATGTGAGGAAGTGAAAGACGATGCTGTGGAGCGCATCGTTAATGCTGCACCTCGGCTACGAAACCTGGTACTGGCCAAGTGCCGCTTCATTACAGATCGCTCCGTACAAGCCATTTGTAAACTGGGCAAGAACCTTCACTATGTGCATCTAGGCCATTGCTCCAATATCAGCGACGTTGCGGTCATGCAGCTCATCAGAGCTTGTAACCGTATTCGATACATCGACCTGGCTTGCTGCAACCGCCTGACTGACGCCAGTATACAGCAGTTGGCCAGCCTCCCCAAGTTGCGACGTATTGGTCTGGTCAAATGCCAAAATATCACAGATTTGAGCATCAAGGCATTTGCACGCCGTCGAAGCAGCCCTTCGATCAGTAATCTGGAGCGTGTTCACCTTAGCTACTGCACTGGGCTTACCATGAATGTAAGTTGTATTGTGCCTTTGTCTGAATGTCTCATGCTAAAATTAGTCCTTAGTCTATTCGGCCTTTGATCAACGAGTGCCCACGGCTCACTCATTTGAGTCTAACAGGAGTTCCGGAGTTCTTGAACCCAGCTCTCACAAAGTTTTGCCGAGAAGCGCCACCGGAGTTTACGCAACAACAGAGAGACGTGTTCTGTGTGTTCAGTGGGGATGGTGTGTCCCAACTCCGGGACTTCTTGAACCGAGATGAATGCGAAGCCACTATGTATGATGACGATGACGAGTTGGACGAAGATGCGGGTCAGATGACCGGTCTTATGGACGCTACTGGCATTAACGACGAAGATTACATCGATGTCGAAACACTTCCATGATTGATACCCCCTTCCCTTCTTGTTCGTCTCATTTATCATACAGGAGGCTCTTTATCAGTTTGTTTCATCGGTTGTTTCCCCCCCCACACTTTTCGTTCCCTCCATTCTACAGGGCCATCCAAATGCCAGGCTCAAAAATGAGGATCAAACAGAGGTCATACTTCCACCCATATGAGCGAACATTACCCTCTGCGTTACTTTCTACGTTACCCATTAGTATCGGTATTCGGAAATGCATATTCTCTGTTAGCGAACGGGAGCAAATGATTTTATTCACATTCTAGTGGATTATGCGAAATTATCAGATTTATGCACGGACATGACTTATGCTTTCGTCCATTTGTAGTTGTGTGATCTGTATCCGTAGGAGTTAACTGTAGATTGGCGTTATCAGTGCCTTAAATCGGCGGCAACATCCGAGCTCCTCTCCCCGCATTCTTGCTCCAACTTCAACCTCCTTCGCAAAGCCACTTGGTGCACCCCCTCCATGGCTTTCCCAAAGGCCAAAAACCCCCTGGCCTTTGCGCCATGGCCGGTTACGATCATCATAACTGTGGTGTATCTGGCCCTACTCATCCCTGTGATTGTCATCCACGAAAATGTCCCGTCCGCACCACGAACAAGCCCAAAGGGCCTGGACCTGACCGAAGCTTGGTCAGACCTGCAGACTCTGACCGAAGGCTTCCACCCGTACAATTCTCACCAAAATGACGAAGTCCGATCTTGGCTGCTTTACCGCATCAACGCCATCCACTCATTATCCGTCGCGACAGCCAAAGCCGCAAATGAGACTACACCGGAAGTCTTCGTGTTCGACGACCTTACTTCGAACCTGACTTCGATCGACGGACATACTGGCGTGTACTTTGAAGGCAATAACATTCTCGTCTACATCCGTGGCTGGGAAGATAAGCAAGAGAACTGGTGGGAGACCGGTAAAACTCCGGCAGGAAAAGGTGGTGTACTCGTCAACGCGCACTACGACAGCGTCTCGACCGGATACGGTGCCACAGATGATGGCGTTGGCGTCGTGACTTGTCTCCAGCTTATACGGTACTTCACGACGCCTGAGTATGCGCCGCGCCGTGGATTGGTGGTGCTGTTCAACAACGGCGAGGAGGATTACTTGAACGGCGCACGCGCGTACAGTCAACACCCGATGGCCAAGTTCGCGCATACATTCGTCAACCTTGAGGGAGCAGGGGCTGGTGGCCGTGCTACGTTGTTCCGGAGCTCGGACACGGAGGTTACGCAGGCATATGCGAAATCGAAGTCTCCCTTCGGGTCGGTTTTGAGTGCCAACGGGTTCCAAAAGGGGCTTATCAAGAGTCAGACGGATTATGTGGTTTTCCAGGGTATGCTGGGTCTGCGTGGACTTGATGTTGCCTTTTTCGAACCCAGAGCTCGATATCATACCGATCAAGATGACTCGCGGCACACCAGTATGGGCTCATTGTGGCATATGCTGTCTGCTGCTGTTGCCTCGACCCAGTATTTGGTTTCAGACTCGAGCGACCGGTTTGATGGCCGAATTCGGGACGATGGCCTTGTGCCGAGCGGGACAGGTACTGATGCCGTCTGGTTTGATCTCTTTGGCAGTACATTTGCCGTGTTCCGCGCGCATACGCTTTTCGCGTTGTCGGTGACTCTGCTGATTGTGACGCCTTTGACGCTGCTGGTCACTTGCATTGCTTTGTCCAAGGCTGATAAGATGTATCTATTTCGTTCTTCTGTGCGGGTGGACATCAGTGACGAAACAATACCGCTTCGAGGCCTGCGGGGCTTCTTCCGGTTCCCATTTCTCATTGCTATCCCCACAGGCGTTACGGTAGGTCTCGCTTACTTGGTTACGAAGATCAACCCCTACATTGTGCACAGTAGTACATACGCCGTATGGAGTATGATGGTTTCTGCCTGGGTCTTCTCAGCCTGGTTCGTGTCCTGCGTTGCCGACTTTTTGAGACCGTCGGCATTCCACCGAGTATACACCTGGACTTGGATGTTTGTTCTGACTTGGGCTTTGCTGGTCGTTGCCACTGTCTATGTGCACGAGGAAGGGCTTGCTGGTGGCTACTTCATGCTCTTTTACTTCGCTGGTACCTTTTTGGCAACCTGGATTTCGTACCTTGAGCTCTTCTCTCTCCCTACAAAGTCGGAATACCTCGGGTATACGGCTCAGAGCTCTCGGCGACCCAGCGGATTTGGCACTTCGTCTGGAGATGAGCACCAGGATGAGGATGAGACTGAGGGAGAACCGACAGAAAATACCTCCCTGCTTCGTAACCAGCAACGGACTACATTCGCCAACTATGTGAATGTTGGTGGTCATGTCGACGAGGACGAGGACGAGGAGTATGATCCTAACGTGTATGGACACGAACAGAAATGGAGTGCTTCAATGCCGAGTTGGACCTGGATCCTGCAGTTGCTTCTCACCATTCCTATCGTTCTGATGCTGGTGGCCCCGCTCGCACTTCTGTTGACGAGTGCTCTTCACCAAACGGGTCAGGATGGTAACTCTCAGCTGTTTGTGTACATTTGCATCGCCAGCCTGACAGTCGTGCTATTCATGCCGATACTACCATTTGTCCACCGCTACACTTACCACATCCCAATCTTCTTGTTCCTTGTTCTACTTGGCACTCTCATCTACAATCTTGTCGCATTTCCGTTCTCAGATGCCAATCGCGTCAAACTTTACTTCTCGCAGCAAGTTGATTTGGATCTCGGAAACTCAACCGCCTATCTGACTGGCGTGCTCCCCTTCGTGGAAGATGTGGTTCGAGGTCTTCCCAGTGCCGGTGGTCAGGCAGACTGCGTTTGGAACGACGCTCTTAGCCGTTCGCAGTGTTCTTGGACTGGTCCAGAGCCGCATGTCGTTCCCAGCGAATATGTCTCCAGTAATTCGCCTTCTCCATCCTCAGACTGGGTCTTCTTCACTACAGAATCTACCGGAAAATCCTCCGTGCGCTTTGAGATCTCAGGTCAGAATACCCGCTCCTGTCGCATCACTATGGACGGCCAACCCGTCAAGAATTTCAACGTTCTCGGTAGCTCTGAACCCGATCACCGCTTCCTCCACCCATCTCAAGATGGTATCCATGAAATACGGTTATGGAGTCGCACCTGGCAGAACAAGTGGACCGTGGACGTTAACTTCGCCGAAAAGGAGAATGATACCACTACTGCGGACGCAGCCTCGTTCACAGGCCGTGTTTCCTGTATATGGAGCGACAATAATACCCCCGGCCTGATTCCTGCTCTTGACGAGCTGAGGAAGTTTGCTCCTTCTTGGGTTGCTGTGACTAAGTTGACCGATGGCCTGGTAGAAGGATACCGGAAGTTCGAGCTGAAGCAAGCTAGCTTTGGAGAAACTAACTCGCTGTGAGATTTTTGTATCTTTCTAGGTGATTCTTTTAGTCTTTATATTGGTTTTACGTCACCACAAGACCTTTCGTTATTGGGCGGTATCTGTCTACATCATGTACGCCATATTCATAGCAATAATCATTCTTTCGGTGACAACAAGCATTTGATTTTATTCCTACTCAAAGTAGCATTTTTGACGCTGTCATAGTACGACAAAAAGAGATGTTGACCACGCTCTGGGGCTCCAATGCATCAGCCATCGTCATACTCCAACACAGTTTTGCCCTAATGACAAAAGACCATGGAGTCTCACGACAGAGATTATATCTGTTTTGTATCCATCCAATCATCCATGCCTATTTCCAAACGCTTACTGATAATTCGAATTTCTCGAAACAGCCAAGAAAGCAAGCGACCATAGCTGCAGAATATCGGATTCTAGCAAAATCAGCACAATTCTCCCCATGACCCATGAAACAAAGAGAAAAAACCCCAACTCACCAGTCTGACCCGAAAGCCCAGGCGGCGGTGGCAAGTCAACCAACTGCGCCAACTGAAACTTTCCATCCCCATAAACCCAAGACCACATCTCCGTCGAAAGCTGCTCATCATTCAACTCAATAGAATCCCAAAGCGCATTATACGCAGCTTTAACGTTATCGAATATCGAATCATCGGTACAAAAATCCGGCACAGCCACAACCCTCTCCTCTGCATTCTTCGAAGGCGCGGAGAAGTTTGCTCTAACCTCGCACCGCCCCATCTGCAACTCAAGACCCTTCGCCATCATAGCGAGCTGCCAAGACCAGACAACCGTACCATGATAGGCGCCGGTAGTCCAGTTCTGAGCATAAACGACATCCCCACCGAAAGCCGGGTTCGCGATTAACATACCCACATCAGTCATTAATCCAGCCGGGAACGTGCGGCGGATATTTGTCGCGGTTGCATTCAGGAATCTGGATAGTTGGGCGTTGTTTGTTGTGTTTAGGAGGTAGTGACGGAAACAGTCGTCTGTGTGCATCACTTCCACCTTTGAGAGGTTGTTATTGCCATCTAGAGCCAGGGCGTAAAAGGTGACGTCCGTATCAATTGATGAGGTTTGATCCGGGCCCGCGAACGCGGACGCGTTTTTGTATGATTTGACCAAAGTTTGTGCTTGAGATTGGGGTACTGACACTTCGAAGAACTGGAGAGTTTGATCTTCCCATATTTGGGCGTATTGATCTGCTAGTTGGCCCCATTGCTTGTTTCTGTAGATGCCTCCTCGGGCGAGGGAGGCGATGGAGCGGAGAGCTGCTGGGGCAAGGGCTGTGTTTACGTCGAAGGGGATGCGGCCTCCGCCGATGCCTGTCAATGTTAGATCTTGTTTGTGAATGGAAGAGAGGGATGTGTGTACCGAACTCGCTATCTCGCCATTGGCCGACGACTTGGTCTTGTTTCAGGTGAATTAAGTTATCTTTTGTTTGGTTTTGGGCAAATGGAGCTGTGAGGCGCATTATGCGCTCGGCGTTTATTAGGGCTAGTTGGCCCCAGGTTAGATTTTTGTTTGCTGCGTTGATGGATCCGGCCTTTGTGCTTTGAATTCTATGTTAGACCGAGCTTGATGGAAGAAGGTTTGGGAGCTTACTTGAAGAACACAGAAGCTCGCTTTTGACCAACTGGGTTGTTTAGGAAATATCGCTGCATCAAGACGGGCAGATAGTAGTCTGGGTCGATCTAGACACTGTTAGGGACTACACAGTAGGTATGGAGTAGAAGAATAAATCTCGCAAGAACGGACAAAAGGGTACAGACCATTCCATAAGTGCAGATCATGGCGCTACTAGTGATGTTATCTTGCATATTGGTCCAGGTCGCGTAGTCACTAGCCATTGTCAGTATGCGGTTATAAGTGCAGAGCGAAGAACTCACCCAATAGTTTCTTCATGGCAGACACTGCCGTCAGTCCGGTTGGTACGCTCCAACACAGCCCCCAGAACAGCTTCCATAGCGGTTCCATTTCCATTGCTCAGGACAGGCTCCAACAGAAGCGCAGAAATCATTGAGTCACGCCCAAAATACGTCAGAAACCGCCAAGCACCTGCAAGCAATTTTTCCGAGTACGATAGGAAAGAAAGCGCAGTTGTCTGATCAGGCATCTCGGTAGTGAGATGGGCTGACTCATTGTTTAGCACTGCATCTGGATTCAATGATGCTAGCTGGGGATAATTCAGTTTTGCCGTGAAAAGATACTCGCCTGCCTCGAATGCCAGTGTGCGGTCAGCAACCGTGACAGTAGAATCACCGCCGATGGCACCATTAACCCATGGCTGGAAAGAAAGACTCGTGGTAGTAACGTTATCGAGCCACTGTCGCTCGACCGAAGCGCTTCCATCGCTGTTGGAAGTATACTGAATAGCATTCTGAATTTCTGGATAGAGGATACTAGCACCCTCTACGAAATCTCGGATCGTGCGAATACTTCCCAATATGGGCAGAGAGAGGGTAGCAGAAGAGTTGAATCTTATGACCCCCTGAATACCCACATTGGGATAGTTGCTTGTTGAAGAAGCATTATACACCGGTGCTAATGGACTGCCGATTGTCGAGTTCACCAGCTCCACTGACAAAGTTCCGTTGACTTTATTCTCGGGTGTGAAGAAGGTGCATATGCCACTGTTACCCGCGGGCCAGGCAATGATCAGACGTGGGCCGATGGTGGATAGGTTGCTGTCAGGCAAGGGACTAGTGACCACCGCCTGGGCAGCGACATTACAGTCGGAGTAAAAGTAGTTACTATAGGGCGGGTCACTCAAAGACAGTGTCGAAGCTGAGTTGGTGCATAGTGGTGCAGAAGAGCGAGAATGGAGGTGCTAAGACTTGCTTAATGTGGGATGAAAGTGAATATCATGGTTCTGCGCCACTTACTACATCACCACTTGCTATAGCGGCGGTTGCGGTTATGCCCAGGAGGGAGAGCTTCAATCGACTCTTCATGGTGCATTTATTTGAATCTGGGGATAGGAAGGATGGTATGGTCATGGACTATTTATGCCGTGCAATGTAGTAATGGAATGGACCTGAAGGTGGAGCATGAGGAAAAGTGGGTCGGATTTCCCCACGGGGAGTCGCAGGTGGAAGGTTTAGGTTCCCGATATTTCTCCGCGCCATCGACGTCGGTGTGAATCTATACCGGACTTGGAAGGTCTTTAGAACCGTGAAGCTTAAGTCAAATCCATTAAGCTTATTTAGCGTCGCATTGACTCGGATGTTAGTTTCCAAGAGAGTCTTGATCCACTATACCTTCAACTTTGACATTCTGGGCGACTTCACAAAGCACGTGGAAAGGGAAGTTTTTTTTTTTTTAATTATTTGGCTCTTCTTTTTCATTTCTCGACTCTTTCACTCCTCGAAATCTTGCACTCCTCACTGGTGCACTTGCCATGTCACATTCTCCATGTTGTATGGTCTCCTGCACAACACAGCTCACAAGATTGCCGGCACGAAACGGAAGCCACACCAAACCTACCTGGAAATATGCCTCCAAACGAATGCTCAAGTCTGTGACTGTGCTTTCCTCAGGTAGCGGTCGCGAGGTTTTCTGAGCAAAAATTCCTTGGAAGGACTTGGTATTTTTATCAGGCCATACCTCCGCCACACGCAGACGTGCCGATACTTAGATTCATTGCAAGCAAAAACACAACCCCCGTACCAAGAGTCTGTGGAGTGAGTTGAAGACACAGCAAACTCGAGTCATTCCTCACGGACTTCATGCTAGGCCAATGACTTGATCAAGTATGGGAAAGTTATAGACAGAGCAGAAAGTCTCGCCAACGAGCTCCATTACTACATCAATCAACCCCGCGCCTGAACGGGGTTATAATTTGGACTGTTAACTGTGGCGAGGCCACCATTGGACCGATTTCTTCAATGAAACATGGACCCTTTAAGATTGGAAAGGAGTCCACTGAATTTCTCCTACGGGATATTTTTACCTTGGCCCCGGGGAAGCTGCAGTATGCCAAGGATGCCCTGACGGATGATTATGAGATTAGGTTTACGCATTTTGATTTCTCATTACGGGATATTTCTTGTTGAGGGGGACCGTGTTACGGCTGTCTCTTGGCTGCTGGGTTGATGCAGGGTGGTATCCCGGGTGCTGGGAGCATGTCATTGCGCAGGGGCTTCGAACACCGCTGGCTGACATCTCGGAGTATCTTTCGCGAAAATCTTCATATTAGGAGGGATAGGGGGGCATGAACTTTCTTTGGGAGACATCAAGGCACTAGGTGACTCGAAATCCTTGCAGTATCAAGCTATCTATCTCGAAGTAGAATAAAGTAATCTAAAAGACATAAATACAGTATCTACCGGAATGATTGAATATCGGATAATAACTAATACGTATATTGAACAAACTCAAAGGGAAAGGACCACTCCGTAGAGTTCCATCCGCTAGGTATCATAAGCGCATATATACAAAACAGAATTAAAATGACATCTAAAATTCGGGAATCCTTCAGGGAGTACGAATTCAATACTCCACTTAGATATGGCTATACCATGAAGATATGGAAGCACACGGATAACCGAGGTTTCGAGGGCCGGGCGCAGAGCCGGGTGCAGAAGTAGCGCAGATGGGGATGTCTCTCATCGCAGTCGTACTTCGGAGGTAATAAGCTGATGGGATATCACTAGTCACAAGGACAAGGGGCGTATCTCATATAAGTCATGAGTCATAAAGGAGAAAATACAACAATGCTTCGTAGACCGAACCCGTTACCCTGGTTTCCGTGGTTTTTCGGATAACCGAGACGAGTGTCGCTGGTATCGAACAAAAGGATTCGTGAAATCGATTGGACGCACGGAGTGTGTGTCGCAAGAGTCAGAGGAGTTGGTGGGAGGCGAGTGCTCAAACATGGCGATGGAAATATCGTCTGCGTCCATCCAGTCTGGAGTCCGGGTGATGAATGCTGGAGCAGCGTGGGTGATGTCGGAAGGAACACGAGTCGCGTCGACAAAGTCGGGCAGATTTTCGGGTCCAGAAAAGGATTCGGGTTTCCAGACGTGGTTATGGACTAGGTGGACGAGTTTACCTAGGACGGCGAATTCGAGCTTCAATTTAATGCTGTAAACGGCCCCCTTCAGCATAGTTTCCATGATATAGTAGTCCTTATATTCCGCTACCAGTAGTCCCAGGTCCAAGATGATGATGATTGTGTTGATAATGAGAAGCTGCCACTGGATCTTGCGCTTGGTGCGATCCGGGTCGAGACGTAGCATGCGCACCGTTTCCCAGATGTATAGACCCGAAATGATAAACTCTTGAATACAAAAGCCGGTCATTTGTATTTTTTCCATCACATTATATCCACGGATCCATGGGCCGTTGGGTTTGGCCAGGTTGGTGCCGTAGGTTAAGACGGTGGTTGGGATATGCAGCGCGATGGCGTCGACAATGATCATGGCTAAGACGCGTCGTAAGACCCGATGGTTCGATATCACCAGATGCAAGCGTGAGTATAAGACAATCGACTGGCCCGTAACCATACACCACCATCCGATGGTGAGTAAAGTGACCGGAAACCATGTTGCGGAGGTGAGGTCGAAAAATTTCATGAGGAATCCCAGCGAGTATGGGACCAGACCGAGCGAGGAGGATATAAGTAAGCTCCAGAAGTATAGGCCTCGATATTGTGCAAAGGTCACGAAGAGGAGGGTGACGAGCTCAAATGCATTATACCAAGTGACTCCTGCCAGAGTCGCGATGGTGATCTGCATCCCCAGTGAGCTGCCTTTGGCGCCGCCGGTGATGCCCTCGCCGGCGGCGGTTATATTAACCATGGCGGATCGTTGTTATGGAGGGTGCATTCTGCGTGGAGGATGTGAAAGGAAGGAATTAGGTGAGAATAGATTTGATATGTGGAGAGAAACAAGCCCTGGGCGCAGGGTTGCGGGGGCGGAAGAGGTCAATGTGGACGTAAAACCAGATCGGAAATGACCCGGGGGGGGCTTAAACAAAGTGCAGGATTCGATTCCTGCGCCATCCTATTTTGGTATATTACTGTACGGAGTACTCCGTATTGATTTGGGATTGCAAAAATTCTTTGATCGGTTTACCCTTTGTGCCATACCCTCATCTGATTTTGAGTAACTGGTTATTGGATATTCTTGGTATATCTACTATACTTCAGGGCTATCCAAAGTTCGGGGCCAAAAGGTGAATAGAAGCATGTCTTAGAATTGCGTACCGGGGATGCGGTGACTTCATCAATACCTGTATTTCACCCCGGAAATGCGCATGGCGTGAACCACTATTCGGCCTTAGCGCAAGGACCAGTGGGGGCCTCATCCAGGCGGGTCTCGCCTTTTTACGGGAGCAAGGAGTCCCGGTTTGAAATATAGTCCTATTTCTTCCGCCGTTGGAACTCTATTGATTCCTACCGCCCATCAACAAAGACCAACATATGGGATTTTGTGGGATTATGGGGAAAAGCTAGGGCAAAAAGCGGTCTGACCCACAGCCTGACCACGCAATGACTGCACGCGTCTCATTGGCATGGGTAATCAAAGGGCAGGTATGATGTGGGATCTAGGGCTATTGAGCCGTCTGATCGGATCCATCGACTCGATCAGAAGTACCAGACATGCAGGCTTGTATTTGTCGACGGATCCGCATTGGCCTCCACACGAGCTCCAGCAGGAGCCCGGTTGGGCACGGCCATCATAGTCGCAGGCATGGTAACTGACCCTGTGTTCCGGTCTGAAACGTTACAAATGGTATGATTGGAAGCGGACTTTCCATTTCACCGCAACCTCTCTCATCACACTCTCTACTCGGCGAGGACCGGAAATTGAAGTGATTTCGAAACTTTAAAAACACTTATAATGCCTCACTCAAATGCCGACGGGAGACAAAGAGGGCTATGCCCCACTCAGGGCAACAGGGAATGTATCCTAGCGGCTCGTCGGCGCCCATTATCCCGCACCCGCACCGACTTTCCTAACCAAGGCTTTGCCACTGCGATCCATGTCAAGCTCATGAAATCTCCGAGATCAACGTAATGATAAGATTCAAGGCAGACCAGGCTTATGAATGTCTGAGTACGTATTCTGTTAGGCTAACTGGTGCCAATCCAAGCCAACAATATCTAAGCCCTTGAGAAAGATGATTAATGGGGTATACAAAACGTAAACAATGCAAAATAACGTGAGAACACTATTTGCGGCCCATAAAAAGGGGCCCAAGACGACTGCAAAGCCTTAACAGGTTCATTGGATTTTCATTTCCATACTGAAATCCTTGTATGCCTTGAATGGGAAAGGGAAGATGAGCGCGTACTCGACAACAGGATCTTGAAATGACGTCATTTAATATCAACAACCAAACAAACCGCGCGCCATGACTCAAGCAATGGTCCAAATTGCTGGAGCCTTGCCTTGAGAATACTGGGTCGAGTATTGACCTTACTGTACTCAAAAATACTATTCGCTGCCCAAGTCTTGAAATGCTTAGTGAAAACGAGCCCTAGATTATCCGATTCAAAATTGTATGTGTACTAAGGATATATAGGACACGCTCGATATTCTGACTGGGGAGACAATAGCCTCATCGGCTATGATCTGCATTGAAATATCCTCAGCATGGTCTTCGAGGTCCCTGTGGAGACAATGTGTGTTCACACATCGCGGTCACGATATTTCAGATAATCTGCTCCCCCAAGTGGCATTGTTCAAATGCGCGTGCGGATCTGATTGCACATGAGTACGAACACTAGTTCGAGAATCTTCTTTGCCATGGGATGACTGTGCCGCGCTTGAAGGGTACATATGTCAGAGTACGAATACTCTGCCGGCACGGCCCGGTCCGGGCGCCGCGAAATGAAGGGATAAGCCACATGGTTGGCACTCTTTCCAAGGAGGGAATACCAACGCTTCAGAGATACCACCGATGAGATAGACCTACTTAACTTGGAAATGAGGGTCTTCTGCGAGCTTCAGAACCAACAGGCCAACCGCCTGACAGCCAATTGCCATAGTTGTTCCGCACATACCTAGTAGACTTGGGTCACTTGGGCGATACTCTGGAGGAATCCTGAGCGATATCCGTCCCTTGTAAGTAGGAACACACCATCAGAGCTCAGTCCATATTCTTCCTGCTGCGGAGACGAGCTAATGCTCATATTGTTGAAAGTCTCCTCGACAGGTTCATCTTGTGCACGATGGCCTAGGATGAATGTACCCGAGCCGGTATGTATCTTGTCCGAATCAAACCTGTCAAAGTAGAGATGACCTGGATATTCCATTTCAAGTGTAGCAATGCAAGATTCGGTAGACAAGTCCCATATCCTGACAGTGTTGCTAGATCGCGAAGCTGATGCAATTTGATTCTCTTCGTGTGACCATGCTAGATCCCATACAGTGAATGTATCCTTTTCAATGACCAATATTTCCTGGCCAGATGGGTCCCATATTCTGACGGTATTATCAAGCAAAGTTGATGCAAGACTTCTAGTGGGTGGCCAGGACAAAACCCCAACCAGATTCCCGTGGCATTTGAGTACCATATTCGACTGAGACGATTCATCCCAAATATCAATACTCTCATTATCTTCTGAAGGTAATGCAATCCTTCCATCACAGGACCAGGCAAGGCTGTCTGATATCCCGAGTCCACCAGCTTGGATTGTTTTCGCCGATCCTTGAGCCCGATCCCAGACTTAGATAGTAGCATAAATTGAGCACGACGCAAGTTTGGCTCCATCGTACGACCAGGATACGAGACGTACTGACTCAGTATGCCCGCTGAGAGTGGAAATGCATTCACCCGTTAAGGCGTCCCAAATTCTCGCCGTTTGATCGTCTGAGCCGGATGCTATTCTTTTACCATCATGGGACCATGAGGCGGAATTGATCTGGTCTTGATGGCCTTCGAGAGTATATCTGAACTGACCAGTGTTAAGGTCCCAGATCTGTATTGTATTGCCACTATAAAGAACTCTTTAGCTGACTGGTGAACAAGAAGGATCGTCTGATTGCGGAGCGTTAAGAAGGAGCCACATAGCCCAATGATTTCAGTCAGACATCCGAAGTCTTGAGCGACGCCATCAGGAAGGCCAGTCAACGAGGTCAGCTCGCTCAAAGTAATAGATCGGTATACCGTAGAGGCAATGGCCAAGATATCTTTGCAAAGGTCTGCCTTCTCTGATGCCACAATATCCTTCATCATTCTCCCGTACAGCGCATGAAGGCCCTGTGGCAAAGAATTCAGCTTTGATAAAGTACGCCACCGTGATGTTGACGATTTCCCTAGCTCCTGACATGCCAAGCGACCCAGAGAAAAGTTCCTTGTGACTTCGACGAAAGTTGTTCTTCCACTGCAACTCGAAGCTCGTTGCTATACTTCTTCACCCGTGCTAAGTAAAGTACCTTATGCTGGATGTACTTATCGACTGCATCTGCAATGGATTCCTCATTCAACTCTAGACATAGTCTAGCCCCGCTGGCGTCTTGAAGGCCCTCTTCAATTTCAGGCCAATTACGACTGGCCACAATCCATTTGACATGGGAGTGACAAGATGACTTCTCTGTGATAAGATCTAGAAGTAGATGGAGATCTGGGGTGCATTCATCTAGAGCGTCGATTACAATGAATGTAGACTGTAATTTCGCGTCCTCCAAAATAGCCGTTAATATCTTCGAAAGGGCCTGCCATGCATTGGTTCCAACTTGAATCCCATAGTTTATATTTGAACCGTGGATTGTTAAATCCGCGGGTCCCATGGTGGACACGGGAAGAGATTGTCTAAAATCGGCGACGATGTGTGAGGCTTTGTTGCGCGTTTGATGTTGACCCCGCAGTCATGTATAGCACATCGTTGGTCAAAGGACGGATAATTCCTTTCTCCGTATTTCCACTCCAAGTCTTGCAGTTCTAGCATGAGCAGGGCTCACATGCTCAGAGCTACTCAGGAAGCAAAGCGGCGAGAGGGGTGAGCACTCATATGGAAGGAAACTACCAACCGTCAGGAGAAGCCCAGTACACAGGTACATTATTATAAATGCGGGCTACTAAAGAAGAATAAACTGGAATAATGGAAACAATGGTGATATTGTGGATTCGATGGAGAGAAAGTATAGCGCGAGATGAGCTTCTCTAGCCGGAAGAACGCACTGGTCTCGTTAAGGTCTAACCGCAATGGCCTGCCATAGCGCGCCTTGACGCCTCGGGCCCGAACTACCCTGTCAAGGGAGTCGAACGCTAGGAGAACGATTGTGGCACCCCTCCTTTGCCACATTGATGTAGTCTGGGACGTGGGGTCCATCTCGCGAGCATGATCATCACTCTTGGCCATTGTAGTGAGAGGTCAAGCAAGGTCAAGCAATCAGTGACCCATTGCCAAGCTTGTCACCCGTTTTTGCTTCTATTTCGGTAAAACAGCCAAAAGATCGAAGCGATCCGGCTATTCATAGCCATAGCAATCATGCCCAGTCTCTTTTGCTGGTGCTGCGCCTACTTGCCGTAATCTGTAAGGCGTACCGGCCCTTGAGCCCTTAAGCAAGGAGTAACAAGACTCAGGCTCAACATCCGCTCGTATCACATGTAGGTTTGTACACCCAGTCACTGCGCATTTTTAGCCCCAGCCCCATCATGATCAACACTACCCCCGGTCGCAACGACAACGCGATCAACCTCACCCCGACACTCGGGCATCGCACTCCGCATCTCGCGGGCCAACACGTCCCGGAACCCAGCAAAAGCCTCTCGCTTTCCCTTTAGATCCTGGTTTCCGCGCTGCACCAGCTCCACAAATTCACGGGTGTAGATGTCTGGGTTGCGTGCGGAGTCCACGTAGTCAATTATCTCGGGCGGAAGCTGAATGCTGGCGAGTGAGGGGTTTGAGGGGTCGTTAGATTGGCCGTCGGCTGCTTGGTCTGATTCTTGTGTGTGGCTGGAGAGTGTGGAGAGAGTGAGGGTGAGGTTTTTGCTGGGAGTTTGTCAGTTAAATGCATCAAGGTGTGTCATTTATGTTGGTGTTAAGGAATGTCTTATTGCACGTACATCTTGCGCACTAGCTCTTGTTGGGTTTCTGGGCCTAGATAGCCGTGTACTGCGGATTGGATTTCGAAGAGGTGTTGGATTGCATCCTTGAGGTCGTCTGTGGTCACTTTTTAGCTTGCTTAACTGTCGTATTCTGTGCCCTTACTTACTATCGACCGTTTTCAGTGTAACTGGAGCCATGGTGAGAATTTAGTGAATAGAAATTAATCACTAGCCATTTGCGCGCAAGGAAGTTTCGCGGAGGTGGAGAAGGCGGTGTGATGACGAGGTCTTGATAAGAGAACGTTATCGTAAATGGTGATACGCAAGGAGTACGGAGTACACAGAGTAAGAGGTAAGAGCAGGTCGGAACATGTCTATTTAATTTCTCCGGGCTTTTAGAGCCGAATGCCTGGTAAAAAGCTTCAAGACCTCCAAATAGTTCAGCCATGTCCAATATGTCACTTGTCTATATGTGCATCACCATACAAGATCATACCTCCCCGGAGCCAAGACACGCCCAATTCGGCAGAACACGCTAAAGTGCACACTAAAATCACATCTATCGACATCTCTTTACACTTCCCGGGTCCGCATCTTCGGGAACTTGGGGATCTCAATCTCTGTTTCCATCTCTATGCCAGAAAGGCTAGGGAAACGCCGGCTGAAATTGGCTTCCCAGTCCTCGCCACCTTGGCCCGCCGATGATTGCTGGAAAGCTGGGCTGCGATCTTGACTGGCACTCGTGCCTGGTCGAGAGCTCGCCTGTGTTCCCACACGCAGGTTCTTCGGCTTGGGAGGCGCAGGTGGGCGTGCTGTCGCGGGCCGCGGCGTAGAAGAGGTAGCGGACTGGGGAAGTCTTGAAGGAGCGCCGGCTCCATCCCGATGGTCTGGCGGAGCTGAGACAACTGCTTCATGTCTGCTGTAGACCGGACCGGGAGTTTTGGAACTGGGCAATGTACCAGTATTCGAGGATTGTACGCTATCCTGCTTTGCCTGCAAAGCAGTGGTGTCGGTATATTTCCCATAGCCAGTTGCGGATTTTGGCACAGCCGCTGGCTTCTGAGTCTCACTCAGCAATGTCTGAACTCTATTTTGAATAACACGAGACCGTGCTCCATCAGCGCCAGCTCTGCCGCCTCCGTCTTCAGCGACCCGGCGCCGATATTCAGCCGCAGCACTGGCCACACGTTTCTCCTCTTGGGAAAGACGACGGCGTTCGAGCTCACGGCGCATTTCTGGGGAGATGTCATCGCGTTCCAGGTCATCTAGGGGGTCATCGTGATATGGCGAGAAAGATTCAGTGGGTGAATCCACGCTTTCTGAGCTGCCGATAATTTGTTGCTGGGGAGGGAACTCTTCAGCTGACGGAGTCGTAGGCTTATCCGGGTTGCTGCTCTCAAAACGACGGAAAGCATCACCAAATCGGCCTGCAAACAAGTTTTTGCTTCCAGAAAAGGATAGCGTAGACAAGCTGCTGCGCTTGCTGTGCTTGGCGCCATTGCTGGCACGTTTCTCGCGCTTTCGGTTACTCTCTTCCTCCTCTTTGACTCGAAGGTAGTCCATATCTGACGATATATTGGGCTGATCATAGTCTCGGTCCAATTCTGCCCGAGATGGGCGATTCTGCGCACCTCCATCATAGCGTGAGAGGTCCAAAGAGGAGCGCGAAGCCTCGTGGTCGCGCGGCAAGTCGTATCGAGCTGAAGCCTGGACTGAGACGGGGCGAGCTTTGCCAACCGCAGATCTCGACCGAGCCGCGGGCTCCTTCACATCTAGCGTTGTAGTCCTTCGCAGTGCTTCCATAGAAGGGCGTGCGGAGTTGGACTGGTGAGAAAATTGGTCAGATGACAATCGTGGGCTGGACTCTGGTCTCAAATTCGAGGAGGGAGGCGACGGGGCCTTCTGCTCCTCTGGAGACCATGGCTGACTTGCAGACCGTTGCTCCTCTTGGGGCGGGAATCGGTAAATCGGGCGACTAGACAGCTTCGGCTCTGATAATCGAGGAGTCTGAGCTGGTGATGTCATTGTACCCGTTGAAACCATTGCGGGGCGCGTAGGAGTGGGCTGGTACAACGGAGCGGATTGCCGACTTTGGACTTCTTGAGGCTTGGGTGCTCGAACAGGCGATGTATGTGACTGCCGGCTGGTAACCGGTTCTTGTCGTTCAGGCGAAGATCGCCGAGCAAAAGCCTCATCAGCCAAAGCATTGGTAAGTCTCTGTGAAAGCTCCTCATCCTCCGGTTTAGACTCTTTAGACGGTGGCTCAAATTCAAATTTATCTCCCGTTTCGTGTAGGATGTCAAACTGTTCCAAAGAAGGGAATCGCTTAGCTGCTTCGTCCGCCGCTTGCTTTCCCCGGCCATCCAAAACTGCGAATGGATCAGATGATGTGTTGGGAGAGCCACGGTACGGAGAAGGACTGGGCTTGGCAGAGTCATGTTGGGACTGAGGCTTCCCAGGCCGACCTCGTCGCATAGGCGCAATCTCAGGGATGATCTGCGTTTCTTGCATGGGAGGTGTGAATTTCGCGCCTACTGCAGGGACCTCTACAGGCGTAGGAGGCAATTCCTGGTATTTTCGTGCTTCTGAGACGGATCGATTGGAATAGATCTAGACATGTCAGTATGCAAAACAAACTGATGTACAGTGGTATAGAACTGACATCTCGGATAGGAACTTCTTTTCCTTGCATCTTGCACACTTCCTGCACCACCTCGTAGATATTTGGACGCTTGGAGGGGAGCTCCTTGAGCATCGATGCTGTTGAAATCAGTCATAGGCACTGCCTCGGGTGGTTAAGGATCAAACTCACCAATGAACAGCTTTAACCGGTCTGAAAACTGAGGGTATGCGGGGTACTTGAAAGTGGCGTTTAGAATGGCCATTTGGCCAACTTCTTCAAAGGGGGTCGTATAGTAGCATAATTTGTACAAGAACACACCAAGAGCCCAGATATCGCTCTTCTCATCAATGGGCTGCTTCCGATAGACGTCAATCATCTCCGGACTTCGATACTGCAGAGTCGTGTGTCGCTGCACATCATCCTCAATCAATCGACCCTCCGCAGCGGACGTAGCAGCAGGCCGAGGAGGAGCCGAGGATCCAAAGTCGCACAGTTTATAGCAAAGCGAGCCGCCGTTCCGCGAGATCAGGACATTCTCCACCTTGAGATCGCGATGGAGCAGAGGCGGTTTGAGATAGTGCATGCAGGCCACACCTTCGGCCACATCTGAGAAGATCTTGATGATCTCCGGCTCCGTCAACCGGTTCTGCAGGCGGGTATTCATGAAGTCAATCAGACCGCCACCCCCGCAGTACTCCATGAGCAAGAACACCTCATACCCGCCCCCGCGCAGCTGAGATGCATGCGAATCAATGTATTTTACAATATGCCGATGGCCTTTGAGCTTCTTCATCGTCTCCACCTCTGTGCGCATGTTTGCTAGAGCCGACTTGTCTGGCACGGCGACCCGCTTCAGCACCGCGGTCTCTGCGCCATCGATTGGTTTCGGAGGTCGCACAACGTAGACGTGAGCAAAGCCACCCTCAGATAGGTACTTTTCCACTACCACGCGGTGGCTGCCCACCTGGACTTTAGTCCCGGGGAGGAAAGTCCCCGCGGGAGCTGTGGCGACGGCGACCGGATTGTACGCAGCGAATTGGCGTGATGGCGCCGCATTTCCCTGGTGGGTTTGGGCAGAGGGTTGGAATGAGGACATGGTTATGGAGGGGGGGGGTTGCCCTTGAAGGGCAGGAGGGTAGACGAGGTCGTTCGTTCTATTGACGCAGCATAGGAGACGGGAAGTCAGATGCCTGGGGGCGAAGAGGACAAGCTGGCGGGGGCAAGAAAAAAACAGGGTAGTGCCTGACTACCACGAGCAAGTCAAAAGCCAAGAACACAGAGCCTCTTTAAACGTTAGACGGGGAGACTATGCAGAAGGAGGGAATGGGTGGAAAGTCGGGGAATACGATCCAATCATCGGGTGCGGGTCACGTTGCGGTTCCTGTCTCCTTGCGGTTTGCAGGTTTGCATTGTCACAACTATAAGAACTTCAGTAGTCAACGAGATATGATTTCTTTCAGGATCTTCGCTATTTTTTTCTTCATTCTTTCTTTTTATTAATCGAGATAGAGTCGACTGTCATGAACAGTGGACCGTGACTCGAACTGAACAGTCTTGATCAGGGTTCCATACCGCCTGCCCCGATCATGGGGCATTCCTCCGCGCTTGGTGGGCATGATGCGGTGGCTGATTATCTTTCCGCGGTCACATACTACAACTATATCTAGGCATCCTGTGTAAGTACAGATCATTAGAATCACTACAAGTCCAGGCTGCTACATATGAATTATGGGTTTATTGGATTCTTCCACCATCCTGACACCGAACTCACGAGTTCCCCGTCATGATGGCCCCACAATGCGGACTATTAGTGCCCCAACACTTGACCGCAAAGTCGACACGGTTTCCAGTCAACCCCTAGTGGCCAGGGGTCCCGCCCCCAAATGTACAGGAAAAGCCAGATCTATAAGTTCGTGTCTCGCATTGCATGGACCCATTTTATTCTTTCGAGATATCAGATCTTCAGGGAGTATGACGTGGGGAGGCTTGGTTTTTGAGTCAAACACTCGTCATTGCTAGCAACAAATAGACTTCAGTAGGCGACTTAAACTAGGTGCAAAGCGTGGCGCATGATCTGCCTGAGGCTCGACGATCGGCTGAAGTCAGCGGCCAACGCTATCCCCGATATGGAAAAACCAAAACAAACACTTCAGGCCATCAATTTGCCCTTTCGATCTCGAATCATGGATGTAATTGGGAGCTATACGGGCTTGGAGGATGATCACACTCTTGAGTAATTGTGGACAGTATCCAGTTGCAAGAAAATCACGTCAAGGTCGAAAAAAGAATTAAGGCTTAGACCGAATTGGTATCCCTAGATGCTGTGCCACAGGGTCCATTCTGTCCAGTGAACGACAGACTTGACCTCGCGTGGCCTGTGAGGAATTCAACATTTTAAAGGGAAAGGAAATTGGATTTCTCGTAAACAATTCTCGATGAGACACCAGCTGACGTGACATCGGAACAAACGCGCCCTTGTTTCTGTGTGTGATGGCCACGTCTTCGCTGCATGGAGCTGCCGATCCTTAGCGGCTCCCACTTTCTCCTAAACAAACCGTCACCCCCATAGCAACAATTCCGGCTCCTCCTCTTCTTGTGACATCCCATCCCTTTTCTCGGTTCCATCAATTGGACCCTGAAATTGTATTTTTCTTGGTTCTTGACATATATACCTTTATTCCAAAACCTCCCCCTCCCATCTGACACGGCTTCCGGCGCACTGAGTGGCCTAGGGCCTCAGTGCAGATCTAATCTCTAAAAGATCATGACCTGGCCATCGACTCACATTTGCGCCGAGAACCTGTCCAACTAAGGACTAGCCAGGTCATTTGAATCGACAAGAGGCGCCAGGAACCGGGTTGCTACAGGCGGGGTAGTTGGAAACGGCGCAGTGTACAAAGAAGATCTGAGATATTTACTTTGCCTCGAACGCCGAACCTTTGAACCCGTGGCAATTTCGATCGGTCGCAAATATATACTGAAGCGCGAATCCTGTCACTATGGATGGACCGCCGCCCCCTCCGCCGCCGCACGGCGAGAACCCTCATACCACCGAAGGCGAATACCGTAAAGCTTCCGACTTGCCACAAGGGAACTACGATATCTTCGTGATCCCCCCACACTCCTCTGGCTCCGGCTTCCTTTATCTTCCATCCTTGCAAACCAATCGCAACAGCTTCTTCGCAGGCGCGGCAAGTACAATGCTATTGGTGATAGCCTGGTCTTTAATTTCACCGGCAGTCAAAACTTGGTACATTGCTGCTGTCTCATCTAATGGCAATGGCAACAGTACAATGGCAATGGTTGTCGTGGCTTTTGGAGTAGGTATCGCGGGCTGGGTGGTTGGATTATCGCAGTCAAAGATAGAGGGCTTCTTTGGAGATAAAGGTGGAGGCTCTTCGGGAGGTTCTGGAGCTGGTAGGCCTAATGCCAACGGTCAGACCAATTCCAATCAAGGCAACGGGCAGCAGAATTATAGTGGCGGACCAGGACAGCAGCAGTATAACGGCGGATCGGGACAACAGCGACAGCAATATGGTGGAAACTATGGGGGACAGAAGCCGGGCAACCAGTATGCCGGCAATCAAAGCCAAAGTAATCCCGATCCTTCTCCAGACCCGGAAGAAGAGAAGGAAAGGGAAAGGGAACGGGAAAGACAGAAGGAGAAAGAAAGGGAGGAGAGAGAAAAGGAGAAAGAGAGGGAAAGAAAAGAAAGGGAAAGAGAGAAGGAGAGAGAACGCGAGAGAGAGCGTGAGAGGGAGAAAGAAAGAGAAAGACAAAAAGAGAAGGAAAGGGAGGAGAAGGAGAAAGAGAAGCAGAGAGCCGAGAAAGAGCGCGAGCGCGAAGAGGCTAAGCGCAAAGAAGATCTACGCCGAAAGATGGATGAGTTCAAGCGTAAGCGTGAACAAGAGGCCAAAGAGAAGCAAAGGGCAGCAGAGCGCGAGGCTATGGAGAAAGAGTTGAAGGAGCGTCGCGAACAGCTTGAACGAGAGATGGCAGCCGCCAAAGCAGCTGCTGAGAAAGAAGCTCGCGAGCGCTTAGAGAAAGAGGTCGCTGAGGCACGCGCAAAGCATGAGAAGGAGGCTGCCGAAGCCAAGGCGGAGGCCGAGAGGCTCACTGCTGAAGCAAAGGCAACAACTGACCGGCTGGCGAGAGAGGCAAAAGAAAAAGCTGCCAAAGAGGCTGCCGAGAAAGAGGCTGCAGCTAAGGCTGCCGCTCAGAAGGAGGCCATGGCCAAATTCGCTGCTCTCAAAGAAGCTGCCGCGAAGAGATATGCCGAGAAGAAAGCCCAAGAGGCTAAAGAGAAGGCAGCAAACAACAGACCTTCTGCTCCTGCGAGTGCTACCAGTGCTCCTCGAACACCTTCCCCCAAGAAACAACCACCTTTCCCAACTGCCCGGACCACCGTCGAGGAAGACGATGCCTATTCATTTCGACCCTACGATCGTCCACGGCGGCCGTACGGCGGTGCCTCTGGGTCCTCTGCCTATTCCGAATCATCATACGCGCCATCTCAATCAACAGCTCGGACGACTCCTCCACCATCAACTCGCAGTGCATACTCCACCAAGGATCCTGACAAGATCGTGATTCAAGGAGTTTACCAATTCAATAACGCCTTCATGAAGACACCAGTCTCTCAACTTGTCTCAGGTCAAGGCATGGTAACCGACGGACTCGTACTAAGAATCACAACTGAAGGACTCTTCGTCGACGACGACCTCCGAGGAGTCGGTCAACGCGAATGGGACGTAAAGGCCTGGACTCTAAAGCTGACCGAGGTCTGGTGTCCCCAAATGGGTGCACCTTCTGCAAAGCCGGGCTCCAGTAATCCCTTCTCTTTCCGTCGCGGCGGTGGCGCTCACTCGGTGCCCACCAACGAAGAATCCGATGCCTTCCTTACCAACTTGCTCAAGGTCTGCAAGAACACCTGCCGCCTCGCATCTCCGAGTGCATGTTTCGCTCGTAGCGCGAATGCGAGTGGCATCAACGATGCACGTGCTCCCCAGTCTGAGTTCCGTGGTCTCCACGTTCTTCGTGCCAGCATCCGCGATCAAGAGGGGAAACGTTACGTCTTCGTGTTGCAGGATACCGAAGCCTGGAAGGTTGCTATTGGCCTCCAGCGTCTCCGTGCTGGAGCTCTCGTCCGTAACCTAGGTGTTACCGCTCTATCCATCCCAGACTGCAAGAGCATTCTCGGTGGCCTTGGTTACGTCTAGACTCAACGATCTACACTAGCTTTTGCTCCCACCTACCTACGGTTGAATAAGGCCATATTTGGACATCTTTCCTCACATTTAGCGACTGGTTCTCTTGTTTCTTTTCCTTGCGCCGTTATTATACTTTCTTTCTCATTAGCGGCGGAGTTTGCTGCATACTCTTCTCTGGTACATTCATTCGCTCTTGGCTATGCCTTCCACAAACTTTTGAGATTCCCCCACCATTTTTGTTTCTATGCCTTATGTCTTATGCTTTTTGTTTTAATAGTACAGTTGATCAGCATGTGGATGAGTTGATTGGGGACGTATATAGCAGACCATTAAGTGAATCGTTGATTTTGTATTTACATATATCTTTCGTCTAGTTGAAGTATACTTCGAACAGTGGCCTCAGGGTCTTCCAAGTTTATTGGTTTCTTATCATGCCATTTCCAAGAATTCATAGAACCTCGGAGCGTTATTTCCAAGATTTGTCCGGACCTCTGATCTCTCTAGGTTAACAGCACATAGAGACTTCCAAGTAGAACAGCTATGGATGAAGTTCACGAGGAGCCTTCGAACTCTACCATACACGCAGCCTAGATGAACTTCCAAGATTATCCACAAATTCCAATCGTTTATTTCTACCGTAGGCCTCACTACCTAAATTATCATGGATAAGATCAAATCAAATGCCAAAACCCCTCAATTCAATCATGAATATGAATGAGATAGATTAAAAACAAAACTCCACGAATGATGTTTGATGTATCGCATATCCCGGTGAAACAGTCCAGAACGATGCACCACGGTCATTTATTCATTCCCCTCTCATATACACAAACACAGCTCAAGATGGCAGAGAAAGAAAAGAAAGGAAAATGAAGAAGATAACATTGGAAACAATTGGGAGAAAAAAAAAGAAAAAACAATAGAAAACAAGACTCTATCGTTGGGAATCATTTTGCTTCGAGAAGCATCAAAGTATAGGGAAATTAAGGCGGAGCCATTTCAACAACAGATGGATATCGTCTTCTCGTCTTAAACATGGAATTGAGATATCCAAGGAACAGCTTTGTATCGGTTTTGCTGATCCAATAATCTGGTGGACATCAAGTTGCGACCAGTGCGGTGACAATCGATGTTCTATCCCAATGGTGTTGGATAAGCCGTGATTGTTATCCCTGGGTCTGGTATTGGAGGGGGTGTCGTATCAGGGGATGAAGATTCATGTTTAGAAGGAGAATCCGCCAGGGAAGCCACCACCGCGAGCCTGACCACCGAATGGGTGGCCGCCAGCGGAGGCAAAGCCGCCGCCACCGCCGCCGTTCATCATGTTGAACAGGATGTTGGGGTCGATGTTGATATGGGAGCCGTTCATGCCGCCCATACCTCCCATGCCTCCCATTCCACCCATACCGCCCATGCCACCCATGCCTCCCATGCCGCCGAAGCCGCCACCGCCACCGAACATGTCAGCAGGGTCCATCAGGTCATCACCGTTGTCATAAGCAGCACGCTTCCTGGAGTAATTGTTAGTGTGTGAAAGAAAGATGGGAATAGAGAAATAGAACTTACTGAGAGTCCATCAGAGTCTCATAGGCTTCACCAATCTCCTTGAACTTCTCATCACCCTGCTCACCGTCGCGGTTCTTGTCGGGGTGGTACTGAATGGCCATCTTGCGGTAGGCCTTCTTGATCTCGTTTTCACTGGCATCCTTGCCAACTCCCAAGATCTTGTAGTAATCCTTGCGCTGGGACTTCTTCAGCTCGAACTCGGCCCGACGGATATCCTCTCCGATGCCCTTCTCAGATGGGTTCTTCTCGGCAACACTCTTGTAGTCACGAGCAGCCTCCTCCCACTTCTCGGCGCCACCGTAAGCTTTAGCACGCATCTTCAGAGCCTTAAGGTAGTCAGGATCCAGACGCAAAGCCTCAGTGCAGTCTTGAATAGCAGCATCGTGCTCCTTCAGGTTAATATAAGCCTGAGCACGATTTTGCAGAATCTTCGAGTTCATATCCTTGTTGTTAGGATCGACTTCCAAAGCCTGACCCCAAAGCTCAATAGCGCGACGGTAGTCCTTGGCCTTGAAAGCGGCATTACCCTCCTCCTTTGTCCGGCTCAACTTCTGCACCATACGCAGCAACTTGATCGCCGCCTTCATATCCGGGTCCAGCCCAAGACACATCTTCAACAGCTTCAGCGCTTGTTCCGTCTCGCCGGAAGCGTAGAATGCACGCGCCCGGATCATCATCGCATCGGGATCCTGGCTGTTATCCCGCAGTAAACCGATGGCCAGATCCTGCGCTTTGCCCAGCGAGTTGCTGTTGTTCATCTTCAACTGCGCCTCAGCAGTCAGAAGAGTCCACTTGCGAGGTTCCTTGACGCCCAGTCCGAGACCCTGGCGGGCCTGGTCGAGGCAGAAAATGGCCATCGAACCACCACGGTCCTCGGCAAGAGTTTCCTCGGCCTGGCGGACGAATTTCAACATCTTCTCGGCAGGGGCTCGGTCGGTCGCGGTCGCAGGTGGTTGCACACGAGACAGCACCTCGAGGGCCTCGGTGGGGCGACCCAGGTTTGTGAGAATCTTAGCCCATCGGTGCATGATCTTCGCATTGGTGGGGTCGAGCTCGTTCGCGCGCTCAATATCCTCGAGGGCATTTAGGAATTGCTTTGCGGACATGTGGGCCGCGGCGCGGTTGGACAGGTAGGCGGACGAGTTGGGATTAATTTCGATGGCTGCAGAAATAAGGTTTAGTAAACTAGTGTTTCACTTGACACATCCCATGAATTAAGATAGAAGATGTGTCGCCATCTCAAGTGTGACGTACCCTTGTTGTATTCCTCAATGGCACGAGCGTAATTTCCATCTTTGAAGAATTTGTTACCGGCCAGCTTGAACGAGTCTGCCTCGCCCGCATCGGAGTTTGAGCGGTGCGGAGGTGGGGTGGGACTGCGCTCTTGAGTGTTCACATCCTTCTGGGCTTCCTGAGGATCAATGTCCATGGAGCTCCGCTGGTCATCCCGAGAGGCCGCCATAGCGGACAGACGACGGCGCAGCTCGTCGGGGGGTAGGTTGAGAGGGTGAGAGTCCTGGTCTTTAGAAGACCGGGTTCCGAACTTGAATGGTGGAACGTTTGACGTGGAAGAAGACCGACTGTGAGAAAATCGGTTCTTGGTGGGCGACTTGGAGGAAGATTTGGAGGGGGATTTAGCGGGATGAGATTTGGAGGGTTTGGTGGAGAAGGAGGTTCGGGGTGACGAAGCGGGACTATCGGGTTCGTGTTTGGGTTTGGGTGATTTTTCAGAGTCTTTGCTCTCTTTACTCTCTTTCTCTTTCTCCTTGTCCTTGTCCTTTTTGAAGATGTGGGCGAGTTGGACCATTGGGGGGCAAGGGTTTTTTTTTTTCCTTATGGAATCGAAGGGCGACGAAGGCGGTAGAAGCGCCGAATCGGAGGGTTCAACTGGGTTCAACCACGGTTTCTTCCACCAAAAGATTATGAACTTGCAATCATTATCGAGTTTAATTCGAGTTCAAGTCATTAGGGGTCAAGAAGATGACAACCAAAGTGGGAAGGTCTCGGGTAGAGGGAGACACTGTCCTGTTGGAATGTAAGAATAATGTAGAAAGAGAGAGAAGGAAAGAATTGAAAATTAAACGCCTTTTTTCTATATCTACTTGTTTTCTGATTACTACTGGTGGACTCCCACAAATATTCCAGAGGCTGGTGTGAGCTGCTGGTCTGTGTTAGCGCGCAAGAGAACTGGAGACATGCTGTCACTCGAATCCTCCCCGGCCGCAGGACGCTTCACCGGACCAATGTGATAGAAAGTCGAGATTCGAGAAGTTTCGATACGAATTGATCTGATCCCCAGCCTCCTCTGCAGTCTTCGTCCTTTTGCTCAGGTACTGTACGCGCCATTTCGAGGCTTAACGTACAAGCGGTGGAGGATGTGGATCCGATATGCAGTTTGCAAATGGCAGCCAACACTTGGGCCAGGGTATGTCTTTGCCCCCTCCTAAAAATGCAGAAGTACGAAAAAGGAGGGGGAATGCAGTGCGGTCATATATGTTCATTTCGTCGCGGCATATAAACATTGGAACCCGCCATTATTATACCGACACTCGACACTCTCCAAATACCGGGAATAAAAAAAGAAAGAAAAAAAAATCAAAGATCGTCCCCGAATGACCCGAGAGGTCAGTCGGTGGGGAAACGAGCGAGGGGGTATCAAATCGGTGCCTCATCGCACAGGCATTCTATCGTATTATTGTATGCTCTACCAATGTAGAACCAGTTCGCTTTTTGAGTTTTGTTCTGAGGTGTCTCTGAATCATACTCCAGCTATGAGCTTGAAACAGCCGGACAAAAGGACAGTGGCGTCAATTAGCCGAGACATGGGGCACGCGACGGGTCCATCCAAGCAACGGCCCATCTTGCATTCGCATCACGTAGGTTGGACTGAAAGCATGGCTGTCGTATGATGGGGGTGATTCACCTAGGGCGCTGTCAATATGGACACGAACGGTGTCGAATTGATTTGGCGGCCATCCATGATGCATGTGCATAGGCCACCCATCGGGTATGGCACTGAAGACCGTCGAAGCTGAGGATCGACTACGACTGCGTCGACTGCAACTTGGTTGACTGCGTTGAGATGGGATGGTCGCCCGTGATGGCCAGCGGCTAGGGATCTCCCATAGGCCTTCTTCTTCTAACCAGACAAGAGGATCACAGGTGTGTGATCGTCTCAGATTAGGGGCGGTCGGGGTCGTCAAGGTTTGGAGGATTGGATGTGAACTATCATCGTTGTCCTCGTCTGCCGAATGCTCCTCGTTAGGGTTCACTCGGCCTCGTCTAGCGGGGGCGCGTCTGAGATTGTTGCTGGTGTTGGTTTGGGTTGATATGTCGTCATCAAATATGGCTCGTCGCCTGACGACCCTGTGTCGTTGCCGTGATGGCGAGGAATCTGTAGAGGCTGGCCTTGGGGGAAGAGGCTTCGAAAGCAAGTGATACCGGGCGTCGGCTTGTGGGATAGGTGGCTCCTCGTGGATACAAGGAACGGTGGGATTTGGGGGATGACAGGTTACTGAGTCGGTGATGAATGGACCCCCGTCCAAGGACGAGAAGTCGATGGGGCCTGATGTGATGGTGTTCCTTGTATCAAGAATAGGCGGCCCGTCTAGTGAGGACAAGTCCATCATAGGAGGACCGGGGCGAGCCAGGACCTTTTGAACCCCGAGTGGGCATCTCTGGAGGAGAGCACAGAAAGGCATATTGAATGAAAAAGCCAGGTACTATATATATAGATATAGATATAGCACCTGGACCAGCAATGAAATCCTTGTGACGATGGACTCGCAGAGCTGGGGGCTTTGATAGGTAGAAAGTAGAGCGTAAGAAAGGGCTCAGTCAGAGGTGAAATTCTGAAACTTTAACCCTGAAACGAAACCAAGTACCCGGCAGAACTTTCGAGATATAAAAACTCGAGTGCAAATTCCCCGTGCTAAGATATAGCCTTAATGATTCAATCAGGGGGGTAAGAGATTTCTTTATAAGGATTAGTTGACTCGGGCTGGTCTCCCACCGGGGCCGATCCTTAGTCCCTGAAGTGTGATCCTGGCTAAGCGGGGGCCCTAGGAACCCCTCTCTTCCCGTAGTAAATAAGGGATTATCGAATCCTTTGTTCGCGTGGTTTCACCGCCAAAAACACAAGGCGTTGAGGCCCTAAAGTGGTGTTGCCATACCCGATAATAGAGTTGAGCTTGCAACTGTCAGCCTTGGGGCCCAACTGCCATCACAAAGTTCTAGTCTTATCCAAATCCTCAGATATTACCAATGTTTGTTTTTGTTGGGCGCTTTGACAGTATCCGTGGGGATTCGGACAACGCTATTCCCTAGCCCCGATCCTTGGTGTGCTAGTTCAACTTCGCAACAAGCGCGCTCGCTGACAGGATGACGGAATTCTTGGAATACCTGGAATTAGCCTGTAGTTTCTGGAGCCCCTGGCCCCAGTGATAAGCACAGCCTTACCGCAATGGGGGCTGCTACTGATATAGAATGTAGATTTTATCAACCTTGTGCCATTTGACTCTAGGTTTTCTTCTCATGGTTTCGGGATCACCGGTGTAATGAGTACCAAACCAAGCAAGACCTCCGGGATTGTCGTATTTCGTACTTCGGGATCACGCATAGCCATCGCGTGTGGAAAGTAAAGTTCAATCTTAGAAGCGGGCACAGTGAGCCACTAGAGTCGCATGAGGTGGGCCGACTATTTTTGGCGCACCAATCACAAAACCAGGAAGGTATAAAATTTCCGCTCATCTCCAACTTCGAATATTCCATCGGGGGCTCCGTACCGTTACCCAATGACTATTTAGTTAGTTCAAACATTGGAACTGTAATTCTGGATAACTCCAGCACAAAAATGACGTGGATTTCATTCCTTCGTTCCTTCAAAAAGCGCCTATCAAGAAATTGAAATTGGTTCTTTCCGAATCCCCGCCACGAATATAAATTTACAGAATCAAAACATAATGTAAAATCAGCAGCTTATTCCCATGTGTGCAGGGATTTCATGGTAAAATTAGAGATGGAAACCAGAAAAAATTGGAGTAGATTAGATGTTCACCATTTATTTACTATGCAAGCCACCTAGTCAGCCCGTAGCCCTAGAAGGGTTGAAGGAAGATGCGAAGAACACTACTCCACCTTCCACGCCCCTTTATCATTCAACAACCCAACAGCCATGGTTTCTCCCCAACTCGAAACAGACGAACCTCAATGTTTATTTTTGCGGCGCCATGACCGCATGCGTCTAATCGGGTATCCATGGGCCATCACTGGTCAAGCCGATTGGGTTCATTACTTGGAAGGATTCTCCTGTGGCTTCTAGACAAGAGCTTGGGGAAATTCGTATGGGGCCCTGGGGGCTAAAATGGACACAATAGCACTAGGAGCACGTGGACTGGACTAGCTTGTTTCAAGCCACATGAATATCCAGGATTCGATTCATGGCCAAAGGTAGTATGCAGCGAGTCCATGACATAAGGTTACTTGAATAATGTCAGTGTGCTCAAGGTAAGTGGTACAGCATTTCACCTGGGTATGAGTCCACGTACATGGTCATAGGTCCCCGGATCATCGGATCACTGTGTATCCGATAGAGCCGAAACCTTCCGTCCGATCTTGTATAAATAGAATCTTCTTCCTCATTTCTTTAATATGTATATTCCAAGCCCTGGAGGTTTACCTTAAATCTTTGCTGGTATATTTCGATACACAATCAATATTCGAACCTATCCTCATCAATTGACATTTCGATATCGGTGGATGCATCTTGAGGTCCAAGGATATATGTCTGGGGCCCTCAGGTTTCATTGCCCAACTGCACAATGTTGGTGTTTGGCCTTGATATGGATCCCAGCCACCTATTTCTATAAGGATGCGAGTAAGAAGCACGCGAGCAAAAGGAACTAAAATCTGCAAGCCGGGCACACTCATCACCTGCAGGCTCGAATCACGTCCGCGTTTCAGATGCAACGACGGGCCGAGCCCGTTCAGGGCCCAAACCTTCCCCGGAGCCAAGGAAGGCGGGGGAGATTAAACTTCGCGACACATAATTTAGCGAACTGGATTTGATTTGTAGAAGATGAGGCATGGATTGACATTCACGCATCTGGATTACAATGAAAATAGGATAGCAAAGTGGTATGAGTACATTCAAAAAGGGTTACGGGAAACGCTGGTAAGCGAGGAAATGGTGAAAGCAGTCATGGTTTACATTAAGGTCGTGCTCAAGCCACCAAGCGCTTCACACAAACTTTCGAAGCTATCCAGGAAGCCCAAGAAGAGGAAATATGTATATCGAGAAAAGCAAAAGGGGATAAGGGATATCCAATCAGAAGCAAGTAACAGACATCGGTCAGGTAAATCACCAGAACCTATTTAAATCACAAAGAAATCTTCTCCATTCCCGTACCATACCGTTTAGGATTAAACTACACGCTAATCCAAGCAAGTGGAGTTAGGTATATAGCAAGCCATCGATGGATGGAATTATTTAAGCCAGGACGAAGGCGGCAACGGCAGCAAGACCGGCGAAGCCGATGGAGCCGGAGACGGCACCAGCACCGCTGTAGGCGGGGGTGGCGGAGGGGGGAGGCAGCGGCAGAGCCGGAGGCAGCAGCGCCGCTAGAGTATGTTAGTACATATCGAGTAGAAAGACTTGGGAAGTAGTAGCTTACCTGGGAGCGGGCTTGCTGGCGGAGGGGGCGTGGGGAGCGGAGCCACCGGAGCCAGCGGTCACAGGGGAGGTACCCATGGGGATGGGGACGGTGGAGTAGATGACAGTGGGAACACAGGTGGTGTGGGCAACCACGCTGTAGGACATGGAGGAGGCACCGGCGCCACCGTTACCAGCGGGAACGGAGGGAACGGGGGCAACAGCGGGGACGGAAGTGGTCCAGCTGGGAGCGGCCGAGGGAGCAGGGCCAGAGGCAGCGGGGGCAGAAGGAGCCGGGGCACCGCTGGAAGGAGCGGGCGAGGAGCCAGCGCCAGCACCCTGGGGGACGGAGGTCACAACAGCAGGGGCGGAGGTGGGGACACCAGAGTTGGCAGGGCAGTTGGTGACGGTAGGTCCGCAGGAGGTGATGGTGACCTCATCAGTCTCGTAGACGGTGGTGTCAGCGCCGTTGGGCATAGCGGCAGCCAGGCCGGCGAAGAAGGCAACGGTAGCAATGGTGAAACGCATTTTGATTTGTGAGAAATAGGACCGTGAAGGTGATTAAAAGCGTAGAGCTTAGGGAAAGAATGTAGTAGTTTGGGTTGAAAGAGTGGATGACCGAAGTCTAGAGAGTGACTGAATGCGTAGGCAACGAAGATGGACTTGAAGAAGAAAGGAAAGAAGAACTGGGGGATCTAGGGGCCCTTTGTATGAACAGGGAGATTAGCCGGAGATCAACACCCATCCATTTCGCCCCTAAAAAAAAGGGGAAGCTTCTTGGCTCTGGTACCTGCAGTCTGTAGTACGGTGTGTACGAGATGTTACTTGTGAATTACCGGAAGTCAGTACAGTTAGTGTCAGGATGGAGGCGTCATCATGGTATCAGTGACTTGATCTATGAGCGATATCCACACCGCATATTCAAGTACTCGGTACCAGGGGAGACTTGCACTGCCCGAAAGGCTGGACCCTCAATCGAGCATAGCGATTGGATCAGAGAGGCGCTTGGGAGCAAGGCCGTTTCATCGTGACCAGTGAGTTTCAGTAATTTACTGAATTTACTGTGCCGCTAACGAGTATTAGCGTGGGAACTGCACTGCCGATCGCGCCATTAAGTGGTTCTCCCATGAGACACACTTCCTTACATCGCGCTTGGTGCTGTATTTTGATTTCGGAGTCTTTCTTGTGCTTTACTCTGCCGTATGGGCTCGTTATTCTGCTTGTTTCATTCTTCAATACCCGTTTAATTGCACTATATAATTACGAGGTCTGGAAATGAACCCGTTCTTTAGCGGTTTCAGCCCGCTTGTCCTGAACCAATCCACCTAATCACCGCCGATCCACTGCCGGTTCCTGGTTTCCATCCACCACTCACTGTCTTTCCCCGTGGGTCCAAGATCCACTTTACCCCTGAACAACCCGTGGGTGTATTTCCGCCATTGTGTGTAAACAAGGGCGCTTCTCTTTGGGGTGACGGCACGGTCTCCCCCGCGACCACGATAAACCACTCACAGTACTGTACGGAGGACTGGTACGAGGCTCCGCTCAAGGTTCAATTTTCCCCAATAACGAATCGATATTGAGATCAGAACGCGCATGGCCGAACTCCTTTTTCAAGAAGTATGATGCAAATAATTGTTTTGATTTCCCTCTGTATTCTATTTCTAGTCTCGCAGGACCCTCTGTCTTTGTTCAGGTGGATCCCATGGAACACTGCAGGTTCCATTGCAACATGGCGGTCCAAACGCTCTTTGTTTGGTGTATTTTTCCCTTGAAAAAGTCCCATCAGCCCTCGATTTCATCACTAAGCGAAACACGGAACTCAGATGGGCTCCGCTTGCGGGTCTAGTCTCACTTGCGCCGGGACCATGATCCCCGAATGGTTTAGTTTACAAGCCTCCTTAGTGCTTGAGCTTACCCAAACCCAGGTAGGAATAAGAATGATAAAGCGGGGGAAATCCAGAGGCTTGGGTTTAGACCTAGAGGTTTTCCTCCGTGCCGCTTCGGCGTTAACGTACTGTAGTGGCTTGAACGCTCCCTACCCGTGGATTCTGTATGGCGCGTGCTGATCGAGGCCAGCACGCATGGTCTCCCTAACTCAAAATAAGTAATTACCCCTTACCCAATACCCTCTTCCCCTCGTAACGTGGTAGTGATCTGTGCGGAATGAGGATCATCATTGCCTTTGAGTCGTTTGAGTCGAGACCTTGTATGGTGCGGTGTCGGCGACCTGCGTGCACTTTGTCCTCCCAATCCTGGCCTGATGTCTCGGCCTTTCTTAGGTTCAATACTTGGTTAGGCTCCATGATAAGGGGGGCGTGTGGTTCAAAGAAAGCTCAATGGCCTCGTGGCGCCCCCAGACTCCACATTCCATAACTATTGATTTTCGTTGAATCTCACTGGACCACATTGCCCCCTTTTCAAGATGTACAGATTTAGTCGGCCTCGATCCTACTCAAAATCCATCCTTGATAACTCCATGAGTTCTATGTTTAGATTGCCGAACTATTGGTCCGGCCTAAGAAAAAGGGGTAGCATTGAGCGGATATTCATAGTGTCCAGTGGATCTTATTCCAACATGTGATTGATCCCAGCACAGACCAATGTTCTTTCAATGCACCGACGGATACTACAGCATACACTATCATGGTATGGATGTACGGAGAGAGAAAAGGGGCAATTGCCGGTCAAAGATTAACCCATAAGATGTTGCCCGCAGTGCTCAATATCTTGATCCTGGTGCCGACTTACGAATCTGGTGGGTCCGGTATCTCTGAACCAACCCTGCACACGAAGAGCATCGGGGCTGCTCCGTCAGAATTCCGTTTGAAGTACGTACACGGCTGCTTCGTGTGTACTCCTTTGTCCGCATGTGCCTTGACTTGTGTAGTCCATTTCGACTCTTGCCGAGAATATGGGCACATGCATGAAAAGGGATGATGATCGGTGGACGGCAGATCAGGTACACACGGGATTTTCAAGTGACGTTGATCCGGCTCGGTTAATGAATTTGCACTCTGCAATCTTCTTGGTCGCCTTCAAATCTCCATTCAATCGTGTACGAGTGATTCTGTAACTGACTGGAAATTACCACCAATGCTGATCAGTAGCCGCGTGTCACACAGAATGGAAAGTATCCATCGCCGATGATCACGATGAGCCATTGATAACATTGGCCTCGTCCACGCGTTCCGTTCTACGTGACTGGGCCTGAGCTTGACGAGGCTCTCGGCATATGTCATTATTCCCAGGATACGGGGCACCATACATATCATATGTCCATGAAATCTAGACTGGAGCTTACTTCACCTTCCAGGTATCGTTGACACTAATTTTAACTCCTTCGCAGTTGTGGGGCTTCAACGCTTCGTCCTTAGTTTCCACGATTCCTCCGAATTTAGCAACCTTGCGACGCCTTCACCAAGCATTCCTTGATTCGAATCGAGCCTCGCGTCGGAGCAAGGCGGAAGTAAGCCGCAGATGACATCGATGGAGGTCTGTGTATACATTACGGACAGAGTCGATCTGCAAGGGCTTTCCAGGCCAGAACCAGTGTGGCTTTCCTGGCTGGCTGTGGCTTTCGGCAGAGGTATTGGAATGTGTGGCTGTACACTCGGCTTCCCGAGTGGATTTGCTCTGTTGGATTAAGGATGGAGATGAAAGCTCCGATCGTCTCAGAATTGACTTCACGGTCCTTGATCCGAAACCTTGGACACCTTGGCCGTGCCACAGACTCAGCCACAGGATGTTTCAAGCAGAGTAATCATCCCGCATGCAACGGTCGGGAAATACCGAGCCATCATCATGACTGTCATCATATGTAAAATAATTCGAGAAAATCAAAATAAACAATCAATTTCATGGCTCTGATGACATGCTTCATTCGGCGTACCGTGGTTGAACGTGATGATCGGCGCTTTTCCTACGCTGTGATGACATCGGTCTCGACGTATCGACTCGTCGATCCCAGGGTCTTTGAGTTCCCGCCTCTGTCAAGGGGTACAAAACCAGGCACATGTAGAGATACAGGTGAGATGTACTGATTACGCTGGTTGACCCCCAGGATATCCACTGTCAGCCCTACTACGGAGTACACACTTTAGGTACACCTAGGGGTTGTAGATATACATAAGGTGTACAAACCAACAATTTGTGATGTTGGTTATTGCCAAATCCTAATTAGCCTTCGACTGCATGGTTCCCCGCGCAGGGCTAAATCCCGGGATCAATCGAGTTGCACATATCTGTGACTTGACAATGCAGTGACAGGTTATTCTCCCCTCATTTCCAAGTGGGGACCTGTCTGTGAGTTGGCAATGATGTCGACGGACGCCACCCATGTCTCTGAGGGCCGATGGTTGGCGAGAAGTCAAGTGGAGTTCCCGGGCAAAGGAAATTTGCGGCTCCAAGGCAACCACATATTGGCCTTCATGCCCAAGATTGTGTGTGATACATATCAGTGACCTTCGTAGAGGGGGAAAGCGACATGGGAAGGCGACTTAGCGATGTGATCAGAGGGCACAGGGTGCATGAAGAATGCAAGCTGATAATAAGTCGACCATGCGTTAGCGTCAAGTCCCTGGTTTGTTTGATCCATGGTTCTTCGTGAGAATTCAATCGGACCTGCAAACTCTGCAATGCTCCCAATACACACTGGCAGAGGTGATTTCTTTAATCGAGTTGATCGTCTTTTCCAACTTTTTTGTAGTCTACAATCGCCCTGTTTCAGTCGAGGGCGCCTTCTGAAACAGCCCCACCACTGCCCGTAGGACCCGATCTTGTCGTCGCCCTGTCCCACTCGGCGGCTGTGTTGCCGTCTATTAATATTCATGGTGATCTGAGCTTTAACAGAATCCATCTTTAGGAATCTTGTGTTAAAGCTCAATCATTCCTTCGACATTTGTTCTGTGGTCTGGCAGGTGGAGAATCAAAAAAATCGCTTGTCTGCGCATTTCGCCCCGAGTCACCTGCTTTCCCCTCTCTTCCCCTTCACATTCCGCTCGTTTACGTGTCCACCCTCTCACTTTACCCCAACGCTCGCTACTGTCTTTTCAGGGACTCCATCGACACTGTGGCTACCCTGGCTGACCCAAACGAGTTGTTCTTGCCTGGCGATAGGCAGAACAATCTCGCTATGTCGTCCGTGCCGCTACTTCGGACCCCGGTCCCTAGCAATCAGCGCAACAATGGCACCCCCAGAGCTCCAAAGCTCACACTGGGCATCCCTCCATCGCCAAACGCCAAACCCGTCAATGGCAATGGCGTCCCTGCCATGGTGGCCCCTCCACAACCTCAACCTGCCCCTTCCCGCCCGGCTCTCCGCCTGGCGACTCCTATGATCAACCCGAATGCCCCGCAGCCGGTGAACCGCCCAGCCAACGGTCGACCAGGTCCTCCTTCGCTAGCACTGTCCACGGGTGGGCTCGGTGTGAATGGCCAACCGACCTTGAAGACCAACGGCGGAGGCAGTAACCCCATCTCCGCAAACTCCTCTGTTTCAACAGTCGATATCGCGAGGGGTCTCCGTGAGCCTGGCGGCTCCGATCCAGCATCTGCAATCAGTTCATTTGATGAGGAGGGTAATGATCAGCTGGAAGGTGAGAATGGTGTGAGTGCACTTGGTTTCGACCTGGATCGGTTGAGTCTAGAAAAAGGTCGCCCACTCGATGTTGAAGACTTGGATGATAAGGGCTGGCACGCGGCCAGCGAACAAAAGAAGATCATTGAGCTGGGTAGTTTGGGTGAAGGTGCCGGTGGTGCCGTTACTCGGTGTCAGCTCAAAGACGGCAAGACTGTGTTTGCATTGAAGGTGTGTTTCTCCGCTCGTTATCTCAAACCCGTTTCATCAGTGACTGACTTCTTATCGCGGTAGATCATCACCACCGACCCAAACCCCGATGTTAAAAAACAGATTGTTCGTGAGCTCAATTTCAACAAAGACTGTGCATCCGAGCATATCTGTCGCTACTATGGTGCCTTCATGGACAAGACATCTGGTACAATTTCTATTGCAATGGAATTCTGTGAGGGTGGCAGCCTTGACAGTATCTACAAGGAAGTGAAGAAACTAGGTGGACGCACGGGAGAGAAGGTGCTTGGAAAGGTTGCAGAAGGAGTACTCAATGGGTTAACATACTTGCATAGCCGCAAGATCATTCATCGAGGTATGAGATTCATCGTGCTCGGCCTTCTTCGAATCACATTGCTAATATCTCATTTAGATATCAAACCCTCCAACATTCTCCTGTGCCGAAACGGTCAAGTCAAGCTCTGTGATTTCGGTGTCAGCGGCGAGTTCGGTACCAAGGGTGATGCCAACACTTTCATCGGCACCTCCTATTATATGGCCCCGGAACGTATCACTGGCCAATCCTACACCATCACCTCCGACGTTTGGTCCTTAGGTGTGACTTTGTTAGAAGTTGCGCAACATCGATTCCCTTTCCCCGCCGACGGCACTGAGATGCAGCCCCGTGCCGGATTAATAGACCTCCTCACCTACATTGTCCGCCAGCCAATCCCCAAACTGAAAGATGAGCCGGAGAATCGGATCAAGTGGTCTGATAATTTCAAGTACTTCATTGAATGCTGGTATGTGCTGAAAACCCCCCTCCGGGATTGTCCTTCCTAACCCTAATCGAACTAGTCTTGAGAAAGAGCCTCCTCGACGAGCAACTCCTTGGCGGATGCTGGAACATCCATGGGTTCAGGATATGAAGAACAAGAAGGTCAACATGGCGAACTTCATCACGCAAGTGTGGGACTGGAAGAACTAAAACAAAAGTCATTCGCCTGGGCCCTTTTCTATCCTGCATGTTGTTTCCATGGAGTTCTCGATTTGTTGAGTATGAGTGGCTGGACCCTAAGGATTGACCTGGCTGTCAACACGACTCAAACATGACCCCATTACGACACCCATTGTTCTCTATTCACAGTTGGCGTCCATTTGATGATGCTTCGTCCCGGGCCGGAACTTGGGTGAAGCGAGCTGTCATTTTTCTTATATATCTTTTCTCATACCATACCCTGTCATTGCTTTCATTTGCCAGCGACATCGACACGAAATTTCACCCGGCTTCCTACTGCGTACGATCCTTCACGGCCTGATACCTACAATTGTCATTGCATCATCTGAGTCTTCTGCCTCCCTCTGCTCCTTTACCCTTCTTCCTTTCTCTCCCTCTAAACTTCTCATGATATTTTTCGAGCTTGGACATATCGACCATCATATATTGCTTGCTTTTTGTTGTCTTCGTTTGTTGAGGTATAGCCTCGCTTTTGTTTCAGGCTTTTCTTTTCCCTTTTTTTTTTCTCTCTTTTTGGGGGGGATTCCTACTCTGGTCGTCGTGGAGTATATGCAATGCATTGAAAACAATTCTCGCACATACTAGGAACTTAATACCGTTGCATTTGAAGTTGAGTCTTACAGTAATCTCAGTCGAAAGACTCCTAGATCAGCAAATAAGTTCCAGATGGGATACATATATTGATATCTATCTTGTCAAATACATCGCTAAAGTTATCATCGCTATCATGATGCCAAGTATACTCCCGGCAAGACATTCCCGGCCGTTTGACTACCGATTCACCGGCTCAGCGCCCAAAACCCATCCAATTCCACTCGCCAACCCCCCTGTAACCATATTACTAACCATATCCCTCTTCCGCACACGATCATGCTCCGAATGCTCGCCATCACCTTGAATCTCCGCTTCAGACCCAGGCCCAGCTGCAGCCGAGGAAGAAGCCGCAGCACCACGCAGCGGAAACGCGTTCTTGTGCAACGCCATCGCAGCACCCCTCGCAACCTCAAACAACCCCATAGGCGCCTCATGCGGATGGGAATGCGGCATTGCAGCCCGAGCACGAGCCCGTCTAGCTGCACGTTGTTGCGCCGTATCAAAGGCGTCGCGCTCCGAGTCCGAAGGTCCAAAGCCACCCGGTACAGTAGATAGGCTATCGCCCTTAGCGTCCCAGACGTCTTCCTCTGTTTGTTCACGGGCTCGGAGGGATGACATTTCCTCGTCGCAGCGGCGCCAGGCACCTAGGATTTCGGGGAGAGGATCGGGTGTTGGGGTAAGGACTAGGGCTAAGGAGAGAAGTTCCATGCGTTGGGAGAGATGGTTTATTTGGGATGTGAGTGGGGTCGAGGGGTTGGGTGTTGTAGAGCGGAAGCGGCCCGCATTGTAGACTGCGCGCCAGGAGATATCGTCTGGTGTAGAGGTGGATGTTAGGAGGGGAGATGTGGTGTTTAGGTGAGAGGGGGGTGCGAGGCGGGTCAGGACATAGGAGTAGGCTGTGCCGAAGTCGTTGGAGGAGAGAGCGGAGGAGATGGCTAGGGAGGTGATTCGACGTTCGGCTGTGATGAGGGTGTCTGAGACTTGTTCTTCTATTTCGCTTGTTTGGTCTGCGGGTAGGCCTGTGACTAGGTTCCGGCCAATGTAGAGGAGGTCATCGAGTTTTGTGTAGCTTTTGTCGTTTTGTTCGAGCACATTTTCAACTAGTGAGAGAGGGTCATGGTGGACCCGGATACTGACTGGCTGGAATGGGACGCCGTGTTGAAGGATCAATGAGTAGAAAGATAGCGCATGGGTTGCTGCTATCAAAGCATTGATCTGCTTCAAAGGGATCGATTCGGGGAAATGCGGCTGAAATGCTTGCAAGCTATGAAAAAGTTAGAGGGTGCACCGAACGTTGGCCTGGTGTTATCAAAGCTTACATATCATAGGCTCTCTTCATGCCTCCACGGGTCCGGTTGCCATTGCTGGCATTATCATAAGCTGTGAAAATAGAGCCAACCACGGCTGCCTCCACTTGAGTGGGACTCAGTGGTGCTGACTCTGATCGAGTATATAGCTTGACGGCCAATTGATATTCTAGGGAGGTGTCAGATACCGACCATGACGTATGCGAATGTTTGTTCAAATCTTACCTCTGGCTCCAAGTAGGGCCTTGAGAATTTCCGTTTCAACAGCATCTCGTGATAGTCTCCAAAAGAGACCGTGGTGGGTCGATGGCTCATCCCAGCCATTATCGGAATGCTCTGCCTGCCAATCCCGAAGCCAGAGCAGATGCTGCCGAGCTATTTCCCAAGCTTCATCTGATCGAGGCTGCTTCACCATAGATGATACCACGGCTTGGAGCTCTGCCATTTGCATATCCTCACTGCTATGAAGGCACATGCTTGCTGCGACCCGACAGGGAATCACATGGCCAAGGTTGGTTAATATGCGTAGAGACAGGAGCAAAGCACTTGCAAATGATATCGAAGAGGGCGACGGTAATGTCAGAAGATTTTGCGGCCTCAAAAGAGCGTTTTGCAATAGATAAGGACGTAAAGTCGACGAGATCAAGTCTGCATCGAATTCCACAGAGGGAAGGACGGCATCGGAAGATGAAAGGTATGAGCATTCTTCGAGGCCGAGCAGCTCGGCAACTCGCGACAAAATCCTAAATGAACCTTCAAGCGAGCCTTTGGATGAATCCGCCTGAGCGTATACCACAGCCAGACCGGACTGACCATACCGATTCAGCAACGCCTTTGCGCTATCTGATGTGATCTGGGCACCACTCTCCTCATACCCACCCAGATCGACATCCTCGGGTCCATTCCAATTAACAAAAGCATTGACTACACTCTTAGGGTCCACTAGACTTCGTGACAAGAGCCATTCGTTCACATGTTCCCAACCAACCAGCTCAGTGAGCTCGGGCTTTGGCGTTCCCTCGACGAAGGAGATCGAGTTTTGTTGGGCCGCTTCATTCAATCTGCGCCGTTTTGATCGGTTGCTTCCATATAGCCAAGGACCAATCAGTCCCCTCAAGTTATTGACCAAGTCCATGTCGTTCCTCTCTGGACCGGCAATGGATAACAGAATATTGACCGCAGTCTGGTCATCTAACTCTTCCAGAGTCTCCAATGACAATGTTCCGTCGCGGTTCGGATAATATTCGTAATTGAGTCGAAGTGCCGGTAGTAGGCTTGAGATCAGCCATGCTCGAATCACTGGTTGTTGTTCGTAGAAGGGAAGAATGAGGTCAAGGACTAATGGTTGAAGTGCGGTTTCGGCGTCAATCAAGTGTGAGCGATGAATAAGGAATTTGGTCAAAGGGTCACACGATTCCACCTCCTCTTCTTCGTCGTCCCGCCTCAGAGGTCGTAGGCGGAGCTTCCGCACGCGCTGCCTTGCTTCCGGCTCAGACAGGTCCTTGACAGCAGAAATATCAATTTCACGGGCTTTATTTGTACGGTCGGAGTTCCCAGTCAGCTCTTGGAGTACTGGAATATATTGGGAAGGTTCTATGCTCTCGGGTAGGAATGTCAAGATGATGCGTAGGAGGCGTTCCAACGGCAAACAATGAGGGTATTGCGCTTGTAAAGTAGGAAGATCGATCACATCACCACCTGCACAAAGGTGAGTCGCAAGCAGAATTGCGTGGGCATCGGATATTCCTTCCAGAGTCATGGCGACCGAGGGGAGGCGTAATGTAGTCCTGTGACTTAGTAGCGACATACGTAGCTTGAGGATGCGGGTAACTCATGTACGGCGGAGCGCACGGGCCAGGTCGGAAACGAAAGGGAAAGCGTCGCATCCGCGAACATCTCACCATCTTCTCTGCGGTCTCTCTGTCTTCACCCTGCCAATTCCTCTATACAACTCTTCAAAATGGCTTCTGGATATGGTCTCAATGGCGGTATGTGATCTTCTGGCTCTTTCCCCGACTGTGGGGTCCGCACGCGACGACATTACCATCATCATCACATCTTGCGCAGACCCTCCCCCTCCCCACGAATCACTAGGCTAACTAGCTATGACTCTTTTTAGGTCCCGGCCGCTGCTACCCCTTCTGGCAAGAGGTCCTTGGATGCTACGTGGTGAACTCTGGCGAGGGTGAGGCTGGAAAGAAGAAGTGCACCCCGGCTCTGGACGATTATTACGAGTGCCTCCACCACCGCAAGGAGGTATGTATTGACGCTTTTTAGGAGGGATTGAAGGATTGTGGAAGGACTAGCTTGGAATTGATCGTGGTATGACTAACTTTGATCCCTGGTGATAGGCCATGCGCACAATGAAGATGCAGGTTGCCTTCCGCAAGGCCGAAGCTGCTCACCCTCGTGAGAATGCCCCCAAGGCTGAGCAGATCCGCAGTTTAGGTCTGCTTGGGAAGGAAGAGGAGGCAACTGCTGTGATGTCGCAACTGTGAAGGAAACCCCCAAGGGCGCGATGATTCTTTTTCTTTGATGCGTGTGATTCCTTGTTTCTGCCCCGGAACTTTTTGCCGGGTGCCTGTGACTGTATAGAAATGCTCAATTTTGCAGGCTATTAAGCCTCGTTCTTGAAATGATACTCCGGTTCTATGAAGTATGTTATTGCGGATGTTTTGTCGTATTCAAGATGGGCTTGGTACGTAGTTCAGCAGACCTCATGTCTCTGCTGTGAATATAGGCAGCTAGTTGGAAAGCAAAAAATAAATAAATCAAGCTACCTATCCATCGACTAGGCAACACTTTCAAGGTTGCTAGGTAATTGAGCGATGGAATTCTGTATATTAGGTGGATAGGTATACGATACTTCTATGGACGTCACCAGAGCACTCAAAGCTGCCGTGGCACCCCACCTGGACATCTTGTGGGACGATGATAGAGCTCGGAGAAGCTTTAATTCAATCATTGGATGAGACTGGTAACTTGCAATTGAATACATATGTATGATGATGAAATCAACTACATCCGAGAGTATACCATTCACGTTCACTGTCGGGGTAGATGTTCAGCTGGTGCAAGCTTTACTATCTAATGTGGATATATAGTTCCCGGATATTTGCAATATGCGCTTGTCCATTGGTAGAATATAAAGCAATTTTGACCCCCACTAATATTATGGTAGAAAATACAGATCACAAATTTTCGATAATGGTTTGATGCATCCAAGCGAGACATTACATAACTGCCACTAGACACGCATACTCGGTTGAACCCTTTGATCATCAGGGGATTCTCGACACTGCTTGAGGCCATCTGGCATGTCTTGGCATTGCTATGCCATGCAGGAAGTCACTGAGCATTAGAAGTTGTGATTCGTTCCATTAGATGAGAATCAGAATATTGAACAAAGGAAATGAAATTATAAGCACAAGGTATAGTGATCTCAAAAGTGAAAATTCCAGCATGAGTTCTAATACAAAATCTCTGATCGAACGCGTCCACCACGTGACCCGCACAAACCCGGGAGTGGAGGCCCAACCACCGCTAAGCCCTAAACAGGCTAGCGCCACACACCCAAACATGGACCGGCGCGCCAGGCAAGAGCCCCCCAATGATATAAACCCGGCTGCGTGACCTCGAATCTCGCTCTTTGTGTACTGAATCTAATCCTCCCTGCTGAGTCATCCCCTCCCGGCTCACTGGTGTTGGGCGTTGGTGTTATTTGCATTTCGCACTTTGAAGGGCATTACACGCTTTTTACAGTCGCGTGTACTTTCTCTATCCCTTTTCTTTCTGTTTTCACCTTTTACTTTCGGCGGTGCTGCTCACTCGGCATCAAGAGTGACGGCCCGCCATGACTTCCCGGTAAGTGACTTGGACCAATTATGACGCGTCAGTCACATGATACTAATGCCCCACAGACTCGACCGCCTGGTCACGTGAGTACCACCATCAATATCCAAAGAGGTAAAATGATCTGAGTGAGAGCTCCCTAAACTAACATTTCTTGCACAGTTTGCTTGAGACCGGAAGCACTCAGTTGATTCGGAACACAGCAGCCCAGCAATTAGGTGACGTTCAAAAACAACACCCGGATGAGCTCTTCAACCTCTTGGGCAGAATTCTGCCATACCTGCGATCTAAATCATGGGATACGAGAACTGCTGCGGCGAAAGCCATCGGTTTGATCGTCGGCAATGCGGAGATTTATGATCCAAATGAAGATGATGGTTTGCAGATTAAGTCTGCAGCTGAGGATGATGAAGTGGAGATTAAATCTGAAGTCAAATCAGAAGATATTCCGTCCTCGTTTCTCCAACTTGACACCCTGGACATTGGATCGATACTAAAGCACGGCAAGCGATTACTTGGCAGTGCTGGAAAGGAGTATGAGTACTCCCTAGCATCATTGGATCCCGCGACACGACTTCAGCACCAGAAAAAGACACTGAACGGCCGTCTCGGCCTTGCTGGCGAGTATATTGAGGATGATCTACTTGACACGGCCGAAATGGTCCCCAAAGTGGCAACTCCTGCTCCAAAACGAGAATTCGCACAGGCTCCTGTATCTCGAGACAACAGCGTTTCGGATATAGCCTCTCGGCGGCCATCGTCCCCGGACGCCAAGCAGGAAGAGGCGGGTCTCAGTAAGCGCCAGTTGAACCAGCTTAAGCGAAAGAACAAGCAAAATGCCAAGATGGGCGCCAATAAAGTCCGTGTGGTCGACCTCTCCTCCCGTCGACCATCGGAGAACGTTGCGACACCAACCACCCCTCACCCTATCAAGGCCGAGAACGGCGACGATCAGAACGGAGAAAGTAAACCCGACTATTTCTCGTTTGAAAAATCCGCCGAAGATGATGATTCAAAGATCGTTGCGGAGTTCAAGGGACCCATCGCACCCGAGCGATCAGTCATCCAGCCTGATTTTGTGGACCAAGGCTCAGGTTGGCCCTTGGAATGCATGTGCGAATTCTTGACAATGGATATCTTTGACTCTAACTGGGAGGTTCGACATGGTGCAGCTATGGCTCTTCGCGAGGTTATTAGGGTCCAAGGTGCGGCAGCTGGTCGGTTGGAGGGTAAGACCCGGACAGAGAACGATTTACTGAACCGCAAATGGCTTGATGACCTTGCCTGTCGTTTGCTTTGTGTTCTCATGCTCGATCGATTTGGTGACTACATTTCAGACAATGTGGTCGCCCCGATTCGGGAAACCGTGGGGCAGACCCTGGGTGCCCTTTTGTCCCACTTACCACCTAAGTCTGTTCGTCACGTTTACCGAGTCCTTTACCGAATTATCATGCAGAATGATCTCGGTCTGGATCGCCCTGTGTGGGAGGTTTGCCATGGTGGTATGATTGGTCTCCGCTACTTGGTTGCCATTCGCAAGGATCTTCTCATCAATGACTCTGTCATGATGGATGGTGTCCTCGAGGCTGTCATGAAAGGACTCGCCGACTTTGATGATGACGTGCGCGCTGTTAGCGCCGCAACACTGGTACCAATTGCAGAAGAGTTTGTAACATCAAGGGGTGGCACTCTTGGGCCTCTGATGAACATTGTTTGGGATTGTCTTTCCAACCTGCAAGACGACCTCAGTGCCAGCACAGGATCCGTGATGGATCTCCTCGCCAAGTTGTGTACGTTCAATCAAGTCTTGGATGCGATGAAAGCCAACGCAGCGGTCGACCCGGAGGCTTCGTTCGGCAATTTGGTCCCTCGTCTCTACCCCTTCCTGCGGCATACAATTACCAGTGTTCGTTCCGCCGTTCTCCGTGCTTTGATGACCTTCTTAAAACTAGAGGGAGAAGGCAGCACGGATTGGGTGGAAGGCAAGGCACTGCGCTTGATCTTCCAAAATCTGCTTGTGGAGCGCAACGAGGATGTGCTCAAACTCTCAATCCAGGTTTGGTCGGAGCTACTAAAAGCCATCGAGACCCATGGATACTTCAAAACCGATGCTGAGCTCTCAAGCTCCATTGAGCCCCTCATCACTCTTACCCTTGGGCCATTCGGTGTTCCTCGTTACCCCATTCGGATGGACGAAACTCTCTTTATCAAGCCATCAGGTCTTCCCTTCTCTCTTGCCGCTCAACCTCCCGCTAAAATCTCACCCCCCGCTACTGCTGGTGGTGCAGAGCCCCCCAAACCTGGCCGCAGACGAAAGTCGGAGAAAAAAGAAGCCCCGCCACCATCAACTCACAACGTGGATGGGCATATGTTGTCAGGCGACATCGACCTTGTTGGTGCAGACACTATGTTGCGATCCAAGATCTATGCCTCAAGGGCATTGGGTGAATTGCTATCTGTTTGGGACAAGCACAATCTCCCGAGTTTCTGGTCGCCCATTTTGAATGGCCTGAACGCCTCGGCGTCTACTTCTCAACTCTCCGCTGCCATGGTCATGGAGGAATACGCCCGTTTCACTGGACCAGACAGCAAGTACACATCATCTCTTACAGAAAAACTTCGCCCGATTGTCGAAGATGAACGTCCACCATGGTATTCGGACATCTCCAGCTACCTGCATGTCGCTCGCGCTCAATGCCATTCCCTGCTGAACGCCTTCCGGGACCACGCACATGTCCCAACCTCGCGGCTCCCGACCTTGGCTGTTGTTGTTCAAGGCGACCCTGAAGCCGGGCCTAATGCATTCTCTCTCGCTGATGCCGAGAAGATCGTCGGCCCTGACTTTGAACGCCTCAAGAAGAGCCTGACGCCTGCGCAGAGAATTACTGCCACTCAGGTCTTGAACGACACCCGTGCAACAGCGCAATCGGCTGTCAACGAGGCTCGTGGTTTCAAAGAGCAACGAGACATGCGTGTTCCAGCAGCCGCTGCAGGCGCATTAGTTGCCATTCGGGATATTCCGAAACGCCCTGGTCATATCATTAAGGGTATGATGGACAGCGTGAAGAAGGAAGAAAATATTGAGCTTCAGCAACGCTCAGCAACCGCAGTTGCAAGCCTTATCGAGCACTACACAGCAGCCACAAAACGTGGACCAGTCGACAAAATCATTGGAAACCTCGTCAAATACTGCTGCGTGGACACCTCGGAGACTCCCGAATTCCAGCATAATGCCCAATTGGAGACATCAATCTTGTCTTTACGCAAGGAAGAAGATCGGCGAGACCACCCCGATGCTGCCAAGTTCGAACGCGAGGCTAAAGAAGCTCGTATTATGCGACGTGGTGCCAAAGAGGCTTTGGAGCAACTGACTGTCAAATTTGGCCCCGACCTTCTTGAGAAGGTGCCCAACCTTGCAGCGCTAGTTGAAAGACCATTAAAGGATGCTTTGGTGGGTGAGCTGCCTGAAGATATCACCAAACCAGAGACGACGCTTGGCCAGGAGGTTGTAGATGGTCTATCCACTCTTCGTGCCCTTCTGCCCAAGTTTGATTCTGGTCTCTATCCTTGGGTTATTGGTCTCATGCCTATCATTGCCAAGGCTTTACAATGTCGTCTATCAGTAATCCGCTATGCAGCAGCAAAGTGCTTTGCTACAATCTGTAGCGTTATTACTGTGGAAGCTATGACAATGTTAGTAGAGAAGGTGCTTCCGACAATTAACCACGCTTTGGATGTCCACCATCGTCAAGGTGCTATCGAGTGCATCTACCATCTTATCCATGTGATGGAAGATGGAATCCTACCCTATGTCATCTTCCTGGTCGTTCCTGTACTTGGACGTATGAGCGACTCCGACAACGATGTTCGACTTTTGGCAACCACATCATTCGCCACTTTGGTCAAACTCGTACCGCTGGAGGCTGGTATCCCCGATCCACCTGGTTTCTCCGAGGAATTACTCAAGGGTCGTGATCGAGAGAGGAAATTTATGTCCCAGATGCTGGATTCGCGGAAGGTGGAGGCATTCGAGATTCCTGTTGCGATTAAAGCTGAGCTCCGGCCGTATCAACAAGACGGTATCAATTGGCTTGCTTTCCTTAACCGTTACAACCTTCATGGTATTCTCTGTGATGACATGGGTCTTGGAAAGACCCTTCAAACTATCTGCATCGTTGCGAGTGATCATCACATGCGAGCAGAGGAGTTTGCAAAGAGCCAAGCTCCTGATTCTCGCAAGCTCCCCTCGCTGATTATTTGCCCACCTTCTCTTTCTGGCCATTGGCAACAGGAGGTCAAGCAGTACGCTCCATTCCTCAACTGCATTGCCTATGTCGGTCCCCCGGCAGAGCGAACAAGACTTCAAGCTCAACTTGGTACATCCGATGTGGTTGTAACCTCCTACGATGTTTGCCGAAACGACAATGAAATTCTCAATAAGATCAACTGGAACTATTGTGTGCTCGACGAGGGTCATCTCATCAAGAACCCGAAGGCCAAGATCACAATTTGCGCTAAGCGACTAATGAGCAACCATCGCCTGATTCTCTCGGGTACGCCGATTCAGAACAACGTGCTTGAGCTTTGGTCACTCTTCGATTTCTTGATGCCTGGTTTCCTTGGCACAGAGAAGGTCTTCTTGGATCGATTTGCCAAACCAATCGCTGCTAGCAGATTCAGCAAATCTTCATCGAAAGAACAAGAAGCCGGTGCTTTGGCGATTGAAGCCTTGCATAAACAGGTCTTGCCTTTCCTCCTCCGCCGCCTGAAGGAAGAGGTCTTGAATGATTTGCCTCCTAAGATCATCCAAAACTATTATTGTGATCCCAGTGAGCTTCAAAAGAAGCTTTTCGAGGACTTCTCAAAGAAGGAGCAGAAGGAGCTACAAGACAAGGTTGGAAGCACTGATCGCTCTGATAAGGAGCACATTTTCCAAGCCCTACAGTACATGCGTCGCCTGTGCAACTCGCCTGCCCTGGTCGTCAAAGATGGACACAAGCAGTATAATGAAGTCCAGACCTACTTGAATGCTAAACGTTCAACCATCAGGGATGTGTCTCATGCGCCGAAGCTCAGTGCACTGCGTGATCTGCTGGTTGACTGTGGTATTGGTCTCGATACCCCAGCTGAGGGTGAGCTCGATACAGGTGCAAGCTATGTCAGCCCGCACCGTGCCCTTGTCTTTTGTCAGATGAAGGAGATGCTGGACATTGTGCAAAATGATGTCCTTAAGAAGTTACTACCATCTGTCCAATACCTCCGCCTGGACGGTGGTGTCGAAGCAACAAAACGTCAAGATATCGTCAACCGATTCAACACCGATCCTAGCTACGACGTGTTGCTACTGACAACCAGTGTTGGTGGTCTTGGCCTCAACCTCACGGGAGCAGACACTGTTATATTCGTCGAACATGACTGGAACCCGCAAAAGGATATCCAAGCCATGGATCGCGCCCATCGTATCGGTCAAAAGAAGGTTGTTAACGTGTACCGCTTGATCACCAGAGGTACCCTAGAGGAGAAGATCCTGAAGTAAGTTTTCGTCCGATCTTTTTCAAAGTAATATTGAATCTCATACTAACGGGCTTTTGTCTAGTCTACAACGATTCAAGATAGACGTCGCCTCTACGGTGGTCAATCAACAAAACGCCGGCTTAGGTACAATGGACACAGATCAACTTCTAGACCTATTTAGTCTCGGCGAAACAGCTGAGACAGCCGAGAAACCAGACGCAACCGGCAATGAAGTCGACATGGTCGACATCGACGGTGAAGTCAAGGAGAAAGGCAAGAAGGGTTGGTTGGATGACTTAGGCGAACTATGGGATGATCGACAATACCAGGAAGAGTATAACCTGGATTCATTCCTGGCTACGATGAAGAACTGACAGTGTCTTCCGTTTGCCATGACGCCATTATACCCCCCTGAAAAGCCTTTCCACCTTGAGTTACCCTCCACGACTTGTTATGTCACGCCTCACGTCCTATCTTTCTTTTTGTCCCTTGAGGGATATTTCGCGTATCTGCGATTATTAATCCTTATTTCATTCCCCCTCTGAGTGGTTTACTGATTTGACTCTGTACTCGTTATACTTCCACTGTATTTTTAGCTTGAATTTTCCCCACGACCAATAATCTCTAATGTACATAGAGATAAAATGCTTCTCACGCTTCACCTTCTACACCGAGTTTGTAAAACCCGGTTGATCGTAGTTGAAAAGAGCACGGCTGCTGTGAACCTCGAAAATGTGCAAGTTAAAGTAACCACCATGACTTCATCTACACAGGCATTATCTTACGCGATGGCTTCTTGGAATCAGATCAAGCGTAATAACAATTTTGAAAGGAATCTTGTGAAGTCATTATGTCATACATAGGCCTAAAAGCAGGCAAAATGGCAAAGAAGCACCATACCCATAGCTCGTCTCCAGTCACCAAAACCTGGCAATTGTCCAGCCAAAAGAGAGCCAAGCTGAACCTGAGGATCAATAATGGCACAAGATCAGAGCAAAGTAATGAGTGGCCATAGAAACAGACAAGCAGGAAAGAGAGGGACCAGCCAACGAAAAGAAAAGAGAAAGAAAAAAAAGACAGAAACACCGCCACCATGCCTAAATTGGTTATTTTCCGGCTCCAGCAAACCGTAGATGCAGACCGGAACACATAGTATGTGAAAATCAAAAAGAAAGAAAAGAATGAGACACCCACAAAAAAAGACGTAGAAGCCATGAGGGGAATAGAAAAAGATAAAATGCAACAAGGTAAAAATGCGGTTACCGCCAGAGAAGCAGAGCAGCAGGCAGCGGCCAAGTGGAAGATTAAACGGTTATCAAAACACGGACCAAAAGGTCCTATGCACTGAAGTCGGGTGGCACCAGGAACCAAATGCCCAGTAAACGCTCCAGGCGTCATTCACGCCAAAACGGGGTTTAAGCCTGTCCCTTTGGTTTGGCGAGCATGTTCAAACGACTCAGACTGAGCATGCCCGGACGCTTCTGTTTCGTACTAGCAGGGGTGCCAAACCGATTGGAGGAAACAGAGCGATTTGGAGTTTTCATAGGACGTGATTTGATAGGGCTGGGAGTAGGCGGGTTTGCCTTCAATCTCTTCGTACCACGCTCATCGGACTGGGCGTCAGAAGGTGGCACGTTCTCAGCATCCTCGGCATTGGGAACATCATCATCGTCAAAGTCCTCCCGGCGTCTCTTCTTGTTACTCAGACCATGAGACACCCCGTGGGCCACGACGGGGAGCTCGGGCCAGGTAGGCTCCAATTTGCCCACTTCCGAGGAGCGAACATGGCGAATAGAGGGTGACCCGGTCGGAGTAGTGCTGGCCTCAGTAGCTGATTTATGATCCGGGGTAAGAGTAGGGAGAGTTGGATAGACAATCTCAGACAGCTTGGAACGGGATGGAGTGGTGGGAACCTTGGAAGGGGAAGGGGAGGCCTCAGCCACTCCATGACGAGACTTGACGCTGGGGGTAAATTCAACGTGCTTCTTTGGCGATGGACTTGGGGCGGCGTCATTCTGATCATTCTGGCCAGCGAAAAGCAAGTCAGGGTTGAAGTCAGGGGCAGCAGTATGAGTACCAGCGGCAATCTTGGCTGGGTTGCGAGAGAATAATGGCTGGCGTCTGCGAAGAATAGACTTAAGATTGTTAAACGTGGGCAGGTTAGTCTTGAACCGCGGGTTGAATTCAGTTCGAGGAGTGCGCGGAGAGGCCAGAGCCTGGGTGGAGGGCGAGCGTGCCAAAGAAGGAATCAGCGATGTTTTGGGGGCCTTGAGGCTAAGGGAGATTGATGACGTGCGCGCCATGGAAGACCGAGTCGGTGTCATCAGAGAGCTGCGAACTGCGGAGCGAGGCCGCGCCCGAGGGGCAACAGGTTTCGGTGCAGCATCTTCTTTCTTTTCAGCACCCTCAACGTTTGAACGGCTGGCTGTTGTATCATCTGCGGCGTTGCGTTTGACACGCTTAGCCGTGGCAGTAGGAACAGGCACGGCCGATGGCTTTGCTGACGACGAGGATCGTGATGGCGACTCGTTTTGGGGTTCGGGTTCGTCCAACTGAGCCTTGGACTTTGTACGCTTCAATGACTTTGTTGCAGGCTCGAAGCGACCAGGAGCGGCCCGGAAAGAGGAAGGGTGATTGGCAATCGAGTCCATTTTCTTGAACTCGGCCATATGCACATCGCTGAACCGTCCCGCCTGACCCCTTGCTTTTGCGATCTTTCGTTCGATGGGAGCCCGAAGATCGCGCTTCTGCTGTTCTGCTTCGGTCGGCTCCATGTTTGCTCTAGCCTGCCTGGCCTCCTGACGAATTGTTTCCATTAATTGCTGGGCCGCATTGCTCAGATCTGACTCTTGTCCGAATTTGAACTCGTAGCCTGGTGTACCGAATTGACTGGGCGCAGGCGAGGGCTTGGTCTTGGAAGGAGTCTTTTCAACCGCGCCCTCTTTCAAGACATTTCCGGCCGCGTCTTTCTTGATGGGGTTGAAACCGAGGATTAGGCCTGAATCGACTTTCTTGGTAGTGCTTTGGTGTGCCTTGCTAGGATGCATTTCGTTCGCAGACGGGCGAACAGCAGACGCGCTAGTTGGTGTTCTAGCCTCCTTGGACTCCTGGTGCGAATTTGTGAAAATACGTTTCTGGGTCGTCTTTTTGGTGACTGGTGTGCGGACAGCAGGCTGATCATTACTCGGCGCCTCATCGTTTTCCTCAACAGAAGGAAGTTGAGAAGGTGCGACAGGCTGAGGGGTAGATTCATCGCTCTAATGAGGTAACCATATGTTAGTCTGGATCATGTTTTAGCCATGACATTGCAAGCCCCTCCCTCGGGCGTTGCTAGGACACGCACATCTGGAGTTCCCTGGCTACGCAGGCGGGCGGAACGCCGAACCGCCATCGCTAAAGGTAAAGTGTGTGTTTTCAAGTGGAAATGATGTAAGATCGGATGCGACCCCGAGAGAAAATTGTGGATTGGAGTGGGGGAGGGAATTGGACAAGTGGATGTTCTGGCGTTGAAGTTTAAGTCGAAGCGAGTCCAAAATGTAAACAAACGCGCTTGACGTCACATGACTAATCACACCAATACAACTGAGGATGAATCAACAGGTTTCAACGTACATACTACTATACATAATCAGATACGCCAAATATATTCAGTGCTCATAGATTGCGGATAATTTTCAGCTAACACAGCTAGCTAGCCGACGTCGAGCTGTCATCAATGCGGCAGTTGTCCCGTGGTTAGGCGCAAATCATTGATCATCACGGAACGCTCTCAACAACAAGCGGCTCAAACACACTTCACTGTATTTTAGCGCATCCAGCAGCCGCTGAAGGCCATATTTTACGATAAATTCATAGGCATTTGCTAAATTCTCATTCTTGACGCGATAATATGCAGTTCCCGGAGCCTCACATACGAGCCCCTCGAAATGAGCATACCCATACGGCCATTGTACTTCATGGCCGGGGAAGCGATGGCCCGGAATTCGCTGAAGAGTTATTTTCCTCTGTGACTTCACAGGGGAAAAACTTGCCCGACAGTCTCCCGAACTTTCGCTGGGTCTTTCCGACTTCTGGTGACCGATGGAGTGCAAGGTTTCAAGAAGACATGCCATCTTGGTTTGATGCATACTCCCTCGAAGACATCGAAGCAAAACAAGAACTACAAGTCGATGGACTCAGGGAGTCAGTAATGCATATGCTAGAACTGTTAGATCGTGAGATCGAGCAAGTTGGTGGTAATCCTCATCGTGTCTACCTCGGGGGCATCAGCCAGGGTATGGCGACCGCCCTGTGGACACTGCTTTGCGCACCAGGGAGAACCCAAGGGCCCCTTGGTGGTGTTTTGGGATTTTGTGGGTGGTTGCCTTATGCTGGACAGGCAGAGAATCTCATCAAAGGATTTTCAAATATTCCTGACCGATTAGATGTGCCCAGCAAGCGACGCCAAGGGTCTCAGTTGTTGTTGGATGTGATTGCTGGTCCAAACACGACACATATCAATGAAAATACTGACTTATCTGTTCTATCAACTGCAATATTTCTGAGTCATGGCTCGGATGATGAATGGGTTCCTGTGAGACTAGGCCGTCAAGCAGCCCGGGTCCTTCAGGGCTTTAACCTCACAACCGAATATCACGAGTTTATTGGTGCTGAAGTAGAAGGCCATTGGATTGCAGAGCCTAAAGGATTCGACCAAATTGTTAGGTTCATCCAAAAACAGGTGGAACAAAATCATTAGAGGGCCAAGGAAACCACTTGTTATGATTCTTATCAGACAGGTATAGGGCCATTTGAAATACAAAAATACAATTATCACATCTTCTGGTGTCGATCCATTCTATGGCGACCCATCAATACGAAGATCAACTACCGCATCATCAATGCTCGGTGGCCCAACATACTTCTTCCGTCCCCATGCCCAATACCAAGCGGTAGCCATAATGATGAAGGCGACAAAGACAACTGGGGCATAGTTGACGGTTTCTGCAGTGACAGGAATATATGAGGGCATACAGAAGAGAGGCACAACCAGGATGCTCCAGGCTGCGATTCAAGTTAGTAAGAGTTTCTGAAAGGGAAAGAGTCAAAGCCCACCTAAAGCCACAACATTACAAAACACCCCGAGTTTCCCCAAGTCAAAATTTCCGTTTCTGATCTGCTTCCGCCCTCCAGCAAAGGAGACAGCAATTGGACAAGCATAACTCACGGTAAGAGTAATGACACCGACTCCAGAGAAAGCATTGAATGCAGTGGTTGATCCAAAGTAGATAAGTCCAAGGGCGATCTCTATTACCATACCCAGCATCATAGCATTGAAAGGAACACCCAGGGTCTTATTCACCTCCTTCCATTTGCGGGAATAAGGAACACCCCCATCTCTTGCAAATGCCCACACAGATCGCGATACAGCTGTGGTGCATCCAATACCGCATAGTAATGCGAGGACGGCAAGTGGAAGCAGTAGAAGAAATGCACCAGCCGAGTTACCAATGGCTGATTTGATTATGCTGGGAATAGGTTGGCCAGACTGAAGTGCAAGAAGCTCTTCTGTATTGGGAAGCACGAAGACCAAGGGAATCAGGAAAAGAAGACCTGCGAGTGTGTTCAGAATGATCGTGCCGACAATAGCTTTTGGGACCTGGCGGGATGGTTCTTGGACTTCTTCGCACATTCTGTAAGATGTGAGTATACACGATCGAGGACAAGGAAACTTTGAGAGAAAAGGCGGTACATACGATATGACCATCCCAGTCGATGAAGTCGTATAAGCTGCTTGTAAAAGTCCAACACAGAACGACCAGCCAACCGGCCATCCTGACTGAGGCTCAAAGTTCGTAAACACGTACGCAGCATCATGTCTGCCATTCTTAGCAATGACCAAGACGCAGATAACAGTCGCCAAGACACCAGCTAGTGTCCAGAAAATGGCAAATGTCTAGAAGAGGTGTGAGTCAAACATCCAACAGAAGCACGAGTCCAACGTACATCAAGATGGGGTAGCCATTTATTACCAAATGCCGAGACAGCGTTACACAAAAGGGTGATGGCCAAGAAGATGAGAAATATCTGATACGTTTCTCCTGCAAGGACTCCAGCTCCCGAGGATGTTTCAAACACATTGACACAGGCGACTATAAATTGGGCTGACCCAAAGTTCACAGCGAGCGTGATCATGATATTGCCTACCACGTAGGACCAACCGCAAATCCAGGCAAAGATTCTTCGATACGCGGGTGAAGAGAGCATAAATGTTTGGTAATAGACGCCTCCGGCAGTTGGGTAGACTGAAGTGATCTCACCCAGGGAGGCTCCGACGCAAAGGATAATCGCTGATACCATCAGCCATCCCCAGATAATATTCACGGGACCCCCGCCGTAGAGTGGGTAAATGAATGTCGTTGACAATCCGTAAGGAATGGATGCGAGAACGAAGGACATGAAAGCCACTTGAAGTGTTGATCTGTTCCTTGTGAGCTCGGGCTCATAGCCAAGGGCTTCCAGGAGGCCATTTGCCGGGACCGAGTCGGATTGTTCAAGGTCGGCACCATATTTGGCGTCTTTTTCATCGAATGAAGGATGACTTGGCGCAGAAGCCGACTGTGAATGGGAATCTATCTTGGTCGCCATGATTAGAACCACGACTCCTGGTAGATAAAAGGATCAAGACTGAAATGAGTTGAAAAGTTGGGAGAACACAGACCCCTTATGTAGCGGTCCTCCAGAGTGATTGGGGCGTTATATATTCGGGCCCTGAAAGGCTACGTGCTATGTATCATAAGATTGAATGTAGCGAATAATACTTGACGGCCTACGATAAGTTTTACTAGTGGTAATCATCCTAAAGGTCGATGTTTTTGTCTTGTGGACCTTTCCGTAGCATGATCGGCACCCTGGACATGAAACGTGGGGTAATTGCCTATCACCTTGTTTTTATTGGAGTAGGCATGATGACGCACAGTGCGGAGCAATGCCGAGACATTGAAATCAGGATCAGAATTACTAGCTGGACCGCTTGGTCACTAGAGGGACTTCCCTACCCAAAAAGGTAAGATCAACTCTGCGATGAATCCATTGATTATCCCCGCTTTATAGGGTCTTTTGCAAAGTGAGTCACATTGAATTGGTTTATAGGGTAGCACTATTAAAGACTCTCTAGCCCCCCTGGGTCATGAGACTAGAGTTTATGACATCGATGAGCTTGTATGGAGCAAGTCTTTTTCAAAGTGAAGTGACATTCTCTATGAGGCATTTTGAATTTTGAAACGCCTTAGGGTACGCAAGGATCACGTTGTCGTGTGCGTATATGGAAGCAACGCAAAATCTTATCAATTAAATATCAAATTGCGAGAGTGTCTTGATACCATTGTGCTGAGGGATTTGAACTGAAGATTGGAAAGATTAGGTATCCAACTGAACAATTATTGTGGAGCTTGACATTAGCGCCCCGAAGACGTGATTGGAACGTTAGTCCAGAAGCAGTTTATCTTTCCTCTGAGACACGAGACTAGGTGATTGTCATCTCTTGTGATCTCATAATGTAATACTATCTTGACCGAAGACTCAAAGCCAACTTTGTTATCCCAACCTCTATACGCTCAGGGCCTACTGAGCCAGAGTTCGCGGCTGGGCTAATGCACAGCGGCTAGGCTAGTCCGAGAAAGGAGAGCATCCGAGGAATCTGATGGGCCCATTTCAGATAAGGATGGGCCACGTAAAAGTATCAGCCTCAAGTAGAAATCTTAACGATTACGATTCCCTATCGACATAGTTTCGGAACTTGGCACCCCCGCAAAGACGGGAAACTCTCTGTCTAGCCAATAAAAATTCGTATATGTAGCCGTCAGTGGCTTTTTTTCTTCGGATGAGAAACAGTGGAAGCCGATCACGAGACCTCCCCCTGAGCATCGGATCCCCAAGATAATGATATCAGTGATGTTAGCCCCCTTAGCCCCCTACTCTCATAACCTGAAACATTATTATGAATACCCTGCCAATACTGTAGATATTTATGGAGTATATCATCCAGAGATTTCCCCTCTTTACGGTGACCAGTGCAGATATAAGGTATGAATTGGTATTATTATTATCCCATCATAGTCTCAAGGTTATGTTCAAGCATTATGTCCAGCCAATATTCACTAACGCCAGCATCCGCTCTACTCCAAGTTTCGTGCACAATGCGAGACATGCGTTGTAACCGCAATTTTGGAAGAATCAAGGTAAGTTCCGAAAACCACATACTAACCTTTCGCCGAGCCTGAGCAATCTCCACGTCTAAGGCGCTTAAACAAGCAATGGCATTCGCCGCGGGACCGAAAAGAGATTGATTTGAAAACACAAGATCGCTCGAAATGCAGGTAAGAACTACAGGGTGCATACATCTAGTTCCAGATGTGGGAGGTATTTGATCAAGAAGCGATACGATGTGGAGTGCCAATACCCGACGTGCTTCTTCCACCGTGGGTAATGTGGAATCTGGTCCAAAGAGAAGAGAGAAGAGAACGGAAGGTTCTTGCTCTGGGGACTTTTCGCGTCTAAGACGCTCATCTAGAATGTCGGGGAAGACATGGTAGATTTGAAGTAGGGCTGTGCAGCGATATGCTTCTGCTAGAGTGATGAAGTGGGTTGGGGGCGTGTCTGTATCCCCAATATCAACCGGTCCACAGTAAGAAGAAATACCTGTAAACAAGATTTCTTCTTCAAGCCGTTCGGCTGTTCCATGTTGGTTTATCTCCTCGACGAGAAAGTCAAAATCAATATTTGCTAGATCTAGATCTTCGTCGCGGGTGCGATAGGAGATACGGGCAGCTCGAATCAATTTAGCCGTTTGGTAGAAAAGGCTGATTGATTTAGAAAGTGGCCCTGTCCATGGATGAGGAAGGGCTTGACCATCCACCAAGTATACCGACATCTCTGTGTCAGGTCTTTCCAGCACCTTCTCTTCACTCAGAAGCAGCGAGTCCTCAGCCACAAAAGCGGCCATCATGTTCCAATAAAGCAAGCATTGCTGGAAAAGAGGGTATTGTTTTGCAAACGTAGATTCGGGACTCTGACACATTTGTTGCTGGTTCACGAGGTAATCCTTCGCCTCTTTCAAATATTCCAGCCCCAAGTCGGAGGCGTTGTGCCAAGCTGTTGTTAAGCCGATCATTAGAAGAGCAAGGAAAAACTCGTCATCGTGATCATCTCGATGCAGCGAACCTATGCGAGGATTGTTTCGAAGACATGCAATTGCTTGTTGTTGTGTTTGAATCCCAATCGCCCTCATACTCGGAAAATCATTTGCAAGCGAGGCCGCCGCCATACTCTGAATAGCATAGTAGATTGCCGCATTTTGACTCCAAAGGCGACTGACGATGAGCCGGAATGGATTCAAAGGCGAGTCAAACGATGACCATGCTTTGCAGACAAAGTCAAAGTAGTATTGGACTAGAATGGCTGGCATGTGAATCAGAAAAGCGGGTACCGCTGTATTAGCCAGTCGGCGATGCAGACTTGCCAGGCTATCTGATTGTGTTGTCGTCTTGAAAACAGTGATATCGTTCAACCTGAAGTCTGGCTTGGAACGGAGATCCATAGACGTTTCAACGTCTGGAAGTTGGTCCAATATTGTGGAGCTCGCCTCGTCCCACAGCTCTTGTAGGTGCTTGCTGTGGCTAGCCTCCGTGTCGCTTTCTATGCCTCCGGAAGCATCTTGTGCTAGAGCAATAAGCGATTCTGATGGCTCCACTGTTGGTGGCGAGTCAAACTGAATTTGCTCTTGATCTTCACCTTGATCCCCATCTTGGAAAACATATCGCCATTCTAGAGGCTTTTTCTGATACCCAGGGCATATGAAGCCCTTCCTCGAGCACTCTCGACAACTAGGTCTAGTTTCATCGCACCTGCGCTTTGGGTCATGTTAGTCCGACGGGGCCGATGTAGAGAAAAGCATTAATCACACCTCAACTTACTCGCCGTTCCTTGCATTTCTGACAACCTCCTTTAGATTTGGGCTTACACCGATTCGGGTTCTTCTGCCCTTTCTGTCGCGCAGACTCACTCGTGCGGGGCATTTTTCCGACCGAGAAAGCGAGTAGAAGTGGACAAGTTCTTTATGGGAAACGAATGCGCCTTATCATTGTCCGAACGACTTCAGGTGATCGGGCCGGATATCGCCTCACCGTTTTACCCCGCACATCACTTCTCGGATCCAAAGGAACCAGTGCTGTTGACACGCCCAATAACTTGGATTCTTGAAAGTCACCGCATCTTACGCCACCTGGCAACTTTGCTATCTTTCTTTGTCGCCCCACCGATTCGATGTCGTGGCAACACACATTCATCCACTGGCGTGTTTGACTTCCAGATCGGGGTATGGAACCCGCCAGATTGATACCACGAAGAGTGGACCACCCGTCGATCGTGTTCCTTCCCTAGACAAACGCCTTATTTTGTTGGATTGAGGTCTCGTGATGTTGCTGAAGATAAACAGTTACTGTTTAAATTCATGGCGCTATGTCACGGTGACCTTATACCGCCTCTTGAGTCTTGGCTCGATTTTACAAGGGAAATGCTACATAAAGATACAGTTCACCTGATCGCCCTAGTATCTAGCCTAACTTGACCTACTTAATCATCGTACATACGCAGGCTGCTAGTTCTTCAAAAGCACTAGTCAGTGTAAGTATTATGGAAACAAAAAGGTTAAAGCAACTCATGAAGGGTATATATGATGGCTATGTAGAATAGTCTGTTGCTATCTAACAGAACTCCCGACCTGACAATATCGCTCCGTGTGACCTGATACAACAGCCACAGCATTGGCCGCATTTAGGCGGGTACATATGCATTCAGGGGAAGGTGGAAAGCTTTGTGGCTGGATCTAGCGCGAATGTTATTTGCTAAAATATATACTATCGTACAGTGATTGGTCATGGCCATGCCAAGGTTTAGCAAATCAATATTAAATTGCTCTGGTTCGAGAAGAACCTGCTGACCATATTTTGGTTAGACTCTTCCTTCCATACTATTTCTAATTGACTCAGGGCCGTTGACATGATCCCCATTCCGAACTCTTTTACCAAACACTGTAGATAGGTACGAATCAGCATTTTGTGGTGGCTATGTTGAGCGAGGATCCCAAAGACAAAGAGAGGCCAAGTGGCCGTGGTGGCAATGGGTGAGGTTGGAGGCAAGCGTGCAAGCAGCGATTCGAGACTTTCAAAGGCGTGCTCAATGTTAATTTGTGCCCCATTACCGGCATTACCCGCAAAATGAGATTCCAAAAGTAGTAGGAGGCTTTGTTGATAAAGTTTTGCACAGGGGACCATGCCTGGTTGTTCGCTATACGGCTCCCAAGCTCTAATCCGAGCACTTATCTCATGGTATTGGATAATGAAATCCTTCCGGCGCAGCTCCGGGTCATGTGACATAAAGTCCCATAAGAGAGCCGAAACCCTCGGCACATATGTGAACATTTCATAAGCGCAGCCGCACATTACGCCATCAATGTTGGCAGGCGCTATGGGAGAATCGATCGAAGATATGGGTAGTGATGTGGGTGGGCAATTCGTTGTGAATGACGCAAGAGAAGAATGATACACGTATAGCTCTGTTGTTAACGATACAATGCTGGTCTGAGTGTGATTAAAGGCCGAGCGTACGGCATAGGCCATCAAGTGGTGCGCGCCGTCGAGGTGCCTTTGCATAGCCTTGTGGTCGGTACCTCTAGTAGCCTAAATGCATATAAGCAACATTTACAGGCAAGCCAGGAGTCCAGACCTACCTCTAATAAATAAAATATTAAGACAACTAGCAAAGCGCGCCAAGCTGCATCCATACTAGTGCCTGTACTGAAATCCGTTGATAAGGCAACTCTAAGCTGCTTCAATGCCCGATTATAGCTTGACCAGGTCAGAGACTGCATTTCCCGATCTAACTGAGGAAGTCGCTGCATCATATGTGCCCCAGACAGGGCCAGAATCGAATTCATTAGAAGCTCGTCATTGAGAGCAGCCGGGAGCAGTGTATGCAGGAACGGGTTTTGGCTGTCTTGCAAACATGACAAACGGTTGGCAGTGTCCTTCAGGTAATGATCTAGAAGTCGCCACGTCTCAGACACTGGCGGGATAGACCCCGGAAGAGCGAAGTTGGACGGACTCGATGGAATTGATCTAGTCGGGAAATTGGGATGTGCAACAAAGGCGAGGGTCCGCGCACCTTCAATTGCAGGTCGCGTGTCCAATGCCTGTAGTTGCGATGTCAATCCTCCCTGTGGACTTAAGTCTGGCCACAGACAGCCAAGACTATTGCGCAAACAGGCTGTGCAGATAGGTTTCTGTTCATCACATTTCTTCTTCCGACGCCTGCAGGACAAACAACCTGCGCGAGATCGAGCCCCCATGTCGAATACCAGGCAAAGTGACACATTCCTTCTGCTTTGAGGCGCTGCTCAAACGTTCCTTCAGGGAAATAGAGCTCTCCATGACAAATGCATTTCGGATCCCATCGAATTGGGCACTCTTTCTCCTCATATCCCCGCTCGACAGCGCCGTCACAACCGCCCACGTGATCGGGAACAAAGTACAATGTTTCAACAAAGACCCCTTGGGACAGCAAATGATTCTCTCCTGCAAGGGATGCAGATTGACAAAAAGGAACGGGCGTTGCCTCATGTGACCCCTCGTGAAGGTCAATCACCGGACTAAGATCAGCATGACCCCAACTTCCTGACCATGGGCGATTTGAAGTCCGTGCGAGGACAGTTCGCTGCGTTATTTTTAGCACGGATTTCTCTGCGCAAGAGCCGATGTTAAACAGTAAGTTTCACATTGGAATCCTGGAGCAGGTCCTACTCGGGATCTATATCCGGGGATCTATCATTTGAGACCGTGGGGGAGAGGGAGAGGGAGAGGGGGAAAAGGGGAAGATGACGATTTATCGCGCTAATGGCGCCAGCGATTACGGCGCGGATTAAACCAAAACTTCGAAAAAGTCCTCGAAAAAGCAATTCACTCGGTACCAATTGCTTGATGCATCGAATTATGAACTTGGCCACGAATGAGGGCATTTGGTTTATCAATCAATTCCAAATACAGAAGCTGGAGAAAAGAAGCAGGCTGGAATGACTAGTGCTTGGATGGATGCTGGTATATATTGTCTTCCTTGATCCAGCGTAAGTGACATTGAACTTAAGTTTCAGTCGCCTTTCAACCATCTTAAAACAGCCATGCCTTTCTCACGTTCACTTACCGTCGTCGGCTGCCATGCAGAGGGCGAAGTCGGAGATGTTATCACCGGCGGCGTTCTCGACGTACCGGGAAAAACCATGCAAGAAAAGCTCGTTCACATGTCCACCAAGAAAGATCACCTTCGGCAGCTTCTTCTCAACGAGCCACGGGGCCGAGCATCCATGAACACGAACCTCATTCTCCCACCCTGTGATCCGAGAGCCGATGCAGGATTCTTGATCATGGAAAGCGAGGAGTATGCTCCTATGTCCGGATCCAACATTATTTGCACCACAACCGTCCTTTTAGAGACCGGCATGATTCCCATGAAGGAACCTTTCACCAAAATAGCGTTGGATACTGCCGCCGGGCTGGTGACAGTCACTGCGGAATGCGAGGCCGGAAAGTGCAAGAATGTTGAATTCAATAATGTGCCGTCATTTGTCCTCGAACTCGACTATAAAGTCCCAGTTCCAGGCCTTGGAGAGGTGACTGTCGACATCGCTTATGGAGGCATGATGTATGTGTTGGTTGATGCCGCATCACTAGGCTTAAGGATCGACAACCAAGAATCTGCAAAACTCGTGGAGATTGCGGAACGCATCAAGCGAGCGGTTCAAGCGGTTTATACCCCGATTCATCCTGAAAATGCTGGTATAACAGGGTTTAGTGTATTGTCATTCACGGAACCTGTGACATCAGAAAAAGGTTGCAAGATTTCTGTCAATGCTGTGGTCGTCTCCCCCGGACGATTTGATCGAAGCCCCTGTGGAACCGGAACATCTGCCCGGCTAGCAATTCTGCATGCTCGGGGCCAGATAAAAGAAGGCGAAATCTTCAAACATCGCAGTATTCTGGGGACTGAGTTTATCAGTCGAATTCGTGGTACAGCGACAGTCGGGAAATATCCTGCTATTCTTCCCACGGTCAAAGGTCGGGCTTGGATTACTAGCTTCAAACAAGTCGTTTTAGATTCGACGGATCCATTCCCAGAAGGTTTTCGTCTTGGCGATCAGTGGCATACGCCACCGAATTAATAAAAGCATTGTTCGAATTAAATTTGACAAAGAAGACTAAATACAGGTATCATAACTTTAACGCTTCAAGGTTTATCATCGTATAGCATACAAGTCTTTGTACATCAAGACTCGGTTGCGAGAACCCGAGTCGCATCTTTCATTGTACCCGGCATGCCAGGGAAGTCGTATGACATGGACGGTGAGTATTGGGGAGTCGCCTCTACCTGTGGAGACACAAGAGAGTACTTCTTGCGCTTGAAAATGTAGAATCTGAAATAACCCAGCCATTAGTCATAGAGTCATAGTAAATAAAAAAAGGGAGAATGTCTTACCCAATTCCAAGGATCAGAGCCGCCAGGAATGGAACTCCCAAGCCAACACTTAACCCGATGATGAGCTTATTGCTAGTGCCATTTGTCGTACCATCAAGAACGCTGCTTCCACCGCCCGTTGCTGATGTAGTTGATGTGCTGGTTGCGGGAATATAGGACGTGGGAGATCCTGATGTTGCAAGCAGACTCCGCACATTCGTTCCAAATGGGATTGCGCTCGTGACAGAGGCAAACGTGTTAGCAGGGAACGTCGCCGAAGATCCCGATTGAACGGTGACTTCTGAAGTGACGATGCGCTGGTAAGAAGTAGTATTCTGCAGATTCACGGGACAGTTGATTATTCCCGAGGAGAGACAATTGACGATCGTGTAGGACTCAGTTGACGACACAGCTGCCGTGGAGACATCATCTCGTGCATTAAGCTCTGCCCGAGCAGTGATCATAGCGGACGTGGTTGATGATGCCTTGCTCGTTGCGCAGACACTAGCCAAGGTGGTATACCAGACAGGGACGGTGGTGTTGGGCGATGGACCCCAGGAGTACTCCTCAACCGCAACTGTGGCGCCAGCTGCTGCTCCAAATGCCATCGTGTATTCTGCAACGGCAGCTAATTCGCAGTCGCCATCATCTACCGCCGTAGAACCGTTGACTTGCAATAGAAAATCGGCCACGTAGGCAAAAACATCGGCCTCAACACCAGCGCTGAAGGTAAACACGTCTTCCAGGCTGCTAGAAGACATATCTACACCAAGGCTCGCCTTGAGGCTTAGAATAGCTTGCAAGGAGCCTTCACCAGCAATAGTGACAGGTAGAAACTCGTAAATTCCGCCGGGACTATCAAAGATATTCTCGGTCAGACAGATTTCGCGGTTTGAAGAATGCCAACTTACACAGAAATGCTTGACACGTTTGAATTGAACATCTCCAGATCAAAGCTCAACCCATCCTCGAGTTTGATATGAATGCCGCTTCCAATGTCGATCTCAGCATCAGCGATCAGGATCAAGTCCACGCTAAAGACCGCTCCCACTGTGAGACCTGGGACTCGGAATCCCTCAGGGGTCTCTGATGAGAATACGTTGAGCGTGTATGTGGCGCCTGCTGACAGTTTAATGTCAAGATCAAGATACAATTCTAAGTCGTCGAACTCAAAGTGGATCTGGGCCTCTGGAAGAGCAGCAACGTTGTCCAAATTGAAGACTAGATCAAGGGTCGGCCAGGAAGGAATGGCCTCAAGATCGAGATTGACGATGTCTTCAACCGCATCTTCAGCGACAGTTTTGACATAGGTTTCTAGCTGATCGATGGCTGTATCTGTGATATTCAAGATTTCGTCTCCGACGTTGTCAATGGCTTCGGTGAAGTTGAAGCCTCCGGTAAGTGTCAAGTCACCGGTGACTGAGCCATTGACATAGCAGGTAGAACATATGATTTCAATGGCTGCAGTCTGATCTAAAGTGGTATTTCCGTCGGTGGTGTAACTGAGAGGCTCTTAGCGATTTGTTTTCCGGCTAAGCTCGCACCCATGAAAAGCTCTCACCTTTCACCAAAGAGAAATAAAGTTGCGCCATTCCAGCTTTTGGCGAGAGAAGTTCTATTCATTGAATGCTTGGTATCGCGAGACTGTAGCGTTGCCTTATGAAGGGCACGCCCTATTGTATTAATAGTGTCTCCATCGGTCGTCCCTGGCGCATTTCGAGTTCGTAGTGCGGCATTTCCAGGCGCGAGAGCGTTAGCAAGACCCGATGAAGGAAACAAACAAAAGATTCCTGTTATAAGAGAGACAAGCATCTTGAAATCACCGTGCGACACAGAAGTACAAAGAACAAAGCTTATTCCACCTGCGACGCCCGATCTGAAGAAACAAGACATCTTTTAACTGAACAAGATACCCCGGGCTAGTAGATTCCCTAATTAGAGTCAACCCCATCCTAGTCCTCTAATATCTCTTATCTGGTCATGAGTTCGTGTTTGCGGGGACATGGCAGGGGTTGTGTGAGCCATTAAACGACGGTGCGTGTCTAGTTCGAAGCTGGTCACTGAGCTAGTAGGGAATAGAATCCTTCGACCCAGCCTGAGCTGTAATGGCCTCACACCAGCTTCATCCAGAGCGGGGAACATACGAAACTAGGTTAGTACCATGCGGCTTATTTTCTTACAAGCTAAATTTGATCGCGTAGAGGGTCGTAGAGGGCTGGTGTGTACCTTGGTTCGTGCGAGTGGGGCGACGCAGTCCTGTGCGGGCCGTTCCTGTGCACGGCACTCGTCCCAAAAAAAGACAAAGAGCCTTGGAGGTCTCGGCAGAGCAGAGGCGGAGCACATGCCTCTAGCCGATATTCGTTTGACCCACAGCCGCTGCATCCATCGTGGCTGGGCTAGAGCCATACATGTGGGAATTGAATGGGGGCTGGAAATAGCGTGCTTCGCGTGGGAACAGATGGTGTGGGGGCCGTTTTAGATGCACTCGCAGTATGAGTTGATGAGCCCGGTGAAATGCGACGGCTCTTCTGTCATAGAATGCACAAGTATATGGAAATTCTTGGCTCTGGGCTTGTCATCGAATGTGTGCTAGGTACTATAAGAGATGCAAATAGACGTTTTAACTTTTAACGTGTGCCCGGATGGTCTAGTGGTATGATTCCTGCTTTGGGTTAACATCCTAACTGCAGGAGGCCCCGCGTTCGAATCGCGGTTCGGGCCCTCCTTTCTTTTTGTTTATTTTTAACATTGATTTCCATGTCTCACTCTTCATGGAACTCACTGAGTATCATGTCGTACTCAACGTACGTGGAAATCAATTTGGAGTTGTAGATTATCATGACATGCCTCCATACGACGGTTTTGCGCGCGCGTGTAATGACCATCCGAGTAGATGGCGATGAGCACGTCTTCGATTTGAGACCAATTTCAGTTGTTTCATGTTCAATGGGTCATGAGCCTGCTAGACCTTGTCTTCTAGCAATATGAGGGAGCAAACTTCTGTTGCTCCTTCTCGCTCGGTCAGGCAGATCAGTCCTTCCTTGGATTAAATATCCACCCCAACCCAGCAATACTCTGCAGCCATTGCTTATCAATGATCGCGTCGGTTTCTCTTGATATTTGAGGGCCTCGTGGCGTTCCGAGGTGCTGGAGCCCCTAAATCATGAACCCACAGCCACCATCGGCACTGGTCACGCCGTTGAAGAATGCATGGTGATGAATATCCTACGGCTTCACTGGTTTCCCGAAGGTGAGACCACCAGCGGTAGTATAGCCAGTTATAAAGAGGTGGTAGGTTTCAACTCATTGAAGAGGCCTGGAAATAAGACTTGCTTAAATGTAAGTAGTATTGCGTGATATTGAAATATAACAGGAGGGTAGTACTCACGGTAGAAAGAAGTGTGCACTTGCCTAGAACCATTTGAGTACGGGGATGCAAACACCTTGAAAATCTCTGAGCACCTGGTTCGTGTCATCTTCTTGTCCCTGCTTTTCCTTCTTCCACCGTTTTCGTGGCTTCATTTTTCATCCTACTGCTTTCTGCCTTCTGCCTTCCTGCCTTTTTCTTGACATTAATTCACTTCCTCATCCACGGTCCGTATCGTGCATCTTTTTCCCCCTCGCATTGCGTATAAGAGCCAATACTGACTCTCGTTCTACCATAAAGCAAGTTCATCCCACATTTTCCAGACGGACGTACCAAAGCCTACGGAATGGATTCAAGCAACTTTGATGTTGCTATGCAGCTGTACCTCGATGATATTGCCAAAATCGAATCTACACAAAAGGGAAAAGGTCGTGCCGGGGAGCTGAGCGACAATGAATACGCCATCCAATGCATGAAAAACAACCTTTTGTCAATCAAGACTGCGAAAGATGATAGGAGTGTTGCCCTCAGCACGCTGAGAGCCGCCACCACTGATGCAAATGCTCTTGCTTTTATCAGGAAAGATGAAATCATTGCCCTGAGCGACCATCAATACGCCCTTGCCCTAGAACGCGGTGAGAACCCTGATTCGGCTCTCCCGAAAACCATGAAGCGTCAACAAAATATTGATACAGTTTCGCGCGGCATGGGATACCTAACCAGTCGGATGAAAGAAGAAGATCTGGTCGATAATTATGATGGACTCTCGCCTGTTGGAATTCAGAAGAAGAAAGTGACGTGCACCTGCTGCCTTGAGCAGCGAGAGGATATCGCTTTTTCTGGGAGATGTGGTCATCACTATTGCCATGACTGTACGCGAAGACTAATATTCTCAACTCGAAGCGAAGCCTTGTACCCACCCCGTTGTTGTGGACAGGTCTTACCACCCATCGTTGTTATTACGGTTCTGAGCTACGAGGAGCTTCGGGTGTTCAGCAACAAGGCAATTGAATACAACACGACGAGCCGAGTGTATTGTGCGGACCCCAAATGCTCTCAATTTATTCCTCATTATGCTATCGAGAAGGGCAATGCAACCTGCACAAGGTGTTCCAAGATCACGCATCAGCCATGTCTCTCGTTGGCCCACCCAGGTGTTCGTTGTCCAGTCAACGGCACACGCCGCGAAATCTTCGAGATGGCGAGGACGGAGAAGTGGAGGAGATGTTCTAAGTGCAAGAATATGGTTGAGCTGTCGCTTGGATGCAATCATATCACCTGCATGTATGCTTACTCCCCGCACTCCTCACCGCAGAAAGAGGTTTCAAAAACTAACATAACACCAGTTGTGGATATCAGTTCTGCTACGTTTGTGGATCAGTATGGGATACATGTGACTGTGCCCTGTGGAATGAGGAAAGACTTGTCGCTAGAGTGCGCGAAGAAGTGGAGAACGAGGTCGCCCCTGGTGCAAATGAGAATGTTCGACGGAGAGCTTTCAACGACATCTACCACCAACTCCAAGGTCACGAAGCAAACCCCTGCGAGCATCACAAAAGCTCTCAATGGATTTACTGCGAGAGAGGAAAGTTGAAGTGTGACTTTTGCGATCATCATGAACGACATTACATATTCAAGTGCAAGAATTGTCGAGTGAGGGCATGTTATCAATGCCGCAAGCATCGATTGTGATCGAATTATTCTGGTATGTATTCCGATGTATCGATAGTATTTCTGAAAGACATCCAGATTATTGCAAGGAATTTGAAATTCTTACTTTGCTGGGTTTAAGGATATTGGCACTAAGATAAGGAGGCATATGATTTTACTAGTTATTAGTTCACTAACTAGATGATCCGGCTCAGTTTGAAAACTTCTGACAAGCAATACTTGAAACTAAACCTATCAAGATCAATATTCATCTTAATCCAAGTACATATTATTTTTAATCAGAGGAACTCGAGTCTCAAAGCGTTATGCCTTATTTCCCGAATACATTTAAATGGACCCGGTCTGCATGTAGAGAGAGAGCTCAGAAAAATTGGATGAAACATGAGCTAGGTATGAAGAATTATACGGGCAGTCGCATCGTATGATACTGGTTTCAAGGGGTACGAGTCGAGTTTCGATATTCGATCCAAATCAAAGATTCAAATACATACACGTAATATATCTAATTACACCATACCTGTACCAATATAATTACATATACCGCGGCTGTGTTACGACCAGTATTACAACCGTTTTTCGGTAATATACGGGCAAATGGGGGCGGGTACCGGCCAAAAAAGCAACATGGCGCTAGGTTTAGTCCAGTCGCCAGGGTAATTAAAAATAGAGCTTAAAAAGCAATAATTCCCCAGGAAGGTGTCCACTTCCGCCATTCAGTATCATCTACAATGGTCTACCTCTTGTCCTCGCTGGGCATTGCGACGGCCTTGATTGCAGGGCTGTGGTTCGTGCGACGGAGCAGCCCACCCCCAGCACGTCCTCTGCCGCAAAACCCCCTGAGACCAAACCCAGTGGTAGAAAAGCTCACCACAGCACTACCGGATATTTTAGTATTGCGTTACGATACAGACGCCTTCCGCCAGTCCATCGACGGCTACTGGGCGCAGCAAGAACGCGAAGTAGCGCAAGCGGCTATCATCCAGCCGCGTAATGCTAGCGAGCTGAGCAAGGTCATAGCTTTCCTTAAAAAGGAGTATGATACGCGATGCGTGCACAAAGAGAAGTTTGATGATGTGTTGTTTGCTATAAGAGGTGGTGGTCAGTCTCCGGTTGCTGGTAGCGCAAGTGCTAATGGGGGCATATTGATTGATCTTTCTCTATTTCGTGAGATCACGGTTGCGGAGAAGAGACAATCAGTCGCCATTGGAGCTGGATGCCGGTGGATTGATGTCTCACGAATCCTGGATGAAAATGGTTTGAGCGTGGTAGGAGGCAGAAGCTCTGAGGTTGGAGTGGCGGGTTTCACGTTGGGGGGTAAGCACGTCTTTTCTACTTTTATTGGGTTTGTTTCTGACAGTTCGTATAGGAGGTATCTCTTTTTTTACACCTCAATTCGGTCTGGGATGCTCGAATGTGCTGGCATATGAAGTCGTTCTCGCCTCTGGAGAGATAATTACGGCTACTGCTTCGTCCCATTCCGATCTTTGGCGGGCTCTAAAAGGCGGCTCAAACAATTTCTGCGTCGTCACACGCTTTATAGTACGCTGCTTCTCGTCCACTGATATATGGTTTGGGTCTCTGTATGCCCCAAGCTCTCAGTCCCCAAAGGCACTACTTGCCGTCCACGAGGGTGCCAAACGTGCTGATCCGAAGATCAGTGGGGCGGATATCGATCTTTTTGCCGCGGGAGCCATTACCTGTTTTACCTATGTCCAAGGATTAGGAATTCGAGTGGTCACGGCTTATCTAGCCTACACCAAGCTACCAGAACAACCTGGGCAATGGCCAGTCTACTGGAAGAAGTCAGGATTCGCAAAGCTCTGGCGCGTCTGGAGCTCTTTCAAAGTCCACACTCTGACTTCTGCGACGAGCGAACTGAACAGCCTTTCTCCACCTGGCAAAAGATGGCATTTTGATACGACAACCATCAAGAATGACTTGCCCACTATTATGGCTGCCCACGCCGTCTTCGAAAACTCTATTGCCTCACTGCCCAAAATAAAAGGTTTCTACTATACAATTAACATGCAACCGCTTCTGCCCTCCTGGGTTGAAAAGGGTGACCCAAGTCCGCTTGGCATTGCCGAGAGCACCAGCGACGCACTCATCATCATTAGTTTTTCGTTACGTTGGGACCGAGCAGAGGATGACAGCCCGGTATTCAATACGACACGAGGGGTCATCGAGCAAATTGATGCAGTTGCCACGGAAAAAGGAACAAGTCATCCCTATCGCTATCTGAATTATTGTGCCAAATGGCAACGGCCAATGGAAGGGTACGGAGAGAAAAATCTCAACTTTCTGAGGGATGTTAGCAAGACATATGATCCAGACGGACTTTTCCAGAGAGGCTGTCAAGGGGGTTTCAAGCTAGAGTCGCGCGTGTAGAGACCCAGGGCTATCTTCTTGTGCACATTAGGCAATGCTGATGGAATAACATTGAAGGCTGGAGTAATAGCCTAACTAAAAGAAGAATATAAAGTGCGTCTACTTGACGCATTTTACCACGCATGAAGAGAGTAGTATAAAGGTAGCAAGGTAAAATAGCATTGGAATGTTGCAAGCACTGCAGTCACCTGAAGCCCATAAAACCTCTATAGCTGAATATTCAGGTCGTGGGTTTCAACCTTATATAGTTCGAAGGCGGTATGATTCGGAGTCTGACTCTGAACTGGCATATCCACCCCGCTATCATTTTTCTGATAGCTCTCTTGATTAACGCTGCCGTTTTCACGCTGACTTCCATTAGAGTAATTTGCCCTCGAATGGAAAAACCATCGCTTTGAAGAATCGAAACTTTCGTATTCGCGAGTACTGCGCGGCTTTTTCAGCTTTGTATAAAAAGTGAAGAAGGATAACCCGGAAACGGCCGCGAGTGCTAGCACAGAGTTAGTATAGGAAACCCAGCGAGTGAAAATCAAAAACCTACCAACTAAGACCTCTACCACATTCCAGAAAACGAGCCAAGCAGGATTCATGATGCCCGTTTCTCCAACGCTGAGAAATAGCCGTATCAACGAGATCACGATGATGAATGCGGTCAAGAAGCTCACTGCGACCAGGCCTAGCTTCTTCGGTCGATTTACCTTCGCCCTCCACATGACATTACCAGAGAGAAGAATGACTGCGAGCAAACAAGGTAAAGATTGTCAGATTGCTGTAGAGCGCAAGCTTGGAAATGGAAGAGGAAACATACTAGCAGCATCAGAAACAATGTCCATAGATGTAGCTACCTTCAAGCTCACACGCTCGTACCAGATGGAATGCGCACTCGAGCAATTCACTACCAATGATCGAATTAGCCTCGCGATGACCGTTTATGTCCAGAGAGAACTGACCGAGACTGTCTTCCAAGCTTTTGCTCATTTCACACGGGTAATCTAACATACCCAGCGTCACCCCATAGGATGCAATGACGAACGCCAAAACAGCCCACCAAAGGATTCGTTGGAGGCGATAGCGATTCCCCAAGTGTTGGAAAAAGAACACAAACGAGAGTTTGATGAGCCACAGACTCGTATAAGAGATCAGATACCCAGCTAGCTGCCCTCGAAGATATCGCCTCTCGATCCACTCGATGTTTAACGGAAGATCGGCGAGACTGATCGTGCCTTTGCTCACAGCCATTATATAGTATAGTTGTTTGTAAATGACAGTCCATAGAATGCCATTAGCAAGGTACAGAATCCAAGCAGCCAGCACCAGAAAATCGTCAGTGCGCCATCGACGGTCGACTCGATACTGGAGAATCAATCTTGTGACCACAAAACAGGAGCCGAGGACCAGGCAGACCCATATCACGGCCTGAAAGGATCAGCCACTCGTTCCAGTAAGATTTGTGAAGGAATGGAAAGAGCCAAGTCCCCAAGACTTACCACGAATCCGGCCTCATTAATATTATTATTGCTCATGTCTCTTGGTCTTTGCTGACGCAGGGACAAAATGAGATGGAGGAGCAGAAAAGAATTCCGCGAATGGCATATATGGGATTACCTGAAGAAATGGCCCCAGAGTGCGTGGGGCATCCGAAGAGATCGTTGGTCAAGGCTGAACCCCATTGTAAGGTAGTCGGTTGCAGATGACGCATGGTGCAGGGTCTTGAGGAATTGTCATCCTTTGGGGGCTATTCGTGGGGGTCTGTGCTATGGTCTGGTTCGGTGTAACGCCAGCTTATCCCGGGGCCTCATTGGCGGACATGCAGACGCGGACGCAGTAACCAGTCGTGGACTTCCCGACTCAGGTAAATGATGCAGCCGTATATGCAGATGCAGGCGCCGCCGTATGTATTACCCCTCTAAAAATACATTGAAAAATACCTCTAGTAAAGCCGCTGAAATACAATTGAAATACACATTCCTGCAGATTGATCTTGTCGCTTGGGCTGTTTTCTGATGCTAGATCAGCATTTTTCTTTGTCTTTTCTTCCCTTTGTTTGGTTTTCTTTTCAGATTTCTTTTACTTTCGGATTATTTGTGGCTTGATCATGAACCCCATATCTTGTTATGGTTATCTAACATAAGCCTAAATCCTTCCTCCGAAAGCTTAACGGGTGAGGATTGATGGCTGTCAGGGCTGAAACAATCTCGGGATCTCTGGACGGTGACCCGTTACGTGCCTTATACAATTTGGCCCCCAACTAGCCCAACGCCAACGCATTTGGGGCTGAAATGCCTTTGACTAAGGAATCTAGACCACTCGCACAGCAAGGTGTGACAGAAGACAAAGAAAGAGGCCAAGGATAAGGTGGGGAAGAAGTTAACCACCAGGAATTAGCCGAACATCTTCTTGATCCTCAATATCCAGCTAAAACTAGTGCTTATTTTTCTCTCGACATCTCTTTTTCCGTCTCGACCTATACCAGTGACGTCTTGCGAGAATGCATCCCAATCCTCTATTTCCCGTCGCTGTTCAAACAGCTCTGGTGGTGACCACTATCGGATACACCTCGGCTCAGTCTCCACTAAGATTAGGTGTACTCGTTCTGGTTGCATTGTGCACTTGGAATTGCCTCAATACAGCATTGGAATTCTTTGTTCGACTGCCATGGGCCAGCCTTGTGGGAGGCTACTCCGTCATGCTATTATTTCATTATGTCGATATCGGTCTACTGACTCGATGGGAATTCAATTCATCCACTATCGCGTCACCTACTTCTGATGGAAAAGTGACAATGAGCCAGCCGACCTGGGGAAATCAATTGCGCTTTGGAATCTGGGCAGCATTCAATGCGCGGTGCCTTGGTACATCCGAGCAAGTGAGGAACATCCCTCAGTTCTCTGACAAAGATCCAAATCATATCCCATCTCGGGCGGCCTTTCTTCGTCGTACCGCCCGAATCGCGGCTCTCAGCTACCTAGGTATGGATCTTCTCAGCTCAATGAGTGATCCCGAAGTCGGGAACCGCTTCTTAGTTCCCTCTCGAGTGCCATTCTTCCGGCGACTGGGGAAGTCACGTGGGAGGAGGTCATTATCCGAAGTTTCAGTACTATTGCAATAGGCGCAGGGCTTGTTTGCAGTCAGGGCGGGATCTATAACATCTTTGCCTTCATTAGTGTTCTGACTGGAATGAGTGACCCGTCTGACTGGCCTCCCTTTTACGGATCTCTATCGGATGCATATAGCCTCCGACGTCTGTGGAAGTAAGTTGGTTGCTTTGAATGTAGAACGATGCGGTGATCTTTGACAACTAACATGAATAGTCGCACTTGGCACCAATGTAACACGCATAAATTTCGCCGCATATCCTCTTTTATTGTACAAGACGTCCTTCAAATCAAATCGACGAGTCCAGTGTTCGGTTACGCGAAGATCATCTTTGTTTTTTTGACTTCTGCCTTGATGCACTATCTGATCGACCTCTCCATCGGATTTTCAGTATCAAACTCTGGCGCCATTCCATTCTTCTGTACCCAGGCTCTAGGGCTCATTATCGAAGATCTTGTAAGCAGCACCTATTTCTCTGTTCGCGGTATCACAAAAGATCAGCCAGCTACCCGGGGCCAGAAAATGCTCGGGTACATTTGGGTGGGGGCTTTCTTGGCCTGGTCATTACCAGCTTATGTTTATCCGATGCTTTATCGAGGCAACTTAGGCCTTGATGACGCTGTTACTCCAGTCAGTATCGTTCGAATATTGAAGGACTTGACTGGGCCACTTCGGGTGGCACAAAAGTCCTAGCGATCAATAATCAGAAAAAGCTTTGAGTGCCACTCGCGGTTTCCTTTTTTTGTTATTTTTTGTTTATTTTTCGGACTCCGAAAAAAAGCGGATAGGGGACTTAGTTCCAGTACTCATTGCAGCCATAATGGCCTTTTCTCAGCCAGGCCATGTGTATCCACACTTTCCAAAATAAATACTCTTTCTGAGGACTCAAAAAGGCTGTAGGGCTGTTGCCGTCCCAGTTGCCGAGGAAGATCTGTACTTCGTAGATGGCGTTGCAGACAAATCAATGCATGGAAACTTCCGGTATCAGCAGCTAAGACCATTTGTGCCGGTCCAAGAGATCTGCGGGATGTTTCTCAAGATAGCGCAGTACTGTGGGGTCTGCAGGTGGCGTATTGTTATTCTTGCTTCTGCTGCAGTTTCGTTTGCTTTGGGAAGGTGGCGGAGCATCAAGGTTGTAAAGAGCCAATCTGAGGAGACCACGATGCACGAGCTAATGACGCGTCAGATATCTTGACGCCGGGACTAACCTGGGTAAAGCCGCAATGCAGGGGCCAAAAATGGACGTTATCACCCGGAACGCCTCGTATGTAATGTCGCTTAGGACCTGTAACTTTGTCCGGGTATAATTACTCGTATACAGCACCGACGGTAAGGTAATGGAAATCACGTCAAAGTTTCGGCCGGGTACATGGAAAAGGGTCCAACGGCGCACCAAAAATGTTTGCTGCAGCAAATCGGAAAATTAAGAGGACAATATAGGTCAAGGGATTTTATCAGTGTATTCAAGTTAGCTACCATCTCCCCGCGCTTGAGAAAGGTGGACAATGCCCATGTGAACCACAGCTCAAACGTTTCCCATGAAGAGCCTCCACTTCCATACAGTTGCGCTGAATCAGTGGGCTGATCGTCAGAACCAAGTATACTTCCTCCAATCTCGATATATTTTACGTGTATTTAATCAACTGAGAAATGGTAGACCGAGCTCTTGCAGCCAATAACCATTGAGCGACGGGATTGCACTTGGAGGCCCTAATTAACTGGGCGCGCAATTTCTATTTATGAATAATTCCCATGGACCATTCACACGTTAGCGAGAAGGCACTAAGCCTCGGGGATTTAGGCGAAATAAATCGCCTGTGGGTTTAAATAGAAGCTAACGGGCCCTACAAAATTTGCATGATTGTTTATGGGATTTATTGATTCTACTACAATACTCATCAGATTCGTAATGCTTGCAGTTTGGCTCAATGATAGCCAGTCATTTCTATGGCAGCTATGGCAACATGCGACGGTATCTTACCTACTCGGCGCAATTGCTTTCTTATGGTGGTCAGCTACCCTGCTCGCAATGTATTCCAAGCGACCGGTAAAGGAATCCTCCTCTCCGAATACAGTGAACGATAAGCTCTAGACTACTGACTGGAGTGAAAGGAGATAGAGTGGGACATACATAGGGGGTACATCCATTCTGCTAGGCAGGTGGCTTCCAAGCCTAGAGTTCGTTTTTGATGGATCAGGAGTGATTTGCAGTCTATATCAAAAAGTAATTATCTTGGTTATATTCTTCACTTTGAAGTCGTACTAATGCTGGTATAGCTGGGTGGTGGTAAATCATTTGCCATTCCTGCATTGGGTGAATACCAGGTTCTGGTATCATCTGAGCAGGATATTCGAGAGTTGACTCGAAGCTCCGAAGAAGTCCTCTCTTTCCATGCCGCCATGCACCAGGTAAGTTGTTCGAGAACTCTTTCTGGCAGAATTGGAACATTGACACAGCCATAGAGAATCAGGCACGAGCATACTATATACGGGTTTCAACATAACGATGTGGATCCAAACAATGATATTCCTAAGCGAGTATTAAAAGTTTTGCTACGCACGAAGTTGCCGGAAATGCAAGAGGGTCTGCAATCCTTGATCCAGGATACTATTGCACATGAGCTACATGACACCGGAGTCGATGGTAAGATAATCTCAGCATGAGAAAAATAGTCGCTGACAACCGTCTTCAGGGTGGAGTGAAGTGAGCGCTCTGGGACTAGCGAAACTTTTGATTGTGCGACTGAACAACCATGTCATTCTGGGGTCCGACTTAGGTGAGATGAGGCAGTGCATGGATGTTCGACTGGTTATTAATGAGCTCCTAGGCAATAACGAGCAGCTCGAAAGAGATACAAGCCAGTATTTGCAAGACGCTGTGGTGACCATGGAGCTGTGTCGTCATGTGCCATCCATTTTAGTCCCGTATGTTATACCGTGCTTCTTTCAATTTGCCTCACTAACAAAAATTTAGGGTGATAGCACCGATTATGATGCGCTGGACCGGAGCCATGCATCGCGTTGGAAAAGCTGTCACCTTGGAGATTGAGAAACGCGTTCATGAGAACCAAAACTCAATTGAATCAAAACACATAAGAAACGTGACTTACTCTTAAACAATCACTTCGTTGTTCTCTACTAATGTGCTAGCAGGACTGCATTCAATGGGTAATGGAGTCTTCCAAAACCGCCGCACAGCGGACAGTTTCCAGAATGACTCAACAAATGTTTGGATTTTTATTCGCCTCGGCGCATCAGATGTCAATGGTGAGATCTCACCTAATTGACTAAGGGCTTGTTCTCACTATTTTATTTTATAGGCTCTGGTATATGCAATTATTGACTTATGCCTTCATCCTGAATACATCGAGCTCCTTCGCGACGAGATCGAGCAGGCGAAAACCAAAACCAAGTTTGGTCCAAACTTTGATCAAATGCCTTTGCTAAATGGTTTTCTCCGCGAGTCGTCCCGACTTAATGCCATGGATGCGTGTAAGTTGTATCTTGATGCATTGAATTCTGTTGTTACAGGCTGACCACGACAGTGACCATCCAACGTATGGCCTTATCGTCCTACACATTTGCTGGTGGTACCCACGTCCCGGCCGGTAATCTGGTCGCTGTTCCTCAGGTAGCAGTCATGCAAGATTCAAATCATTATTATTCCCCAGAGGAATTTAATCCATATCGGTTTGTGGATGTAGATGAGACAGATGGATCGGTGAGAGGTTTCTCGAAACATACTGACGTGCGTTGGGATTATCCATATTGGGGGTCAATGAAGCGTCCATGGTAAGATTCAGAGTACTTTTATTGCGGAACCTAGCTGACGTTGATAGTCCCGGCCGATGGTATGCTTCGAGGACAATAAAGCAAATTCTCGCACATCTTGTCATGGAATATGAGCTTGAACTAGTGGATGAGAAATCCCCGAGGAGTTTTGTATGGACAACAGCGGTTGTGCCACGGTCAGGGGTGATGCTGAGGATAAAGAAGAGACAGTGACTAGGGAGCATCAATATTCATCCTAGTATTCAAAGAGGACTGGTCTATAGAACCTTCAAAATCGTCAATGAGCACCGTTTAGGAATTCTCTCTTCCATTTTCAGCTAAGAGAAGTGGATACATTTTGAATTTAAAGCAGCCATAAACATGGCTAGTCCGACTGAAAACAGTAACATCACAGCATTTTAAAGTCCAAAGGGATAGGTTTCTTCTTTTCCAAGAGCTGTTTTGGGTTGAATAACCTCCAACGGCTTGACAGCCTCTGTCCGATCGAACCAGACATATCCGTCAAACTGCTTATGGAGAATTGCTTGAGAGTAATGAGATGCCCTTTCGGTATCAGGTCTGTAAATCACACCAATAAACCGCTGCAGACGGATTTCTTTAGCAAGACCAGCACGGAGGGTGGAGTCAAGGTAGCCCCGTCGAAGATCGAGAAGAAAGCTCGGCACGCCAGTATCGTGTGCGATTATCTCCCAACTATCTTCTCTGGAGGGACGAACGTCCATGATCTGCATATCCTCGTCCCATTCATGAGCTGCAGCAACGGTGCCCGTGTGGGTACCACAACCAATAATCGCAACGTTCTCTCGACCCAATCGCTCTCTGCACAATTGGCCAATATTGAGCTCGTCGCGACGTATTCCCATGCTTGTGTAGCGAGCATCCCCAACGTGCGAGTTATGAGCCCACACGACCGCTTTGTTCTCTGGTGGTGGACGGTGCTGCAGGATACGTTGTAGAGTGCTGAACATGTGCGTATCTCTCAGTGTCCATGAACTAGCCTCACTCCAATACATGGCCTTGTAGTATTTCTCCGCATCACGCACGAGATAGGCATTCTGTTTGCCACTGTGATATTCATCGCGGTCTTGGTAATCCTCTGTGACATATTCTAGTCGTTTCTCCAACAGGTCTTGCAAGATGTGCAGCACTTGCTTCTCGCAGTCTTTTATTCCATGAAGGGCAGCCAGTCCATACTCGATTGGCTCCTCTGTCCACGGCGCAAGACATCCATATCTTTTACGTGCTTCTTTGCCCGCTACCGGGTCCACGCTGTCGAGGTAGTCGATCACAGCTCGAATAGAGGCTCCCATGCTATATAGATCCAGACCGTAGAAGCCAACTCGCCTGTTTGGGGGTAGATCTTTGTTCCAATTGCGCATCCACTCTACGAGATCTTGCATCTCGCGGTTGCGCCACATCCAAGTTGGGAATCGCTTGAATGGCTCGAAGCCGCGCGCTGTGCCGCCGATCTGCGCTTGTGGACCTGTTCGCATGCGCACGTATCTGTCGATTGCCTCGGCATCGGGCCAATCTGCTTCGACAGCGACCATGGTGAAGCCATGTTCCTTTATGAATCTTTTCGTGATCTCGGCCCGTGCGGTGTAGAACTCAGATGTGCCATGGCTGCCATCGCCGAGAAGTACAACTTGTTTGTCGGCAAATCTGTCGAAGTAAGATGCGAAACTCTTGTCCGCAAGTCCCGGGAGTGGCTCTATAGCTCGATTGAATAGGTCTTGTAGCTGTGACATGGGTGTCGATAATCTCCAGAGAGATCCCAAGCGCATAGAGCAAGATACTGGGCCTACTTGAAATCTCAGAATATGTTAAATAGAAGTTAAATTTCTCCATCTATGAATTTTTGGCAAAATATTAGCTGCTCCGGAGCGATCCATTTCATGAGATCAGACTGAGTAAGGAACTCAGTAATGATGACTTCACACCAACCGTCGGCGACCCAATCAACGGTCACGTTTTCCGACAAACATATCTTTTAGCATACTGCAAGACGAATTTATGATTATATTGCATCCAAGGTGGTATTTAATACATCTCACATCCAGGAATATTCAGGGTTCCTTAATCCGCGCGAGTACGCGATCTTCTTCCCAAAGAGGAAGTATGGCTCTCCCGATCAGTAGTCCCTCCCCGCGCGTGGACCGCTTCCAGCAAGCCATGGAATCGGTGTACGGTAGCTTCAGCCTCATAGAAGATCCCAAAAACTGGAATCCTCCTTTGAAATCAGGCGGGCACCGCGGTCGGTACCTATGGACTGATGCATTCGGCGTCGTCAACTTATTGACCATGCATCATGATTATTGTCGTGCAGACGGGAGAAACGGCTCTGATGATCGATACATCCAACTTGCCCGGCGGCTCATCGAGACTGTCCATGATATACTAGGTCGCACAAGGGACGGTTTATCTCGGTTGCCAGGAGCCACTGAGTCGAATCCTCTCGGTGGAGGATTACGAATCGGGAAGACGGAAGAGGATGGACGCGATTGCGACGGGCAGTATCATCATTATCTGACCATATGGATGTTTGCATTGAATCGAATGGCCATGGCATCTGGTGATATGGAGTACAATCGTCAAGCTGTCAATCTGGCACGCGCAATCCACCCCAAATTCTTCGTGAATCGGTCATCGGCACAACCGCGTATGGTTTGGAAAATGTCCATGGATTTATCGAAGCCGCTTGTCTCATCTGAGGGAAACCTGGATCCCATCGACGGGTTCGTTGTCTTTCGCATACTCCAGGCCACGGCTGCAAATGCCGGTGATGGAGAAGTATTGGTGGAGGAGATCGGGGATTATAAGCGAGTAATGGAGCGGAAGGGGGAGCATTTTGTTTCCAGTGATACCTTGGATTTGGGTATGACTTTGTGGACTGCGCATTGGTTCTCTGAGAAAGAAAATTGGGCCACGAATCTCTCAACGAGATGCTTTGAGCAGTTGTGTGCGTTTTCCAACCAGATCTCGGAGGATGTTCGTGCTAATGCTTGTTCGTGATAGACAATCTATTCGAGACTGATCGGTACCTTGCGCGTAACATCAATTCTCGCTTGGCCTTCAGGGAGTTTGGAACGTGTATGGGAAGCCAGTGTCAGTCGCAACAGACAACTGACAAAGAACGGGCGGTTGACTTGAAGACATGGTCTGATGCTATCATCGCTGAATGGGATCCATATATGGACTTGTCCATACATGATGAATACACACCTGAAGACCTGCGACCTATCACTCGTGTGATGTATGCATCGGCATTGAATGCAGGTGGTATGATCTCTCCATATACCAGAAGGCGAGGAACATGATTTGCTAACTCTTTGCTGTTAAGCATTCTGTGCTGGGTATTTAGGCCACGAGCCTCCGGCCTTGCACACGTAACAGAAAGAAGCATATTCTCTATTGTTTGTGACACGCAGAAGATTAATTTGAAGATATCTATCAGTACACTGGAGCTCTTTGTCTAGGAGCACTTCTTCGATTTTGTGAACGAATAATGCAATATATCTTCGAAAATAAAATATGCAAATCAGAAATGCTAGTCGGGGTAATTTACGCCCCTGGTAAACCGACAATACCCCTCCAAGGGGCCAATGACCTTGGGAGTATGTAAATGACATATACAGTGCTCAAGGCAACAAATAAGCCAGACCACTGTGGAAAGAAAACGATTATTAGCAAAAAATACCAGCAGAAGTCCCGCATCAGATGAAACTCACCTTCTCCAGCCATGTATGAAACCAGATGGCGGTCATGAAGAGCATCCACCAACCCAAGCCTACAACTCCCCAAACAAAGCGCAGCGACCACGTCCTTGCTAGCGAAGAGCCACCATCTTGCTCGCGCGTCTGAATATCATTGGGATCGCTCCCCTTGCGCTCGCGCGAAACATCTCCATCCACACGAGAACCAAGCGAGAAGGCACCAACGCCAATTGCCTCGAATGCGAGGAGTGCCGTGGTCAAGACCAGCATGAAAACATGACCACTGATGTCATGACCACCTCCCCATGCCCCACCCGCAGCTTTACAGGCAGCAGCCGAAAACACCGTCTCCAGCTGGGTAGATGGACTCAAATTCGTGCTCGCCTCTCCTGCCTGTTTTATGAGCTCTTGGCATTTCCCGCCCGTGATCACAAAGCTGCGATCAATAATGGCTGGGCCGAAGAACCACTGCGTCATCAGATACCAAACTGTCGTCGCGATTGCGTAGCGGACAATAGCCTGAATGGTCCGGCGGAATCGGATTTGCTGTTGTGACTGGGGAAGCGAGGCAGAGTAGTGGAAAGCCGGTTGTGCAATGAGAAGCGAAGCAAATGCGAGGGTTGTCCAGAGCCATCCTATCTTTACGAAGTAGATGTTGAAAATGTTGTTCTTTCGCGCAAAATAGTTGACTGGACTCTCTGATATGTGTAGGTCGGCGGCGAGGGAAGGTGCCAAGGCTCCTGCTGGCTGAGAAGACCGGGGCGGTCCTCTTGAACCTTGAGCAGTTGGTGAGATGACTGAGAATAGGGATCCCAAAAGCAAGGTCGCGGGGTATATAAAGAGGACGGCCGGGGAGGGGGGAGGTCGGGCGGGTGTAGGTGTGGCCATTGTTGATATTTTGTGAGACCCTAGTCGAGGCAGCCTCCTAGGGCCAGATGAGTTTGAGTAGTAGTTGTAGAATTGCAGAATATAGAGGAAACTAGGTCCGTCTCATGCCTCGTGGAATTGAAAGGTTCAAAGTCGTGATAAACAGGGAAAGTGTAAATGCTATGACAAGTGAAGGATGACATCAATTTCGCCTGCCGAGGCATGCACTTGACGCCTCAGGCACCGAGGCTCACACTTCTACCAACATCAAGTACTAGAATCGAAGACTTGTTTAAAGAGCGCCCACACAGCCATTTGCGGCCGTTTTATGAAGGGTACATAAAATTATCCCAGTCTGGTCATGGGCTTTCTTAAAAGCTAAAAGAAGCCTAACCAGGATATGTCAGAATAACATCCCGGCTACCCGCATGTGCTTGCCGGCTGAGTATCGCCATAGATGGACCTTATCCAGACCCCTACTTCATACCGAGGGATAGATCGCTTCCAGCCTACCATATGATATCCTTTGTCTGTTCTCTAGCTGTTTTATATGAGCGTTTCTATGCAAAAGATAGAGAAAGTATAACCCTAGGGGTTTGAACCCAGTCTTGGGCCATCTTTCGTTATATTGAAAGAGCCCGGGAAGAAGCATTAAAGAAATGCAACCATAATATTTTCAGCGGGCTCAAGACAGACTCGGAAAAATGGGAAGACCGTGCTGTGACGTGGACGAAAAGAGTTCGTAACATGTTTGCTATATCAAACAAGAACTTATAGAATTCACGCTAGGCGGACCCATTTCCTCGACTCTAAGTATGCATAAAATACCTTATCGCCCGAGTGATGTGTTATGATTTTATACCAACTACTCCACAACATAAAGATGAACAAGCCCGTCAATAGCGCGCTAGCGGCACCAAATATTAAGAACCTTGACGCAACCAATTAAAAAACGAAGATCAAAACAGGTTACGAGTCCTTTTTGCAGAAATTCGACAATGCCCGTACAACCATGTGTCAAGCCAGCGAGCACCCACGTAATTCGCATGCGGTCCATGGGTAGCGAGCAAGTCGGCGGGGGCAAAAAAACGACCACGGGTGCATTGAGTTACAAAGGTCGGACTTGGTGCGGTGTTCATCTCCGCTTTTAGTGGCTACGACCCAGAATGCCGGGATTGCATTTCCGCCCAGTTTCTGCGACAAGGACCACACCGTATGCCAAGAGGACTTTGGGACTTGAAGCGAACCTCCCGGATGCCCCGGGATTCGTGGGCCAGGGGAAGATATTGGAGTAAGCAAGTTGAACCTCCGAGGCTCACCAAATAAAGGCCGAAAAGCTTAGCGCTTCAGTAATGGTGAACGAACTTGGTAATCTCGAAACCGTACAGTTGACCCACCGCGGCTGATGATTGGGGGAAACTTGGCCCCCTTTTCAATCCTGCGGATCTCATTACCGTTGACTAATGATCATGAAGTATTCAATACGCTAGCCCTTGCCTCCTTCCTAGAGGGCTATGTGATTTCCATGGGGCCAGAGCCGAGCCTGACCCGCCCGGTTGGTACCGCAGTGAGTTTTCTCGTGTTAGTGCGCACAGGGACCACTTATTTGGCGATGATACATCAACGGGTGAATAGCGTAGATCCCGACGCTCTGGGTCTTTCCCAGTTATCGTACGGATCATAAGACTGGAGTCGGTGTGGCTGTTGACGCTTTTTGCCATTTTCACTCCTCCATCCCTTCCATCGCTTTTCCTTGAAATCCCACTCGCGTATTCCCAGGGGAATCTCAGGGATGCAGCTCAACACGTCGGATAGCTCCAATAGCTCTGGGTTTATTGAGCCTGATGTTAGTCGCTTGTGGAGATTGGAGTTTGAAGAGACTGTCAATTAACAATAAACAGGTTTCCGACAATGATTCAGCATATTTCGGCTCGTGAGTATGGTGGCCAATGGATGTGGCGCTTGTGCTAACGCTCTCTTCAGGGAAAAGAGCTATACCCAGAGCATGACGTCGAGTGCTTTAAATTACCAGTATGTTTTCCAGAACCTTTGATATGAAGCTAGGTTACCCCGCAATATGGTTGCTGATCGGATAGATATGAGGTACAAACCGTCCTGGTCCCCCATCTGGGCCATTCGCTTAGTTTTTAGAACGGTCGCAGATATCATTCCTACCACGAAGGGGAATATGTTCTTGTACGTGAATCTTGTCAACCTTTTTTTGTTTAACTTTGACGTAACAAAAAAAAAATATCAAACTAATCTTGGATCTAGCCGAATGATGAGCAAGAGCAGGACCGCCTGGACCTGGTTAGTTCCCGCGCAATGTGACATCATTTATGATTGATATTGACAGCGATTTACAGAGTCATCATATTTATTTAATGCTCCTGAAAGGAGAATTGCACAGAGCTCCAGTCAAAGACCCTCAAAGGGTGCTTGACATTGGAACAGGCACGGGGATCTGGGCAATTGACTTTGCAGAGTAAGCCATTCCAACCCTTTCTCCAGCAGTCATTACTGATACAAAGAAGTGAAAACCCCGGTGCTGACGTTATTGGTATGACGCTTAAAAACCCATTGCTGCACCTAAACCGAGACTAAACTCAGCAGGAATTGACCTCAGTCCCATCCAACCGTCATGGTACATAAAACTCACCAACAAAGCCTATACCAACAAAGCTAACGTTTTCAGGGTACCATCAAATTGTCGCTTTCAAGTTGACGACTTTGAAGAACCATGGTCTTACAGCCACCCATTCGACTACATTCATGGACGCGAGCTCGAAGGGGCCATTCGCGATCACGACAAACTATTCCAACGAGCATTCAACAATTTAACACCAAATGGCTGGTTCGAAATGGCATCAATGGAAGTTAATACACATTCAGATGACGGCACCCACTTAAACGCAAGATGTTTAGTGGAGAGTGTGAAAAATCTTCAAACCTCATCAATAGGTTTCGGGAAGGACATGAACTCGGTGGGCACATGGAAGAGGCGATTTGAAGAGACGGGCTTCATCAACGTCCACGAAGACGTATACAAGGTAATCAATTTTGCCAACTATAAAGTACGACTACTAACTGCCTTCTTCAGCTCCCCCAGAGCCCTTGGCCTAAAGACCCTAAATTGAAGGAACTCGGACGATATCACCAACTCAACATGCTTGAAGCCATGCCACCATACACATTCGCGCTTTTCACTCGCGTGCTGGGGTGGACTCGTGCGGAGATCGAAGCTATATTGGCGGGTGTGCGGTATGAATTGAAAGATCTTTCGAATCACCTGTACACGAGGGTACATATAGTATACGGACAAAGACCACCATGAAGAGAACGGGACTTTGGAGTGCATAAAAAATAATAATGTTAATAGTCTAATGAATGATGATATGCATATTTCATAGATGGCAACTTCCCAGCTGGTAATTTCCCGCGCGAGAGAGGCAGAGGTATACGGACTGAAACTCATCAAATTGATTTCAACTATTCATAATCATGATCTCGTTATTTCAAGGGTATATCAAAGTACGCCAAACCCGCATAAACATGAATCCATCACTGCGTGGATTTCTTCTCCCTCTCAGCAAAAATCCGAGCCAGAGACTCAGATTGCTGTGTTTGAATGTCATTCCTCGTCTTTCCCCAGGCCATCATCTCGTCCATCTCCTTGTTTTCATAACTGCTATACTCATCCATTTCCTTGCTTCTTCTCTGGTCCTCTGACAAATCCTCCACCACCTGGGTCACAATGATCTTTGGTATTGGCAGCATATGCTTGCGCTTGACACTATCTGAGGCGGATAGTTCTCCGATCAATGCCTCGGTCGATGACAGTATCGATCCAGAGGGGAGTTCAGCAATCACTGGCAAGGATGATGTAATTTCATACTCGACTGGGAGTTCTGCGAACGACTTCACGGTTGCTTCGCAAAGTGGGGGTTCGGAGAATGATCCCGTTGGCTCTTCGGGTGAGATGTCCGGAGAAGGCAGCATGACGGTCAGGTGTGTGAGCACCTTTTCCAATCGGCTTTGATGTAGCACGAGACGAGGGTATTTTTCTCGAACGCGTTGGCAGTCCTGAGTTCTCCAGCGCTTGCGGCTTGATGAGTTCAATCTTCCTTTGCGCTTTTCTGCGACGAGGCGATAAAAGTCGAGGATTTGAATCATTTCTTGGTTTGAGTCTTTGGCGTCGGTGATGGTTGAGTTGATCCAATTGTGTTCGATTTCGCCTAGTTGAGCGGACTTCGAATCTCTTAGTTGTTTGGCTTGTTCTATGTCGGTGTTGATCTTTTTGGTCAACTCAATCAGTTCTTTGGCTTGTTGATCTGCTGCTTTCTTCTTCTCTATGTCAAGATCGATGGAGAGTGAACTTGACGATGTAGAGTTGGTATCTGATTCAGATTGAGATCGGGTCCGAGATGATGGTTTTGAGTAGGGTACATATTGTATTTTTTGGTAGGATGGCAGGGGCCTGATGGGTTCTGGTGATCCCAGGGACTCGGGTGAATATGGAGAAATGGTGGTTGGTGTGAGCGCGGATGATGTGAAAGAAGAATCCATTGTTGTCGAAGCTATCGGTGCTTTCTTTTCAGTTCTTTCATTGCTCGTAGTCTGCAGTCTGATTGCAGAGCTCGTCAACTTGTCCGTTGAGTGGAGACAACGGTTCATTGAATTTGTCCACGAGTCGGCAGACCGATGCCACATATCCATGGTGGTTTGTTGACATTTATCCTTTGAGTCGTACCACAAGTTTGTGGACCGACGCCAGATATCGGTTGTCGACCGCTGCATTTTATTTGTAGATTGTTGCCATAACTCCCCCGGTCGGGTCAGTATCTCGGTTGGTGCCATTCTGTGAGAACGTATCGTGACATGCAAAAGTTGAAGAGTTGTTCAAAATTTAGCTTCTGGAAGACAGAAATGTCTCAGTATCTCACGCATGAAAAGGCTGCCTTATTATAAGGTAACGCGAGCCCCAAGGCGCGATCCGCATGGATTGATCATCTCTCGGTGGGGTGGCCTTGGCTCTTCCTATTGGTGAGAAGGCAAGGCTGTGGGATTGATTCGAGGCTTAGAGCTTACCGGAGGCACAGCGTCTTACTGGGGCGAAAACTATATGGCAACCTTGAGGCCCTTGTCGACGATTTGATTGGTTGTCGTATGATCATAGCGGGGAAATCCCATTCTCTCCGCCATGGCTATTTTTAACTAGAAAAACAGGCTACAAAGATCTTGGATGAGACTTGCCAATCTAATCTCCGACGTTTTCATACCTTGACCCATTATTTAGGCCATGGACTCCGATTCCGGAATTTGATTGGCGCTCATGATTCTCGTATAAAAATAGTTAAAAATGACGTTTTGTTCTATCGGACTTCCAGAACATCTTCTCGTAGTCTGAATTTGAAAGAACATACTTAAGTAGATTTTATTCTTTATAACATATAGCATAGCTTGTGGCAAAGAGGATTGATTCTACACAAAAATATAGGTGGTAAGAACAGCCCTCCAAGCAGTGCACTGCAAAGCGTTGAAGTTTGGAAATATGAGAAGCATGCTTTACGTTCTAATGGAATGTTCAATATTTTTATACAGTTCATTTCTGAATGTCCTAAAATGGGCATATTAAGTCATACCTATACAATCTAGATCAATTACACAGCTACATACAATATTAGTAAACCGAGGTAAGGTTCTGCGTGTGGGAGACCTGGTTTGAAGCATCCATCTTGGTATCGATCTCGTTGGTCTCCATTGCGAATGACTTCGGCATGTGAGTCTCTGGAAGAGATTTCTTGGGTTGAGGCTCGTCATCAACAGCTGTCAATTGAGACTGTTCGCCCCACGCTTCCTCAGGTGTCGCCATGGTGAGCAGGCCATTGGCCTTTTGCACAATCACAGGCTTGAGGCAAAATTCTTTCTCATCGTCGCCTCCGAAGGTACAGCGCTCCGTTCGGAGGCCAGTTCGCAATTCGTCATCCAAGATATCGGCATAGATATACGCAGCCTCTCCAGCAATGGTTAAACGTTCGTAGGAGTCCAGTCCACCCAACTTCCACTCAGGTATGGACTTTGATGAGTTGCCCATATAGTACTCAAATCTCACGTTCCCTTCAGCATCTTCCACCTTGCGCCGCTCATATTTGCTTCCTGGGCTAAGGGGCTTGTATAGTGGGTGCTTGCTGTCCTTTTTGCGTTGTTCTTTCATGTGCTCCACCCGGAAGTTCACGACCGGGTGAATGAACTCGAAAGTTTCGCCAAGGTCTTTTCCATCCTTAAAGCCGTATTGTCCTGGTGTGCGCCATTTTTTTCCGTTCAGCCAGTACATGGATGTAAAGCTGTCTATCAGTTCACCTGTTCCCCATCCATATTCACGGATTTTCTTATATGCTGGCTCAATGCCGGAGTTCAGAGGGTGAATGATAGCTGAAGCTGTTGCCTTGGCAGCGTGGTAAATCCAGCTTTTGAGAGACTCTGTTTTCTTGGTCTCTGCGGTCTGCCAGGCAAGGAACTCCTGGTTGATCTTTTGGAGGTATCTCTGACGAGCATTGTGCTCTTTAATGATGAATCTCTCATCAATTGAAAGATGTGCCTTGATTTGATCGAGCATCCATGCAAAGGTGATGCTGGACATTTCTTCCATATCACCGATATTTTGCAAGGTCTCAGTATTTCCTCCACCGATGTTGACGTGATAGCCGGGGAACCACACTTGCTTCAACTCGGAGTGGATTCCCACACGGTTTTCAAACTTGATCCGTCTGCGGGTTGCCTTGTTCCATGCTCTAGCAGCCAAGTTGACATCGCGGGCGGCGTCGTTTACTTCTTTGTCGGTGGCTTTGCCTCCTGCTTTCAGTTCCTTGGCTTCCTCCAAGGTTGTCCAGTATTTTTTTTCAGCTGCGACTTCCTCCTTCTTCCTGGCTTCTACTTCTTCGGGAGTGGCTTTTTTGTTCGGTAGGTACCACACCGATGGAGAAAATGCCTGACGGTGTTCGTCCAGAGCCAGGGCCTGGTAAGCATGCTTGATGTCTACGGTTTTCAAGAGTTAGCGGCCCATTATGCATGTTGCAGTATCGACGCGCAGGGGAAAAAGGGAAGAGACTCACTTGGTGACAATCCAACATTGTGCCAGCCGTTCTTTCCTGCGGACGGTAATTTCATCCCAAGAACCTGAGGCATCCCTATAGCACCGACTGTGTCGAAGACTCCCACGACTTCAACCTCCTTGGATCCTTCCTGTGCCCAATCACCCTCGGGAACCTGCTCATAGACAAAATTCCGGTTGTCCTTTGTGCCAGCACCTTGGTGTTCATCGGCTTTTCCCCATGTCCAATCGAACCAAAGGTCACTCCGATCAAACCGCTTTCCGTGTCTGACTTTCTTATACATGGCCCATAGATCAGGAAACTTATTCAAGTCCGACTTGTGGCAGATGCCAATGTCTGAAATCAGGCCCGAGATTGTGCGTGCCGTGTACGCTCCGCGCGAGAATCCAAAACACATAATCTTGTCGCCTGGCTTATAGTTAAGCACACAGAAATTGTATGCCTCGATAACATTCTGTTCCACACCCTCGCCGAACGCGCCCTGCACGACCTCTTCGACCACTCCTCCGTTCGTACCAACCCCTGAATCATACCAGACAACTTGTTGCCATTGATCGCCCTTCTCGTCAGTACCGATGTGATTCAGAGCCCGACATAGACGGGTGACATTGGATGGGACGTTTTTTTGCCCCGACACGGCAGACTGCCAGGTACCGTCGCAGCAAATGATAATACGTTTTCGGACAGCGGCGTGCTGGGCATCTTTGCGCTGGCGGAGAATATAGTCCTCGCCAGGGACATAATCGACATTACCCAAATCCATGGCGGAAAGTGACATAAAAATAGCGCGACCGGTCAGGGGTAGAGATGGAAGAAATTGAAGCGAAATGAAGGAATCCACCGTTTCATACTTATACATACGCCATTATTCTTACGCCTTTCAGCACTGGGGGCCTCTTGCTGACACACAGGCCTACCATCGGTCAACGCTATCCACTTGGAACTCCTCAGCACGAACTTGTGGAGCTGACGCGGGCCAAGCTCCCCAATGTTACCAATCATGAATTTCTTTATGGGGGCCGGGGACGCTAAGGCTTTCAGCTCCCCCACCGTTTTGCCTTTTTCTTCTTCAGCTGCAGGACCTGTGGATGCGCCTTGTGGGGTTGATCGCGGCTCGCATCGCCCGTGGGTTTGCTCTGCAGCCAATTATCGTGCGACGAATGCCAATGATACGAACGATCAAGTTCTTCGCTTTGCGTATGATCGCATGTGGATGTCATCATGTGCTGACTTTCGAGCCAGTCTGTGCACAAGGCGAAGCACGATCTTAGAAGAGCCCCTGAATGAACAATTCTTATTGGACCCCCTGCGGCGTTCTCCCATCTTTCACGGCCCCTGCCCCTGCCCCTGTGCCCGATTTTCCCGAAATACATACGTTATTGATATTTATGCGTCGTTGTTGCTCCACTTATTGGCTGGCGCGTTTCTGGGTGGGCCATTATGACCCGGGCAACCCGCAAGGCTGTGCCCAAGCACAGTGATAATATGAGCAGAGGACAGAAATATAACACGCCACAACGCTTATGCCCGCTCTAGTGAATGAGAGGACTAGATAACTCTGTGGATAACAACTTTAAATAGACACCGATCCTTCGTCAGCCTTGACGATAATCACCCCGGAACAGTTCTTGATGTTTCCACTGAGAGTTTTTGTCGCAATCACGCACCCGCTGATTGATCATTTCATTGGCTGATTCAGAGTAAAGGCTCATGAAAACTTAGTATCTACCAAGCCAAGGCCGCCCGTCTTCCTTCTCCCTGCGGATACGGACGCTCGGATACCCAGGTGTTACACGATTTATCAGCTGTTTCTGGTTATGACGCATTATTCATAGTCAAGAGAGCCGATCACTCTCCGGCACTTCCATTGTTGAGTTTGGTATTTGTGGGATTGTTAAAGGCGTAAAATTTCGTGTCCAGGACAGCCTGCGGTGCCTCCGCCCACGGGTGGAGTCAAGGCAGTATAGATCTGATGTTTTTGGCTTGGCTCGGTCGCTTTTCTGACTGCTTACCCGCAGATACGAAACAACGGTCCTGCCCAGTGGGGCTGATGAGCGAGAACGTTTTTGTAAGGCTGGAGGCTTTATGTGCATGATTTGAGAAGTTATAAATGGGGAATGATAAGTCTGGACGTTGTTTTTTCCCAAGTGTACTTGCTTCTCATTTTCTTCGATTCAGCTGATAATTCACTTATTTCTACACAAAAAGCACGAAGCCTTGCAAAGCTGAATACCAAAGACCACATTGAATGTAAAATTGACAATAGTCCCCAAAATATGTAATATTGTTGACGGTAAGGCTTCCGGTTCGGGTAGAGATCGGCTCCCGCAGCACAGCCTGAGTTAGTCCGGGTGCCGCCCTGAGCACGCCCAGATCAACCCTGAGTACTCCCTGATCAACCCTGAGCCCTCTTTGAGCACGTCCCGAGCGCCTCCCCCGGGCCAGTCCCTATGGCCTGCCATTTTGCCTCTAGATTATTGCCTGCTCCGATGCTAGCCGGGCTATAGTGTTCCTAGGAGCTCAATGAGATGACGTATATTCATGTCGCTACAGTGGTACACCCTACGTTCTACGCTTCCCGTCGACTCGATCCACCTTGCTGCGCAACATAGAACACTCACTAGCCATTACATCTAGTCACTACATTTAGTCATTATCACTTCTCGCTAGCGGATAAAAGGCTAGCTTCTTTCCTACAACATTGTCGGTCAAAATCAATAGGCAAAAATTAATACAACAACTATTTCCATGCCGCCTTGCTTGAATAGTGACGTTTAATCCTAGGATCAGCCTTAGCCACGCTAGGATCGCGATCATCACGCATTGCCATGCCGTATTGCGAAGAGCGACGATATTAGCTATCCCATAGGGAAGCTCCCGGGGACTCACTCCACGGCCAATCCTCCACGAGCGTCCATGACAGCGATTGGCCGAAGCACAGATCGGACAAGACGCAAGATCAGTAAAAAAGTGTTCACATTGCCGGATTTGCCTTGTCTATGGACTCGGAATCCATGCCGACGCTACGTCAGCTGTAATGTTAGGCCGGACAAGATCGTCGAAAAATTGAAGGAAGAGTGGCATTCAAAGACTCAACTGTCGCTCTTTTGCAGCTTTCACCTAAGGATCAGTCAAGCTCATATTGGCTCTGTCCTACTCCTAATCCCCTTTGTCTTTCTTTTCATACAATCGGATTCCAACATGGTCATGCTGAACCGTCAAAACTTTTGGCAGCCAGCGCTTTCGATTTCGGCAATGTCCCCTTCCACAAACACAGAGAAGGATTGCTAATGAAGTGACCGGCTGGCAACCTTGGATGAGAGATGCGAAGCAGAAAGCTACACCTTGCGGATTCCCTGACTGTAGAAAAAATCGGTCCCCATAAGCTAAGACTGCCACGGAATATGGCGCAGCCGTAGCGACCGCTTCGTGAATATCGAACCGATGTCGAATGGCTTCGCGGTAGGTATAACCGTTTTGACAGAAGGCCAATTGTCCTTCTTTACTGAATGGGAGAAAGTTCTGTGTAGAGTCAGATTTCGCTCCGCAGAAGTCTTTTTACCTCAATAGTCTTGCGTGCCATCGCATCACTCCGGATCGAGTCGTAAAGCGCACGGTTAGTACGGCTCGGGTGGTGGATAAAGTCACGGTCGTCCAGCGACGTAGCAATTTGATACAAGATATCAAAGGGAAGTGAGTGGGGATTCCGAGACTCTTCGCAGCCGGCATGGCTGTGGATTGGGTGAAGTGAAGAGGGTGTAGAGAACATGACTTGATGATCAATATGTAAATCGATTCATTGGAAGTGATAGGAAAGGTAGCAAAAGGAAAGCGTGAATGGGGCTCAAGTAGGATGGACCATGTATCATTGTAAATTTTTGCACTATAAGAGTCTCGGAGAGGGGGCAATTTGGAAGAGATCAGCATAGCCCTTCACCACAATCGGTGTCGCACAATTTATTCGGGGTTTATTTGTTGTGCTTCAATGTGTGTCATTCTGCTCTTGGTTACAGCCCCCTGCCATTATAGGCACCGGTGTTCGGTCGCTTCGATTGCGAGACCTGGTTATTCCAAAAGTCTCGACCTCCGTTATCGGTAATTACAACACCCAGGCGCAATGCAGGACTCCCATTCTGAAGCCTATACCCATCTGCCGACTCGAGAGTACTCTGACCCATACCGGGACTGAGAAATTGAGGGTCCCCCGTGCTGCCGGCGGTTTCCACTGGCTTCGGCACTGTCTGGAACATGTTCGCGTTCCATTCAATCCCGTCTCCATTCGGCAGGGTCGAGTTTGCGGTTCCCACCCAAATATTGTTCGACATATTTGTGCGTGGGGGCACTGCGATTTCGAAATCTTTCTGTGGACAGTAGACGACATTGTTGTAAAAGTCCAGCTGCACGTTATCACCATTGCTGTATATTCGACAGTCATTTTGGAACACATTGTATCGAACAATCTGTCGTGCACCACCGGGAGTTCCACAGCCATCGCAATTCAGAAATATTCCCCCTGCGTTGTCATGGCTGTAGTTATACTCAACTGTACACGTGCCTTCGTTACCCCAGTCACAGTCAAATGCCTCGCTGTCTATATCTGACATTAGTGAATCGTGAACGACATTGAATCGCATGACTGCGTCTTGACACCCCAGCACCCAGATGCCAGCGAAATTCCCCCCAGTCCATGGGTATTTGCCATGACCAAGAAACCCAGCTTTGTTCTGTTCGATAATGGGTGACTTTCCATATGAGACAACAACGCCGTCACCACCGACGTACGATATTTCGTTGCCCCAAACGTGTGTGCCCTTGCCACGGTTGTCCATTTGACCAACGCGAACTTTGATACCTCCGCCGCCGCAATCATAGATAGTATTGTTGTAGATTTGCACGTCGTCATAGCGACTGAAGTTCTCGGTTCCATTCACGAGGATGCCACCAGAAGCAATAAATGCGGCGGACTGGGTCGCTTTGTTCGTCTGCCCGGCAACATTGTGGACAGCAATGTCGTGGATATAGAGGCCGTGGTGGACTGTCCCATCACTTGAAGTCCCAACGATGCCACGCCTCCAAGCGATGGAGGATGCGGGGTTGATGATTGCAATATTTGAGATATCCCAGTAATCCTGATTCGTCAGACTCACTGCTTCAGCCGCCCCAGAGCCGTTGATGATAGGTAGTGGCCCGCCTCCGTAGCTTGTCAAGGTAATAGGACTGTCCTGAGTGCCACTGCCCTTTGGCGACAGTGTTCCGGCGCAAATAGTCCCCGATTTGACTTTCAGCGAGTCTCCGGGGCTCAAAGTAACATTGTTGGCACTGGTGAGGGTCGAAAAAGGACGCGATCTGCTTCCATCGCCTGATGTAGCCGACCCACAGTCCAGATAGATTTCTTTGGCGAGCAGGGGTTGCACCAGAGCTGCGAAGAGGGCAATGCAGCGAACGAAGCGAAGGGCGTTTATGATCATGTTTGGCAGTCTCGTCTTGATGGTAAGTGAGGCCTTTCGCGCCGTAGATGTTCGCGAAGTTCTGGGGAGCAATGAAATATTGAATAAGGACCCTTTTCGGACGTGAGAGTCATGGCGCTCTGGGGAGTTGCATCCTGCTGATGTCGCATATTTCCTGGGTGGACCTGCCGAGGCAATCGAAGGTTGGAAGAGGGAAGACCATCGCGGTTCCTTCCTTCGTCCGAGGCGCGTTTGTCGGGCGATTCCTTCTCCCGCGACTTCGCACCGAAAAATCGACCATTTACATCACGTTCGCATTAGTCTTGAACTCATGCCGATCAATATGAATGTTGCATCAGAAATCTGCAACACACATTTGACAAACGGGAATCAGCCCGAAAGATATTTATTGAGCAGAAACAATCTAAGTTATCGTGTGGTTCTTGTTCCTAGGTCGGTCGTAGCAGCCTTGTGATATACTCTACATTCTTCAATCTATCATGTTGTTCCAAAAAATTTTCCTTTCCAGTGTTATCCCCCTTCTGGGGTTCCCACCATCCTGCTATGGTGATAGTTCGCCAACAGTCACTGCCTCGGCTCCTTCGAAGTGGGTGCACCCCGGGGCGATGATCAGTCAATCTCAACTGGACTTCATTCGCGAGAAAGTGAAGAATGGCCAGCAGCCCTGGAAAGATGCCTACGCGTCTCTTCTTGCCGACGATGGTGTCTCAAATCCCACAGATCCATCACCGCATGTTATCGTTGAGTGTGGCCCATATTCGGATCCCGACGTCGGATGTACCCTGGAACGCACTGATTCGATCGCTGCGTATGGAAATGCGTTGGCTTGGGCAATCAGTGGCTCCAGAAAATACGCTCATCAAGCTATCAAAATTATGGATGCGTATTCATCAACGATCAAAGGCCATAATAACTCCAATGCGCCGTTGCAGTCTGGATGGGTTGGCTCGGTGTGGGCCAGGACAGCAGAGCTCATCCGCTACACAGATGCGGAATGGTCATTCGACAGCATCAATCAGTTCGAGACGATGCTCCGTGATGTTTATATGCCGCTTACAGTCAATGGAACGGATCATAATGTCGCCAACTGGGAGCTAGGTAAGCCACAGTCCTCTTCGGATAGCAAGGATCAAAGACTAACCTTTTACCCCCTAGTCATGACAGAAGCTGCAATCCTCATGTCGGTCTTTTTAGAAGACGCTGAATCATACAATACTGCAATGGGATGGTTTCTGAAACGAGTCCCAGCAACAGTCTACATGAAAAGCGACGGCGAATATCCCGTCGCGGCCAGAGGACAAAGCTCCTCCCCCGGCGCAATTATCGCCTGGTGGTTCAACGAGGCCGTCTTCCAGGAGGACGGCCAAGCGCAGGAGACATGTCGTGATCTTGAGCACACAGGCTACTCATTTGCGTCCATGGCGCACGTTGCCGAGACTTCCAGAATCCAAGGATCGGATCTTTACAAGACAGCTGTAGGGACGCGACTTCGTTATGGACTCGAGTTCCACTCACAATTCATGAATGGAGAGTCGGTACCTTCGTGGCTTTGCGGAGGAAAGCTGAGTCTCACCTTGGGACCTATCACTGAAGTAGGATATAATGCCCTCGCATTCAGGATCGGTATCGATATGCCTCAGACTGGAAACCTCACGTTCAAACAGCGACCGGCTAAGGATAATGGGCTTTTTGTGGCGTACGAGACCCTCACACATGCAAATAACAATGCCTAGAACTTGTGCTAGGAGAGAATATTGTCAGAATTTGCTGGAATTGATGCAAGATTCAGTATCACGTATTCAACGCGACCTGACTCTGCAATCCAGGGCTAGTGGTCTCCTCATCCATAACAATTCAAATCGATTCGTTTCCATTTTGGATTAATTACAGTTCAAATTTCTGCGTCAATGGTAATACCTGCTCAGACAAGACCCATATCTAGAAATCTATTGCCCAGCTCAAGAAAATAATAATCCGCGTAGACCAATCCATGATCCCAAGTCCGATCTGCATGATCTTGATTAAAGTTCGATGTTGACCTTTCCAAAATCCCATCAAAGGATCTTCCGTCGACAGTTCCTATTGCGTAGGTCTGTATCTTTCCTGTTTCCGAGTCGAAGCTCATGCCCATCTCATCGTTATTATAAGCGAGCGCAACCGTGTCCTTGGCTATGACAAGGGAATAATCCAAGTACCGCTTTGCTAGCTCATTCTTCCCAGCTCCCTGAAGTAGACCGTAGAGGATAATCATCCCATTTGCGGCAACCATTCCAGCAGAAACATCTCTCAATGGAGCCTCAGAGCCGTGAACATTTGTGTGCTTTATTGGAGCATCAAAGTCCCACAAAGGAACATATTGCCCGACGCCATTCTCCTTGACAACATCCGGAGATGATTCCAAACGGTAGATAAAATAGTCTGCCAGGCCCAATGAAGCCTCCAGAAACCTTGGGTCCCTTGTCCAAGCAAAAGTTTGGGCGTAGCCTAGAATCGCCCATGCTTGCCCGCGAGCCCAGGTTGAGTTGTCGTCATAGCCTTGCGCTGTGAGCCTTCTCTTCACTTTTCCATTGTCTTTCGGAGAGATATTCGTGGCGTGGTAGGTTGAGAACAACGTCTTCCCGGGCACGACGGACTCTGTTCGAAGGTGCGTAGATAGGAGGGTTTCGGCGTGCTTAGATGCGATCTCAATAAGGCGAGGGGACATTTTGTAGCTTCCGGCGTAGAATAAAAGATCGAGATCTAGACGCTCATTAGCTTCGTGAAGCAAGATCGCAAAGGACCTATCTTACTGCAGAGACTATCAATGATAACCAGGAAATCATCGTCCATACTGGTGATGCTGTGGTGCGCATTTTGGAAACTGTCCCAGCTGCGAATGGCCCCAACACGCTCATCATATCGGCTGGCAAGACTCTCGGCTGCAGTGAGCAATGAAATCAGGGATTGCTTATTGCCGAAGAGTTCCCAGTCTCGGCGGAGGGCAGGCTGAACGATGAACCCGAGATCATGAGTGTCCGTTCGTTTCGACATAGCATGTAGCGGAGCAGACCACTTTTGGCATAGATCTGTGACGTGCTCAATAAGGCTGAGTGGGAAATCCCGTGGAACGTCCTCTGGCTGGCAAGCTTTGGACACGCTTGATCCAGGATATTTTCTGAGCCTCTCGAGGACGCAATAGATATTTCCGGGAAAAAAGCCACATGTCCAAAATTCGGCATCCCTGCACTGGTATATTCCCTTTTGTGGACCGGTTTGGGGTACTGTTTCGGGGAAGCGTTTAGGGGGATCCTGCGGGATGTATCAGTGCCAGCGTCAACAATCCGTATTTAGTTGTCTGCGCACTCACATTCTCGGCCAAGTACTTTTCTGCAGTACTCAGAATCTTGGCCAGATTGCTCGTTTTGTATAGCGGGGCGAGAATTGTGGCAATATCATTGGGGCTGCCAGCTTTACCAAATACTGGCTTTCTGGAAGCGAGAATTGAAGCGGCGCCCATTTCCACGTCTCCGCCCCTCGGAGGAGAGTTGATAACACCCGGTGCCATGCCTAAGCAGAGTGAACGAAGAGCTGGGTTTATTTGCTCAGAGTGACCTGGCAAATTGTTATTTAAACCCGAGCGGGCTTGAATGTCGCGATCATTTTGGTTGCCGGCCTCTCGGGTGGATATCTCCCCCGAGGCCCGAGTGTACAACAACGCTAGCCGATCGACTGTAGCATGTAACATGCAGGGGCCGAAGGACACTGACTAACCCATGGAGGGACTGGCATGGTGGTGTGTGCTTACAGCAGTCTTTTTTTTTTTCTTCTTCTGTTTCTCCCCACCTTCTTTCAAGGTTCCTCATTTAGATTCGACGAATTCCACTCAATATTCTGCAAAGCGGTATTTAATTAACAAATGAGTCTTGAAAGCTGATAATACGATCCATGTCAATATATTGAGGATCCGAAAGGAAGGTATAAAGCGGCGCGAACCCATCAATGCCACCTGCCAATGGCTGCATTTGACGGTGCGCGGGAAAGAGATCGCCAAGTTCCATATCGGCTCTTGTGTGAGGTGTTCTCATATATGACAATGCTGTGTTAGACTGTATATGGCTTTGACCTGGCGCTCTCTCACTTTGAAAGGACCTTGACATCGATGTTTGCCTGCTATTAAGATGGCGTTAGCAAGGAAACATGACGTCTTTAGGAAGTGCATGTACCTGGAGCCTAGCGAACTACTATTATGGCTGGAGCCTCCCATTACTCGGTCATTGCTAATGTAATGTAGCCGGTTCCCGGTGACTGGAATTATACTGTGTCGTTGTTGGGCGCGACGTTCCTCTATCCATTGACTGTTGTCTGGGCTACGTGCGGGACGCTCAACACCCAGAGCACGATTCACCTCGGTGATGTAATCAAATGATAGGGGTCCCGATGCTTCTTGAGACACTTGCAGCTGTTCGAGTAGATCCCCGGCAAAATTTTTGATGTCGTTGTCCATTTTGAGTTCGGGATTCATTGAAGTCCATCGGTCGGACATTTGTTGTAGGCTTGACAATAGGATTTTGTAAGTATCCGGGAGCTCCTTTTTGTGAATATTCGAGTGCACTGTGGTTGGCGTGTTAGATAGGGCCTGTGCCGTCGATTGAAAAAGCTCACCTAGTATAACATGAGCACTGATGAAGGTGCAGAATGAGAATTGAGGGCTGACAAGGCCCACAAACGGAGTGTATTGCAGGTACTTTTGTACAATGTTAGCAGTTTCGAGAGCTGCCAGCTGACAAGTCTCGGCGCTTGCCGTGCTGGCCAACTCAAGCTTCTCCAAGATTTGCGCTCGCGGATAGGCAATGCTCTGGTGGAGTAGAATCATGGAGGTGTTATGGGTGATATGTGCGAGGGTCAGGTTTGGATCCATGTGAACAAATGCCGGCTCTCTCGATATATTGGAATCCTTCCATCGCCGTGGGAGAAACATTTTCCAGCTATAGATCTGTCAGCTGCGCTCGGCCTTTTGGCCATCTCTGTATGGGAGGCTATTGTTCTTACTGAATCAATTGAAGATCCAATTCTTTGAATCGTGTCAACCAAGCGCTGAATGCCTGCCTATTTTGGAGATCGACTGGTCGCTGAAGGAAGAATTTAACCACTCTGTTTAGAGCCTCGGTCGCTTCTATGCAATATGCAAAGGATCCGATTGTCGAAACATCAACAGCTCTAGCTTCGGGGGCTTGGACAGCGGGCGACACTCGCTCTGAATTCGGACCTGTAGGTGGAGCCTCCTTTTCCTTATCGGCCAGAGATGCAAAGTGACCAGTAATAAAAGAGACGGATTTTCCCAGTCTGGCCATAGAAGAATCCCAGATATTCAAAAATGGGGTGGTCACAGGCTCCTCTTTTACCCAGTATAGCCCATCACTTGGCAATCGGACCTGAACATCATCGCTTGACAGGTTCATATTCCACCTGCAAATAATTGGCGTCAGGCTCAAAACTGAAAAGAATATTTCAAGGTGGTACCCTACCCAGTCGTAATGGAACAGAATCTGGCGACAGGTCAGAAAGAGTCGAGGTGGGAATGCCGGGCGACCTTACCGATCTAGCAAAAACACATTCCAAAATACTCGTCTTCGTTCTTCCGCTTCAGTCCAAACCCTTGCAGGTGGTAGGCACTGCAATGGCTTGAGACAGGCTTCTCCAGGTTCTGTTTCATCAGGCTCGCAGTTAAGACCCAAAAGCACGACCGCCCTACTCAGGGTCCCAATGGTGGGCCAGGCCTTTTTCGCATTTCCGTCCCCAATATGTACAAAGGCGATTATGATCAGGGCCTGTATATTTTCCACAGTGATATCATTCATATTTGACAAAAGAACATACTCCCGTGATCTATGGAGAGCATCGGGATGTTGTGTAATCCATTCCTTTGCTAATTTCTCGTTGGCGACATAGCGAAGGGCACACACCATCATAGCATGCAATACAACGATCAGCTTCGGTCGCTCAGTGGGGTCTCGCAGGCGTGACCGGAAGAGCATCTCATGAATTATTGGAATGAACGGATGTACAGCGGAGAAGTATGCATCAAGAACCGCATTGACCAAGTTGTCCGAGGGCAGATATGTCGGTTGTCCGCTGGGCTCTCGTTGGTCCGGTAATTCTTGACGCCTTCTCTTGCGAGAGGCTCTATTATCCGGGGCTGTGGTAGGTGTCCTTGGCTGAGATGCTTCGTCGACTTGGATGCCTTCGATTGAACTGCGTGGACGGGTCCCATCCTGGCGAGAGTTGTTGCTCCACCACTCTTCCATGAAGGATGATACCACACCGCGGATTATGTTCACATCATGGCCCCCATACTCTGTAGTCGGAGCTACACTGAGTCTTTCTTGTTTAGATCTGACGGCATCCAGCTCTACTTCCAGTAATTCTATAGCAGAGGCATTCAGTATCTGCACACAAGAGCCCATGGGTGTGTCGTACCAACTCTCTGAGTCAACGTCTGGATAGTCCCGATCTTCACGCCCGGTTTGTTCCTATGATAGTCGTACACGCATTCCACGCCTCTCTCGGGTTAGTGTCAAGATCGGTTTTCCTCGTGGGGCACAATCTCACCAAGGCGGGCACAGCGAGAGCAAGTTGGCAGCTCCCTCGTACAACGCAGTTTCCGGCTTCGACATGTCTGGCAAGCGGGTGTCTCTGTATCGGCTCCCTGCTGGATGGGGGCATCTCGGGCATCGGAGGATTCCATGCTGTGGGTGTGTAAGTAGCGGAGGAAGGGAATCTCCCTCGGACTAAGCTCCTGCGCGCATGGGCCTTGTCCGAGCGTGGAGAAAGTGTGGGGGGGGGGGGGGGGGTGAAGGCCGGGGAAAATTCCGAGGGCGCTGGATGTCACGTTGCTGTCGGGAGAAGGAACGCTCTGATCGCTTCACACTTCCCTTCGACAAAGACGGATTAGCCGGTTTCGAGCAGTCCTCCCAGTTCGCAAGGACGTGCCAATTTGGGGACCAGCTTCATCATGCTACTCTTTCACCAACGACTAGAGACACTAGTGGTCCTCCAGACTATGAGGAGTCTTTGTGAAAATCAGCCACACCTCGACGATTGAATACCTAGGAGAAAGAATGCCCCCTCTCTCAGGATTTTCCGACAATCAATTCTGCGACCGGAAAGATGTCTTGCTAGCAACTCAAGCTCTCGTCGGCGCGTTAATGCCATACTTTTCTTCAGGGAAAGCTCGTGTCCAGCTACCTATTTACTCCGGTGCCCACTTTGACGAAGCCGCGGCACAGCTCGAAGGCTTCGCACGACCAATATGGGCCATAGCTGCAGCTGTCGCCAGCCCCACCAACGAAAGTACTCCAGACATTGCCAATTATTGTGATCGATTGGTGACTGGCCTTGCGAACGGAGTCAACCCCGAACATCCCGAATACTGGGGTGCAGTAGGAGACTGGGACCAGCGGATGGTCGAGGCGGAGCCCATTTCATTTGCGCTTCTCATCGCTCCCAAGAGATTTTACGAGACTTTGTCGGCAACCAGCCGGCGACATCTATCGGATTGGCTCTTTGGCCTGAACGGCAAGGTCATGCCCGTGAACAACTGGAGGTGGTTTCGCGTATTTTCAAACCTTGCCTTGTGCCGAGTGTGCGGTGTGCCTTTTGAAGACATCAGAGACCATATCGATGCTGATTTTGCTGTACTTGATCAATTTGAGATTGGTGATGGCTGGTCTGCTGATGGCATATGGAGAGCGGACGATTCTCCGGCACACGAAGCCTACAGCAGACAAGCGGACTATTATTCGGGAAGTTTTGCAATCCAGTTCAGCCAGCTGCTGTACTGCATCGTAGCTGCAGAAACTGACCCCGATCGAGTCGTGCGATATCGTCAACGAGCAAAAGACTTTGCTCGGCAATTTTGGCGCTTTTTCGATCAAGACGGCGCTGCAATTCCGTTCGGTCGCTCTATGACTTATCGATTCGCAACGGCTGCCTTTTATTCGGCATTTGCCCTGGCACAGTGCTGTGATTCAGACAAATACACGTCTGTGGGCTTTGTCAAGGGGATGCTTTTTCGTCATTTAAGGTGGTGGGCAAGACACTCGAGGGATATTTTTGCCACGGACGGGACCCTGAATATAGGATACACTTATCCAAACATGTTCATGTGCGAAGACTACAATTCACCTCAGTCACCCTACTGGGCTATGAAATCATTCGTGGTACTGGCGCTACAAGATAACGAAAATTTTTGGGCAGAGGCTGAAAATTCTCATCCTTTGGCTGCTTCGAATACTCATTCACGTACTGCCGGTGTTGAACTGGTCCACCCACCACTTCAAATACTTTGCAATCAGCCAAAGGGCCAACACCATTTTATGCTTTCTGGTGGTCAATTCTGCAAATGGCCTTTGAAAGCAACACAAGCCAAGTACAGCAAATTTGCATATTCTTCCGCCTTTGGCTTCAGTGTTCCGACTGGAGGGGTGTTGACCCAGATTGCTCCAGATAGTACTCTCGCTCTTAGTCGAGACGCAGGAGAATCGTGGACTACGCGATGGGAGACAACTGGCAATCCTCGGTTCATGACCCTATCCTTTGGCGGTGCCGAGGTTCAGTGCCTTCAAAGTGTATGGAGACCATGGAAAGTTGGTGATATCGAGATTGAAACGACTCTTATCCCCCCGTCTGATTCCTATCCAGACTGGCACGTCAGGATCCATCGTATCAGGAATCTCAAGAGGGAACCCACGGACTCCATCAGGTTGAATACTGTTGAAGGGGGATTTGCAGTGCAAGCAAAGCGACCGAGGCAGATGTCACAGTTGACGGAAGACTGGAAGAGCACCTCTGAGCATGGAGGAGTGTCAGAAAGCAATGACAGCTCGCTCGTCTTCAGTGATGCCGGCATCTGTGGTGTGAAGAACCTTCTTTCGGAACGCGCTGGCGCTGCGGAGGGCAAGATCTTGAAATCGGACCCAAATACAAATCTGGTGGAGCCTAAGACATTGATACCAACAGTTCAACATAATATCGAGATACGTTCAGGGCTCGATGCCACCATTGCTTCAGGGGTCTTTGCGATTGCGAAGGGTGTGAAATGTCTGACCCAGGAAGAGCTTCGAGAAAGATGGCTCCGACACCCTAGTCTTGAATCGGAGCAAGTGCGATTAATTGGGGAGAATAATCGATTCAATTAGTTCTTGTTGAAGTCTGCCAGAAAAGCTGTTCGTTTCGATCGAAGCACCCCACATCCTAGTTTAATTCAATCGTATCTTTGCCTCGCTATTGTGGGTCGGTGTTGGTATGTGTTCTATTAATTGCTCTACGCAGATACACCGCCAAGATCAAATTTATAATTTGAACCAACTAAGAAGCACCTCCGATGCGGGTAATACACCTCCAAGCCTCGGACAATTCCTTCGCCCGAGCGACGGGCCTTTCCCCGCCCGACGTAGCGCCAGGACTAGCCATTTGGATACGACTCACTGTAACAGTGGGTCCAATCTAGCAAGACAGCACTGCCGCTTGGTGGCATGCAAGCTCCCCGGGATTATCGGCTGATCAGTTTAGACGACATACATATTCTATGCTTGCCGCCAGGTCACTGAAGGATGTTGCGCCGAAGATCGCTGAATATCCTTTTCAATTCGAACCTTTATCGCAATGGGTCCTTCACGACCACAGAAAGAAGACACACGCAGCGTAAAGGTTCCATTAGAGAAAACGACGAGCCATGATGAGGGCATGCCAAGTCGCGAGGCTTTGCTTGAGGCTCTTCGAGCTGAGAAGCCATCGCCATGGTCACCGAACCTGAGGAAGCTATATGCTTTTTGCCTGATTGCGTTCCTCTGCTCGACAATGAATGGTAAGTACTAGATCATCTTCACACAGCCATCAGGAAATTCTTGCTCACATCATGATATGAAGGGTATGATGGATCCATCTTTGGATCACTTCCTGCATTGGACTCCTTCCGAGAACAATTCGGAGTTGAGAAGAACGGTTCGAAAATCGGATACATCTCCGCCATGTACACCGTCGGTGCAATCTGCTCGCTCCCATTTAGTGGACCGGCCTGTGATATCCGCGGAAGAAAATGGGGCACATTTATCGGGTGTGTCATTGTGGTTGCATGCACCTTCGTCTCTGCCCTTTCCCACGGCGTGCCTCAATTCGTCGCCGGTCGATTCTTCCTCGGATTCGGAGTTAACATCATTCGATCAACAAGCTCCATCTGGTGTGCTGAGGTCTGTCCTCCTGCATATCGCGGTATTATCATGGCCTTCTACAACTGCACATATGCAGTCGGCTCGCTCATTGCCGCTGGAGTTACTCGAGGATCTGCTGGATATGGAGGCAATGAATCCTGGCAGATCCCGTTATGGTGTCAAATGATTTGTCCAGGGATCGTCCTACTTACCGTTCTATTCTTCCCCGAATCGCCGCGATGGCTTTTTTCGCACGGTCAAGAGGACAAAGCACTGGAATTTCTGGCCTACTACCATGGCGAAGGGAATCCTAATCATCCACTCGTGCAACTCCAACTGCAAGAATATCGGGAATTCATCTCTCTTTCCGGATCCGACAAGCGCTGGTGGGACTTCAGCGACTTTTACAAAACCAAAGCAGGAAGATGGCGATTTATCAACGCTCTCATTACCGGAATCTGGGGCCAATGTTCCGGTAACGCAGTCGTCACGTACTATCTCCCAGCAATGCTTCTAACTACCGGTATCACGGACTCGGAGCAAGTCTTGAACGTCAATCTGGGCTATACCGTCGTTTCCACCGTGGCAGCATACCTCGGCGCAAGCCAGATCGAAAGAATGGGCCGTCGACCCACAATTATCTGGACAGCCGTCGCATGTTCAATTTGTTTCGCCTGCATCACGATCGGATCTGGGCTCTTTGCACATACACACGCCAGCTCCGCCGCGTCTGCCGGGATCGCCTTCATTTTTATCTTTGGTTTCTGCTACAATTTTGGAATGACACCCTTGCAGGCGCTGTACCCAGTTGAAGCACTTTCCTACGAGACTCGAGGGAAGGGGGTGGGGCTGACCTTTTCAATTGCTCATGGCTTCACCCTTCTCAACCAATTTTGTTTTCCGGTGGCTTTGCAAAAGATTGGTTGGTATACGTATATTGTGTTTATTGTTTGGGATCTTTTTGAAGCGACTGTGAGTTATTTTGTTTCGGTTGAGACGAAGAATCATACTCTGGAGGAATTGTCGGAGATTTTTGAAAGTCCGAACCCTGTCAAGGCTTCGAAAGGAAAACCTCTGGCTGGAGGTCCGTGAGCTTATCACACATTCGGCTGTACCGAAAATTTCTATTTGGGGCTATGAAGCTTCTTTTCGACAGTGTATTTGAGCTGTGTGTAACTCTCGGTGAATAAATAGCAGCGAATCTTCTAAGGCCACAGAGTACACATGAAATCTATCGACGTTTAAAACTCGAACTTGAACTCTGATGACGGGTAAGCACTTTTATTTTCATAACACATGCATATAGACATCGCCAAAACCCACAAAGCCCAAAGCCCAACCCAACCCAACCCACAAATGGGTTGGGTTTTGGGCCCGTTGCTCGGCCCATTGTTGGGAGCCCATTGGGGGCCCACTAGTCTACAAACAGTACAAACATTTACTAATTTTAGTAAAAAATCAAAATATACAGTCTTTTTGTGCATTTTCTATATTAGTCAGCAGATCTATGAGCGCCAAGACCAGTTTTATGCAAAGTTGGGCTTTTATGGGGGCCCCATGGGGCCCCCATAAAAAGCCCAAAGCCCATAGTGTCCCTCTCTTATCTATAGGCTTGAGAGTCTCCGTGGCCACGGCTGTCGCTGCCACGAGCCCCGCGATGTAAGACTGCGCTCCCTCATAGCAACGAGCCCTATGTTATAAACGTGTGCTCCCTCACAGCCAATAAGCCCTATGTTATAAACCGGTGCTCCGCAGGGGATTGCTGCGATAACAAGGCCTTTTCTCACACTCTGATGTGCCATGGTGTCCCTCTCTTGTCTGCAGGCTTAAGAGTCTCCGTGGCCACGGCTGTCGCTGCCACGAGCCCCGCGATGTAAGATTTGCGCTTACCGCAGGACGGGCTCTGCGACATCAACTGTGCCTCGCAGGACGGGCTCTGCGACAAAAATGTACGAACTGCGGACAGATCGGACATAAGAGGAATACATGTAAAGTTAGAGATTAATCTATCTTATAGTGTTGTGGTTGATAAAAGTGTAAAAAAGTGTAGAATAAGTGGATGGGTGGCTCAATCGCTTACATGGCTCACTCGCTTACCGACTACATTATCCTATCCCTTATCTCAATACTTGTTACTAGGATTTCTGCAGAAACCGAGAAACTTCCATTTCTGTTTTTGGCCTGACTGAGGAGTCGGTCCGGGCAGTGGATGAGCGCTCAGATGCGTGTGTGGAGTGCTGAGTGAGTAAACTCGGAGCCGTCCGGGAGTATCAAAGCCCTCCTATTGCCGATATCATGGTATACGTGTAAATTATTGTAGCTTAAAGACCTGACTAGAAGCTGAGAAGAGGCCGTGAGTTGCTTACGCTCACATCCTAGGTAAGAGAGAACAACTGTCAAGATGCTCAAATTTATAATGGAATGTACATACCTATCAGCAAATCTAATCTAAATAGTACTGTACCCACTTCGGATACATGTACATATATAAAATTCAATGACGCTCAACATGAACATTGGAGTTAAGTTATATCCTTTAAGTGGATTTCTGGCTTTCGGATAATTAGTGTTTGTACAGTGCTTAATACTCTAGATTTCTGCTCACAAGTTTGTTCTATTGTAGGGTCTCTTTCTGAGTTATAGGAAAATTGCCCGGCAAGTTCAATTCCAATACAAAGGGAAAATATGATGTAGCTTGTATGCCCAACACACGCAACAGCAGGGAAGAAGGAACTAAACCCACACAGGAGCATAACTGTGCCTATATATAGGGATCACAGAGAATAACGACTGTCAGCTCAATATAGGAAGCAAATACTGAGTCATCTTCCTACTTCCCCATCCCAACCGTCTGTACCTCACCCCCACAAATGCATGAACGTTATTCCCTTGCTGATAAAGCCAGCTCAGAGCGCACGTCGACTGATTCCAATACCACGTTTCCTTGAATAGCGGACAAAGCGACGCCGTCCGAGGAAATATTGGGGAATATCAAATCAGAAATCACCGCCTCCCCTTGCCCGCCATAAACCTCAATGGAGCATTCATCAACCAATACTCGCAGTTGCACCTTCCCATTTGCATCGGTCTGGAGAGCGACCGTGTGGACTCCGCCAGCAGCAGGATCATATGAGGTGTTTCCACTTGCATTGCGATCGACCGAAAGTTGGTTGTTGGACTGGACATATTCAATCACAGTCTGTTGAGACCCTCCCTTCCGAACGGAGAGAGACAATCTGGAGCCCTGGGCAGGAACAAACGTAATACGGATATCCAATGACCGCGAATGGATGTTGGAGAGCAACGTTTGTCCAGGTGCAAGAGTCAGATTCGTGATAGTCGCAACTGAAGCACCGACCGCGTCTAGTTCGCTCACGGGCAATTGGAGGAATTGCAGTTTGCCATTGAGTTGCTTGAGTTCCAGTGTACGAGGGAATGAAAGCATTCCCTTCCACGTATTAGTTGGGGGGTTGACGCCATAACTGTTCATAACTGCAGCAAGAACTCTGCGCCCGTCCGAAGCAGGTGCGTTTTCCCAACTCATGGCCCCATCCCAATCGCGACCATAGTCGAGCCATAGAGTGGTGGGATCAACTGCGTCTGCTGTAAATACCTCGCCGTCAAAGGATCCAGTGAGTGCAAAGACTCCATTACCACCAGCAGGCGATCCAGCGGCGGGGGTCACAATCAACACCCATTTATTTTGCGTAGTACCTTGAATCTGAAGTTCGAAAAAGTCTGGCACTTCCCAACCGTTGACTCCACCAGGGAATCCCACAATATCGCTTGCAGCGAAGTCACTTCTCCAGATCCAGTTCGTTGTATCGGTAGATGTCCAAAACGTTACTTTGTTTTGTCCTCCGTGCGCCAGAATCATGACCCATCTGCTTGTCGGACTGTGATAGAACACCTTTGGATCACGTATCTCCAGACCCTGGGTTATATCCTGTGGCGCTTCTTGGCTTCGTGATATGATTGGATTGCCTTGGTACTTAATCCAAGTCACTCCCTGGTCCAAGCTATACGCAAGCCTTTGATCCTGTACGCCACTTGAGGGTGCGTAGCCAGTATAAAAGGCAAGGTACGGCGGGTTTGATGATGTCCCAAGCCCCGATTGATTCATTGCATCAAAGTAAGAGGTCCCTGTGAAAGCCTGTATCCCATCTGCGCTCGAAACTGCAACCGGTTTATAATCCCAGGACACAAGGTCAGTGCTAGTGGCATGACCCCAACTTAAGTTGCCCCAAAAGTTTCCAGTTGGGTTGTGTTGAAAGAAAAGGTGCCAAGTAGAGCCGATTTTGATCAGTCCATTAGGCTCATTCATCCAGTTCTCTTCTGGCACAAAATGAAAAACAGGACGAAAATCGTAGGGCGCTGTGGATGTAGGGCTAGCGCTAGTGGCGATTCTTGTACTGGTGGTTAGGCTGTTACCGACAGAGGTAGTGCTGGTGGTACTGATGGTGGTGGCAGTACCGGTGGAGGTTGAGCTCGTACTGAGAGAAGTACCTGGGGTGGATGGATTATAAACTGAATCAAGCACCATTGCATCAATCGTGACACCATTTGTACTTCCGCCTCCGGAGAAAAGCCGGATATCAACACCATTGTCCTGAGGAAAGATTTGAGCGGATATTGTGACCTCACCCTGGCCTCCAAAGACTTCAACGGAGGACCAGTCAAGAAGAATGCGCATTGTGACTTGTCCATCACCGGAGGGCGCCAAAGGAGCAAAATAGGTGCTGGGAAATGTCCCGTCAAAACCAACATTTCCAGATTTCGTTCGATCAACAAAAAGGCTTTTTGTGCTAAAGTCATAGCCAATTCGTGTTTGCTGTGCTAGGTCAGAGGTTGCCCTGAGAATTATGCCGAATTTCGATGAGGATGACGCTGCAACTCTGTCTGAAAAGGCCACTGTGATGTCAAGCAATTTTCCGGAGAGTTGTACGAGCTGATTGCCTTCAGCCACCGTATCAAAGCTGTTAGAATACGTTGTTGTCTGTAGACTGGTCCAGTTTGCCGTAGGTTGCTGGATCAGTCTTGGCCTGTTGTCGATCGTCTTGAGCGAAAGCTTCCGGGCAACTGATAGCATGCTGCGCCATGGAGAAGTGGGGATTGCGCTAGCATATCGCCAATTGTTCATCCACGCAATATCAATTCGATTTGTGGATGCTAATCCATTGAACGTTGTTGCGGCGTAGAAGTCTGGCCCATAGTCCATCCAGCTGGGTCCATATGGCTCAATTGATATGTTTGAGAAGGATATCTCATCGATCAGAATGTGCCCCCAGCCAGTCGTGCCAAGATCAACGATCTCGATAACCGCAGATTGGCCTATCAGATCCGTGACATCCCAGGTTGTTGGTATGAGTTGTTCTGCATCAGCGCCTGTAGCCGTTCGCACAACCTGGCCTTGGACCTTCAGGTTGATGCATTCCGTGCCCGGAGCATTCCCGCCACCGATAAGAAAGTTAATCTTCTTCTCAGTTATGGTGAACGTGGGGGACGTGAGTGTTCCAGTGGTAGCATCTCCGCTCAAGAATGTGTTGACGAAGTTCCCCATATACCCAGTCACAACCTGTTGTCCTGCAAGTGTGCCCTGGGCTGGCCCTTTTCCAAGCAAATCTCCAGTGGCAGTCCAACCATAGTCCGTAAAAGTGCTAGCACCATTGAAATCCCAAGTATCGCTAGTATCACTGCGTTTGGGGAGGTTGTTGGTGCTGGTACTGCCTGTGAAGATAATCTGATCGATCAATATGTGTCCCCAACCACCTGTTTGCTGATCCACGATCTCAAGCACAGCATTTTGACCCATCAAGTCTGTGACATCCCAGCTGTTGGGTATAAGCTGTTCCACATTCGCGCCTGTCGCCGTCCGTACAACCTGGCCTTGGACCTTCAGGTTGATGCATTCCGTGCCCGGAGCATTCCCACCACCAATAAGGAAAGTGATATATGGAAGTGATATGGTAAAAGCGGGGGATGTGAGCGTGCCAGCTGTAGAGTCTCCGCTTAAAAAAGTATTGATCAGCTGACTTCCAGCGTATCCAGTGACGGTTTGTTGTCCGGCAAGAGACCCTTGAGCGGGAGCAGCCCCAAGCAAACCTCCAGTGGCCACCCAGCCGCGAGACGCGAGGTCACCAGTACCTTCAAAATCTTGAAATACGATGTCTCCAGTTGCAGTTGCAGTTGCGGTTGCAGTTGTAGTTGTCGTTGTGGAAGTGGAAGTGGTGGGTACTGAGGTAGTGGTACTGGTGGATGTAGACGCCGGAGGCGGAGAGTTGGGATCCGCAACAAATTTGTTTCCATCAAAAGTTCCCACAATGTATTGCACCCCTGAGCCGGTAACTCCGGGGGGCCCGCCAGGGTTGAGTCCGATTTGCATAACCCACTTGGTATTGGTGTCATCTCCGTCAACAGCAAGTGAAAAGAGGCTAGGGCACTCCCACACACCTCCTACTGCATTCCAAGGGCCAAATTCGCTGGCATAAGTCCAATCCTTAAGGTTCGGGGAGGTGTAAATAAGCAACTTGTGGAGTTGAGCCAGCGAAACCACTGAGATCCACTTCTGGCTGGCTTCGTGCCAGAACACGAATGGATCTCGGAAGTCCCGCCATTGGTCTGCATATGGGGCGGGAGGGTTGAGAATGACAGGATTGGCGGCGTCGTAGGTAGTCCATGTTATGCCTTCGTCCAAACTGTAGGCAATTGACTGCGCTTGCTGCCCACCATTGACTGATTTCCCACTGGGTAGATTCTGGGTACCAGGGTACTAAGCCCCAAAGACGTTAGAGTAGCTGGCTGCAAGGGCTTCATATGCTTACATAAGAAGTATACATTGCAACAAATGGCACCTTTCCATTAGTACCAAATCCGCTTGTATTCTGGGTATCGGCGACAGCAGAGCCAGAGAAGAACATCTCTGTGATGTCACCTGGGTAGCCACGAGCAAGGAGGGCAACGGGGTGGTGATTCCAGTGAGTCAGATCAGTGCTGGTGGCATGGCCCCAAGACATGGCTCCCCAGGTGTTTCCTCCTGGGTTGTACTGATAGTACAGATGGTAGGCCCCATTATAATATAAAAGACCGTTGGGATCATTCATCCACTTTTCAGCTGGAGTAAAGTGATACTGAGGACGGTAGAGCTCATTGTAGGTTTGAGCAAATGCTGCCTTGAACAAAGCGAGCCCAAGAGTGAAGGCTAGGGCAAGCCGGAAAGCCATCGCAAAGAGAGGAATTCAGATTCTTGGAAAGAAGGGCAGGTTTGAGCAGACAGGACTCATGAATGCTAAAGTATTCTCAGTTTGCGGCGAAGTACTGGCTTTTATACTTATTTTGGTCCTCAAGGTTTACATCGCCAAGGCGCATCTCAGTTGTTCCTGGAGGGTAACACCAATTCCAGAATTTCTACGGAAACTTCATCTTCGCTCGTAGGCCAGCAAGCATTGGCCAGCAAGCCAAAGCGTTTCTCAATCCCCGGTTCGGTTTTAGCCGGTTAGAATACAGTCAAAAATAACATATCGAATATTATACTTTGAACCAGGACTGCTTTCGCCGTGACGACAAATCTGTATTAGGCAACGCTCCTTGATTCTGTACATACTGTGATGTGAAACATCAGGACTTCAGGAAACCGGGGTCTCCTGGCAGGAGGGTTGCCCGGCACAAATCAACCGCTCACAGATTTTGAGATGTTGGGGCGTGGCGTCTTCTCCGCGGGGTCTATTCACGACCAGCTTTTTATGGACCTAGCGTTGGCATAACCGAAAACAAGAGTCCAGGAGCCAAACAGATCATTGGTGGGTGAGGGTGATGTCTTTATTTCTTGTCCTACTTCGCCGAGAAGGATTAAAGCGCAAATTTGTGAGCAGCTACAAAAATGGCTTTGTCGCCATTCTTTGTAGGTATCTCTATAGAAAATGCAGAGCAAGGAATTTTGATTAAGGAAAAAAATAATAACAATAACCCCTGCTAGCAGCCACAGGCAGAATAAAAATTCTGAGGGGTGGAGGACCTCGCTAAAGAGCTTCTGTGCATGCGTCGCTGCATAAGTCTGATTCCCTCTTTCACGCGCGGGCCGCTGTCGGTTGGCTGTCGCTGTGGCTTCCGACGTCCGCGAGATTCTGCGCGATTTGTGACTAAGCGAGTAGGACAGCAACGCGACGGGTAATCTGCTTTTTGTCCAGCTTGCACTCTTGTCGCTTTCTTCAAGTTTGGCGCCACAGCCACACCAAACTAAATGACAAGATGCAAACAAGGTTTAACACGTGATTTGGGCGGTAGTGTGTCACGCTGGGTTGGCTCTCTGTTGCCAGTGTTGTTTCTCAATATGGGAGAGCAGTTTGACCCCTAAGCCTGACATCAGGAGCTGGCTCCGCTCGAGAGTCAATCTTTGAGACGCTTTTTACAAAGACAGAAGCAGAGATCACAGAAGATGAAATACGCAACTGACCGGTCCCATTGGGAGATGTTCCTGACGAGCATCCCAAGAGCAATAGAGGGGGGGTGGGGTATCCGAACCCGCAAGCCATGGCGTTTCCCCCACAATGATACCTCCACGAATGATCAATGTGGAGTCCAGGTTCTCGCGGAACAGACTAAGTGGTCCGCGATGCCCCGACGCGCTTCTCGTTTGGTTTCTCTGGGTAAGTATGCGGGGGTGATTTGCAGGGGTATTATGCCGTGGTAATTGCAGATATTTTCAGGAGTTACTCAATCTGAAGAACACTAAAAGTTGAGATACCACTAGGCTGGGTGCAGAAGGGAACTCCTTGAGTGACGATCTTGAAGGCGTCTTGAGGGTATAAATAAACTGTGTCGTCAGAACTGAGGATGGATGCCAGCACACTTCTACCTACCGCTTTCCAAGCACACCTGAATCGTTGCAACAACCATGTTCCTCGCCTTAGCATTCGCACTCGCCACTCGGGTTGTGGCGGATGACTTCCGCCCAGTCTACCATTTTGTCCCTGAGGAGAACTGGATGAACGAGCCCAACGGGTTGATTAAGATTAAATCAACCTGGCACCTGTTCTATCAGCACAACCCAACGGCAAATGTCTGGGGCAATCTGAACTGGGGCCACGCAACCAGTAGTGACCTGGTCCACTGGACTCACCAGCCCCTTGCCATAACAAGCGAGAACGGGGTCGAAGCGTTCACCGGCACCAGCTACTATGATGCCGACAACACCTCCGGTCTGGGATCTTCTACCAGCCCACCCTATCTGGCCTACTACACTGGATATTTTCCTTCCAACGGGACCCAGGACCAGCGTCTTGCCTTTAGCGTCGACGATGGCGTGACCTGGACGAAGTACCAGGGCAATCCTATTATCTCTGCCGCCCAGGAGTCACCCCATGATGGGACAGGGGGGTTGGAGACCCGCGACCCCAAGGTCTTTTTCCACCCGGCATCTGGGAAATGGGTTATGGTCCTTGCCCATGGCGGACAGGACAAGCTGACGTTTTGGACATCGTCGAACGCAAAGTCCTGGACGTGGAAGAGCGACCTCTCTGCTGGCCAGATCGACGGTCTACCCTCTGGAATTACTGGGTGGGAAGTGCCTGATATGTTCGAGCTCCCTATCCAAGGCACCAACGCGACGACCTGGGTGTTGATTATAACCCCTGCAAACGGATCTCCTGCTGGTGGTAATGGTGTTCTAGCCCTGACAGGTTCCTTTGACGGGTCAACATTCAAACCTGACCCTGTCGACCCTTCTACTCTTTGGCTCGACTATGGTCGCGACTTCGACGGTGCCTTGAGTTGGGAAAATGTCCCTGCTGCAGATGGGCGGCGGATCCTTGCCTCTGTCATGAACAGCTACGGCGCTAGCCCACCGACCAACACCTGGAAAGGGATGCTGTCTTTCCCTCGGACCATTACCCTGAAGGAAACAGCCTCCAAGCGATACTTCCTCCAGCAGCCTGCCACTGAGCTCGCCCTCGTTGGTTCCCCGCTGGCGACAATCCAGAATCAAACCATTACTACTGGCGAAACGTTGCTGTCATCCATCCACGGAACCGCGTTAGATATCAAACTTGCGTTCACCATTAACGCAGGTTCCAAACTCTCACTGACAGTGCGCAAGGCCGCATCGGAGCAGACAATCATTCAGTATGACCAGACAGACTCGACGATATCTGTTGATCGAACGAAGAGTGGGGACATCTCCTACGACCCGGCTGCAGGCGGAGTCCATAGCGCTTCCTTGAAACCAGATGGTTCTGGGGTTATTCATCTCCGCGTCCTAGTCGACACTTGCTCGGTGGAGGTCTTTGGCGGGGAAGGAGAAGTTGTGATTTCAGACCTAATTTTTCCCAGCGAGACCTCCGACGGGCTATCCTTGGAGGTGACTGGGGGATCGGCCAATTTGCACTCTGTCGAGGTGCGCGGCATTTCGCTCAACTAACGTGGGAGCCATGGAAACCTCTCGTCATCGCTAATGTGCCTTGCTGAGTCCGATAATTGTAAATTTGTGTGCTCTAGTCCTGAACATGGTCTACTTTACCTCCATCCTTGACTTTCTACTTCCCAGACGTCCATGGATTTGAAAGAATATACAAACCAGGCTGCGTTTCATGCCAATTACGTTTGATCTTATTTATATCTCTTTTGTATTCGTCGATTAAAGCAGGTTCGGGCTTCATCGCATCCGCCAACTACGCCACGGGTGTCTAGAAGAGGAATATACCTGAGTGGCTCGCCAGGAGAGGAGATTGTCACCACATCGTATTGGCTGTTGGCCTGGTGCTACACAACTTGCCTCTAAAACCTTCGTCCATAGTACTCGCCCCGCTGGATACTCTTATCTCGTCCTCGCTTGGGAGTGGCTTGGGACTTGCAAATGGGGATTCGCGGTTGAACATGGCGACCTGAAAGTGGCAATCATCATCCTCCGTGAACTATCTTGAACCACCCCCTGTGTCAACATGTGCTCTGACCTAGAGAAACTTGAGTCAAAGTTCAAATCCCAGAATCCCGCAGGAAGCTCCGGCTTCTGAGCCGACAACCTCCATTCGAGAGTTTGCACCAAAGAGACTAAGAGGAATAAGCGGAGCAGACTCGTGTCCCTCGTAAGGCCCTTCTTTAAAGCTGGATATCACCGAAATTTTACCAAAAGAGAGTTCCTTCGAGTCTGGCTTCAAACTTGTCTTTAGTCAACGTCGAAGCTTGGGCTGCAACAATTATGGGGACGCCGTGCTCTCGTGACTGATATTCGAATCGAATGCCGGGACTCTAGAAAAGCAAAGATTCGTTGCGACGCGTCTATTGATGAGCTCGAAGGACCCATCAAATTCCTAAGCTAGAAGCGAGCGAAGGCTAGTAGTCTTTGCAATTTAAATTCGAGCATTTCACCCTTAGGAAACAGATAGTGACCGCGAGTTTGTCTCAATATTCCTCTCTAAATGTTCCCAGGTTCCGGCACTGGAAGTCTCGAAGGTCTCGGATCATGCACCAAGTGACGGTACCAACTTCCGACCATTTCCAAAAGACCAAGGGGGAAAAGCGCATTCGGAGCCAAGAATTGACAATTAAAGCTAGCGGTTAGGGAAGGCTGGCATCACTAGGAGACATGTCGCTAGTCCGAACAAGGAGCAATGGACTTAACGGCAGATTAAACCTCACAGTGGGGGGAGATATCTGGGTAGCGCCCTGCCTTGGTAACTTGCGCCTTATAATGGGTGTGGTATTAAATTGAGATCTTCATTATACTGAGAGACTCTCCCCAATAATCGCGGAGACTAGGGGATGTTCCGCGACACGTAACTGTTGACTCTAGAGGTGACACAGATATTGAGGGTGGCGTAAGGTATGTGGCCACCCACTTTTTCGCTTACTTGAGGAGTGGTCCTTATCGGGATACATGCAATAATGTAAAATTTGGTATGCTGGCCAATATATACAGAGATACAAAGGAGATATAGAAACGAACGGAAAGGCTACAAATCCGACGCGGGTAGCTCAGTTTCATCGGAATCCAGACCACGACGCAGGTCAGAGATGTCCTCGCCCTCTACGAGGTCTTCTTTCGTGAAAATTTCAATACCACTATCAACTCGCCTCCTTCCTTGCCTCTGCCAAACTCGACACCAGCTAGCTGTGTCATGCACAGGAGAGTGATGGGCTCACTGCTGTTCACCGTAGTACCATCCGACATGAGGGAATCTGGTCGCCTAGGCTCATCTACCCCTCGAAGCGCCACGCAGCTTGGCCCATCTCCTTCAACCGCTCCAAACCACCCGCATGATTTGCAGCACATTCATCCATGCTGATACTCAGCAGACCCATTACTTCCAACAGACGCATTGCACCAATTGCAAAAATTAGAACAGCCAAAGAAGGCTGGGCATCTGGATGGATATGGAACGGCATGAGAGAGCAGAGGTGCATGGCTTCATTGAACTGGATCCGTAGATCCACATCGCCTTTGCCTCCCTCTAAGAGTTTTTGAATAGCGGGTTATAGTCTGGCGTTTAGGTCTGCGTATTGTGCTCTAAGGGTAGGCACCCAGAAACTTGTAGTTGATCGTTGCTGTGTCCCCGTTGACCTCATAAGAGACTTCATGCAAGCTTCATGCAGTAAATCGCGGCATCGAAACCGGATGAGTCGACTACGCTTGGCAAGAACTGGGTTGGGGAATACATTCAACGTACAATAACTATTCAAACAAGCTTCTCGCGTCGGTATGACTATCAGCGTGCAGAACAAGAGGATCCTAGAGTGATACGTACATGGTTTCGTCTAGTGGAAGATACGATTGTCCGCTATGGTATCCTACCCGATGATATCTACAATTTTGATGAAACTGGCTTCGCAATGGGCCTTGTTTCTACTGCAAAGGTAGTTACAAGAGCTGAATACTATGGCCGTCGATCTGTCTTTCAGCCAGGCAATCGCGAATGGGTTACTACAGTAGAAACTGTCAATGCTTTGGGCAGGTCTTTACCCGCAATGATCATCTTTAATGGTGTCCGTTTCATCGAAGCATGGTCTTCTGTCGATGTCCCTAGGTACTGGCTTATCGAGGTTGGCGAAAATGGTTGGACTACTGATGCTGTTAGCATTTAATAACTTGAAGCTATTAAACCCTATAACCGCAAGCCGGCGACGTGGTCGATATAGGCTACTAGTCCTTGATGGCCATGGAAGCCATCTTACGCCTGAATTTGATCGACTATGCGCCCAAAACGATTTTATTCCTATGCGTATGCCCGCGCATAGCTCGCATCTATTACAGCCATTGGGTGTAGGCTGTTTCACGGTCCCAAAGTGGTCGTTACGGCCGGTTGATAGACCAACAAATGCGTCTAGGTATCAACCATATCGACAAGCTTGATGTTCCTTGAAGCATACCCACGCGCGCGCGAGAATACATTTCAGTCTATAACGATTAGTAATGCATTCAAAGCGACTGGTCTAGCCCCACTAGATCCAGAACCAGTGCTATCAAAGATGAATATTCTAGTTCGGTCACCTACACCTGCGGTGGAACGACCTACGAGCCGATCAAGCTTATATTGCCCTGAAACACCTACGACTATCGTACAGCTATCGAAACATGCACAGTCGGCTAAAAGCTATTAAAATACCGATCGGAAAGTCCACCAACACCAACTAAACTGATCGTCAATTAGGCATATAAAGCATGCGAATCTGTCATGAAAAGTATGCTTCTATTGCAGAAAGAAATCAAGGATCTACGCGCTGCAAATAAGAAGCAGGTAGAAAAACGGTCATTACCCAAGAAACAAATACAGCACGATGAGGGTTGGTTTATTCATGAAGCCCATGAGCATGGTATCGGCCTACCAAGTGGTATAGAAGGTGGTAGTGTGTCCTCCGCAGCACCTACCCAGAGCGCTTCATTGGCCAAGGAAGGAACCAATAGACGGCAATACAAATGCAGTATATGTGGAAAGCTTGGCCATAGGGCTAATAAATGTCTAGATAGTGTTTATTGTTGAAGATAAAGGCGTCGCGGTTATTTAATGCTTCATGAATATGGAAATAGTTAATGGGGTGGGTGGGAAGACCGGGAAATATGTTAGAATTGTTTAGTTACATAATTGAATCTATTTGGCTTCCAGCTATAATTTGATGAATTATACGGAGGCTGCTATCCTTCGGTCAGAAATGCCTCTTTCTTTTCAAGCAGGGTCAAACCAAGTTAACGCATTACCTGCTGCACAATCAATGGGAGATGTAGCACCATCTGGTTCTCCTGGAAAACTGTTTGAGACGTTGACTTCGTGTGAAAGTGTCGCGGAGGATACGCTTGCTTCCGCGACCCGATGTAACATAGAGCAACCAAAAGAATACGATTTCGATCTGCATTAAGCTAGTAGCGGGCCCCATTTCTCTGTGTCTTGGTTCCGAGTAAAGGCCGCATAGGGGAGCTGAGTGAGGTCCGCTATGTGGGTCCGACTGCATAGTTGACTGACTCCTTGCCGAGCAATGGTTCAAATTTAATGTTAATGCTTCACCGGGAATGGCTCGTACCCCAATTATAATGATTTATATTCATTAACTACGAAACGCGAAGATATTGGGGCCATTCACAGAAAAACATTCCATTAGCACAAATCAAGTAATTCAGCTCACCATGGACGTTCAAGAATCCAATATGTGAAGGGGCGTAGCATGAGACACAAGAAACGGTAAAAAGAGACAAACTTTAGATTATGGATGTCTGATACCTCTCGTGTTCTTAATAGGGATGCTATCGTTGGCCCATTAATATATACTGTACAGAGTCAGGATGTAATGGTCCGCGGGTAGTAGGTGGCAACCAAACTCCACCCCAACACGGATGACCAGCTAGTGTGCAAATGTCCCTGCTATCTTAGAACTCCGTGCGCGAATGGGTTGTCAACTACGCACATCGTCCAATCAACTATTACGGGCCCCGCTATTGAGCGCTTACTGCTTTGTGGAAGAAAATCGGAATTGTTCTGCTGGGGCGCCACAAATTGTTTTCGTAGGCTGAGAGGAATACGGCACAACCGTGCCCCAGCAGGGGTGTTCGAATTAATAAGTGACATAAACACTTCCACATTCTTATAAAGAAGGCTGACAAAGCAATCATCGCCGTCTGTACTCCGACAGACTGCGCCAGGCCTTAGAATCACGCACCTCCAAGCCGGTGGGAACGAGAGATTCCACGGGGCTACCAAACGTTCGCCAAGACGAAGAACATCAACCGCATCCTTCAGGATCCGAATTATCAGACGGAGCGTTTATCGATGACAAGAACCAATGCTCAGACGAAGGTGAAGAAGACGACCCAAGGGGGATTGAGTCGGACAGAGACGCCGACCGCGGACTCGAGACGAGAGTCCACTCCAGACACGAAGTTCCTGACAATACAGTAATGTATACAGTACTTTGACAGTAGAGTAAGTCCAAACATACCAGAATCCAGGATTTTATCTATATGAATATTCATTTCTGTCTTCGGAGAGTGGATATCTGCCTATAGAGAGCGGACCTCTGCTTTCATGTTTCGGACTTCGCGCGACATCTTGACGACGGTCTCGTGGATACGCTTAGTTAAAAAGAATTGTGTCTTCAACTGTTTTTCCTGTGTGCTGAGAGCGGTGTTAGTCGCCGACATTGCCTAGAGAGAAGGATGGGAGGAGTCCTCAGATGGATTGAGGCGAGATGTACAATACTCACTTGATTCGTTCGTCCAGGCTGGGAATCTTCTATTGGTACATCTCTCAGCCCTCAAGGTCGCTAGGCATTACGCACTCTGTAGCTAGGGAACCCAGAACACATCTATGGTGGATGTCGTTGCTTAGGGCAGCACCCTTGTGTTCCTCGGCCATTTGGCATTGTCATGTTAGTACTTCGATGTTTTTGGAAGCTAGGCGTACTTAATAACAGTACCACGAGCTGAGAGATGCTCCCTTAGATCGGGATGGAATTAGGCAAATCACACACTTCACGATGAGGTGCTCTGGCCAAAGCGGCTAAACCCTACAGTACATGTAATCTCCTACTCTCTGCTCTCTCCTCTATAGAAAGTTCGTTGTTGAAATAGACACATAGGAAAGTAGGAGAGTGGCAGAGTGGCCATCAGTACGATGGCCAGGAACTGTCCAAGTCGCAAAGTCGGCGCCGGTGTGCCTTGCGTGCTGTCAAGTGGGGGTTTGCTGGTGCTCTGCCAGGAAGAGATTGAAATTCCTGTTTCTCCTGGTTGGTATTGCCTCGTATCGACTGCATTGTTCTAGGAATGCCTAATTCTTGGAAGTATCTCTCTTTCTTTTTCGCTTTCGTTAGGTGTTCATTGTAAGACAGTCGTGACGGGAGATTTTGCTCTTCCCACTCCGAGCGGACCCGGGGCCCAGGTTGAAAGAACTCTCACTGAAGCTCCTGAGCTCCAAGATGTGTTGGTCATCACTGCCATTCGGAACGGAAATTATCGCAGGAATGTTTTGTGACACCAGCCAGGGTGACTGGTCCTCACGAAGCATAGTGTTGGTAACTAGTCGGTCAGGGCCTTGCCATGATGGAGGATTAAGTTGAGACAATGTGGGAGAGATGTGAACGTCGGGAAGTTCAGTCCGATCGGTGGACCCATCACTGGGCAGGACTTGGCGAGTTTTTCCCGGCTCCAGCACATTGCGAGGGACGGTTGGTTGTTCTGGGTGCTGTCGTTCTACCCCAAGGGTCGAAAGCGACCAGCTCCGAGCTATGCCTGCATGAATCTGATTCCGGGCTGCTGCTTCATACCACTTCTGCCCGAATTGGTCGGCCTGACACTGTTGAGCCATCTTGCATAGACGAAGTGTCTTGCAATGTCACCCAAGAGAGGTTGAAAATTGGAGAGGTTGAAGGGTCTCTCGGCGATGGCACCTAGGTTTTAACGACCTGCTTTCAAACTTTGCCAGCTTACCACATTGTTGCACGGCACTCCTGACTTTGTATCTCATCATACCGGTGGGCCATCTGTGCTGACGGATATCTTCAACTACTAGGGTATAGGGTCTCTCATGTGGTCACTAACTCCAGTCGGGGCGCAACTTCACTTGCGAACCTTAGGTACCAGGCGGAGGGGAAGGGGGGGGGGAGGAGGAAAATACACCGTTGGCGCCATCAAAGAACGGGTCGGCCTCGAGTTGCCATGGTCCCTCCCTTCCGTTGTGATTGGAAATGGTCTCTGTATTTAAGAGCCTGTGGCCGAGCTGTGGCAACTAAGTCAACTGCTACGTCTAACTACAATCATACAGCTGTACCCTTTCCTTCAGTGTCGCACCCATTTCTGCTAGGGACGGGCTGACCTCCGCAGCCCCGTCGAAAACTTTGATCGCTAGTTCCAGACCGAGGATAGCCTCTCGAGGAACAACCCCAACCAGGCATGGTTCCGTCAGCCCTGCCAGCGCCGCCATCGAGATGGTAAACACACTATAGGCCGTAACCTGTCAGCCGATTGTAATCCAGCGGATGATACGGCGAAACAAAGGCACCGGCACAACTCACCTTGTACACAGAGTCCACAAATTCGGCTTACAGACGGCTACTGCAGCGGCAGCACTGGGAACAAACTCGGCAAAACTGGTAAAGAATCTCGTACAGTGGCGGAGGAGGTCGCTATTGGCCTCTCCCGCAGTAAGGGCTTCGTAGACCGCTGGCCAATAGATCGATGCCTTAAATGCGTAGTACTGCGTACGCAGAAACTTCACCTGGGCCGAATTCGGATCCCGCCGCGGGTGAGATCCAATAGCAGGGGGGGCACGGAAAGATAGCTGCTGCGGGAGTAATTGTAGCCACTCGTCTAACTGACGCTCCAGCTCGGCCGCGACGATGGGCGCATAGACATGGCTACCTTGCGCCAATGTCCTTGTCGACCAAGTGCAGTGCCGGAGCATTTTTCGCATCGCGATCTCCGCGACGAAATATGACAGATCGCTGCTTTGGGGGGTGAACTCGCTATCGCTATTGCTGGGTGTAGAGGACTCGAAAGATTGACTTGAATGCCATGTCCAAGTGCCCGAGCTTGTTGGGACCGGGGCCAACGAAGTCATATTGCGGATCCCACTGTTAACGAGGTCTAGCTGGACTGTAATCTCGCTATAAACCGGTCAGCTTCCATTTTGTTCTCTTGACACAAGGGCGGACGAGGGGTGGAACCTTTCAATCAGTAACGCTGACCAGAAGCAGTTTGCGAGAATCGACATTTGGGTGGCATCACTGTCAGCGTCAAGTTCACTGGGTGGGTCGATTGTCAGCTATTGTATCCGAGCAGAGATCGTCTCGAGACGCCTCTGCTTACTTTATGATATAATTCTGCAGTTTATACGACGCCATGGCTACGAAATCGTAAGCCTGAAATGGCTGCCCATAGCATAGGTGGTATATAGCGAACAATAGCAGGCACTGCGCGCTTCGTGGGCCACTATGTGCGAATGCACACGGCAACATCTTCATAGCTGCTTCGATGTACAGTGCTTCCGGGCGGCTCCGCAGGGCATTAATGACGGACTCGCATTCCACAACGCAACCAATGGCCAAGACGAGGAGAGTAAGGCAGGATGTCACCGACATGGGGAAACAAGACGTTATTGCCTGGATGAACTCCTCGGTATATTCTGCATGCAGGATCGGATACCAGATATGGATCTGCCCCCAGAACGCATTTAGAAGACTATAGGAAGGTGAATTTGATGTCAGAAGCGCGGCGTCTAAAACGCAGAGAAACACATTCATAGCTCGTGTTGACGTACATTGATGCCTCCTGGAGATCGACCTTCACGATGTTCGCGCCATATGATTGAGCGGGGTCTACTTTTCTGCCGCGCTCTACATGCTCGAGGAGCACAGGCAGGGATTGCTCGAGGCCAAGCAAATTCATGAATGCCTCGTTCTGTATTACCATAAATGGAAAGCCTAGAGACGGGCCAGGGCCTGTAAGAGTAAAAGAGTCCTGTCGTCCATTACGGGGGGGAGAGCTCCGTGGGGTTTGGCCCTGGGCTACGGCCGTGATATGGTCTAGTTGTTCCCATAACCTTGAAAGCTCTGCCTTCAGGCTAAGATGATATAAGAAATCAGAACATTTCTTTCTTTCGATAGGCATGTCACTCACGAAGAAGGGGGCAGCTCTTGCGTTTCCGGGTAGAAGCAGTCTTTGCCACGTTCAATGCAAAAGGAGCATTTGGGGCGCTTGCCGTCACATTTTGTCCGTCTTTCCCGACATGTGTTGCATGCGAGAGCGCTCCGGCGTCTCTGGATGTCGTGACCCGGGAGGCCAACACGATTCATTGTCTGGTCGCAGTTTTTCGGGCCCGGTGCTTCACGGCTGTCTGCAGTCCATGAAAAACGCATACTTTTGGGAATTGTGGACAGGTGATTTGCCTGGGTTCAAGACGAGTCTCTTCTTTTGCAGGGTATGGTACACCGCCGGTGTGCCTCAGAGGCCCAATGGCGCTCTGCACAAGCGTCCCTGATTATCCTGCCCCATGGCACCATGTTTCAAGAACACACGAAGAACATCTCTATTTCACGCACTGCGGAGAAAGGCAACGTGGGGAAAGAATAACGAATCAGGATTCAGAATCTCCGCCCGACGGCTTCGGGCACATGTAGACTTTGACTCCATTCCGCGTGGAGACACGTTGCCAGCCATTGAAACCACGGACTACGAAAAGCTTCGGGCAACGGAGACCGAGGAACAGTGTGATGTGACAGTCAAATCTCGGGAGTCAAGCTCCTCGAACCAGAACAGGACTGGCAGGGATTGTGCCGGTGAGTAGTTAGATAACGATCAGTAAGCCATCCCTGAATGACCCGGAGCGGAGGAGTCCGAAGGGTAGCCAGTGGCTGTCGTCCAGCCCTCGTCTGGAGACCAATTATCCTGCCTCGCTTCGCCAATCCAGCCCCATGTAAGCTAATTGCAGCTTCTTCAGGTATCGAAGTCTAAACTAGGCAAAGGGTCCTCCTGACTACACTGACAGGGGAGGATAGGGAATATTCTTGGGCTGTGGCAGATTCCGGGACTTTGACTGGAATGCACATTATTTCGGCAATTTTATTGGCACCCACGTACATAATGCTTACCCCCTTGTTCCGCTGGATAGGTATACACATGGTTTTTTGTTATATTAAATAGGGCCTCGTCCATCTTATACTTCCAAAGGCACAGGTTAGTCACAATTCTCCCTTTCGCTCAATATGCACAGCGCTGACTGGGCGCTTCAATGAGATAATATCTCCAATGCGCGGCGTAGCACGCTCATCAGTAAAGGTCGGGTGGCTTCTAAAATCTAAAGATACTCAGCGCGTCAGGACTTAACCGCATGAATGAGGAGTGGAGGAAGGCATATCGAAGAAAATGCTAACCTAGTGGATGGGTTCCGTGAATCCCTTGCCTCACAAACCATCTAGCACTAAGCTTGTCAAGCGCAGTCTTGAAATCGTCCAGGATAATGGTATCGCACAGGCACTTGAACATAAAGCATAGCTGAAGGATACACCACCCGTCAGCCCTGGACACAAGAGGAATCAAAATACTTCCCGCGGAGAATGAAGGGGAGCACACTTTCCAAAAAGGGTTGATGCCCAGCGGCATGGCGGACCTGAGTGCTCCAGTCACGCTGATAACGTCGAGGGCAATGAAGACAATGGAGAGACACATTGAGCCCAGCATGAGCCCGAATCGAGGGCATTCGCGTACTAACTCGAGAATGCCAAAGTTGTAGTGTGTCTTGACCACCCAAAAGAGGTTGCACGTTGTATAAATCCACCATGGATCGCTGAGTCAAGGGTTGGTTAGTCGACGCAGCCACGGATGAAAAAGATGACACCACCATGATAACTCCTACCGAAATAGTGCTTCCCAGGGGCGGATCTTTTCGTAAACAGTAAGGTTTATGTTGTTGAAATAGGCGAAGTTGGCGTAAATCTCGGTTGCCCAGTATGGCTGAGCCAGGATGATCGTGCCGACATAGAAGAGCGCAAGTTTGCGGCCCATGAACGGCCTGTTCTTCATCCACGCGATCACATTATGCAAAGACCAGGATATGATCAATCCAATCGCGGATATGGCCAGGTACCACCCGTACGCAGGGTCTGGGGCGAATATGAATGTTCCGTGGGCTAGGGCCAGAATCAACTATCAGGAAGTGGCCACGTTAGTGGGTATATTCCACATCGATGGCGGCAGGACTACCTCTAATAAGATCAACTTGTGCAGCAAAACACCAGGTCGCATGTTCGCATAGGTAACTGCAGCCATGATGACGAGTGAACCGGTCATCAGGCCTTGGGACCAGGCTTCCAGGATTAGAGCAGCGTCATCAACTGGGCGTTGAACTGCTCTTTTCGCGTGATCAGAATGCTGTACCGAAAGCATGGATGAATCGATACTATTGGAGCCTGTCATGGTATCGTCGCAATCACATTGTAGATGCAATATTGTATGGCGATGAAACAAAGCAACAAACGAGTGCGCCGTCCTTCGAGTTTGACGTGAAAAATATGTAGCTTTTCCCCTCTTGCCACAAGCGAGAAGGGACGAGGTCAAAACTCTCTCCGCAATCGTGAATGCGGGAATTCGGAGACTTGTCCAAGAAAATGGGCCATTACGATAAAGTTCCAGAAGTCAAGCTGTGGGGATTGAGAATGAGCGACTGGGCAGAACAAAGCGTCTCGCGGAGAGGAGGAGCCGCTCCGCGATCGCTAATTTCGACCCCTCTGATTGAAGCCTTTCGAGGACACTAAAACACTGTCCAATGACAATCCAGATAGACATTGCAGCTTACCAGTAGAGGCAGGATCCCATTCCACGACTCGCCACCCTCAGTCATAGTCCACGACGAAATACTTACTACGGTACCGGCATTTGTGCTACTAGCTCCTAAACTGTAGCTGGAACTGACAGTGTCACCATTAGCGGTCATAAAATAATGCCGCCATATCAGTCCAGGGCAAATCTTCTATGTTCATGAGCGTCCCTACTACAATGCCCCCATATAGAATGGCCTCAGCCTGCGACCACTGTCGCCTCCGTAGGAGGCGATGTGACCGAATCAGGCCCAAGTGCTCATTCTGCGCCTCCAAAGGTGCAGAGTGTGTCTATGGACAAGCTCCTGACTCTCAGCCCTCACAGTAATTTGACCCTTTCCACACGACGACATCTACCATGGCTTATATGCTTATATGTTTGTGGTAGATTAGTACAGGAGCTCATGAGCATCCGAGAAAGACTGGAGTTCATCACCCCATTACTGGAACCTCGACTGCAGCCGCCAGCACGACGTGACGATACCTCTCCACAGAATTGTCCACCTCTCATCCTCAAGTCTCCTCATCTCATGCAGGTTTTTGGCTTACCGTCGGATCTAGCATCCAGTTTGTACCGCTTAGAAACCGCAGTTCCCCGAATGCTCGCGTCTGCGACAGAATCACCGTGTGTCGAATGCACTGATCTGTAGGTCTTCAACAATGAAGATCAACAAACCAAAGATCACTCAGCTTACCTTACCATCAGTATCTTCCGCCGGTTTCAGGATCAGGTTCATCAGTGGTACCCCATCCTACATTCTGATTTCACGCTCCATTTCTGCGAGTCCAATGCCGCCGGCTTTCCTTACTCTACAATATCTTGCCTATCGCTCCTCGTTGAAGCGATTGCGAGTATAGTCAATGATCGACCTCACTCTTCACACTATGAAGCTGCCTTGTCCATGATACCAATAGCGATCCAGGAATGCAGTATTACAAGTGTTCAATGCTTGGTCCTTTTTAGCATATACTTCTCTTGTCTCCTCCAGCCAAGACAAGCCTATGACTATATACAAGCTGCTTTTCTGAAATTGAGACCGTTTTTGAAAAGGTACGCTATTATCTGCACCAGGAAATCCCCTCCGAGTCGTGTCACCGCTGATTTACCCTGCGTTAATGGCATAAGTCACTCGTTTTTCTCCGAGGGTTCGTCCGAGTCACACCTCGTCACGCGTTTGTACTGGGCGATTTATCTAATAATGAGGTCTGCTCCTGCCGGCTTCCTCCTGCTTTCTGAACTAACAAGCACCCAGTGAGACATCCATGCATTTGAATTTACCACGCTTCGGCGAAACGCTACGCGGCGGGTTGACAACTACTCCATTGCCCACAAGCACATACGTGTGGGATCATTTCGGTGATTCGAATACGCCCTCGCGCTCCTCTTTGTCCGGAATTTTTCAAAATAGCGAAGCTTATTCACCAAATGAGACGCTGCAGTCACCGTTCAACTTTTGTACCGAAGTAAATTTACAACAAGTGCTGAATGGCTATGCTAGCTCAGCAACAGATGTGCTGAGTGCATATGACGACGGCTCTCCCCATACGGAGTGGAAGGCAAATTCAAGCCGCTCACTGGACTCTTTACCTGATACGTTCTCTCAGGACAATGGCTTCGAGTCTCATAACATTAACAGTCCTATTTGCCGAGCTAAGTACCATATGTATGAGGTGTCAATCTACTGGCCGGTGATCTACCGTATCATACTTGATGGAATCGCAGACACCGAGTTACTACCATACGGCCCCTTGTTTTTTGAATCGGTGACCAGCTTCCTTAGTGCAGCTAAGATCGCCCTTCAGGCATGTTTGCCGAAGTCCTGGTTCCTGTGCGCAAGGTTTGTGCTTGCAATCCGCTTCTCGATGTTTGAAATCTATGCTTACACATTGTCCTCAGTATATACACGATTTCCTTTGCCGCAATCAGAGCTTTAGAAGTGCGGTGTCTTCGGTTACTCGCAGAGCCACGGCTTTGGCAATATCTCGAGGCTTCTGTGGATGCTCTGCATGGGCCAAGTGAGCTTAGTCCATCCATACAGGATATGCGCGAGACTTTGAAAGATCGATTGGAAATGGCCAAGGATCAGAAGAGCGGTTAAATGTTCTTGTGAATGTAAAAGCTATTCCACACCCTCGTGTTTCGCAGGGAGATAAAATGCTGGTTACTTGGAAATTGATTCGACGTAAATCACATTGGATAGTATGAAGGGTTCCACACTTGACCGTGCCATACAAAGTCCACTGAATGACATCGCTTTTTGAGCTAACTTACAGGTTTCATCCGGAGTCTTCGCTCCCTCGAAATAGTGCTAACTTATCACAGTGTAGAGCGCACCTCCCTTACTCGCAGCTTGACATTGCGAGTTTCCCCGCCAGTAGAATAGAGACGACTATCCACGGCATCTTTCGAAGGAAAAGTTTGGCTCGCCTCGCCATGACCACCAAAGACGTCAACACTCGACCAGTCAACAAAAACCCGGAGGAAAACAGTTACATCTGCTGCCGGACAAAGGCGCATAGTACGTACTCGCAAACGTACCATCAAATGAGACATCCCCTGATTGTGTCTGGCCAATAACGTCCGGCTGGATCGAAAAGTGGTATCCGACTCTCGTTTCATGGCTATAGTCCTTGCTAGCAGCAACGGCGATTTTGAACTCTGCCTTAGCCGTCGAGGATGGCTCTCTGTTGGAAAATGTCAACTCAATCACCAGTGCCTTCCATTTCCCTGTAGGCTCCTGGATCATAGCTGTCGTTCCATTAATTGTCTTGAGCGCAAGGCGCCTAGGAACTGTCATCGCACTACGCCATGGATCTGTTGGTGTAACCGCCCCATACTACCAGTTATTCATCCACGCGACGATAGTGCGCTCGTCACGGAGGAGGCCGTTGAACCCAAGCGCCGCGTAGAAGCCTGGGCCCCGACCAATCCAGTTCGCAACCTGTTTCGTCGCGCGTGTTGGAGAAGGTGATCTGATCAACGTTGATATGACCCCAGCCTCCAATGGCATTGTCAATGATTTCAACCACGGCGCTTTTTACTTGAAGGGCACTCACGTCCCAGCTTTCCCAATTAAACCCTGCGGAGGTATACACCATCCGTCCATCAGATTTCAGCCGGATCACGGTTCCGTTGACGTTGCTGCTGCCCTCCGGCAAGGAAGTTGATGTACTTGTTCGATATATTGAAGGGAGTAAATGTGAGAGTACAAGTTGTTTCATTGTTGAGGAGCTTGTTCAACAGCTGCTTTCCAAGAAACGCACTCGCAGGATTTCGCCTGGCCAGAGTACCCTTCGCAGGGATGCTCCGGTGAAATCATCCGTGGTTGTCCAGCCTCGGAAAACGAAGGATTTCTCGCATTACTTAGTGTCGGGCGGAGGGTGATATTCAGTCACGAATGGCCGATAGCAAAGACGAGCGAATGTGCATGAACTGGACCTTCGCAGGTGAGTTATCCTATATTATGTGAGAAATCTGGTTCACGAATGCACATGCTACCCTCAGACAAAAGGGTTCGCTAGGAGCCGATGATGCTTCACAATAAGAAGGGAGCTTTCCGCAGCTTTTCACGTTTACAAAACGTTTGAGAGGGATAGACGGATGTTGGATACTGTAGAAACCCACTGACCAATGATGTATTAAACTTCCTCACTCAGTGATGATGAATATCTATCAATACTAGTCAGGCTACCACTCATAATACGGGAGATATGTTCTGTTGTTAACATATAATCGAACCCTTATTCCATATTTGAGAAAGCCCCGCTCATGAAATTTAATGTTCCTGAATGTTCAATTGGAACACTTAAGCAAATTACGTATCTAGCGGACGATTCAAATGACAATACAGACACCCAACACGAAATTGAGAAAGAAGTTACAAGGAACACATAATGTTTCCTTTCTTGATATCCCGTATAGCCCTCCTATTCTAATTGGTCTTAAGTTTCCCAATATTCACTTCCGTTTAGGGTTTTAGTCTCAGATTTGCCTTGGCCTGGTTCATAGCTTTACTATCCTTAATTTAGCTCTGAAAGTCTCTCACCTACCCAATACTCATAGGCCGGCTGATTACGTGGGTGTAATGCATAACTAACTGAATTATCTTGGTAGACCCTGAATAGGACCAGGCAATGCGGTAAGCCTTCTGAAAACTGGACTTAAACCTTCCATGGATGGTACTCCGCCAGTCTGGGGCAAATGCCTACGGCCATCAAGCATTAGCAGTATGAGAGATTTAGAAAGAGAGAAAAAAAAGGAGAAAAAGTCGCGGATATTTGGACCCCTTCCGCGATACCTTTGCAGCAGAGTGGCGCACATCAACAAAAGCTCCGCACTCTAGACGATTTGCGGGGGTGAGTTCTGGAAACTAGCATCCAGCCCGTGCACACCTACGAGGTACCCCCACAATTTACGGTTACTATCTCTCGAAACCCAGTGTCTTGTGGCAACCCGGGCTGGAAAAAGCGGGGACCGTCCATGGACTCCCTGACGGCTTCTGTAATCTCCTGCTGAAATTAAATTTCTATTTTTCCGAAGACACAGAATTAAGGGTCAATTCCGTGTGGGCACCTCGATGGACTCCACTGCAATCTTGTTTCCTTCGGAGGAACCTCGGAATGATTCTGAAAGTATCCTAGAACTGCTTGGTAGGGGTTCTCCACCGTCAATCTATCCATCATGATCGCAAGTCTTCACTTCGGCACTGGCCAGAACTTCCGACATCTCCGCAGTACGACCGTAATAGGGTGAGCGTCGAAAGCCACATATGGGGGTATGGGACATTTGGAGAAGCAAAAAGGTCATACCTCCTCCCTAGCATGTATAAATAGCGCCATGTCCACGCCGAATTTTTTTCAGAATCCAACCTTCCATTTGCTAAATCCCTTACCCACGAGCATCTCGGCCGCTCCTAGGATCTCGCCATGGTGATTATGCTCAAAATCCTTCTTCTGGGGCTCGGCACATTCCAGGCTGTGTCGGCGGAAAAGCCTAGTTACACAGAGCTCTACCGTCCTCAGTATCACTTCACTCCTCCCAAAAACTGGATGAACGACCCCAATGGCCTCTTGTATCACAAGGGTATCTACCACCTTTTCTACCAGTACAACCCAGGCGGAACGACGTGGGGTGCCATGTCATGGGGTCATGCCACCACGCGGGACTTAACTCATTGGGAGCAACAGCCGATCGCCCTCCTCGCCCGTGGCTACCCTAACAACATCACTGAGATGTTTTTCTCCGGATCTGCCGTGGCTGATGTTGACAACACAAGTGGTTTCGGCCACAGTGGCAAGACGCCATTGGTTGCCATGTATACTTCCTATGTAGGTTCTTTACATATATTATCGAATCTTTTTGAGCTGATGCGGCTGACGCTCATCCTTTAGTATCCTTACGCACAAACTATGCCAAGCGGGAAGACGGTCCAAGCAAATCAGCAAGCCCAGTCCATTGCCTATAGTCTGGACGATGGCATGACTTGGACCACGTATGATGCGGCGAACCCAGTAATTTTGGACCCTCCCGCCCCATATTCAGATCAGTTCCTCGACTTCCGTGATCCCAATATCTTCTGGCACAAACCGACGAAGAAGTGGATTGCTGTGCTCTCTTTGGCTAAACTCCACAAGCTCCTGATTTACACATCTAAAGACCTTAAGAACTGGTCTCTTGCGAGTGAATTCGGGCCCGTGAATGCCATCGGCGGGGTGTGGGAATGTCCAAATTTCATCCCACTGTCTGTCGATGGTGACGACAACAACGTGAAATGGATTGCAATGATCGGACTTAACCCTGGCGGACCCCCTGGAACTATCGGCTCGGGCAGTCAATATGTTGTTGGAAACTTCGACGGAACCACTTTCACCGCCGACGCCGACAGTTTATTTTCAGGGACCACCCCTCCGCCAAGCGACAGCATCGTTCTTGCAGACTTTGAAGGTACGGGAACCTTTGCCGATCATGGTTGGACCCCTGCTGGAGATTTGATCGGCCAGTCACCAGCTAACGGCACCCTGCCTGGACAAAACCCTGTGACCGGCTACTTGGGTAAGCGCCTCGTCAATACATTCCTGAACGGGGATGCCACGACTGGAACACTCACGTCTAAATCCTTCACAATCTCTACGAGGTACATCAACTTCCTCATCGGCGGCGGCCATGACTCCAATAACACAGCCGTGCACTTGAAGGTGGATGGCCAAATAGTGCGTTCCGCTACGGGCACCAACAGCGAGAGCCTCTCCTGGCAGAGTTGGGATGTCAGCTCGCTGCTGAACCAGACTGCCGTGATTGAGATTGTTGACACCGCAACCGGCGGCTGGGGCCATATAAATGTCGACGAAATTTCCTTCTCGGACTCCATGGCGCGAAGCCAAGTGGCGAACTGGGTAGACTGGGGCCCGGACTTCTATGCGGCCCAGGGCTACAATGGACTATCTTCAGACGAGCACATCGCTATTGGGTGGATGAGCAATTGGCAATACGGTGGTCTGATCCCTACTAGCCCGTGGCGCAGTGCAATGTCGATCCCCCGAGAATTCTCACTGAAGACGATCGATGGAAAGGCTACTCTGGTGCAGGCCCCTACGGAGAATTGGGGCTCCATCGTGAGCCGCAAGGGCCTCGATCGGTCCTGGTCTTCCGTGAATGAAGGCACAAAGTCACTAGGCTCCGTTGGAAAGGCACTGCAGATTAGACTAAGTTTCTCTGACCGAGAACCAGCTACCGCGGGATCTTCTCAGTTCGGAATCATTGTTCGGGCTACCCCAGACCTCAAACAACAGACACGAGTTGGCTACGACTTCGTTACCAAGGAAATATTCGTCGATCGGAGCCAGTCTGGCAATGTTTCATTTGACGGCACATTTCCAGCCACGTATTACGCTCCCCTGGCTGCCAATGCCGGAGGTCAAATAAACCTACTGATTTATGTGGACTGGTCTAGTGTTGAGGTCTTCGGAGGCCAGGGCGAAACTACAATGACCATCCAGATATTCCCGAGCGATGGTGCAACCTACGCTCAGATTTTCTCCACGGGAGGAAACACCCAGAATGTCCGAATGGGAATCAATAAAATTTCTTCGACGTGGGACGATTAGTTAGGATTGGACGAATGCTCCAAAAAAGAGGAGACTTGGTTTACAGATTTTGCGAATGTGATAAAGATGGCTTTCTGACCCTGCCCGATCAATATGCCACTCTAGGGGAGCAAAGTAACTATTGGTTCGGGACCCTAATGTATATATTGGCAAGTGGAAATACGAGATAACTGTAGGGAGACATATCATACTACCAGAATAGAATGCTGCATTTTATGAGTATTGTAAGTATATGTTCACATATGTGGATGTATTCTTAGAATTCTAGAACAATTCAGAGCGGTCTAGCCATAGCGGAACAAGTGGCATATTTCCAGATACAGTCATAATTAGGAGTGAACAAAATTTTTCGGGCCGCGTATCATGTAACTAGATTTTTAGTTAATATTGTCATGCCAGCAAGTTTGCTGTATAGCCTAAGTGAAACTTGAATATACATCGGTAAGTTATGAATAAATAGTGCAAAGTCAAGAGTAGAAGTCCATGTTTATCTATTAGCAGCCGCTATTCTGGTGGGCTCCAGACAATCTTATAAAGATTCTAAACTTCTTATATATCTCCTGATCTACCAATCTGATTCAATCTAAACCCAGGCGTGAACAATCAATCTCGGCATATCCTTCTATCATTTTCACATGCCGGACTGTTCTGTTCTGCTCATATGATTAGAGATTCTTCCTGTCAATATCTTGCCGAGATGACCTGGTATGAGTAGAATATACCTTGAACTGCTCAATCGTTCCAAGCCACTAAATTATAGAGAGTATTAATTGGGGAAAGTATCCGTTGAACTATGCACTACATTTGCGAACATCTAGATTTACATGGGGTTATCTCAATGCCAGAATAACTCAATCTTGTCGATTGCATTATGATATATCGATGAGGCTTACAAAAAGAAATTTAATGATGATATAACAGGTTAACAAATCTGGTCATGTAACTATTGACTTGGATTGCTTTTTCCTACCATGACCAGTAATTCTATAGGAAAGGAACCTAATATCTGCACTTATGTGGTGTATCTTGCTTGGATTTCACCATTCACATGCTGAGATGGCCCGAAACCCCCTCCTGAAGCCCGTCAAGGAATGCTTCTACATGATGATTATCCCGACAGTACGCCATTCAATTTCATCAGCAAGGAACCTTTCATCGGCATTCGCCCTCACAAACCCCGCAAGGTTCCTCCGATTAAGCCTGCGCAAGTGCTGCTTCGTGGAACTCTCTGTGTTCCTCAACTGGGCCCTTCTCTCCAACGGTATTGGATATTTCCTTCTTCTCGGTCCAGGTAATGGTTGGCTTCCAGCCAACACTCTTCCTAGCGGAGCTGACCTCACGGTAGAGCTCATCAACTTCCTCCAAGGTCAGGCCCTTGGTCTCATAGATCATGGTATACACAAAAGCGATGCAGAGGAAGCAGCAGCCGAACCAGATAAAGAAGATCTTGGATTGCAGGTTGGCATTACCGGGCCCATAGTTGACTAAGTAGGGTGTAGAGAAACTCAGCGCCCAATTAAGCAGCCAATTGGTGGCGGTGGTCATAGAGAGAGACTTAGCTCTGACCTTAAGAGGGAAGATCTCTCCTGTCACAACCCTTTAATCGTATTAGCTTCAAGGAGAACTGGGGAGAGCACCAAGGGAAAGAGAACTGTTAAACTTACCAGGCGATCGGCCCCCAAGAGGCAGCGAAGAAGAAGATGTAGATGCAAATAAAAGCGATGGCCGCCTTTTGAGCACCTTGATTGTGGACAATAATATTTCCAAGATCATCTTGACTGGTGGTCGTAGTTCCTAGGACGGCAACGAGAAGCTGAGACACAGTCATGCCAATAGCACCCACAAGCAAGACTGGGCGCCTTCCCCACTTGTCAATAGCATAAAGACCGGGAATCGTAGAACCGACGTTAACACAGCTGGTAATCAAACTGATGACAAACTCGTTCTTGAAACCAGAATTCTTGAAGAATTGGGTGCCGTAATAGAAGATAAAGTTAATACCAGTTAACTGTTGAAGACCCTGGAGGAAACATCCAGTAAGAAGGCGTTTTCCAAGATTACCCTTGAAACACTCGATATAACCAGCGCTTCCAATGCTCATCTCATACTCATGGTTTGCTTGGATTTCGGCAAGTTCCGCGAGCAAAGCAGAATCAGCTTCGGGAAGACGTCTGAGCTTGGCCAGGCTCCTAATAGCAGCTTGGTGGTTATCTCTCTTAATCAAATAGCGGGGTGTTTCCGGAAGGATAAGCATGCCGACCACAAGAACAATGGCCCATGCAAATTGAACCGCGATCGGGATGCGGTAAGACCCAGTGTCATCACGCGAATGTGTGGCATTATTCACCACAGCGGCCAACAAAAGACCGACCGTAATAGCAAATTGGTACGAGCCAACGATAAAGCCACGAATCCATTTCGGGGCCGTTTCGGACTGGTAAAGGGGAACTTATCAATATAGTTTGTTAGCACTAGGCAATTCATGTAACGGAATAGAAAAGTACTCACTTAGTGCCGAGATCAAACCAACACCGAAGCCTGCAAAAAAACGTCCCGCTAAGAAAAAAGGAATAGCTGTCGCAGCGGTCTGGAAGATGACTCCGAGTGTAAAGACACCCGCCGAAACGATCAATCCCCAACGACGGCCAATGAAATCTCCCATGGGGGCTGCACCAAGCGCGCCGAAAAAGGTACCCGCAGACAGAATAGATACAATAGCCGAAGATTGACTGGAGGTGATGGTAAGACTACCATCAGAGGCTCTGTAGCCGGTAGAGAACACCCGCTCCCAGTACGGCATGGCGAGAATGCCGCTGATTGTGCCTGTATCATAGCTGCGCAAAGGATGAGCTCAAGCTTGCACTCAGGAACTGGGAGACTATCCAACTTACCCGAACAGGATACCTCCAAAAGCGACGAACCCGCTGATTAGAATGGCAGGCCATGCCTTTCCCGCAGTTCCCTCGGGCTGTTTTATCAGGATACCCATCTCTGCGATAGATGAGGATTTATATTCGTGACAGGAACTTGGAACAAAGATCAAGGCCGGCTTGTGAGTTGTGCACAATCAAGCTGGAATATGTGAGACCTGAGGAGAAGATGCTGCTGGAATGACAAGGATAGAAGGAACAAGTAGTGGTATTTATATGCAACTGTGGAAGCGAGCTGTTCGATGTCCAACACCGCGGAGACCATATGTGAAGTGGCGTACTTCTCAAAAAAGCTCCATCCAACCAGCATTTTTCATAACTACGTGGTCCGACAGCAATCCGAGCATGTACGGGGCGGTATTACTGCGGGAACAGAAGTGTGCAAGGAAGTTCTATTGCGGAGGAGTGGAGTTTCTCCGCGATCTTCTCGGGAAGGGGACATAGTTCTCGGTTAGTGATTGGTGTTCCTGGCCGTTTCTGTCTGTATCGGGCGGGGCTATCGGGCCATCGGGCGCAAGAGCAAGGCTTTTCACACGGCCCGTGCGACCGTCTTCACCCCGCACAATCTCCGCTTCTCCCGACTTGACACCAACGCTTCCATCCAGTGCATCATCGTCAACGCTAGTAGTGCTTGACGGGGTATCTTCGGGGCAATACATGATCGGCTAGAGATCCCCCTCCTCTTTGCAGTCGCCCCGCTCTTCTCGGTAAAGACTCCCATCCTAGTGGTAGATGCCGTCTAGGCGTTCCCCAAAGAGGAAGGAAAGGGGGAGGGAGAGAGTCACTTGCCAGTTGACCAAACCAATTTGGCCCGAATAAGCTGATCACGGGGCGTGGAGGGAAAGCTAGCGCTGATATGGAGGAAGCAGCGATTAGTTCGCAATTCAGTCCCAGTAATAGGACAGACGACGCGATCTAGAGTCCCAAGTGCTTACACAAATTCCGATATGTCAGCCAGTTGGTCGCCGACTTAACCAACGCCCAGTACGAGTACTTTTTCTCAGCTAAGAATGGCGTCGGAGCATAATACAAGGATTACAAGCCAAGTTCTTCGCCAATCGTTGAGTTACCCAAGTGCAAAAGGTTGAGGTCACCCCTTCCACTATCACATCAGTATTCAAATCCCACCTCGGAGTTCTCCGTGGGCTGCTGTGGCTAGAGCAATATGAGAAGAGACCTATTTGACTCAACTGGTCGGGGTCCGCGAGTGGCTTTTACAGAATGCGCTGGCCGCTAGGAAGTTATCTGCTCTTCTTTCGCTACCATCAAAATTAATTTTTGTTAATTGGAGGTGCACCTGTGGTTGCATTCGCTCATATGATTATTCTCTTGACCCGTTCACTGTGACCAGAGGAAAAGCCTCTGCAACAACACAGAATGGGTGACTAGCTGCAGGTGGCATGCGAGAGCTTGTGATCTGTGCAGCCATGACTTCTCACTATCCTCCCAGGGGCCAATAGGTACGAAAGCGATTTATTCAACCAGTAGATAAGGCCTTTGCTGAGTGAAGTCTCGACAAATGATTCGACATAGTTCAATATTTTCTAACCACGCGAATAATCAAGGGGTAAAATCCAAACCAAATTTGAAAGATGTGGAGAAATAATTGATCGGGCAGATTCTGAATATAGAGGTTGACATAACTGCCAAGGCCTTCATACCAGTATTGCTCCAATCGAAGAGGCATGACGAGAATAGTAGTAACTCAAGATCGTGCTCCGGGAGCATGATGAGAATGATAGACCGAGAGTATTTGAATGACCGTCATTAACGCTGTATTTATTCCTACCTAGTGCAGTTGTCTTCTCTACCAGAGCCAGCTTACCTTTCAAAATAATCACCTTATATCCTTGAACATTGTTGCATTACGATGTCCTCTCCCCCTGTTTGGAGAACAATCCTAATCCCTGTCTTAAGAAGGATTGGCAGACCTGACCTGGCAGGGTCTTGTTTCCTACCCCAGGGAGAGCAAGCGGTCAAGTTATGAAGATTCTACACCTCATGCTTCTATCATGATAGACAAAAAAGTGGGCGAGAAAGCCTTCACAAACACGAGATATCCATCGGTCTAGCCACCGTCAGCGACATGAGACAGATACTGGACGCACAGTGTGAGGCTGCCGCAATTAAGGCGAGGGAAAGGCTGATACAAATCTTAAATATAAGTATTGCACTTTGGATGAACGCACGTGAAGCGCAATCTTCGCTGCTGTTAAGAATCTAGTCACCGATACAAGAATAGTGGGCCGTACAGGGGTATTTCTGTTCACGATGATGAGATATAACCCCTCCCAGTATAGGGTAGTTCCAAAGAAGTGGCATTGCGCTCTAATAGGAGCAATTTGGGTGTATTCAGGTGTTATTTTGTGCGGATCTGGGAGAATGCTCAACTGGTATGTTCGTGATAGATAATATCCAAGACCTGGTTCACCTCCAGCATCTCCGTAAAATGTGGCTAGTCTGAGGAAACCCGGGCAGCGAAGGAGGTATCGAACACTAAGTATGTATCCAACACTAAGTGCAGTTGGGTCTCTTGCAACATGGAGAAAGGCAGTCAGGAGAACGGCCCTGGAGTCGGCTTCAGGACTTCGACGTGATGGCTGTGTAGTTGGAGTGAGAGGAAACGTCCAGACTTCCTTTCTAGTAGGCTATGGAATGTGCATATGAGAGCCACTGGCCAGAGATTCATAGCAGTGCCGCTGTCCTGTGAGACGGATCCTTGACTAGAAAGCATGTAAGTTCTGGAATACCCTCCCGTAGTATCGCTGCAGGAAGGCTTGGTCTCGAATTGAGATTAGTCTTTCTGGTTGCTTCGCACGATTAGCTCCTCATTCCAAGTGCTTCTTCTCTCCCTTCGGGGGGAATGGCTTGGCGTTTCCACTGGGCGTCACCGGGACGGTGAAGATGCTGGTAGGCCTGGGACCCCAGATTCAGCTACAATCGGGCGGGGCCAGCTTCGCCTTCCCGGCTGTCCTTCCGAGCTGGATTGGATGAAGTTATGTGAAACATACAAGGAGACTTGTGAGGGAACCGCCTGGTTGGCCGCGCAACAACATGCAGAAGAGCATTTGTGACCCCAGGCGATAGAATTCTCTAGAAGCCATTAGCGTTGGAACTGGATGCTTCGTGGCGAAGATTTCTAGCCTCGTACAAGGGCAAAGTGCAGATGTGCCAGCTCCTCCTCTTGGTTCTCTATCGGCATGACTCGTTTAGGCACGTCTGCTAATGACGTCGCCTCCTCGAGTCCTAGTGGTTACACCGTGTAAGGGTGCCAAATTGGCAGCATCAGGCATCCCCGGTTAGGCTGTAAGTCCGAGATTTTCTGGGCCGAAGGTTCCCTGGCAGGAGAGAGAAAGGAAGAAAAGAAAGCTTTATAAACAAAGGTCATGTCTGATGAGTTCAGTGTATACCACCAAATTGGCTGAGTTGGCATCCAATAGCAAAAGTACGGAGGTCAACAAATTGTTCCTACCAGGAGAAGAGGTACAGCTTGAGATCCTAGAATTTCTAAATAGTCAATTAATCCACAACTGCCCTCGCCGTGGCACCACTGGAGCCGTCGAACAGAAAAGGAGGAGACGACCAAATCCCGCTGGCAGACAGGGAGGCCTGTGTGAAATGAAGGATGTAAGGCAAAGTGAAAAAGTACGGACAACAGCAGAGAGATACGCCGATGAACCAGCCCCAACAGAAGTGGCCACTCGGCGCATACGCTAAGGCAAAACTATTCACCGGGGTTATTTTCCTTCTTGAGACCCATATAATTGCAGCCGCAGCCTAGGATGCTGGCGTGACGTTCCGCTGGTGAAAGGCTCTCAACGTCTCCATGCATCGCCGGGCCATAATCAACGTTTAACCTTTTTCCTTCTCAGTAGCTCCCCCACTGATCAATCCTTCAATCTAAAAAGTATCGACTGTGTCTGTCGCAAATTTCTCTCTGCAACCGCTCTCTTTTCACTGAACCATACCATGACAAGAACGCCTGGCGGTCGCACTGCAAACAGCGGCTCCTCCTCCATAAACAAGTCCTGTATATGCCACCACTCCCATTCACCTCCAAGACATGAACCAGTGACGGGCCCCAATGGGCGTCGATTTATCAGGCGAGTAACTTGGCGCTCGTCAACGTACAGACTCATGGCCTCCCTGTGGGTGTTGGGTGCGTTTTGTATCCTGTGGCTTGTACGAGATCTTTTCTATTTGCCATCATCCCAGTTCGAACGCAGCCGGCTCGCCCGTACCACCAGTGAGTACATTACCTCCTTTCTGCAGAAAGAACTTGTGTCATTTGTAAGAGCTCGATGCTCACTATGTCTTGCTTACCCTTCAGGCGAAGAATGAAGGGCGACAGAATTGCGACTTCAATGTCTATTTTTCTATATGAGCGCGATCGGGTGTTACGGGCCATTCGTCTCAGACAATCTCTCTGTATATAGAGAGAAAACTGTTCGGCTCTGTCTTATCACTTACTGGGCCATAGTCTTTTTGATTTCTTTCTGTTTGTACAGATTGTACTTTAGCATGCTCACTGTTCGGAACTACCACTCCGTGCTGGCTCGTGTTTCACTTCCCCTAGAATCCTACCGCAATAGTATAAAAGACCGGACTGGCCTGCTTCATGTTGACCGCCAGTGTGCAGGGTACAATATTCAATAGAGCTAAGAGTAACAAGTATTTTGAAACCCTTCGCTTATGTGTCCTACCAATCTTCTCTGGAACTATAGTACCAAGCTTTTCAGGCAACGCAGTGGTAGATCCGGCCAATCAGGCTAAACTGGGCTCTTATCATCCGCCAATCATGACTCAGTATTTATAAGGAACTTGCAAGGACAAGGATTGAGACTGTAGCGGATGTGGAGGACGAGGACAGGACGATGGAAGTGAAGTGGAGATCTGTCAGAAGCAGGGCGGAACTCTCGGCAAGACTGAAGGGAATTCTGCCACATGTACTCCGTATCTAGTTCTCTCATGCGGCTTCATGCATTCCTCGCTTCCCTTCTCTAGAGTTGATACCTTCGTTGGGCGGTACGAAGGATTATTCTTCCTTGACTGCAACACAGACCAACGTTTCAGTAGTGATTCAGACACTAAAAATATCAATCAGATTGATATTCCCTTGCTAGTTTTGCTACCGCCTCAGCTAAAATGCTCTGCATCATACGTAGCGATGGACCAAACGCTAATGTATCATGGAACAGCTGCACAGCGGAATGGAAACTCTCCAAAACTTCGGGGGGAATAATACTGGATAAACTGGGGCTTCCTTTAGCTTAAAGTGCTGCCATTGTGATGTTAAACACACTGGGATATCGTTTAGCGTCCAAGAAAAACACCACAGAAAATAATCGTCATACCTGGCATAGAGTGTCCATATGTTCGGAAGGCACTGTGGGATACAGGCAGCCGCACTCAAAATAAAGTGATTATAAGTTTGATGAAATTCAAGGCAGAATGGTAGGAGTGTTTTATCGTATTCCTCTCCTTCTACCAAGGCCTGGTGGACTTCCGGCCACAGTATTGACGCTCTGTACGCATGATATTGAGTTCGAAGAAAGAGCAATTGCGGGTTTGTATTGCACTCGGAAATGAAATAACGATCGAAGCGAAGGAATTCCGGTAGGTGCGAGTGCCACTGCTCGAGCTGCAATTGCAACTCAGTCGATATAACAGGAGCGAACGATTGCTTTTCGCTAGGTAATCTTTGAGTCGATGCCGTACAGCGTTGGAGCATCCGTCGCATGGCGGTCTCTGCTAGAAAGTATGAAAACAGCTGACTTGAGGACTGGGAATTGCTGAACGATCCGCCAGGAGAGTCAGCTGGCGCGCTGAAATGGGATGGGCGTGCCTCATCTACTGGATATGACCAAGATGGCAAGGGGACCTCATAATCGAGGGTCCAGACACTGCGATTAGTCAGATCTAGCTGAGTTGCTAGCTCACTTTCGATCAACAGAGCCACCCATAATGCACGCCGAATAAGTTCCTGGTTTTTTGGGTCGAGAGAGGCACTCTTCAGCGGGTTCTGCGCACGTATGGACGCAATGAGAATATAATCGTGCGCTTGGCAGGGCTTGACCAAACATAAATAGTACGTATTTGTGAATATCAAACACTGTAAGGCCGTGAGACTGCTTTCATAAGTATGGTTGGCAGTAAAAGAAGCACCTGTTCCATTAATGGAGCGTCGGGTCGCTCTCTGAGCGCCACAGGCAGCGACTCGCACTGGGCCAGCGACCCTATCGCCATTAAGATCAGATACAGGCAGCGTTCCGAAGAAATCCTTGGGGGTCTCCTGTGTTACAGAGCTTCTCACGCTGCTGAAGGCTAAGGATGGAGTACCAGGTGTGAATTCTGTTGAAAAATGCCGTGACAGCGCTACCGCAACCCATTAGTTAGGGATCTTGAGATCAGGCGGACTTCTGAGGATATGACTAGCTAGAATGTTTTAGCACGCGCCTGATTGGGCTGGAACCTCTAGAAAAGAACTTGCGCACTCCGAGGGGCGACGGATGGAGCGTAGGAACTATTGCTCGTTCAGCATCGGTCATACGGTGAGCAAGGTCCCGTTTGAGGCCAAGGAGTTCCATGAAAGCAGCGTTCTGAATCACCATGCATGAAACGGAAGAGGACCTAAGCTCGTCTGCTCTGCCATTCTGCTCTCGCTCCCAGCCGGAAATCGGTACAGCGGTGGACGCCTGGTTTACCAGACAGCATCCGCACTGCTGAACGGAAGACAGCAGTTTCTCGACACTATTCAGTCTGTCCCGGATGCTGACAAGTCTATCTCCACTCTGGATGTGTTTTAGCTAAATTACGCCTTGTTTTAAGTATGTATTTGTCCTTTTATAATAGGTAATTCTAGCACATTTTGATGAATTAGTATTATTTGAAGTATAGTTAAACATCATGGAATTTACTTTAAACAACTAAAATGGCTGATTGAAAATTCAATGTCAAATATGTCAAGTACATAATCCTAAGAAAACATGGTGCTCCAAAAGAAGCACAAATATGTAATCTGACAGGCATTTTATAAGTCCACACTAACTTTGCTATTTAGTTATTTTACTAGTTACTACTACTATTTATAGCTAAAGTATCAGGGTATACGCTATCTAGCAGTGTAATGCCAGTTGATCAGGTAGAGAGTCTGGTAGAAAAAGGGTAGCATAATGGAGGCGAAACAATGCTTAGTCAAATTGTCATGTACTGCTGATACAAAGCTGAATCTTGAAGAGATTCAGACAAGGACTCAAAGGAGGAGCCTTAAGGCCCCAGTCCAGGCCTTGCGGTCTAATCGCGGCCCAACGTCCTTGAACCGTGACCATCGAGGACTTCGGCCCATTCGTGGGCCCTGATGAAGCCTAGACGCTTATAATCGAAAGGTTTCAGCTTTTCGACGGGGCAGTGAGACGGCGACTTCGTATGTTGCATTACATTTAACAATGATAGTAGGCCGAAAAAACAATGTTCAAAATGTAAAAGAATCAGCCTGTCCCGGTCTTCTGGTAGCATCAAGCCTCAGGTCGCTCAACATGGACGCTACTGGTGTCCACTTTCATCTCTCCTATCGCAATTTGTGGAGTCTCCTGTGCCATTTGCTTGAAGTGGCGTGGTTTCTCCTTCAGAGCGAACAGTTCGTCAAGTTTCTCGAATGATATTCCCTGAACAGACCATCAGCATATATTCGCTGCAAAGTAGAGTCTAGACTTACCTTGGTCTCTGGATACAGGAAGAATCCCCCAACAGCAGCAATTAAGCCAGTGCCCAAGAAAATGAATCCTACTTTACCTCCGAGGTTTCCGGCATCAGGGTTAATCTTCATGGTACAATGTTAGCAGGAGCGGGGCCGAGGGGGTGTCTTGTATAGTATACCAAGGAAGGGAAACATACCATGTAAGGAATAGTGAACTGCATAATCAGGCCCCAAGCAGCATTCGAAATGGTGACCAGGCCTTGAGTCGCACCACGGAGGCGCATGGTTGCAAGCTCCGATGCAAGTACAAATCCTGTAGCCCCAATGGAAAGCTGGTAAATGATAGCCCAGACGTATATGAAAGCAACGATGCCCCAACTCGCTTTGGCACGATTGGGAATACATCCCATGATCCCAATGACCAGAAGCATAAAGCAAAGGGCAAACTGAGGCCCGACAATCAAAGTGCGGCGGCCGACAATCTCAGTGAGTGGGAAAGCAACCATGCTCGCGAGAAGCATGACAACATATAGAGCCACAGAGGCGTTGAAATAGTTATTGACGCCGATGAGTTCAAGGAAGTATGTCGCGTAGCCTATAACGAAAGTCGCACCGATCATCTGTTGGGCGCTCGCTGCGAAGATGGCCGTCAGTGTCCTTTTGAGGTTGGTGCCTCGGAAGCACTCGGCCTCGGCCGAGAAGTTGATACCACATGGTCGGCCACTGTGTTTCGCATCGATATCGCCTTGAAGATCCCTTGTTAAACGGATTTCTGACTGCATGCGATTGATTTCGGCGTCATAAAATGATTCATCCTTGAATCCGTAAACAACCTTGAGAGATTTTCTGCCCTGGGCTGTCTTGCCCTGACGGATTAACCAATAAGGCGATTCTGGGAAGAACAGCCACCCAGACACGAGGATAACTAAGCACACTGGTTAAAGAGAAGGACCTCGTGGAAGTAAGTGAAGGTAGAGGACTCACGAGGAAATGTGTACATGGAGACAACAGGTAGCCACCATTGCCTACAAAGTGAAGTTAGTATAGGTGGAAATACAAGGAAATACAAGCACAGACTTGGATCTTACCATTTAGTTGTCAGATAGCTGCTCCCTTTCGATACAGCCACACTAAATCAAAAAATGATTTGTTAGTCGAGATCGATCGCCATCATCACGATGGTTGCTCACATTGCAAATTGTCCAAAGACAATACTCGTATTGAAAAAGCAGAGAAAGAATCCCCGAAGCTCGGGCCGACAGGTCTCTCCAATCCAGAGAGGAGAGACGGTGAACATCATCCCAATGGCAATGCCTGTTTGAGTGTCAGCAACGCTAAATGAGAGGGCAAGTGATCGGAGGATGTACCATTAATGCCACGACCAGCAAGGTGTACTATCCAATCACCTGCCAGCTGCTGGAGGAGGATACCCCCCGCGGAGATGAAGGCAGCTACCAGAATCCCAGGCTTCCGCCCGAACTTCTCGAGCAGCGGCGCGAAGATAAATGTCGAGACAATCTCACAAGCCGGAGCAATAGAGCTCCAAGCAGAAAGATAATGAGCTGGAATCAAGTAACTGCCGTCCGCCTCCAAAATGCCAAATTTCTTCTGGAATTCGGGCAAGGCAGCTAGCTGACCGCCACCGACGAGATCGTAGCCCTGCATGACCACGCCGCTGGATATCCAGAGAGCTGGTTTTTAACAAGTCAGAACTGACTGTATGACGGGATATCAGGCGAGAGGGCACATACACCACAATGCGAAGTGCCATTGTTCTCTCAGCATGCGCCACTTATTGGCGGGGTTGATGACCGAGTAGTCTACGCTGCAGGATGAGCCATTAGTTGAAAATTCGGATTGCACCAATAGACGGGCTAAAATGCCTCATGAGAACTCATACATAGACATCGCCAAAACGTGAAAATGGGCCTAGATTCAGGCCCAAAGCCCAACCCACTGTGGGCTTTGGGCTTTATATATATCTTAAGCCCAACTTTGCATAAAACTGGTCTTGGCGCTCATAGATCTGCTGACTAATATTGAAATGCACAAAAAGACGGTATATTTTGATTTTTTACTAAAATTAGTAAATGTTGTAGACTAGTGGGCCCCCAATGGGCCTCCAACAATGGGCCGAGCAACGGGTCCAAAACCTAACCCATTTGTGGGTTGGGTTGGGTTGGGCTTTGGGCATTGTGGGTTTTGGCAATGTCTACTCATACATGGCTGCCATAGAGTCTCGCTCGTTGGGAAAACCCTGATTGAAAGGGAAGTGGTCTTTGCAGTTGGGAACCCAAGATTGCCCGGTTGTTCCTAGAGGGCTTTATAGACATACCGTGATGGCTTTAGCGCTGAGAAGACGTCTCCAGGGGTTTTAATTTTTGGAAAACGAGTGCCAAGCCATGGGGACGCAAATATGGGGAAGAATAACGTGGATCGAACAGCAGGGGACGTGCCTCGAGTTTACACGGATTTGGCCAGTCTGGCTCCTTTTTCGCCCCTCCGGCTTCAGGCGCGGAGCGACTTGGTAGCTCCGCGATACGCCCCAAGCATTCCAGCATTCCTTCATGTATCATTTATTGTGCCATAGAATGGATATTCAGCATTTTCTGCATACCCAAAAATTTAAGAGACAGCAATACTACAAACTGATCAATACTGAGCACTGAACACTACGAAGCCTGCACTCGGAGACGATGATCGGCACCGAGGCGAAAGCTGTTTCCACGGCATTTAATTCTTCCTCGACGCTGTGCCAAATGTTAGCGCTCTCTTCTCTCTTCGTGGTCACGTACTGACCGCGGGGGGGGGAGGGGACGCTACGCTGGCGCCCGCTTGGTAGATGCAGCGCACACCACGGGTTTGGCAATAGTGGCATGACGGCCTCTGTGAATCGCACTTCGTTCTCCGTGTGCAACATGCGTCATATGCCGGAGTTGTGCGTTTGCTCTTGTATGGGCGGCGTTCTTCCATAGTCAAGGGTACGTTGTGGAAGCGTTGGGAGACGCTCGGTCTGAATTGCGGAGGAGGACGTGGCCTCCGCTTCTTGAGGGTTCGGTACTCCCCGCGCTTGACCTCGCACTTGACTTGGCGGAAAACCAGCGATGCTCCGCCGTACGAAACTCATTTCCTGTATCTTGGGTGAACAGATCCAGGCGTAAGCTGGCGTTCTTCGCCGAATATCTCGCGGCTCAAGATGGTCAAATCGCTGTAACGGAAAAGAATCCTCTCATCCTCTCCTTGAGGCCAGCAGGCCTATTCCGATCGCGATAAGCAAAGGATCAGACCTTTGGTGAGGGGGTTTGTCAAAGAGTGATACGGACTCCAAAGGCTTGTCAGGTCGCATCAACGGTCGCGCACCACGGAGGCCACAGAAAACTGGTGCGTAAGGCTTCTAGCGATATTACTTGCAAAGGGTGGCATTTACCATCACCCCACGTGGTTGGCCGAGGATCTCCAGCATTGGAGCAGTGGCCAATCGGTCGCAAGCATTTGAAAGCGAGATTCGAGGTTGGAAAGCTCAAGACTTGGCTTCATGGTCTTGGTCTTCCGGTCAAGGATGGCCCCTTGAGGCATACATACAATTTTGACGAGATTGGCTTCCTATTGAGTGATGGTAAACTCGGATATTTTTAAGGCTTATTATGCCTCATCGGTCACTTGAACTTCCAACGGCCAATCAGCGTGAATCTGTCACTGCAGTCGAATATGTGGTGCCAAAAGGGCTTTTGGGGTTGTAAGCAATATTTTTTCGGTGGATCCATAGCCTTTGATGTAGATTAGATATTCGAGATGAATTATAGGTTTGCTTGAAAGTTCGATTGTGACCAAAAGTTAGATTGCAACCAAGCCCACCAGAACCCTACTCCGCGGAGGTATTAGTCCATTCCCCGTGTCTCGGCCAAGGATCGGGCCAAAGAAGGTTGTCCATGATGGCTTGGCAGTGCAGCTTGAGGTTATAAACGAACGCAAGGACGGTGCCCTAGATCCTGCTTGCATCAAAATAAATCGGTAGTTCGATAAAACCGTGACTCCGCGCAAAATGCCTATCGGAAGTCATCTGCTGGCCAGCCTGGCCAAGAGAAAAGTCGCCCGCACGGCTCGGGTGGCTAGTTGGGACCATAGGGGCCTCAACGAAGATGCCTTTGTGGTGCTACCCGGGGAGTCCATTGTCCTCGCCGATCTCGAGGGACCCGGCGCCATAACGCACCTGTGGTTTGTGCAGACCTGCCGCAAGATCCTAGGCCCGGGGTTGATTCCCTACTCCAAGTCTGGGGTCGCGATGATGGAGATCCACAACGCCCTCGGCCTCAACTACGAAGTCAGCGACCCGGACTACTACCGTACGGTGCTTATCAAGATGTACTGGGACGATTCCGAGACTCCGAACGTTATCGCGCCCATCGGCGATTTTTTCTGTCTCGGTCATTCCATGGCGGCCAACTTTCAGTCTCTCCCCTTTACGGTGTCAGTCAAGCCATCCGAGGAGAAGAAGTTCGGCGGTGCTGCAGCATTCAATTGCTATCTCACTATGCCGTTCAATAAACGCGCACGCATTGAGATCGAGAACCAGAACGACGAGGCGTATTTCCAGTACTTCTACATCGACTATGAACTGTACCCCGAGCCTTTGCCAGCGGATACGCTTTACTTCCACGCTCATTGGCGCCGCATGAATCCCACGAATGGCTGGGCACCGTCCCACATTCAGACCAACAGCCTCGAGACGCAAGTGCCGAACCTAGACGGAAAGGACAACTACGTCATTTTGGAAACCGAAGGCAGCGGGCAGTACATTGGTTGCAACCACTCCGTTGCACACTTCCAGGGAACCTGGTGGGGTGAAGGCGACGACATGATCTTCATCGACGACGACACCTGGCCGCCTAGCATGCATGGTACTGGTGGGGAGGACTATTTCACGCAAGGATGGGGCATGCAGAAGAATGCGTACCCGTTTTGCGGCACTATAATCCATGAAGAAGACGTACCCAACTACCAGGTTAGCTACCGCTGGCACCTGACGGACCCTGTGCGTTTCAACAAAAAGATTAAAGTGACCCTGGAATCTGGGCATGCGAACCATCTGCGGGATGACTGGAGTACCACCGCATACTGGTACCAGACCCTTCCTGGTCCAAAGCTCGACACCCTGCCCGTGGAGAAGCGCATTCCGCGCAAGCCTCAGTTCCCGCCCTCGGATGATGTACCTGAGCCAGATGTGAGCAGCATGAGTGCCGAGAAGCAGGCTATGGTTAAGCAGCGCGATGAGCGGATGGAGGCATTTGTCCAAAACCGGAATGAATGGCTGGCGAGGAGGGCACACGATTCTCAAGAGCGTGCACGCACCAATGTTGAGATTTGCAAGGACATCCGGCGACGCTTCTTGCAGGGCTTGGGCATGTAGCGAGCAAATGGAGTCAATGGAGGTCTCGCACTCGAGTCTAATAAAAATATTTCCACGTACCTGAACTAAGCCTCTACTTTTGCCAATTTATGCGACAGATGACATCCAAAGCCAATTGGCGGTCGAGAAAGACAAGGGCCCACCTCAAGTGTAGCTGTATCCTAGGAGCCGTTATTGATCCCTGGCTGTAGATTGATCGCGATGGTGCATGCTTATGACAGCCAAACCATCCAAGACTAGGACTTCCAGCCTGGTAAGAACCTAAGAAACCCATGCGACGAATCTCCGGCATTAATGGCCCGTCAAAACTTCTTAGACGAATCCCAGCCCATAGCGATACTGCACTTATTGCTCCTGAATAAAATGCAGGGTTAGTTTTATATTATTTCGTTCTCGGATACAACGAGACCAAGTCGTAATTCTTGACTAAATGTGTCAAATGTTTTCCGTTTCTCCACCAGAATGGGGGAAGAGCCTATTCTTCGGGAAAAGAGTGCATTCCGCAGCGAATACTGAGACTGGAGAGAAGAGAGCAAGGTGAAGTCCTGGAACTTCGGTGCTTGCCTTCTCTCTTCTGCATCCACCAATCAGATCGCTCAAAACTAGCTGCTCTCTCTACACATAGTTTCCCAGCGTCACAGTGGGTCTGCTCGAGTTATTTTGGTGAATAGTGAAGTGTAGAGTGGTAAACATAAAACAATGTGAAATTTGTCGCGACTAAGAGCGCGTGCTTGTAAATGAGCGTCCTTATATATCTAATCCTTCCTGACGGAGTGCAACGTTGCTGCTAGACGCGTCTTGACGGGAGCTACCTGTCGATCGGTATACCGTATACCGTATAAGTCTGCTACAATGATCACGTGTTATCGTCTTCTCACCTGTGGTCGCTTGTTCGTGTGATGGAGTCATCTTCTTGACGGTAAATCGGAGGCTTTCTCTGTACATTCAACTTACTGGGTTTCAGCGTCCTTTTTTGCTTCGGAGTACTTCTAGAGTCTAGTGGGAATGATTCATGATCATGTTTCCGGGATGGGTGGATATCAGGAAATGCACGTGACTGCGTTAACGCAGTGTTTCTGGAAGTGGTTGGCTCTTGGTGGCCCATCTAGTAGCTACAGCTCAGTGCGAAAATATTCGACGAAGGAGGTAGTGAGTTAAGACATCCGATTATTAAAGCCAGATTATGCCTGTGACTACCCACCCTAAACTACAGGAATAGAATTTGGTCCGCGGAGCATCGCTGGTTCTCCACCAGTCAAGTGCAGGGTCAAGTGCGGGGGTACCGAACCCTCCATAAGCGGAGGCCACGCCCGGCTCCGCGATTTATACCGAGTGTCCCCGTCAACGCTTCCACACCGTACTCTTGACTATGGAAGAACGCCACCCAAACAAAAGAAAACGCACGACCCTGGCATGCGATGCATGTCGCACACGGAGAACGAAGTGCGATTCGCAAAGGCCGTCATGCCACTATTGCCAAACTCGCGGCGTTCGCTGCATCTACCAAGTGCCGCCAGTGGAGCCCCCCGATCGGTACGTGACCACTCTCTCCGCACCACGAAGACAGCACTAACATTGGGGACAGTGTCGAGGAAGAACTGAGTGCCATGAATAAACGTCTTGATTTACTTGTCAGCTTGATGCTTCCCACACAGCCCATTTCCCCGAGCGTTCATGTTGGGGGGTCCCGGTCGGAATATGAGGTGTTGGCAAGCCAAGAAGATTCGCCATTCGATTTGCCTTCCAAGCTGCTTAGTAATTCATCCCTCATGCATGTGCTAGGATTAGACGCAGATTTCGCGCAGGTCCTGCTACGAGAGGAACGGACTACCGCGTTCGAGGCCAATGCGAACGCAGGTACACGGATGCTTATTGTTCGTCATCGGCATATAGTGAGGTAGGTCGAGCCAAATTGAATTAAGGTATCGGCAACTGATTACCATGTTAGCGCCTTGGCTGGATTCTCCGCACACGTCCACATCTGGTATCCCATCCTCCCCTCGGGATTTTCACAAGAGTACTTTCGGGTACTCTCTGGATCCTTGCCTCGCTCTTCGGAAACTTGCCTCTCACTTCTCGTGGTCGCGGTCGGTCTTGTTGTCGAGGGAGACGAAGCAGTCCCAGATATCCCGTATTTTCAAACCGCCATCGCCTTGCTGCCGATCATCATCTCCGAGTGCAGTGTTCGCAGTGTTCAATGCTTAGTGTTGATCAGTTTGTATTATTGCTGTCTGTTAAAGCCTTGCCAGGCACACGACTATTGCTTGATTGCGTCTTCCAAGATCCAGAACATCGTCAAAAGGTGATATACCAGCCCTGGCCATAGTGAGACAGTGCTGACGTATTTAGTCCAGTGGACTGGAAGGTGATGACCCAGATACTATTGACCAAACTCGGCGTGCATATTGGGGTGCACTACTACTCGAGAAGTAGGCAGTCCAACGTTGCTAAGTATCATTCATCGCTGATTTTAATTGAAGTGAAATTGCTGGCCAATTGGATGTCCCCAAGAGTGGCATTTGGTGTCTGGATGAACATGTCCCACTGCCACTATGCCAGCAGACATGGCATTTTCAGCCAGAGATCACGTCGCCAGCTGCTACTGCGCCTGCTTCCCCGGATAATGCACTGTCCACTCTCTCAGACGAGGAAAAAACGCGATCCTATTTCCTGGCTGAGATTGCCATGAGGCGTATGCTACATCGATGCAACACAGCTGTTCAGGCGACATCCACGGGAGAGTACGTTTATGCCCCGAGTATCGCACTGGAGCTGGAACACCAGCTGGAAGAGTGGTATCATTGCCTACCCGAAATGGTCCGTTTTGAAAAGGGTGATGTGTCTCAGTTCTTGGAATTGGTCAAAATACCGCCCTGTCCTCTATCGAACTTTCTGCGGGTCCAGTACTACTGCTGCAAGCTTTCCATATACTGGCCGGCCGTTTATCAGGCGATGCAGGATGGAGCCGTTTCCGGCCACCTCTTGAATCACTGCCGGAGATTCTTCGATTCTTACGTGATGTTGACACCGAGTATTGTTGCGGCGTTCGATAACTGTCATGTGAACAGGTGGACATTATTCGTCAGGTTTGTCGAAAATATCTCTGAGATTGGGGGAACATAACTTTACTAATACTGGGCGATAGTATTTTCTTTACTTCTGTGGCCGCCATGACCGCAGGAAATACCCCTTGTTTGAGTGAGCTCTGTTCACCCCAGTTCCGTCAATGTATCCAAGCACCAGGTCGCGTCGACAAGACGATATTGCAGCAGAGCCCGTCTTTGATGATGATACAAGAAGTACTGGAAGAGCGTCTTTCAGAGGCTAGTTTATAAGGCGTACGCACCGATAAATGATGGTACCTTTAACTAGTGGGATACCAAAAGCACCTTGACACGAGATCATCTACATCTTATTTCAGAGTACTTGACAAACCATCCCAGACAATTACATCGTCAATAAAAGCGCTCCCTGGGCCCCCCTCTGAAAATGCTGCTACGACGATAGGGCTAATACAACTCGGAGAATAGATCATCGTTGTAAGAGCAAAACGATCATTTGCAAATATCTCCAAAACATCTGAATCAGCGATAATGCGGATACGCAAGTCCTCCAATTTGTCTCTGGGTTCGGGTTCTTGATCATCGGTCCTATAAAATAGTGTAAAGGGACCTTGCTCAGGGCAATTGCTTATGTTGGGATTCAATGCTGGTCTTCCCTTGTTGACCCTGATCGTCTCTTCCTAAAGCAAAAAGGTGATGGTGGTGCTTATGGACGGGTCGCCATTGTGGCTGATAGAGAAGCCTACCTCAACGCAGCGGCTTGGGGCGATTGTAATGGTTGCCTCGAGCTCCCAGGCAGTGAACAATGCGGAGCAAAGTGCCTGTGCTGCTTGAGCTGTCGAAGATGGGAGTGAAATACGATAGCGTTCACAAACATTATCACAGTGCCTGCAGAGTTGCGTAATCTCTTCAACCGGCCGAATACCGAGAGTGCGTATAATGACTGAACCGTCTTTGTCTGGAACCTTCTCGACAGATGCTATCTCAGACAGAGAACTGTGAAGAGCACAAGTAACACTTGGTATAGAAAGGAGAAAGAGTTCGCGAGCAATAGCCAAGGCACCGTTCCACCCTTTGCGTTTGGTTTAATCGGCTGTAGTGTCTTCTTCAGAAATCCATGCATGCATTATATGTCTTGGATAACGCATCGAAAAACGAATTTGCCGCATACAACGACCCGCAGTCCAAATATCCGCCATGAGCGAAGTCAACAGGAGTGGTATCTCTCCCTGCTCGCAGATCACCAAACATCCACAGCAGAGAACGAACAGTCCTTGGAGGAACGTGTGAGTGGTGTTTGAGATTCCGGATGTGTTCCCGTTCCACGTCTCCCTTCGCACCAAGAATGAGGCACTCGCGGCTAGTGCTCTCGGATCTAAGCGTCAGAAAATTTGCGCATTCCCAGTTGACTCCAAAATTCCCAGACCACTTCTGCGAGGGTTGGAACCGCGCAGACATATCGACCAAGGGACACAAATAGTGCCATTCCGATACGTTCTCATGCGGCACTGAATATAGGAAGGCCGTCGGTCCGTAGCCGTCGATTCCGCCCGAGACAAGACCATAGAGGGACTTCTGACTACTGAGTTGGTCCAAAGCAGGCCATTCTGATAGGAAGGAATCACGGAAGTCAGTTAATTGAAGCCCTTGGGTTCGCCCATCAAGATAGCCTGGTTCTCAGAGAGTTTCGTCGTCCAAGTCTCTCCATTATCGTTAGATTGGGCGATTGCTAGTCGAGCAGCGTCGCTGGAATATGGGGGTGTGCTCCAGTGAAAAGGCAAACGGCGGACAGACGAGTATATAACTTCAGCGAATCTTGGGAATTCGTGGGTGGTACCATGCAACCGGTAAAGACTCCATCACGATCGTAAGGCTAGTCAGGAACTAAAGCGGGCGTGGCGGAGGGTGTCCAGGAAACGAGGTTTTTGCTGGTAAGACGACCCCATGACATAGAGCCCCATTCAGTGCTATGTGGATTGCCTGGATAATGTCAGTGGAATCCACCCACGGCGCCGGAAATACCTACATTGATAGAAGACATGGTATAAGCCCGTGCTCGGATCATAGCCGGGCGCACAAGGATCGTTGATCCAGAAGCCAGCCGTGAAATGTAGAGAGCGCCTGGTGTGATCGGAGGCCATCCTTGCTGCCTTTAAGATCAAACTTATTGTCGAACTTACATTATATACGCCGCTCTTCTCGCCATGGCCTGTCAAGGCCGAGCTCGGCATGTACCGAGTATCGCGGAGTCGGGACGGACTTCTCCCGCCACGGGCCGATCTCGGTAGGTGCCAGTGTGTCGCGGAGTGGCGCTGGATCTCCGCGAGACTCATAGATTCGCTATCCAGATTGCGTTCTACTTCAGAATTAACGTATTTAACCTCATTGTCGATCCATGTAGATTTTTGATGCTATACTTAACGTTGTCTTCATCATGTTTGGAACCAACACTTCCGCCACATATTCGTACATAGACATCGCCAAAACCCACAAAGCCCAAAGCCCAACCCAACCCAACCCATAAATGGGTTGGGTTTGGGCCCGTTGCTCGGCCCATTGTTGGGGGCCCATTGGGGGCCCACTAGTCTACAAACAGTATAAACATTTACTAATTTTAATAAAAAATCAAAATATACAGTCTTTTTGTGCATTTTTCTGTCTTTCACCCGCGGGGCGGGTGGGAGCCAGGTCTAATGATACTATAATATAATATCAGACCATGGAAGCCTAAGTCCGATATAGTTATTATCTCCCTATATAGCATCATGCTACCGGTTTAGGCGCACTTAATAAAGTACAGATTGGTTCTCTTTTGAATACTCAATGGTGGATAGAATACGCGATGGAAGAAAAGGATGGCAAAGACATTCTCATTTTGAGGACAGGGCAGATTTCAAGTCTTTCCGCGGGTAACATATTAGGCGTCCAATATTGCATTAAATATTATGTTCCAGGTCAAACAAAATCGATTTGAAACGATTAATCTGCTAAGACCATGGATCAAGCAGCAACCAATGTCTGCTTACTCAGATCAATCTCCTTGATATAAGGAATTCCTGTCAACCTGAATGCCCTCTCGCTCAGTTTAGGATCATTCAGAGGTACAGATCGGTTATGAGGGTCTTCCTTCCCATCACGCTGAGCAACGTTCGATCCAGTGTGTTTGGCGTTTGGCCAGTGTGTGGTGCCAACCCGACGCTCAAAAGCATCTTTCTTCCGATGCAGATCATCCTGCGTCGCATCTGCAACAGGCATGAAGCAAGTGTAAATCGCGAAACGAGGCTGCTCCTTAGTGGGGCTGAGATTGTAGTGGGGCGTGCGCGAGTCCCACAGTAGAAGATCACCAGGTTCGGCGCATACCTTCTCCCACTTGCAACCGTGGTCTTCCAGCCACTTCATTCCTCGGTCGGTAAATCCATACCATTCCGGTGTCCATGCTGGAATTCGCTCCTCGTCGGCCATTTCTTTGTGGAACTGCTCGGATAGAAGATGGCCTCCTCGACAAACGATTAGGCCACCGTCATCTGGGCCGTTGGGTAGCATGTTGACTAGACCTTGCATGCAGCGGAATCCGGGCTTGGCAGGATCCTGGTCCTGGTGAGGCCAGGGTTTGTTAGGCGCGATATCAGTGCGGCTAGAGGAATGTCAGCGTATTCATTATCCTGATTGGATCAAGTTCAACAGACAACGTACTTTGGGAACTGGAAGTTGATGGCGTCAAACGAGACGATCAGATCTTCGTCATCGTAGATCTTCTCGAAAGCGCTTATGACTCCTGGCTCACTGCGGATTCCCCACACAAAATCTTCATGGGAAAGGCCATAGTTAAGACACATGCCCTTCTCGTTGATGACTGGGAGATTGTCTTTGTGAACGGTGGAGAGATCGTTGCGGTCGTAGCCCAGGTTGCTGCCAAACTGGTTAGTCACCACTGGCACATGCTAGATAGCTCTGGAGGTGTACATAGAACTTACAAATTTTCAAGCCATGAGTGCATCTTGTCGGCATATTGCAAGGACTTCTCGTGGGGAATAGCCCCCTTCACGACGACAAACCCGTTCTTGGTTAGCTCATCGCGGAAATCGCCAAACTCCTTATCGGTTCCATCAACACGCATTCGCCCGAAACCGTGGAGGTTCGGGTTGGGTTGGTCCTGTTTGGTGACGGTAGTGGTGACAGACATTTTTCGGCAGGTACGATGTGAACGTTCTATCTGCATCTGAGATTTTTGACCTTCCGTAGAGCTGTCGACGTTTATATGTTGACAATCCCAGGACACAGACGACACGATGATAAATGGGGTCATCCCCGTACCGACCCTCAAACCAGATCAGAAGCGCCAGGAAGAAAATCAGCAGATCGTATGCCCCGTGTTCGGTTCGGTTCGGTTCGGAAGGTGGAAAGAAGAAAAGGTCCTGGTGTTTAATGTCTGAAGCAATTACCTCTCTAAGAATGTCCGGGCCATTTCGTATCGTTATTGCTGGCGGTGGCATCGCTGGCCTCTCAGCCGCCATTGCGCTCCGTGGTCCTAATAGGCAAATCACAGTATTGGAACAGTCAAGCCTGTGCAAAGAAATTCGAGCCCTCATTTCATTGCAACCTAACGCGTCCAAGATCCTTCAATCCAATTGGGATTTGAAAAATGAACTGCACAATGCCCGAGAGATGGTAGACGAAGGCTTTCGCATCCACAACACCGATGGAACGTTGGTTAATACCATTCCCCTTCTCGCAAAGCCTGAATATGGCTCAGATCGGCTCTTGTTTCATCGGAAAGACCTGCATGACGTTCTGAAAGACGCTGATGTTTCACCCGATCGCGAGGGGGGAGCCTGCCATCTTGCGGCTAGCATCGCGGGTGGTTGAATGTGATGCGGTTGCAGGAATCGTGACTCTAGAAACCGGGGAAAGGATTAAGGCAGACTCGATTATCGGCGCGGATGGAATGTGAGTTCTCCACGATAGAAATACCTTGCTATGTGCTGACCAAACCATTACCAGACATAGTGTGCTTCGGAAATATGTTTTGGGTTCGGAGCCTTGTGCAATGCCAACAGGTCATTCTGGTGGTCTTCTCAAGTGTCTATTAAGCAATTGAATACTGACAAATGAATTGCATAGCGTATCGTCTGATGGTTTGTCGAAACCTTCAAATTGGACTTTCCCCAGCTAACCTCCATAATAGATTCCCTCTGACATTCTTGAGGGAAAAGAACCACAATTTTGCGCAAAAATAAATCTTCGTGATCCATTCACGTCAATGATAGTTGCCCATGACTGTCATATGATCATAGGGCCCAGAAGACAAGGCGAGGTATATGGAATTGTGGCTCTAGTGCCTGATGGTGAGTCATGTTATTGATCTAATGATTTTCTGGATCATCGCTGCTGATCATCATAGACCAATGAACGAAGACCCCCACGCCAAACAGTCTTGGGTATCAAAGGGTGATTTGGAGAAGATGAAGAAGACTTTTGCCAATTTCCCAACTTGGGTAACAGACATCTTCAAGTGAGTTACGATGTCTCGTTCATTTACTCATCTGCTGACCGATACCATTAGACATTCACCAGATCTTGGACTTTGGCAGCTTCGGGATCTTGTATGTTGTACACGCCCAGATGTGACCACTAAATGATTTTAACCAAAATAGGACCCTCTTGTGACATGGCACCGAGGCCGAGTAATTTTGATTGGTGATGCTACACATGATATGCTACCAACGCAGGGCCAGGGCGCTAGCCAGGCGATTGAAGATGCGGAAGCATTGGGCGCCTTTTTTGAGGACGTCACAGAGGCACCGCCTTTCCATTCCCTCACCGAGACTCTTGAGGTAAGTTCGCGAGCCCATCCTTGCATGATGTGACCGAAATGCTGAAAAGCCAAACAGGATATCTTCCAGAGCCGGTATACCCGAGTCAGCCTGATCCAAGCATATAGCCGACAGGCAGCCAAACCTGCGACCGACAAGGGCGCCAAAGTAGTGAACATGTAAGTTCGATCAATTCTCCATCCCAGCACCACTTCTCATTGATTGATTGTTTTCTTACCAGGAAACCGGATGAGTTCATGGACTACAATTGTAAGTATTCCGGGGCAAAGCAGTGGAGATTGGAGCAACTAGCAAATTAAACAAGGGAATACGAATGGCAGCCACTCCCATGAATTATCATTGGCTGAAACTTCACCCAACTTGTAAATAGAGAGAGAGAGAGAGAGTGTGTGTGTGTGTGTGTGTGTGTGTGTGTGTAGAAAGATGCTATATGCAAGATAATGGCAGCTATTGTGTAACAAATTGATTTTCTTCATAGGCCATAAAATTCATGTCTGTCATGTTCCATAAGTCCTCGAACTCAAAGTTCCCAAAAGGATCAGACGTCTCATCGATCGGACCCGATCTCTCAAAATATTGGGGACCGTGTTGCGATATTAGATGTTCACCTGTTCTTGGGACTTCTTGTCGCTCTTGCTGTCCAGCAGTCGTCTCGGCACCAAGCCCTCTAGGAATGTCCATGACAGGTTTTCGAATGCTGCCGTCGGACCGCTGAAATATGGAGACAACTCGTTCGCGCAGGTGCGTGCATGTTTGGGTGAAAGTAAGCTCAAAGCCACGTTGAAGATACCAGGTCTCTACAATCTCGGTGGCAGAGGCCAAAAGCTCAACGTCCGACCTAACAAGTCTGTTGTTTGGCTGTCGAAGAACGCCGAGAGCGAGGACTACTGCGGCTAAATAGGTAGGAGGAGCCGCAAGCAGGGCGGATTGCAAACGGCTGTCGGCCATTTCAAGAGACTGGGTTATGATGGATCTTGCTGCACTTGCGCAGATTGATGCTCCATTCAAGAGGCGGGAGTGGCTTGGCAAATCATCCTTGTTCTTCGAGACTTCTCGGTCAATGCTTTTCTGTGGAAAGATGACCGCAAAGCGCATGACACTGAGCTGCGCCTGTTGTTTGCTTAGTATTAATTTTACCGTACTGGGTTTCAGGCGACTGACGTGGTAATACTGTTGGGAAAGAAAGGCTGAAATGAGCTTATGCTCATCCTTCGAATAGTTCGTAGATGTGTTCCAGGGCTTCAGCGTATGTGGTAATGAATTCCCCCACTCCAAAAGCTCCTGGTCTAGTTTTGCAACCTCGCTGAGCATCTCAGCGGATCCGCCCTGAAACCTGTGTGAGTATAGACGGTTCGAGATTCGACCCATGATTGTACTCAATGCAATCCATGCGCTGAAGTACGGGATGTTCTGATCCGCATTCTTGTCAGTTTGATAGTCGAAATAGACGGAATCATAGCTTCTGTCAATGATGGATGGTCTACCGCACTCTAGCTGCATGAGCTTCTCCAAGGCGAAGCAGGACCACCAGACCCGTTCTTGTAGAGATTGTGAGCCAGGCCCAAGTGTGAACTTCTGTTCAGACGCATTTGTAGCTGCTTTATGTAGTCCGATGGATTGGGCCACCCGGATTGCATGCCCGAGAATATGCCACGCCTGGCCATCCTTCGCAAAGGCTCTCAATGCAAGAGACAAAAGGAATAGAGCTTGCACGCTCGTCAGATACGGTAAGGCGGTTAGATGTCCATGAAGACTGTGGCTGGCTATAAGGCATTCGAAGCTCAGTTCTGAGTCATCGGATGTCTCGTTCATACCCAGTGAAATAATTGCATACGCACTAACAAGAGCAGGAACCTGAGCAAGTGTAACTTTTTTCTGCCATGCTTCGGCCCCAGCCTCCTGCAATGCGAAAATCGTCGCGATGTCTGCTTTGAAGGTCGCTTGGTCGACAACGGGGTAGATTGGCCACAATCGTGCAAAGAAGGCATCAGTGTAGGTAGTCAGGCATTGACGGTCCGGCAGCAGTGATAGCTCGGGTATGAGAGGCATAGGAAATTCTTCCGTGTGTGACATGCCATGTCTAAATAATGGAGCGGCCTGGCTAAAACCGTACCTTGCGAGATGCAGGTCGACAAAATTGAAGAGGCACTGCACACTGCTAGCACCAACGTGCTGAATGTCATAAAACGTCAGAAAGGAGTTTTGATAACGCCGAAAGGAATGACCATCACTCACCTTGACTCTCTCTTCTGTACTATCCGTGTTGACTGCCTCATCCTGTGTAAATGGGGTCTCAGTGGCACCCTGCCCTATCATATGAAGTCCCGGTCGACCATCTTGAATTTGAGCGGCAGTGCTCTCCTGGTATGCCCTAGACTGCCATGAAAAGTGGTTTTCTCCTAGTCTCTCACTTTTGTTTGTGCATGAGGATGAGAGAGCTGGGCTCGCGGATGATCCGGGTAAAGCGGAACTTCGGGTGGCATCTCTTGCATCCGGCGAATCCTGACCCAGCAGGGTTCTCGGGGCAGGGCCGATCGGGTTCAGCACCGAATTGATAGTGCTCCCTGCGTCTGGAGTAGCTGCAGGGAGCTGGAGCGCGACCGGCGAGAGGTGGGCCGGTGACGGAGTAGGGGCTACTTGCTGCCGAGTCTTTGACTGCCAGCGTTTGGCAGCTCGTCGGCGGACAGCAGGGAGGTGGCTCGACTTTCGGGGGTCCGACGTTTCACATGTGTCGCCTCTGACACTGCAGTTACGGCATTTCGGCTGCTGGGCGTCACAGCGAACCTTCCGCTTTCGACACTGGTTGCAGGCTAAGGCTAGCCGAATCGGCTTGCTCTGTGAAGAAGCGCCCCTGATTGCTGAGGGATCCTGCTCGGTAGGCGTGCCGACATGATTTGGGGAGGAAATAGTGCCAAAATGGCGTGGTGATGACATTGAAAGCAACTGGGTCGGATTGTTAAAATGGTGCCATATGCTGGCGAACCGAGCCGCGAGCTTCCTTTTTGTTAGGGAGATCCAGCCGCCAGCGACCCGAGCTCGGTTCTGGTGTCCCGAGATCCACCCCCGCAGTTTCCCCGGATTCCTAGTTTTTCTACCCGAACCGAGGGTATTACGGAAGCATTCCTTGGTCATTGGTTGAATCCTCCTGATCCAACAATTGAGGGCCCTCTACTTCAGAATTGAGGCTTGATCACTCAAATACTGGCTTTGAAAGTACGACCACCCAAGCAGATTCTTCTGAGTAGATCGAGTAACTGTATTCATCACAAAGTCGAGTATGTACATCCACATTTCTACAAAGTGACATGCATTTAATGTCAAATAGATAGACCCCAAACTAGAAAATCCTAGAGTGGCACAAAGGGCAGAATGACTCGACTGGGGAACTCGCCGCCGAAGTGAACAGTGTGCTCACCTTTGTTCTTCTCGTAATCGGGTCTAGGCTTAGAGAAAGCAGCAACCTCAGTGAAACCGGGATACTGGCCTAATATATCCACCTGAATACTCTCCCCCTCCTCATAGTCGACTCCCATGGCCCAGATACCAATTTCCAGCTTGACTATCTCGCCCTTCGGCACCTTTTGGACTTCATCATGAGGATGGAAGGGAAACTGAGGGTGAATCGATCGATGGGGGTCGATCTTTCGCTGGGAAGCACGCAAGATACCGATAGAGCCGTTGTGGGTAGTCAAGCTAACTCTGTCTTTCTCCTCAATTTCGTCCATAGAATCCACGGGGGCGCGACTAAAGGGAAACTGCAACTGTCCAAGCTCTCTCCCATCTTTGCTGAGCTTGCGCAGTTGCACAAAGACTACCATGTCATCCAGAGCTGTGCAGCTCATAAATAGCTCGATCTTGGGGAGGCCGAGGAGGCGGCTCTGTTGAGAAAAGGTGTACTTGAACTTGGAGATGGACCATCGGTCTTCCGAGTCATGCACAGCGGTACCACTGTGACTTGGAAGGTTTGGAGAGAGGCCATCGCCTGAAGTCAGATATAGGGATCGGTATTCGGTGTTTGGAACAGGGAAGTCAGGTAGGATGATGTCGCTGGTGACGTTTTTGTCTCCAAAGGGAAGAGTTGTCCAGCGTACCTTGGGAGTGTTTTCCCAATCGTTATCGATACCTCTAAGGTATTTGTCGAAGAATTCCTGCTGTCAGTCAGTGGAGTTCCATCGCAAAAATTGAAAAAAAAAAAGCGAGGATGGTTATGTTTTCTAACCTTCAGCTCTAGGTAACTTTCGGGAACCGCGTAAAGCTCGAACCACTCTTGATATCCACTCCATTTAATCCACTTCTTGTCTGTGTTGACTTCCATCCATCCTCGGATGGCACCCATGGTGTGAATCTGACTGAAGTCGGATCCCGTAATAAAACACGGGATGTTGATCTTCTTCATGTCAACACGCTTGTCAGACCAGTAAATGCTGGACTGTGGCTTGCGGCGATACATCTCCGCAATGTCCTCAACCCTGGAGTTTCCCTTGATGACCAACTTGGTGATCAAATCATAGTTGCTCATGTTGAACCATCCGCCTCGACAGAATTGTTCCCGAAAGATATCTCCGGACCCCTCCCAAGGTGCAATAGCTTTGAGCGATGGTGGGTTCTGAGCAGCGGCGTGCCATTGCATGATGGCGAGGTATGAATTACCAGCCATACCGACGTTGCCATTACACCATGCCAGCTTTGCCAGAGACTCAATCACGTCGTGTGCATCTTCAGCTTCTTGCCTTCCCATACAAGTTGTGTCGCCATCGCTGTTACCAGCTCCTCGAGAATCAACACTGGCGATGGCGTAACCTCGTGCTACCCACCAAGCCGGGTCCAGGCCTTCGAATTTTTCCAATCCGCTCACATCTCCACGCTCAAGACAACATGCCCAGTTGCAAACATTGAAGATCATGTGAAGTGCAGAGTATTTCTTGCCGTATGGTGACCATGATATAATCACAGGCACCTTGTCGTCATTCGTCGGTCGGTAGATGTCGGCGAAGAGTCGGCAGCCGTCACGAACAGTGATCTCGATGTCATGATCGATCCGAATGTCTGAATCCAGCTTTCTAGCGGAGAAGGGTGCAGAGCCCTTGGATAGCACCTCGGACTTCCCGGGAGAAGGCTCAACATAGCCATTCTCACCCACTTTGGGCTTGGTCAATGGCTTGAATGCGACTTGGTATGGGATGGGCATTATTTCGGTTAGGTGAAAAGATTGACGGGAGATAGTTTAGCAATGAGTGTGGACTGGAAGAAAGCTTGGACGTCCTTGGAGTTAAGATAAAGAGCAAAAAATACGGAAGCCCCTCTCCCAGGCAAACAATTTCATTGACTATGCCAGAAGGCTACAATTCAAGCCATCGTGAAACGCCGAGCCGACCATCAATGGCGAAGTGGGGGACTACAGCCGACTACCCTCGGAAGGAGAACGCGAGTAATTCAGCTCCTACCCCGATTAAACATTTCTTGGGTCATGAGTTCTCTGCTGCATTGTGCAGCTGCTTCTTTGGGCGGTAGATAGCCGAACCGAACCGGATCGGACCCGAACCGAGTGTTGCTACCAACTCCTGCCATTCTGCCCACCCTAGCGATGTGTAGATAAAGTGTGCGGAACATTCCAAGCATATTTGAGATCACACAGCAAGTTCTTTCTCGACCAACACCAAGTTCACAAAACCGAAACCAAAACAAACATGCCCACCATGACCGAAACTAAGCAGCGCACCGTCGCTGCGCGCTTCGAGACCAAAGACTTGGTTACTTTTGACAAGAGTCAAGTCTATGGTGACTGGCGTGATGAGTTTCACCAGAATGGCTGCGTTCTGATTAAGAACGTCATTTCTCCCGAACGTGCTCAGTACTACTGCGACAAACAGATCCAATGGTTGAAGAACTTCGAACTTGGCTTCAACGAAAAGGATCCCAGCACATGGACTGCTGACCATCTTCCCGTGAGCTTTAAGGGTGGTATGTACTTTTCATATGGCTCCACCCATGAGAAGATGGCATGGGAAGCCCGGTGTGAGCCCAATGTTGTCGCGATCTTTGAAAAACTATGGGGCACCAATGAGCTCATCACTTCTTTTGATGGAATGAACATCTCCTTGCCAAACCGCACGGATCTTAACTGGAGCCCTTGGCCTCATTGCGATCAGAATCCAGAGCGAAAGGGGTAAGTTGTTTCTTTCGGTTCATACAAAAAGCCTACTGACAATTTGTAAAGCATGCAAGCGGTCCAGGGTCTCCTCAACTATGCTCCCAATGGCCCAAAGGACGGAGGTCTGATGCTCATGAAGGGATCGGCGAATCTTTTCAACGAATTCTTCGAGCATAAGCGTGAGTCTGCAGATCACGAAGATGCCCCGCCCCCAGAGATTCAGTACATGGACCTATTCCTCTTCAGCGAGAAAGACATCAAGTGGTTCGAATCGCGAGGCTGTGAGTTAGTCAAAATTAACATGGAGCCTGGTGACTTTGTACTCTGGGATTCTCGGACCATGCACTATGCTTGTTTGCCCGAAGGCGACCAAATCCGGCATGTGCAGTATATCTGCATGACACCGAGAAAGTTTGCCGATGAGGAGGCCCTAGAAGCAAAGAAACAGTGCTTTGAGACTTTCACGGGCACCACTCATTGGCCGCATTGGTAAGCATGTCCTGCTAGTGAGCAACTCAAACTATCGCCTCCGCTAATTCTTCTCTAGCAACATCCGTCCTGCTGAGGACAAGCCTCTTCGCAATGGAGAGGTTTGCCCCAAGTATAGAACGGAGCCATTTGAGAAGCCGATCATCACTGACCAAGTGCTTCGACTGGCTGGAGTGAAGCCGTACTGAGGGAAACCTTGCTATTTTCTTCAGATAGATATATGCCTATCAACTAAAGGCGTATGAGACCGTGACGCACAGTCATCTTTCATAGTGTCTTCGAAAACCTAGCTACCTCGAATATGGTGTTTTGTTATTGTTACAAATTTCCTCGTAACATTCGATGATAGCCTTTGTAATATTTGATTATAGTCTTCGTATACTATGACAAAATAGAGGCCATGACTGCTCCCAAGGTAGACGTCACTTTGCACATGGGAACCAGCTACACCTATTTCTACAGATTGTTTATCACAATGTCAACTGATACGAGTAAAACTTACATCTATTGTCTTCCTAACGACACTTGTATTGCTAGGCTAAGATTCCACAGTGCAAGTTACTCTGTCGTGAGACACTGCCGTGAGACACAGTGCACAGAGCTTGTCTTCTGTCGAACCGAGCTTCGAATGCCGTTCGCTACTTGACCAACCCCGGACCCCGCATTTGCTACCTTCGGTTCGGGTGGTCTCCCCTGCTCTCTCCCCCACATGTCCGGCGCCACAAGTTGTGGGGGTTTCGTTTTCAAAGTGAGCGTGCGCAGGCTGTTTGCACGCTAGCACCTAGCCGAATCGAACCTGAGCCAGCAATTGGTCATCTTAATCATCCAGAAATCATTTGGCCCAGCCACCACCAGCAGACTTTCCGAACAAGGAGGTCGAGTCAACTTGGCCCTCGCACGCCCATCCCTCCGGGCACTATAAACACCATGTCTTCCAGCCCGTTCGATTCCCTATTTCCATTCTGAATCTGGTTGAACACCGGTCTCCCAGCTTATTTGCGTTTCATCACCTCAACACCAATTACCGATCATGAACAAATCACCGCCTTCTCAGCATGTCGAGGACATCAACATCGAAGCGGATGGAGGGGACATACATGTCACAAAGTCCAAGGTGAACGTCAGTGGAACCGTGCAGCTCACTGCAGGAACTATTGTTTATATTCCGACCCCTACGAGTGACCCTCAAGGTTTGTCTCTTCTACTATTGCCACACGATAGGATAACCTGCTGACTGATGACAGATCCACTCAACATGCAAAGATGGCAGAAGACAATGGTTTTGATTGCCATATCTCTATGTGGGCTTCACCCCGATGGTAACCTCGAGGCGTACTAACTCGCTCAGTCTCGACCGTCGGGTTGTGCCTTGTCTCTGGGTTTGGCGGCCTATTGACCTTTTACATACCTGATTATGTAGCTGATGGCAAAACCTATGCTGACATCACCTCTCTGATGACATACCCAACTATGACTATGTGAGTGACTTTCCTACCCTTTCTCTTGCCTCAACTCATCAAAAATAGGGGTATTGGCAACTTGATTGGAATGCCAATGGCCATAGCCGTCGGCCGTCGGATTGTCTTGCTTGCCGCAACGGCTATCATGTTGGTCGGTGCTATATTGTGCGCGTTCGCAACGAACTTTGATTGGCATCTCGGGGCGCGTATGCTCGTCGGCTTCGCCGCTGGTCAGAGTGAGGCTCTCGTCCCCATGATTACTCAGGTAAGATGAAGAGATTTGCTGCCAGCACCCTTCATGTCACAGGATATGGAGTCTAACTACATCTTGTTGCTCTAGGAAATATTCTTTCTCCACGAGAGGGGCACATTCCTTATGCTCCAGCAGAGCATCCAGTCAATTACAACTGCTGTCTTAGTTCTCTTCGCCAGTCCTATTGCAGAAGCTATAACACCTCAGTGGTGGTATGGCCTTGGCGCTTGCCTTTCTGGGCTTGCTTTGGTCATGGCATTCGTATTCGTTCCCGAGACAAAATACCACCGCCCACGGTCTTCCCTTCAAGAGAATATGTCCTCGAATGGCTTGGACAACGTCTCAGATGAGCATGTGGCCAAAGATGCCCACAGAGTGGTCACAGAGAGACCGGCCCTTGACTTTGTTACCTATCAGGCTCGGACTTGGCGTTCTGACCTAAGACTCTGGATAGGCTCGCCCGAGTGGCGCAAGGGAGTTGATACATTTATAGTGGGTTCCACAGACCTCGGAAAAGTTACATCTATGCTAAAAAATCTCGATCCAGCAAGCGTTCCAACTTCTTCTTTTCCCCAATGTCCTTTGGGCTATGGCTTTGAATGGCCTCACGCTGGGCGTCAACATCGCAATTGGCACCACCTACGGGACCATTATCACAACCTTGTATGGCTGGCCGGAAAGGTCAACAAGCTACGTCAATTGTGGCCAAATCGTCACTTCGCTTGTAGCTCTGCCGTTCTTCGGCTTGGGCTCGGATAAGCTCATTGCTTGGTTTGCTAAAAGGCGAAACGGCATTCATGAGCCCGAGATTCGTTTATTGCCACTTGTACTCCCAATTATCATTGGTACATTTACTTCTGTACTGTACGGATACGGTGCCGCAAACCCGTCATCTTACCACTGGTTTGTCTACGTCTGGGCCGTTGGTGGTTACTACTTCACTTTTGTCGGTGCAAATATTGTGGCGATTACTTATCTGCTGGACAGTTACCCTCAGCGAGCTAGCTCTTTGCTGATCATTATTTGTGCTTTCCGTGGTATTATATCTTTTGGTGTTAGCTACGGTATTAGCCCATTCATTGACAGAAGCGGGTATTATGGAGCATTTAGCACCTTTGGGGGTCTAACTGCCGCGCTGGGGCTGCTTGGAATTCCTGTCTTCATCTGGGGCAAGAAAATTCGTGAGTTCACCGGTAGGTTTGCAGTGGACAAGGAGTAATTGTGTGATTTTGAGATTGTCTCTATGGCTTCACTATCAAGTAACATCTCATTTACGGGCTCTCTAAAGCTTGAATCATGATTTTAAACATTCAAACAAATTCCATCGAACTCAACCCCGCATTTTTTATTCAGTGATTGACACAATTGAGACTTGACTAGGAATTGGAAGGTGTACCACAGATTACTATTGTACCACAGACTAATCGTTATTATAAAATCGTCTTTTTTGGTTTTTGGTTTTTGGTACATCACCTACAGCGACGGACAGGAGTATCTACCTACTTGAATAATCTAAGCCCCTTGAATTAAGAGATGTTCTACGAGCCAGGACCTAAAAACCTTTCAGTAGCAGAAAAAGTACAGGAAAAAAATAGGAGATAGAGTAAGAGAGAAAGTATCTACATATATGTATGTATGTATTGAATACTACAGGAGGTACTGGAGTTGTAATGAGGAGAATCGGTGAGTGGAAGGGTATCTATGTACGTGGGGGTATGTAATTGGAAGAGTGCGCCAAAGTTGTAAAATCGTAAATTCGTAATAGCGAACTAAGCCAAACCCTAAATAGTTTCTGTTATAGGGCCGGTTTCGGAATCTATAATAGTTACTAGGGTCAGGTAGTGTAGTAAATCATCTAAACTAAGCAGGTTCTTATCAATATATTATTTCTATGATTCAACTCTGTTTCTCTAGAATATGTTTTACATATAATGTAGGCCTCTTTCTATTATCCTAAATTTTTTAGATATATCTAAGCTCTCTCAGCTACAGTACTAGATTCCTGATAGCTATCAGAAAAGAATGATTTGGGAGCTACTATCTATATACTAGATTTTCTAATAGCTATCAAAAGTAGTCTATTAAGCTATAGTATTAGCTTTTCAACGGCTACTAGAGATCCTGCTAGGCTATAAGCAAGAGTTGATTTACCCTTATCTCCAACATATGAGGGAGAATTGAAGAAAGACCTCAAAAACATACTCTAGATGAAAAGGCGGCCTTTACCAGTCGACCACTTATTGGTCCACGGCCGAGACCTTCTTTGATCTATGGCTGGGACCTTTCTTTGGCTGTAGTCACAGCCAAGTTTGACCCTCGCCGCGGACCTTTTAAAAAGGCAAATTTTTATGCGGCCACACATACAAATGTTTATGAGTATATATCTTATACTTCTATATGGCCTAGAACACTCCTTTTTTCTGTGGCTATTACTAGGTGACATGATTCAACGTCAACACTATATGTGTATGATATATATCTTACACGCTGATATGGCCTTGGAATTAGGCTGCGGCAAATCCGCTCTGTTGGATGTCAAAATCCAACAATTATCCGCACTAGCATAAAATTCGCTAATTTGAATTATTTTGGCATTTCATGTGACCCTTATACAGCTGACCAAGCACTCTTTCTTCCATCACATTACAGATGTATCAGTATGTCATGGCCGTGTGTGAATTACTATCTTATATATGATCTACTAGTTGAAATAATATGAAATATGAATGAATTTAAGACGAGATTCTATTCTCTTAGCCATGTGTAATAATTTGATTCCTAAGGGATGTAGTAGGTAGTAGTAATTTTGATTTATTGAAGTTATGGTTCTCGTTATTTTGCTTACTATGGAAAATATATACTTCGTGCATGAAAGTTAGTGTGGATGCTATAGAAGAAGACCATCAAAAGATGAACCCGCTGAATTTGCTATAATCTAACTAAAACTTCCTCAATATAAAATCTTTAAAGCTTAAAGAATCAGGAAATGCAATTTAATCAGTAGATTATAATATAAAGACATAGTGAAAACATGGCATGTTTATTGGAATGGTTGGACTTAGTGATTTTGAATTCGCTCTCATGCGGACATTAGTTGGATATTCCTTGGATATCCGGCGGATATCAACAATCATCCGACAAATATCTAATTTAGTATCAACCTGAATCTTCCAATCCAATCAGAGACCTAGATAGAATATTCTACTAGACTACCTCATTGGTTATTCCCTATACGTAGGTGGGGAATGTGAGATATCGTTGTTTCATATTCTAGTCGCGTCTAAGTCACGGTCGCGCAAGCTATACCTTGTAGTGAGGCATCCCCCCTGATCTTTCTAGCCCAGTCACTTCTAAAAGTATTCGAATTCTGTCTTTCTATTTCTCTAGTTATACTCTATACCTTACTTCCTCCCTTACCTTACCACTATGCCTCGATCCCAGCACTCAGATAGTCAATACCTAGCATCTCCATATGCTGAGTCTTGTATTGATCCAGATATCCTGCAACCGGACGACTTCCTTAACTTCCCAAACCAAGCAGGTCGTACTGCAACCTCCTTTTCTGATTACTCTCTCCCGCCTACACGACACCGTTATACTATTCTCGCACTGGAATCACTTCGTCGTGTCCGCAAGCATCTCCAAAAGCATTGGATCCTCTTTAACGATAAGCTGACCGTAGCGTGGAGCATTGATTTGCATAGTACCCTTAGCATTTCCCGATAATTGTGGCTTCCAGTAGAAGCTAGTCGGATAATGATTGAGTTTTGGCTTAAATTGGCGAATCGGCTCGGCTCGGTTTGCTATTAGCTCGGTTCACCTCGGGTCGACACTCGATAACTGGGGTTGCAATTTTCAACGCGTAGAAATTCTTAATTGATTGAGAAATCTGAGTTTTTTGAAAGTATGTGAAGATCCTCTCGAACAGAACCTCGCCATGGACACCCAGAAACCCCTTCGCGACGAATCACAAAGCGGTCCAACCTCAGCAGTGGCCGAGATCGACGACCAAGTATGCATCTTCGAGCCCACTGGCCCAAGCATGGGACGCTTACGTCGGCGCAGCGTGATGTTCTCGCTGTGCTTGGCTATGTTTCTTTCGGCCCTTGACGTGACGATCGTTGCTACAGCCCTTCCGACGATAGCGCGGCAGGTCAACGCCAGTACCGCCGGTTATGCCTGGATCGGAAGCGCCTACACACTCTCGAACACTGCTTCTGTCCCCGTATGGGCGCAACTCTCCAACATCTTTGGCCGGAAGCCCATCATAATGCTTGCCAACTTGGCTTTTCTAGGGGGCAGTCTGATCTGCGGTCTCGCAAAGTCTGTTGGAATGCTCATTGGCGGCCGAGTTGTACAGGGCTTGGGCGGTGGTGGCTGCCTGATCATGGTGACGATCATAATTGGGGATATGTTTGAGGTGAAGGAGAGAGCCAAATATTACGGCCTCACGGGGATTGTATGGGCTATCTCAAGCGGCATTGGGCCCATTCTTGGTGGTGTCTTCACACAGACCATTGGCTGGAGATGGTGCTGTAAGTTGACTCACATTCTCTGACATATTGTTCTTCACTAATACAAGTCACAGTCTTGATCAATCTTCCCTTTGACGGATTGTCCCTCGGAGTGCTATTCATTGCACTGAAATCTCAAGCCAAAACTGTACCCGTCATGACTGGCCTGAAGCAGCTCGATTGGATTGGCTCCCTTCTGATAATTGGCGGTACAATATGCTTTCTGTATGGACTTGAAGTTGGCGCATCCGGCGAAGGTTTATGGGGAAGCCCCATGGTTATATGTCTCTTAGTCTTCGGTGTTGTTATCCTTGGGCTCTTCTCCTTTTATGAAGCACGCTTTGCGACCAACCCACTCATCCCAAGCCGGGTACTTTCCTCCCGGAGCAACTGCGCATCTATTACCGTTCTTTGCTTGCACAGCTTCGTCTTCATCTCTTACGATTATTTTCTTCCTCTTTACTTTCAGGTGGTACTGGGCTTTAGGGCTATTATCTCCGGTGTTTCCTTGCTTGCTTTAGTTGTCCCACTTTCGGCTTTCACCATGGGCACTGGCTGGTACGTCAGGCGAAAAGGGGATTACCAATGGCCCATTTGGATCGGTAGCTGCTTTATGACGATGGGCACTGGCCTGTTTATCAGCTTTGACTCTGTGGTCAGCTGGCCTAAGATAATTATCTTTCAGGTCATTGTCAGCATAGGAGCTGGTCCACTTTTCCAAAGCCCGATGATCGCTTTGCAAAGCCATGTGAGGCAAGTTGACATCGCAGCAGCTATGTCCGCAGCATCTTTTATGAGAAGCCTTTGCAGCAGCATGTCTATTGTCATTGGCTCTGTTCTGCTTCAGAAGACTTTACACGGTGGCAAACTCACCCTGGAGAATGAAACTGATGTAAATCAAGATACAGATCAGGTTTCGAGCGACGAAAACTCGGCTTGGGCACTTAGCATCATGTGGATATTCTATACAGCGATGTGTGGGGCCATGATTTTGGCATCGCTTTTCATAAAAAGGATTGTATCACAAAAGGAGACTAGGCACCCTGAGAACGAAGATGTAATAGAGAAGATATAGCTTTCATCTGAAAATCCACTTGCTGCCAATCAGATGGCCGCGTCGTTATTTACGGAAGGGTCCGCGTTCCAAGTAAGATTAGGCGAGGATCGGTTGGTCCTGCCGAGTGATGCAAAATTCCCTAGCGCCTTGTCTTTCTTCTTGAGCCACGTCACCTCCTTAGTCCGGAAGCCCTGGTCTGTCAATTCGTTCTTTTATGATTTTTCCGATAGCTTTTATATTCGCATTTTCCAGATCGAAGTCCTCGGGCGGGGTACGGTGTACGACGATACCGAATCGTGGGTTAACCAGCTTCGTTTTATTTCCTAATCTGCTTAACCATTCAGTGTTATTACAGGCGACTTTGGCCGACTCTAGATCCTTGAATCGGATCGTATAGCCGTTTGACTAGTGCTAATCCCGGCTGTCTAGACGTCTTAGGAGTACATTTCACTTACTAAGTCCGTAGTTTCCCCTGACCTAGACTAATGTGATAACTAGAGGTTATATACCGACCCTTAAAGTCATGTTCCTTATAGTCACTAATTAGACTGCGCCAAAACATGCAATTGGGAGCAAATTTTGCTACTTAAAACTAAATCACAATACTTATAGTTTAAAACCGCCTAAACTAAACTAAAGTAAACTATAAACTATTATAGTTCCCTATTATGAAGCTACGACTATCTAGAGAAAGCTATAAGGCAAAGGCGATGAGAAATCTAACAACTTTCTCGCGAACCCTTCCATGACATAAGAATCGGAGATAAGGGTGCGAATGTACACGCTAGTGGCTACCTTTCAGTATTTATGCATGCGGCCTTGCATTCTTGAAAACCAATATCTTTATGCCTTCAGACAACACTTGTTATCAAGATATATCTGCTACGCCATGCTATCTCTTGCCTGACAGGAAAAAATGGTACCTAGTGCATGGCATCTAATGATTATTAATCTACATGCATAACATACACTCTGGTTATATTTATCCGTCGCGAAACTCTAGGCTCCAAGTCCATGTTACAGTCAACTCTCGCTAATTGCACACCCTCCCAGTGGGTACTCCCTGAGGAGTTCCTGAGTAGCCCTAAGCGCTCCCTAAGCAGTCCTTAAGTACTCCCTGGGTAGTTCCTGAGTGATCCCTGAGCAGCACTTAGTACTCCCTGAGCAGATCAGAAAAGTGGGTTAGTCGGTATCACGTGGTTCAATGATGACTCAGATCGCGTGTAAAAAGGGCGCCAAAAACGGCGTCCCAGGTAGCCATTTTGGGCGCCCAATTTACCGTCAACTAGCGTTGGGATGTAATGTCGAAAACACCAAAAGCTCCATGCATAGTGTAGCCCAAAGAGACAAAATCCCAACGGACGCGTTCCCTTCTTCATAGTAAAGTAGTAAAGGAGTTTTAGTTCGGTCGCTCTTGGGAACAGCTCCCCTGGTTCTTCGTGTGCGCAGGAGACTTTTCGCTCTTATCTTCATAGGCAGAGTTATGCTGATAGGGAGGAGGAAAGGCTTGCATCGATCTTGAGCCCCCATTAGTTGCTGGGTCCTCGACACCTTGGCTGTACTGTTGAGGTGGTATCCCTGGTAGTTGCCACCATAGCCTTGGGGATACTGCGGAGCACCATATGGGTTCTGTCCATATGGAGGCTGGCCATAAATGGTACTGTGGTGGGTAGCCAGGGGAGCAATAAGGCTGCGGTGGTGGGGTCGACTCGTACTGCCGTTCTTTCTTGTTTTCACTACCGGAACCTTTATCACACAAGAGCCAGTCAGTTTCAAGAAAAGCGAAAATGATAATTCGAATAAAGCTACTCACTTTTTGCCGATCTTGTAGGCGGTGGTCCCAATCAGAACTATCCTCAAGATACCCATGATCTAGATGTTGGGGCTCAAGGTTGACAAGTGACTTTTCGATGTTTGTGTAGACTGAAAATTGAGAGATGTCCATCTAAATCGTCTGGCGACGAAGGCCATCTTTATAGGAATTGGTTGTTCATATCTCATGTGGCGAGGATAGTGCGCAATGATAATGCGCAATTATGGTGAGCGGAATTTCTTCGCATCGCGATAGGATAATCTGGGGCTGTCAAGATGAAAAGTATCCACTTTGGAAATCATACTTGTCGTGCTTTAACTATTATGATACAATGAACCGAAACCGAGCACAGCCCGTGGGGGCTGAGTGGCTCTCCCATACTAAACGCAAAAACACCCCACTTCCAAGTCTTATCCAGCTCCTCTACTCCAGCATCTCTCCCGAAACCGAAACCGAAGTTGTTTTCTATCCTCCTTTTGATGGACTCATTGCAGTGCTACGTACATCCTATTGGCCAAGTCTATAATGCCTCCGCGCCTCAGCCACCGAGAATCCACAACTGGCTGTCTTCGTTGTAAATCTCGGAAGGTCAAGGTAAGAAACTCTGCTGGTCTCCCGAATTAGATCGATATTCATACCCATCAGTGTGACGAAAGACGCCCGAAATGCACACATTGCAGCCGACACGGCATACAGTGCGAATACTCCTCATTAGCGACTCGCATATATGATCCTCGCCAATCTAGGCCCGCAAATACTCGAGGACGCAGGGTTGTCGAAGCTCCTAAACCCGAGGTGCCCTCCCCACATGGAGGGTTGCCAGTCCTCCAACTACGTCTCATGCACCACTGGGTAACGGCTACTGCAGCTACGATGAGCTCCGCTGATCTGCCAGCCGTTCACGAGATGTGGAGTGTTGCTGTACCTGAGATGGCATTTGAGTATGAGCCACTTCTTCACACATTGCTCGCACTAGGCGCCGCACACCGCGCCACATTGTTCCCAGACCAGGCAAATTCTTTGCGACCTATTCAACATGCCTACATTGACTTTGCTCTTCGGGAACATCGTCCAATAACAGCCGATCTAGATGGGAATACCAGTGAAGCGGTCTGTGTCAATGCGGTGTTACTCTCCTTATACACTTTATTTCTCCGGTCGGAACCGTCCTCGGATTCCTATGAGCCTCCTCTATTGTGGCTATCCGTAGCACGGGGTATCCGAACAATCCTAAAGACAGTCTACCATCAGCTCGTCCAATCAGACTCCAAGCTTAAACCCTTGTTATTGGCAAAGCCGTCTCTTTTTCACGAAGGTTTGAGTAACTTCAAGGGATCCGCAAAGCCATTCCATTTTATTCTCGAATATCTCCTAGATGAAGAAGAGATTGATGAGAAGACGCAAAAAGCCTATTCAGAAAGCATCAACTACCTAGAGTGCCTCTATACAGCATCGAAGGCCCCAACACCTACGTGGATTCTCCGTAAAATGTTCACGGGATTTCCACCAATGGTCCCCCGACGATTTTGTGAGCTAGTCACAGAGAAACGCCCCCGCGCTCTTGTTATTCTCGGGTATTTGTTCGCGTTGGCCAAGAAGGTAGAGAATGTTTGGTGGCTTCAGGGGATTCCTGAGCGAGAGGTGCGTGGAATCGAAAGCATTATACCTGCTGAATGGAAATGGACCATGGTCTGGCCTCTCAACTTGATCGCTGAAAACCCCTCTGTTACATCTGAAGGCGAGATTATTGTGACTGCAACCCCTTTCGCTACATCGAGCATAGCAGAGGCTTCATCATAATGAGCTATCACGAAACTGTCAGGAATCCCATTAAAACGCCACTCGGTTGTTATTTGCCCACTTGGGAATAATTGAGATACTCAATTTCCAACTGATCCAATCAGGTGAGGGTTAAAAAATTATTGCAAGTTCGCCTTCACAGTATCTGTTGCATGCAACGGTCAAAGTAGGCGCTTCAGACCAGGGTCAGGAGCGCAAATCTCGAAGGCGCGACAGAATAATTTGGCTCAGTAGCCCTTGTGGGGGGCATACAGGGCAGTACTTACCTGTAAGAACTGGATGCGCCATGTGAATCAGCGATAAGACAAGGGAAATGAAGGGGAATTCCACTCCCTAGTTAGGCCCTGGGAGCCATGAAAATCGCCGGGCTAGCTTTCGGCCCCCGACAGCACGATCCGACTAGACTGTTATCGCGCCTAATAATTCCCCTGCACTCCCTTGCTTCCCCTCAAACATAGGCCAGACGAGGCAAGGATCCCACTTCATAGTCTTCTACCTTGATGATCGCCATGAAAATAGCCGTTGGGGGATACAAGGGCGAAAATCCCATCTTTCGCCCCATAACAGAAGAATCTGAGATAAAGACATGTCAATCCCTACATACTCAGTCGATCATTTTATTTCTGTCCCGAGACCCACGCTTTGCATCGCGCGCTTGCATAACCCTACCCGCAAATCTAATCGATTCATCGACAAGTAGACATCATGGTCTACCCTCCGATTGAGGCTCTTGAGTTAGCCAACTTAATCTTCTTCGGGATTTCAATCATCCCGGTGTGCTATTGCTTTTATATGCATGGCCGGGAGGGCATTGGTCCTTGGCTTAATACGTTTGTATGGAACACTCTGCGCATTACCGCTAATGCCATCGCATTCAAGTCGATCGCGACGACTGGCATACCCAGTCTCATCATTCCGCTCGTGGTAAACGGGGTTGGTCTCTCACCGTTTACACTAGTGTGTCAGGGATTTGTGAATGAAGCGTGAGTGACATCGAATTCGACTGAGCGAACAAGCTGACGGTATCATCAGCAACTTCTCTATCCGTAAAGACCTCCCGATTTTCGCTGGGATTTGGGGCTCCCTCATTGCGCAGATATTAATCATCGTTGGCGTGTCTTTGTCGCTGAAGGGTCTCACCGAGCTTACCATCCTAAAAGCTGGTCTCATTATTTGGCTTCTCGGCTGGGTCTATACAGGCCTGATGATCGTGGGAAGCTGGTCTTGCAAAGGTCACAAGAAACGCCTCCCAGATGAGAAAGTTGTACGTCTATAGTCGCCCCAAGTCCTCACGTAGACTTTCACTAACAGCTATGAAGCTTTTATACGCCGCCACAATCTCCTGGCCTCTTGTTGGATTCCGTGTCGTCTACGTCACTTACTGTGGTTATGTTTACCACATCTTTGACCAAGGTGGTATCACGATCATGTCAGTCTTCGGTGTGCTTCCGGAGTTCCTGTGTATGATGATATATCTCGGTGCCGGTATCTGGACTCGGAATCTGTCGCGCACACATAAGACTTTGCGGCAAGAGGAGAAAGCAGCGAAGAAGCAGGCCAAGGCTGGTGTGCTGAACTCCTTATCGGCGAGCACAGAGCCTCTGGAAAAGTTTTCCTCTTTGACTGGGTCAGACAACACTCGCACAGCTGGTACAGCGAGTATTTCTGGAACCACAGTATGAACCACGCTTACAATGTGGAGGATGACTTGTGAATTTTCTCACTACTATCGTCTATCAACGATTTGGAATCTTTCACCCACTACCCTGTCAGGACAGAAGGCAATTCCTGGAACAATTGGTCCAACATGCTCGATAATGCTGCTTTCACCCAGCCGCACTGCTAAGTGATTACATGGCACAAATCATCGTTGAACGTCTGAATTTGATGCACGAAGATAAACAACATTCTCTTGGGTGATTCTCTTCTTGTCCGAGCTCGGAGTATGGGAAGTGGGCAAAATGAATGACCAGACTGGGCTCGATCCCAGGACCTTATCGGTGTCAATGATACGTGATAGCCCATGGTCCGCAGTGGAAAGGCATGATATGCGTGGTACTTGGTTTGGAAATCGTGGCATTCGGGAAGCCATGGCGCCCTAGCCCCACCTACGACGCTAGTCGTCACTAAGGACGCTAATCCTTATCAACGGTGATAATGTCTCTGAACGTATCGTTTATGCTAGATAGCCGGTTATTGCGAGTTTAAGTCGCGAGACGTAAATATAAATAAGAAAGCGTCCTCACTTATTAAGTCTGATCATGTTCGAGTTAAATTCTACGACTAAAAATGCCGCTTCCAAACATTGCGACATCGCCCGGTCTAGGATTATAAAGGATATATATCTACCATTGAGGTAAAGATTCGACTTTTTTTAAGTAACATGAAATTTTATTAAGAACCAAATTCTAGTTTTCTTGTCGAATTTTAATATCTATTAAAGGATATAGACTTATTCTTCATATTTTACTATCTACATACTATTTTTACCTAAATCATATAGATGATTACATAGGCTAAACATAGGTATTTTTGCATAATCATGTTTGTCTTGTTTGTTACCCAACTGGGTACCCAGCACGGCGCTCTGGGTTTAACGGCAGAGTTATGTTCGAGAAAGAAAGCATTTTGCGGAAGAAAATATTAGGTATTCAGCTCCTTAGCCACCGTGAGCCAGAACATGGCGGGGCAACTCAGCGGTCTTAGGCTCTTATTCATTAGCCATGAACAATTATCCTTCATGAAGATACCAGTCCCGACAGCGTGCTCCATCAGTGAATTTGAGTAGAAAGAGTCAATATTCACGAAAAGAAAACACAAAGTTGTGGATAAGATTTCAAAAGAGTTAGACAGCGACCACACGCGTCGGTCATGAATTATTCTTTCTTTCTCTTTTTCTTTCATAGTCCAGTCTCCCTCCAGAATAGACTTCTTTCTCCTTCTCTTGATGAGATTCGTCTCATCGTAGGAGAGGAAGATGGCGATGATACCTAACGGAGTGAAAAAGTAGTACTATATATTCTTCTTTTAAAGCGTATTATTCATACAACAGCAAGTGTGGCCGAGTGGTCTAAGGCGCTAGATTTAGGTTGTTAACCTCTCTAGTCTTCACGGGCGTGAGTTCGAATCTCACCGCTTGCAATAACTTTTTTTTTTCTTATTTTCCCCCCTTGTCCATTTCTACTTGAGTGTAAGTAAGGAACATTATAATTTAACTAAACTCGGTGTTCTTCACAAATTTGCCATTCTTTTTACTTGAATATATTCCAAACGCCCCTACCTGTGCCAAATATCTGGAAGTCCACTAAATCCGTCTGATCGAGGCTTGCGAAGCCACTAAGCTTAAACAACCCATTTTTACTAGATATTACGTGCGAATATGTTGTCCTATTCGCTTGTGAAAGCATGCTGTACTCGTAGTATTGTCTAGACTTATCGATGTGCCATGAGTTGAGAGGACGTGTGAAGTTGTAATGGTAGAAGAACGTGCCTGGGATGTGACTCGTGTATTAACGAGAACCTTGGAAAGACAAGTACCTAGTTGTTTTATAGTTTCGGGCAAGTACTGATGTCTGAAATCAGTTGCCCATGAACTCTTACTCCTTCTCTCTTCCTTCCAGCTTAGTTTTTCTCCTCCGTTTGGAATGTCGTCATTCGGGTTAATTACATTGGAGGATACTAGCCTCTATACCAAGCCGTCCTCCTTGAATGATGCTGACTTCTATTATCTAGTTTGCTCAAATTTATCCACATGTAGCCGGGACATCTCAATCTGGGAATGGACTATGGAGGTTCAAGATGTCTATCAAAGTCTTCGCTATCACTCTGATCCCCGACTTCAAGAAGTTTGGCTTCAGGGATACCGCAAATTTCGAGATACTGCCCAGAAAAGCAGTCCTTTCTCTAGGAACAACCAAAGCAAGACAATGAAGATTCTAAACATTACCTCTATTTCGGTTCTTCAGAAAGGCACTATCTTAGTGATCATCAATGGACCTTTGAAAGACAAGGGAAGTCTCTCAAGGCTGCCGAGGAGTTTCTCTATTATGGAAAGAAAGGTCGTATCTACAGGAGTACTCGGGTATCTTTACTGCTTAATATTCCTGGCACATGCTCTCACTTTCTAGTGTTTCACATATCCGGACAAGGGCGGGTATATTGCTGGATGCTCTTTTCCTTAAAACGATTCTGTTACCAGGGCCAACCCCATTACGATATGCACAACAGGCCCTTTTGAACGACCCTGCTAGTCGACTTATCGTGCTAGTAGATATCAATCCCGGAGATAGTACAGGTCTGTGTCACCATTTACAAACCAATTCCAAAGGCGCACCACTAAAAATAAATCGCCCAGTGGATCCAATGAAAGGGATCTGGTAAGGAGAGTCGAAATGCTTACCTCGTCGATATGTTAAGAAAGAATACGCCAAAGAGGGGGATGAAGAGAAGAATTAGGGATCCAAAGAGGAAACTCAGCATCTCGGCCGATAAATGCAGTCTTCACAAAGCTCATTCAGCCTCGGAAGGCTTTCTCCATAAATCATTCATTTGTTTTTGGTTAAAGAAAGAGAAGAAATGTTTTCTGCAGGAAGAACGAGTACCCGGGATATGTAATTCAAGGCACGCACCAAAAATGAAGCTGCTTCATACTTTGGAGACCAATCATTCTAATTACGGCCATTATACACACGAATGTAGTGCTTAATTCTTCCCGGTGTCAATTCATAGGCTTAAACCCTCCGTCGAGCATCTAGGTGGGTTGTACAAAATAAGCGCCCTTAGGCATCTGAACACACGGAGCCCAAAAAAAAAAAAGTCAATATTCTTTTGTGCGATTATCTTGTTCCAACGGGTTCGAGATCGTAGGACGTGGATAAAAAAAAAAGAAATGACCAGACTGGGGCTCGATCCCAGGACCTTATCGGTGTTAACGATACGTGATAACCAACTACACCATCCGGCCGTTCATGAAATGAAGGTTTGTGTTTTTGGCTTCTGTCCTTCTCCGGCATTTCGCATGGGTTCGTTTAGTCGGCCAAGCAAATAACTTCAGTCATCAGCAACTACATATTCGAGGTCTTTGGCAATCTTGATCACCATGAGATGATGAGCAATGGCAAGACGCTGCATGAAGCTAACTGTGATGAGCAAGAACAGAAAGTGCACAATTGATATAAATAAAATTTGATTTATATGGTATTTTCCAAGGAGGGTTCTTGCTTCTCTTTTTCTATCTCTCTATTTCCTGATGCACTACTCTCTTATTTATGAACATATTTCATGGCTGGATAATCCGAATCTTATTTCGATTATCCTCAACGATAGCCAATACCTTGGCATATCAAATATTTTAAACAAACCTTGGTTTTTTTTTTTTTTTTTTTTTTTTTTTTGCATATGTTGTCACATGACCGTTTGTGTGCTGACCAAAACGGACACACGTGATGATTATCAGATCCATCGGAAGGTTGAGAAACACAGGAAACGAATTGAATCGTCTTCCTGAGGTTATGCTTTTATCTAATTTCACATCGGCAGCTCAACATTTTAAATGTACGGGATCAAGGCTTCACTCAATGACAGCCCGTACAGCCACGTTTCACCCCTGTTCAAACATAGTCATTTAGCCGTGGCAAAGGATGTTAGGAACGCCCTGTAAGTTTTAACCTGCGCCCGGCTGTGCCCTGAATTTTAGATTGCTGAGTATGAAAAGGCGGTCAAGTGGCAGATTTCTCCTGCCTTGACCCTCAGGTCTGATCTTGTCCACTACCACTTCCTTCTGTTCATTCAATTCATTCCTAGCCCAATTCAGAATGATCTTCAATCGAGCTCTTCTAGCTCTAACAATGAGCTCAAACGAAGCCGTTATAATGGCATGTCCAATCATGCGCCAGCTCTAACTATCGCAGACCAATCATCACAACAATTTGTCGCACCCTTACTTCCCGCGTGAGATCAAATTAATTTGCGTGATTGTGTTACCGAACAAGACGAAAACTAATAAGATTGGAAGACTACACAGTGATTTCTTCCCACCTCCAGAAGCTGGATCAGCCCAGGTGATGGAGTGAGGAGGAATGTCACTATTCTCCTTCGTTGCCAGGTGATTCAATATTGGCACAATTCCGATCCAAGGTTTATGAGAATACCATTTTAGAATTCATAACTCTGGAGATTGATTGCCAACACCCATTCCATCTCGAGCATTTACACTCTCAACTCCAGAGCGTACAGTATGAGAGCTCGCTCCCCCCTTCCTCTTCCCCTTCGACGCCTTTGAAATTTTGACATACCTTGGTTCCTAGAACCCTTTTTTGATTCTTCATCCAGATCATTGCATTTGCTCCTTCTAAGCATTTTTCCCCCATGACTCCTAAACTCTGCACTCATCTACATTATCATTGAGGGCCATGACTCTAGCTGTACATAGTGGTCAGTGAGATACAGTCTGGAATCACACCATGGCTAGTTCATCAATTCGAACAAAAGGCGAAAATGTGCCATTAAAACTATATGCAAAAAGCAGTATTTCTGTCTATACAAGTCAAGAAACAGATATTTGAACTAGTCTTCGTCCCCGAATGTATACAGGCTCTGCTCTCAGTGAACAGAAGGCAAGTTGGCCGAAAGAGGCAACTTGCGAGACGAGTTGCCGACATACACCTTCTTGGGAGTCTTAGTG